ATTATGTCAAATTCACAGTTCCTTGATCTTAGGTGGGATTTGGGTGACAACAGTCATAGGGGAATGTACCTTGGCAATTACGTATTTCAAATTTTATTGGCTTTTGTCAGGGAATATCAAGTTGTATCGCTTTCTTTCTTGATTAAAGAAAATCATCCAAGTCTCGCGGACCGAGATTATGAGGTGGTTCTTAGCAAGTTGCGTTTCTTTGCCATATTCTATTTTTGCATTTTATCTTTTTCTTGTTTAACTTGAACGAGAGATTGCACCTGCACACAGTGTTGTTAGGGTAACCTTGGTAGCCACCTGGACTGGTGAAGCTTCCGTTCTTGCCCTTGAGTGAAATTTCCTCTGTACATTCTAACGGACGAAATGAAAAGATAAAAAATGTGCTACTGTCATCCTAAGAAACAAATCACTTCAATAAAAATTGCAGCTATTATTGTTTCACGGCAAAAAATCCCAGAAAACTCAGAAAAGGGGTTAAAAAAATTTATTCTCATTAAGATGCAAAGTAAATGAAAAGAGAGCTCAGATGTTATTAAATGGAATTGAAAGCAGTTTGTGTCAGACACGTTATGTGTGTAATGTAGTAAATTACGACAGGGAAGTCCAATCTAAAGAGAAGCAATGTAATAATTCTGCGAATAAAGAAAAGCAAAACTACAAAATATGTATTAACAGTCTCAATTTTCAGAAGCATAGAAGACATTGATGAGAAACGATTTCTTAAACAAAGCAGACATTGTTATAAATTAGTTGTTTCTTATAAGAATCTTTTTAACACATTTAGGAAAACCTCATTTCTAAGTCCTTCATATAACGCGATCAAATTACAACACTGCAACCATTAGTTGAAAGCTATACGGACCACAATTAACTGTGGTCTCGTCTTTTCTGAAGCTTCTCATTAAATTTTTACAGCTTTAAATTGCCGAGATAGAACACGAACTCAGTTCGAACAAAATAGATAGGTTTTAAAATTTGTAAATCGTCACTTAACCACGAGGCGTTAAACATTGCAGGCAATTCAAATTAATTGCCGAAAGTAATTTTTGAAATTTCTTATTCCTCAATAGAAGAATCTCGTATTTGAAGTGTCAACAAACTCACAGCAAGGTATTGAGTAACTGTGTGTGAAATATTTCAAAGAGGATAAGTAAATAACAACCGTTAGCGTAGGGAAAATAGCTAAAAATTGTTAATTTCAAAAGTCACAATAACTTCATAAAAACGTATTCACATTAAAAAAAAAAATTACTAAAGTAAAATGAAATAAATATAATTCAAACAGATGTCTTTGCATTTTGTTTCTGGAAAACAACAAACTGCAGTTCTGCATAAAGTTTATCTTTATTTTATTATATTCATTTTCTGCAGAGTAAAATTACCTTTTGGAGTTTGGACGTACTCATGTGCTCCGGCTCTGAGTAAAACCACCAGTCTCAAGAGCTGGAGAAAAGATCACATAAAAGTTAATTCACTTCCGAATTTAGTGATTTAAAAACCTTTGTCGCCATAATGTGGTGTTAAATTCAAAAGACGAAAATTTGCCTCTTACCAAAGATATTTTCGCGTCTCTACCGGGTCTTTTACACACCATGATCAGCATTTAAAATCAACGGCTACGGACCTCAACCGCTAACCAGAAGCTAGTAAAAGGGCTGAATTCGACTACAAATTTTGGTTGTATTTTCCCAGTTGAGCGGGAAAATTCTAACAAACTAACTGTGAATTATTGAACACTCTCCTGCTGTATGTCATTCTCGCCAACCAATCGCAAAGCGCTCAAACCGGCACTAATTTTGAGAATACTGGAATGTTTGTTCACCTGCCGTCTGTTTGTCGATGTTGGAGAGACTACAAACGACTTGCGCGTAGGAATCAAGTTCTGGAATGAATTGTGATGATATTAATAATGACAATGATAGTAGCCAAGATTTGAAAGCGGCTTTCAATCTATTGTTTTTCTTCCTTCTTCTGGTTGTGCGCACGAAAAACCCTATCTTTTCTACATGTCTCATCGTTTCCACCTTTTCTCGCCAGTCTCTCTCTCTCTCTCCACACTATGAAAGCCATGAGAACCCGGATATAGCCCGACTTAATCGGGCTACACCATCAACCGAATCTAAATTTCCAGTGCCAGTGACTTTTCTTGGGATCTACGTGCGTACGAACGAAGCAGAGGAGTAAGTTGTGCTTGTCGATGTATCAGAGTTAAAAAATTTTAGTTCATCAGTCCCAAGAGAACGGAATTTTTGCAACGAGACTCTCCTACCAATAGCAAAGTTTAACAATCTTATTCCGCTTAAAGCTCTCGCGCAATATTAGGGGAAAAAAAAGAATCGCGAACAAATATAAAAGGTAAGCGTGCATTCATTTTATTATAAATAATTTGGTACAATCCGCTTTTTCAAAGCAGCATCAAAGCGAAATTCTTGTAAATTATATTGTAAAAGTGAACGCACAAAGAATCTTCCCTTTCTACTTACATTTCCTAATTTTCAAAATATATTGCAACATCAACAATTTCCTTAGATAAAAATATTTTCGTTAAGCGCATGAATGCTTTTTTATGAATAATAATGTAAATTTTGGCATTAACTTCCAAAGACTTCTTGAAACTATCTATTAAAAGCGTTTGAAAAAGGCCTTGTGCTAATCTCAATTTTAAAAATTTCCTTGCTCGCGTTAAAAGGACATTTTAGGCCAAGTTCGTGACTTAAATCCAGGCCATCCAGTCGTTTCGTACCCACGGTCGTTTCGCAACCACATTTAGTCGATTCGTACCGAGTTTGAGTCGATTCGTACCCATTCCAATATACTTTCATTTGAAATTACTCAAGCGCGATCGCGTGAATAAATGGTGATTGCTGTACACGACAAGTTGGTAAAATCATGCGAGCAAGATACAACCAGAATTCTGTCCTTGACCACCTAACTGAAAACAACGAATTGTTACCTGGTGCAAGGTAACTCTGACATATACATATATATATATTTTTTTTTTCTTTTTTTTTAATAGATCAGTCTCTTGTTTACACTTGCCATTTTCTTAATAATAACATGCAGATATTGTGAATGTGAATTTTTTTTCTCCCTCTGTTATTAAGGATAACAAATTCGTTGATTCTCGTTTTTTTGTCTTTTCCATTCTTACTTAAAACATTCCTAACATGGAAAACATACTTTATTTGTATGGGTACGAAACGACCCGACTAACTAGGTACGAATCGACCTAGCTGGGTGCGAAACGACCGATAATCAAATCCAGAGAAAACATATATTTTACAAGCACGCTTAACTGAATTAAGCAGGGTTCTGTAATAATGCTACGTATAGCAGCATTAGTTCAACTCGTTCCTAACGCTGCTATATGAATGAAGATACTTCATCCATGTACGTGCATTCCTCAAAGTATGTCTCCCGGAAAAACTTAAATCAATAGTCCCATGACTTACATGGCTGATAATGCATAGTCATGGCAATAAAGTATACAATTTCATTAACAACTGAACTTGAAGGCTTCACAAGAAAACTAGCATCAATTCATCACCACAATGCAGCCTTTACACCAGCAGGTTTTCATTCACAATTTTTCCCTTGACAAGTCAACTTGTCCAAAACTGCATACGCCAGTTATTGAATGAGGCGACTTTTGACAAAGAGGACGTAGGTAAGTTGATAGAGATAATTTGCAATGAAGTTCCAAAGGTTTGAGGAAAACCGTTCTCCAACAGAAAATTTCCAATGCGAGGTGACGTTGACTTAACTTATGGAACCAACAAACGTTTCTTGACAAGTCCACGAGCCGAGGGAAACAAGAAAGTGAAAATAAATGTGACGCCGAACTTTCCCAGCTCATCTCACCTTGACGTCTCGCTAACAAGGGCACTTAGCTCTCACCAATTGATGTAATTATTCTAATCTCGTGGCGGGGCAAGATGCAGTCTGAAGCGTTCGTCTTCAAAGATATTGCCTGAGCTAGTCGATCGACTGCCGTAAGTATGACTAACAGCATCACTTGACCTTGATAACTCTGATAAAATGGCCAACTGAAATAGAAAGGAAATAAAAAGAAGAACACAATCATAACTACAGCCTTCCTATAGAATCCCAGAAATCTAAATGTACGCCAGCACACATTAACGATGCACGCGCCGAGTGGATTTTGATGGCCACCTTATTTGTCTTGCTTTCTACTTCTCTTAAAGTAATCATGCAAAATTCCTCCATCTCCCCGACCTGATCAATCTTTAAGCGAGCGCAAAATATTCTGATGGAGTGCACTGAAGCTGACTCCGTCAGAGTATTTCACCGCTCACCTAAGAAACGGAGAATGTATCGACCAATCCCACATTGGAAAAAGCTGAAACTCAACCAGACCTGGAATTCTAAGCGCTGTAAACTCATGCCTAGTCCCCATAAAGTTTTTTACTGTGGTATTTTTACCCAGGATTGCCGAAACGTCTTCTAAAAAGGAGAAATCAATCATAACCCCAGCCTCCCCATAGAATCCCAGAAATCTAAATATATGCCGGCATACATTGATGAGGCACGCAATTTAGCGCCGAGAGTATTTCGATGGCCCCGACATTTGTCTCTCTCCATCTCTTTTAAAGTAATCCTTCTTGGTTTTCACCATCTCTCCAGTCTGATCAATCTTTAAAGGAGCGGGAAATTTCCTGATGGAGTGCGCTTAAACTGACTTCGTCAGGGTATTTCACAGTTCAACAGGAAACTGAGAATGTATCGACCAATCCGTGTCGAAGCTGTAATCCAATCAATCCGGGAATTCCCAAACCATCCTCTTATCTTAGGATGGTTAAGTATGAAGATCGACAATGAGTAAAAAAAGTTTACAATTAAGCGTCGAAAGTAGCGCCACCTTTTAAACTAGTCAGAAACAAACAACCAATTAAACAAAACAAAAGCAAAATTGAAAAAAAAAACATAAATACTTTACATCGAAAGAAGGTAAACGACTGAATGCACCATTATCGTTGCATTATTATTCCGATTTTTGACAAAGATGATTATGATCAAAGAGACCTTTCTCATTTTTGGTAGTTAGGGTTTAAGATCATCTGATACATTAATAGTCAATCTAATTACCCGCGATACATCTTTGTTTTGTGCCTTCAGCCTAGACACTGCCTCGAATTGTTGCTGCGTAAGTGAAGGCACTGATCTTTCAGTCTGTCAAGAGAAGAGACATAAGAAGGATAAATAAAACGTAAGTTTACGTAAGGAACCGTGAAGTGTTTCAGAGTCCACTTCCACATCCTATGTTTTATTTTGAAACAGAGAAAACTGAAGGAAAAAAATTGAACACAAGACAATCAAAATGAAATAAAGTCGACTCCCGTCATTGCCGACACCCTCGGGGGAAGATTAAATGTCCGTAATGGCGAGAGTACGTAGTAGCGGGGAACAAGAGGAACAAAATTGTGTTGTAAATAATGCTCTCAAAGAATGTGTAACGACGCAAACATAACGCTTCTAACGTGACCTCACGAACCGGAAATCTATTCGGCAACAAGAAGGAAATCCTCCTGTTCACACCCAATTGAAGAATGGTTTCTTCATTTTCATTTATCGTAATGTCGCTTTATATTATGAGAGTCAAAATTTTAGGCGAATTACTTAAGTGTCCGCTATAGTGAGAGTCCGTAATAACGGGAGTTTGTTTCTGTTATTTCTTTGTGCGTTTCGCCGGGGGGCTGGCTCTTGGCCGCAATGGCGGATTGTCTGTAAAAGCGAGGTGTCCGTAGGGTGAGAGTCGACTGTTTCTAGAATAGGAATTAGGTTATTTCATCCAGTTGGTGTTACAAGGGACAACTGGCAACGTATAACCAAAAAATCATAACCTTAAAAAGATTCCCCTAGCAGTTCTAGTCTCTTCACCCATGCCTATGGAAGCTAAAAAAAGTTCATATTTCTCGACAACATAGCAACCCCTCCTTACCTTGGAGAGATCCTCCTTCTTTGCCGCTCCAGAACTTTCTGTTTTGAACTTCTGCACGAGGAAATCATAAAGAAAGGTGGCGTTATTTATACACTAATTTTGTCAACCATTGGGAAGATATTTTGCTTAAAAAAAGGTGAAACTGAATAAGCTTGGTTGAAAATTTTTTGCTTAAAAATGTTGCAATAAAGCTAGTAAAAGTTTGTCGATGATGAAAAAAAAGTACTTGCACCATAGGGAATCTTTTAGCTGTTAAGGCTTCAGTGTCACTCAGTCATATAAGGCCAACAAAGAATTTCCTATATTCTCCTCAACTGTGTGCTACGAATTATATAAGACAACAAGGATAATTTTTTTATGACACATACCTGCACAGATCCGGGTGACAATGGCTTCACTGACTTCCCCAGAACTCTCTTGCCTTTCCACGAAGAAAGACGCGAAAGCCCAGTTTTATTACAGAGCATACAGATCCAATTTCCCTCAGTTCCGGTAGTCCCTGCCATACATTCTGAATGATATACGTGGCCACACCTGAAGAAACCAAAAGAGTAACTAAAGATAGTAACTAAAAAGCTCCTGAACGTTGCAGAATTCAATTAACTTATGCTTGCTCTGAGCTAAACCAGAAACAAAAGCTTGCCATTCGAAATCAAAATTTAATGATATCCAGACATATGAAGATCCAACATATCCTAATTGGAAGATTAAAAAAATAATGCGTCTATTGAAGTTCCATAAGAAGAGGCGAAGTCCAACGATTATCCCTTTCGCTACAAGAATCTGACCGAATAAACCACCTGTTCCCAGCCCTCCTCTTCCTTCGCACCCCCAAACATCAGTTCTTCGCTCCTCTTTGCTCCGGAGGATGAAATATAATTTTCAATACTTACATTGCGATACTTCGTGATACATGCTTTATATTTTTACGAATTTTTTTTTCAATTCTGACGCCCTAGACAGCAGTTCTATCAAGCTCAATAATAAGACAAAAAGTGCAAAAGAATAGATCCTTAAGCATTTGGTAATTAACGAAGGTCACGCTCGGCTTAGCGAGGAAATGTCTAGAAATACTGTTCGTATCAAAGTTACCGCTAGTTACTTAGATCTCATCACGCATTCCTCGTTTGAGTGCCAAGCCAGAGTAAAACTCTTTTTTGCAAGAAGGAAGTTATGCGTTATTGATAGATTTACCATAATATCAAATATGCGAATGTCCTGTGTTTCTGGAGAATAACAAAATGTTAATTCAGTTTCCGTGAGACGCACAGCGACAATGGTCTGTCGGCAAGATTAAGTCTGTCAACTCGAGACAGCTCTTGACATATCATCTCTGCTCTTTTTGATTAGAAAAAAAAACAGCAGTGTGAAATTACGAAACACAACTGAAAGGAAGACGGCAAGGAGCGAATTATATTTAACAATTGGTTCATATGTCAGAGAGCGTTCATCGAGATATGAAGCACGCGGGAAGTTTGGAGAGCACGAAAGATGCGTAAGAGTTGCTCGAAGCGTAGCCGAGAGCGACTCTAGCTTCTTGAGTGCTCTCCAAACTTCCCAAGTGCTTCATATCTCGATGAAACCACAGCTGACGTATGAACCAATTGTTTTATAACATTTCAACCCGAAGGAAAATTTTTCTCGAGGGATTTGTTTGCTGACGCCATGAGTGTGCAAAATAGGAATATGAAGCACGCTCGCGCAATTGAATTTGATCAGACAAATATACTAGCTATGTTATAACGCAAATTGTTTTCCACAATAACTCATACCCTAATACAACAGCCTAACATTTGCACTTTACGCACTATGTCACAAGAAAAAAGGAAGATGTTCTCAAAAAATTTCAAACCCTCAAAAAATATTCTTTTGTCACGTAGATCTTTCTCGTAAGTTTCACCTCACTCGTTGCCTGAGTGAGGTTAGGTTCCCAAACGCGAGAACGGCAACTATGAGGTATTTTAAGCCCTCATGCCTCTGTCTTTCTTTTTTTTTTTTTTTTTTTTTTTATTAACTTGGAGAACCTCTGGTTACACGAGTGACGTCTTCATGATGGAAATGTTTACCTTCTGATCTAAATTTGCCCTAGTCCTTAACCTGACCCCTGTGTTTCATTTTCAAGTCAAACACACAACAAGTCGTTTCAACGAACTTCTTTTTCCCGAACAGTTCTAAGGTAGAGCTTTTCGCTTCCACTGTTTCGCTATAGATATTACATCAATTGGCCGCCGAATGGAGGAAGGTAAATATAAAGAATCGTTTTCAAGTAACCTGACAGAGAGACGTAGACGGTGAGTATCAAATCACGCGAGTTTGGCGGCTGCAACAGCGTCTTAAAGTTCTTATGCAACAGATCGCTGTGTTACTGGAATATTTATAATGGCAATATGGTGAAAGGCGGTTCTTTCAAAGATTGGTCGCAATAGGGTTCCGATACAAAAGTTGAAAAGTTCCTCCTAACGTAACTGAGCTTTCAAAATCACGCCAGGTGGAAGAAATGAGAACTATCATCGCTCAACATGAGAACCAGATTTTTAGAGTCGTTATTTTGAAAGCTGTCAGAGTAGATAGGAAAGGACGATGGAATCTGTTACTACAGCTTAGCGAAAATAACAGATGGGTGAGAAGACAAACCGTTTGTATTGCACGGTAGTCCCGCCCGCTATTTCCAAACAAGATCGTCGGCTTTGGTTTGAGCCGAAGTACAGTCAGGTTTAATAATTTCACTATTCAGTCCATTTAGTCGCAAAAAGACGCCGATTGAGACAAAAGTTGATAAGTTCCTCCTTAAGAAACTGAGCATTCAAAACCACACCACGCGGAAGAAATGAGAACTATCATCGCCCAACGCGTGAACCAGAGTTTTAGAGTCGCTATCTTGAAATGTGTGCGATTAGATACGAAAGGAGGATGGAAAAATGAACCCGCTGACTATGTATAACACGTATCTATTGGTAAAGCCTAGCGAAAATGACATCTGGGTGAGAAGGAAATCCTTTTGTATTGCACGGTGGTCCCTTCCGCTATTTCAAAACAAGATCGTCGGCTTCGGTTAAAGCCGAAGTACAGTCAGATTTAATAATTTGACTGAGTCACAGAGTCAATAGTTTGTTCGAGAAAGATGTCCATAAAGCTTGCTGTTGATAGCTAATTCGAGAGATTTCTAGATGTCTTGATAAAAGGGCAGAGGTCGACGTGCTCGATGCATTGCAATGTGTTAGTCGCTTTATTTGTTACAAGTGATTTTGCAACATCAAAGCATAGAGTTTAACCAGGGTACGATGAAAATGATTCATCGAAACTTTCTGTCATTTTTAAGCTTACTAGTTAGGTCACTTGAGCTGGTTCGTAACATTCGCTGCTTCTTAACAACGTATTAAGACAAACAATGGGTGCAAGTCAGCATGCTTTTTTTTAGTCGGTATGTAAACAACTATTTAACAATATTTACTTTTTACTTAAAATCTTACTGCTCACTGGGTTAAGCATTTGGAACGCACTTTTAACTAATCCATGTAGTGATCAAGGTATTCGCTTGTTCGTGATTTTATCGATAGGTGTTCTACTTGAATGCAACTGGGCAAGATTTTCATATAATCCAACATTATGCATAGAGTTCTTTAAAAGGAGAAAACAATGGCCTAAACAATAGATTACCTTTGGGACCGGACTGAGGCTTTAATTCAGAACCCTGAGAGGCATTATGGATAGTTTTTAGTTCAGGGAAATGTTGGAAGACATCACTCTAAAGAACATAGCGGGTTTGATGACATAATTTTGTTCGCAAGACTGAATTTTAATTCTAACCTTGATGAAAAACTAAAGAGCGAGGAAAAACGACTCCTTGACTTCAGGGAAATGATAAAAGATGTCACTGTAGAGGACATAGCGGGTTTGATGAAATCATTTTGTTCGCAAGACTGAATTTTAATTCTAACCTTACTGAAAAACTAAAGATGAGCGGCCAAAATTATGTAATTTCAAAAAGAGCTCATTCGAAGTGACCCAAGGAAAAAAATTTCACAACGTAATGTTCCATTATTTTTCCTTCTTGTATTCACGTACATGCCGGTATTCATTCCCCGTTCACTAATCCTTTTGTCCATATTTATATGTTCCACCTAGTCAAGAACATTGATTACCCAATACCCAGCTAACCTTTCGAGATTATTACGTGCACTTTGTCCTTTTTCCGACAACCTTATGCAAATAGCTGTACACAGAAATACTTCCTGAAACAATTCAAGCTTAATAAACATTACGGCATTATCTACTATCGAGTTAGTTTCGAGGGTTGAAAATACACTGATTCAAGCCAGAGGTTCAAAGGCCTCGTAATATCCGTACAAGAGCCTCACAAATGTTAAAATCCTCTTACAGACACCCCTCGCTGACCGAAATAATTCCAAGTGTTGCTGCAGTGCCGCCAAGAATTTTTTAAATTTTCGCCGGCAGCTCGTTGAGCCTTGAATGCATTGGTGGGAGCTTATAAACCTAGACTCGATCAGCTTAGTCTTTTGCCAAGATAAGCTAAAATCTTCAATATTTACGAAAATTGGTTAGTCTGACATAATTGCATTACATTTGAAGACAATCAAATATTTGCAGCACCGCCACATGAATCGCGAAACAAATTTGCAGATGGAGAATTAGGGCGATAAAATCGCATGGAAACTGAAAAAGCAGTGTCCAATTGTAGCTAATTCCTAAGATTTGTTAATTGGAGGCTATATTCATACAAACTTCAAGCAGCAAAAACACGACCTGTAAATCCTGTTTCAAGGAAGGATGATCCCAAAACATTACAAATTAATAATTTTTTCGACCAAGCCACATAGACACAGGGCTGGGTTTGTAGCTAAAATTTTTTACGAAACGCGTAATTTTTCGGTTATCACTTGGATAAGTTGTTCGGAGATTTATGCGGTAAAGAACACGATAGCCCATCCTACAATAGTCTGAACCTGTCTCCAGGGCATGTGCCGATAGCATGTACCTATTAAGGACGTTGTTACACTTCCGGTACAGACCACTGCAGAGTCAAACAAAGCTGACATAGCCTCTTAGATCGATCATAAAACAACAAATGTGTAAATCATGCTAAAAATAATTATTTCATTATTTTTTTTTCCGCAGACTCAACGGCATCATTTGCATTACGATAACCGTTGCAGTCTTGCTGCTATTTATAATTATATTCCCGATTGTCTGGACGACTTACAAAGAGGAACCAATCCCCACCAGGAGCGTGGGGATTCCTCCTCCACCAACTGGTCCACCAGGAGCGGATGGCCCCTATAAACACGCGGTTGTTGCGTCAGACGCTGGCCTATGCTCAGAGATAGGCCGTGACGTTCTGAAGAAAAATGGATCAGCCATGGATGCTTCCATCGCCGCCTTGTTCTGTATTGGGGTTTACAACATGCATTCGGCCGGTATCGGGGGAGGCGGCTTCCTGGTTGTGTACAACAAGAGCAATAAATTTGTAGAGGTCATAGACTTTCGCGAAGAAGCCCCAGGGAAGGCCAACAGAAACATGTATGTTAATGAGACGATGGGCTCCAAATTAGGTGCGTTTTAGTTTAAAATAATCAGTCCCGTGTCGAAATATACTTGACAAATAATGGATCCTCCAAGACATTAAAACTCTCTATCCAATTATTATTACAACAAAAGGTACTAACGAAACGTATCTTAATTCATTTTGGAGAGTAATTTTCCTCTCTTCGAGCTAAGAAATCAAATTTCACTGGAAACAGAGTTCTATCATGGAAACAGTGTGTAATTGGAAATGAAATTCCAGAAGTCAGTCCCTGGGAGTTCTAATTTCACCATAATCAATACAGTATTCATGTGCTTGTCGGTCTATATTCAGGTAGATGGGTTCGATCAATTCATATCACATGTATAACCTTAACTTCCTATCACTGACTCTGCCTACTACGTTCCGATCTCGAAGGTCAAGTAGTTGCGAGAGTGTAAAATAACCAGATAAAATCGAATCAGTTCAAAGTAATTGATTACATGTAATTATTTCCCGACGATAATTCATCTTATTTGACGTCTGACTTTTATCTTGTTATTTTCATTATAAATATACTTTTTTTAAATCACCATACAAACTGGTTAGGCCCCAAAGCATCTGGGGTGCCCGGCGAGGTGAAAGGTTTTTACGAAGGCTGGAAAAAGTATGGCAAACTTGCCTGGAGGGAACTGGTGCAGCCTTCCATTGACATGGCCAAAAAAGGATTTCCATTTGGTTATGCTGCTTACAAGGCGGCCGCAAGGTCAACTGTCAAGCCTCTTCTTAAAAAAGATCCCGGCTTGAGGTTTGTAAAAATGTGTAGATAATCGGACTTAGGATTGAATTAATGAGTTCCATTTTACACTACAAAGTATTCTTCACAACGCGCGCTTGTGCATGTACTATTCACACAAACAAGTTCCCCGAAAAAGGTCTTCGCCTGACAATTTTTCTTGGCAGTGTGAATGAGTGTCAACTCTTTCTAAGTCAGATTTCGTAAGCTATGACTGTTTTAAATAATTATAAGAAAAAAAGAAGGGATGTGATATTTCCTGCAGGTAACACAAAGTAATAAGTCTGCTCTCTACGGTAGATTTATTTATCGTACTCGCTTTGCTTCAAAGATAACTATGTCTGCACGGAGGGTGACAATGAAACTTCAATTGAATGACAAGTAATATATTTTTCTCCTTTTTTCTTAATCCCCATATCATTAAAATTTGCTACTTTTAACTTAAAGGGAACTTCTCTTCAACAAGAAAGGCGAATTAAAGCAGCTAGGCGAGACCCTGTACATGCCCAAGTATGCGAAAACACTGGAGAAAATTCGTGACAAACCTGATGATTTTTACAACGGAAAACTGGCCGAGGACATTGTAAAGGACGTCAAGGAAGGCGGCGGTATTTTTACCTTGGAAGATTTAAAGAAATACAAGGCAAAATTCAAGACACCCATACAAGGAACTCTGGGGAAGTACAACTGGTACTCGACCCCTCCCCCCGGAAGTGGTGCGGTGCTGAGTCTCATCCTGAATATTTTAAAAGGTAGGAAAACACAACGAGGGCCTTGCCGATGGGGAGGTGGGCTCTAAAGGGACAATTGACCCCCCTTCTCCTTTGTGGTATGAGGAAAGACACAGTTAAAATTAATTTCTTCCCATAAATTTTTCAACTCAAAGACAGATCCCTCGACAATAAAGTTAAATTTGAGATTGCATGTTGGAATGTAATATGTATAAACGGGGAAGGAGAGTCGTTAATAACTTGTGCTTCTTCATTCGTTTGTTTGGTGGTGTCTTGCTTGTTTGTTAAAACACATGTTTGCTAGATTCTTTCCGAGGCAGGGGTAGTTAAAAAATATAGGAATTTAATCCATTTAGGATCAATATCAGTATCCGGGCAACAGCCCACCTACCCCTCCCCTAACCCAACATTCACCCTAACTTGTTATTAATTGACTGTTATTGGGTTAGGGGAGGGGTAGGTGGGCAGTTGCCCAGATAATGATATTGATCCGGAATTTATGTGTGCAAGACACTCTTGTTTTACATGATTTGCAACATAACTCTGGTCTCTCTGGACCACACCTACAACCGTTCATGAGGTAGACTTTCTTACAACAGAAACTACTGATACCTCTGTATAAATCAAGCCACCCACTTAGTTTTGCCACCTTATATCCTTAAGGATACAACATGAAGCCATCTGATCGGAATGGGACAAAGAATTCGGTCTTGACGTACCACAGGATTGTAGAGGCTTTTAAGTTTGCGTATGCGTACAGAGCTTTGTTGGGAGACCAGGACTTTGCAAATGTAACACAGGTAATCCCATAACTTCGATCAAAATCGTGTCTCTTAACTTGCTATTGGTCCGTAACACGAAGTCGTCATGGATTAAAATATCTTATGAACGGATAGGTTGAGCCTAAAAATTTCAGCCTAGATGCCTGCGGAGGTTATGCTCTTCTTATCGCAGTGAGTGATCCCTTGTGTTATCTTCTTCCTAGCAATCTCCCTTAGATAACAAAACAGCTATACTAAAGGAATAATTAGACTTAAGTCACCCAAAGAATGCCTTGTCATGTTTTGGCCTCTGTTAATATACGTCTCTGAGCTTCGAGTCGTGTGGCCGGAAATACTGTACGCTCAGCGCCTTTCTAAATACAGGAGTACAACTTCTCAGTAAGAGGAAACCGTGTAAAAAAGCTGCTCATCCCCTTGCGCAAAAGAAGTGAAAATTCAAACTGTGTTATCTGCTATGGTGTTAGTTAACCTATGAGCTCTAACAGGTAATTATAACGTAACCTCTCCTTAGAATGTTAAAATATAACCCCGTGAACAGGTGATGAAACTGAGTTGCTAACGCGTTATCTTGATGCAGGATTAATTTCCTCTGAAACATGGGCAAGTAAAGCGCTATGAAGGAAAACAGTACATGTAATCAGATCTTAGGAGATAAAAGTCTAAGAATAAGAGAAAAAGATGGAAAACATTTTTTCAATATCTTGCATTGTAGGTTCTCAAGGAAATGACAAACGAGACGTTTGCAGAATCTCTACGTCAGAGGATCCGGGACGACCGCACATTCACAAATTACACACACTACGGTGACTTCTATCAAAAATCCAACGATCAGGGGACTTCACACTTGTCTGTTATTGCAGAAAATGGCGACGCTGTTTCAGCAACTACAACAATCAATCTGTAGTAGGTCATTTGGTGTAAATAAGGGTTATTTCACTTGGCAACTTTCGTTTACTACCGAGCTGTCCACATATCACGCATAAAACAGAAACGTGAATACTCAAGGAACATTTGAAGTGTAAAATTTGAAGTGCGAAATGTGACGTGTGAAATGTGAAGGTTGACAGAAAATATAAAATACCATGCGTCGAACTTTGTGCATCTCGCTATACTCTGTCTTTTTTTTTTTTGCTGTTTTGTTTGATTGTTTGTTTTGTTTTTGTCTTTTTCTGTTTCTGTTTCGCGCCTTTGAATCTCTAAGCATAGTAAATTGAATTTCATCATTGTTCTTTTAGCTATGGATCGAAATATCGATCGACTCGTACTGGAATCATTTACAACAACGAAATGGACGACTTTTCGACTCCAGGGAGAGAAAATGCGTTCGGTGTTTTACCATCAGAATCAAATATGATCGTACCAGGGAAAAGACCTCAATCCTCCACCACACCCTCTATATTTGTGGATAAAAGCGGAGTGGCACGTTTGGTTCTTGGTGCGTCTGGTGGAACGAAAATAACAACTGCAGTTTCCCTGGTAAGACAGCGGAAAATCTCGAAATTATTTTGCGGCTCAGTTAATCAGGCAAACACAGAAAAATATCGAAACTAAAAGTTTTTACGGCAGATGGCAATCATAATTCACGAAAGTGGTAAAAGAGTAAAAAAATAAAGTTGTTCGCGAGTTGCCTCAGTTTCGACTCCTCAGTTGATCGAGCCACGAAGAGCCTGTTGGCGAGATTCACAAGGTTCTTGTGTGACGAGCATTTTGCATTCTGCTAGAATACGCATTGTCGAGAGCGTCTTGTCATGCACCAGAAATATATATATGTATATATATATATTGAGAGTCTAGGTTCGAAAAATTGCAGAGTTGAGTTGCGAAGGAATCAAAAACGGACACCAGCAACTTGGTTCTTCATAATAATAAGAGGTTTACAGGTACATTCCTTGATCTTGCTTTCCGATAATTCATTGTTTGTTATTTTTGTTTACTCCATAGGTTACAATGAATTATCTCTGGTTTGGCCGAACCCTCCCTCAAGCCGTTGTCGATCCCAGGCTCCACCATCAGTTACAACCGATGTATATTCGTATCGACGAAGATTACCCCATGCCTCTGCCGATCCAAGAAGGATTAAAGAAGCTTGGGCATAAAGTAGAGGCCAAGAGCCTTTACGCAGTGGTCCAGGCTGTGGCAAGGAACAAAGATGGGACATTGACTGGCAAATCGGACCCAAGGAAGAGTAGCTGGGCGGCTGGATACTGATTAGTGTAACGCAATGCAACGAAACTTTCTATCACGCAACATACAGTAAAAATATCTATGTATTAGAGAGCGAGTTTCTTGTTAGAGGAGATCTGCGTCATTGAAAAGAGAAGGTCTTTGTAACCTTAATTTGTATAACTGCTGCCATAACTTGAAGGTTACAGTTATAACTAACTTTAGAGCGTGATCCTAAGAATAGTATCCCATAATGCACTTCAAATGTCGTAACGTGTAACACAACGAGTTTACTTGAGGAATTTAGATTTCAAAGCAAAATTTCATAAAATAAACTGGCAATGTGGGGTCAGTGAGGTATTTTCATGATATCGTCCTTAATTTAGAAAAACAGGGGAGTAAGTTGTACGCAATAAGTCCTATGTCACATAGGACTTATTGCGTACAAATACCACATGGCACAAAATCCGACTGCTGGATCGATAGTAAATTGCGCACTAGCACATCCGAAGTAGAGGAAATATCAGCCCGATTGACTAGGTTAAGATCTTGCTGCCAATGCGATATCGTACTGGTCAAGTAAATTTTTAGACGTCAGATACATGTTGCGACCCAGCTTCAATAAAAAGCTGTCAAATCGATCATACACAAAAGTAAACATGACAAAACAAATATACTACCAAAACAAAAGACCAAAAAAAAAAAAAACCTTGAAGTGAACTGTTAATCAAAAGAAACATTCATACCGGTCTTTTTTCAGCAGTTCTGCCTCGCTTTCAAGCTAATTCAGTTTCACAAGATGATCTACATAGTTTTTAAAAATAGATATAACTTTAATGATGAGTGGCTGACGCCGAGTTCACTTCCTCACCTGTATATCAAAAGATCATCCCGTTGACCACTTGCAGTATCATCAGTATAGAGCCTATGACAGATACAACACCTTGACGACTTGGGTGTCATTCCATGGTTACTCTGATTTTTAAGATGGCTGAGAGAGGAGTGAAGATCCCCAGAGAGTAATTTGTTGGTTGTTTTTAAAAGAGTCTGAAGATGAAAAAAAGAAAATGGTTAAAGGTCAAAGCTCACGAGGTGATATGACACAACGACTATTCACCTCGTGTGACATGAGAAAATTTCGAAATCTATATCTCTATGACATAAAATTTTGTCGCTAGGAGCAGTCACACGAACTCGATGGTTTTCTTCCGGCTTTGAAGCACGTAAATTTCTGATTTTTTGCATATATATATATATATATGACAGTGTAAGTGCAACCAGTCAGATGGTGTCTTTCGGCTTTGAAGCACGCAACTTTCTGATATTTTTTTCAATCTGACAATGTGGTTGCAGCAGAATTATACATAACAATGAGTTGACCCAGAGAAAAAAATACTCACCGATTCATATGTGTAAGTGTCTAACATTCCTAAAATAAGTTCCTTAATTTCACCAAATTTACCAGTATTGTAAGTCGGATCCTATAGAAAAGAAAAGATAAGTTCAGATGAACTGGGTGGAAAGTAAATGAATAGAGCGCAGAAGGTAAATAAATAGAGTGCAGAAAGCGAATGAATAAGAGTGCAAAAAGCAAGAGTTATTTTTAAAACAATAAAAATAATAGAAAGAAAAGTAATCATTAATTTTGATCAGTAGTAATGCAAATTTCACAAGAAATCAAAGGAAACACAAGTTAGCAGCTTGATGTGCGAAAAAAAGAGAAGTCGCAGCTGACTGGTTGAGAGGATAGCGGGAGTTTCCTGAACCGATCACAAGGCGAAATGAACCAACACCAATCCAATCCTAGATTCAATTCGCCACTCAACCGGAAATTTGTTTTTTAAATCAATGGAAATTTACCTGCATAATCTTCTGTAAAATGGCCGGTAACGATATATAGCCCATCATGCTGTTTAAAACGTGTCTTGTCTGATCTTTAAAAGCTGCAATAAATGTATAAATCATGATTAAGTTTTATCTTCGATTCAACTTTAATGTTCCTCCTCGCTTTCTCTCTCTCTCTCTCTCTCTCTCTCTCTTTTTTAAACTTCCTTTTAGTAACTTAAAGTGATAATTCCAAACTAGTTTCTCACAATTGTTAAAAATCATTCGTATCTACATATCAGCTTAGGAAACTGCATAAAAGTTATTCAGAAAGGAGACTACAATGTGAGAACAATGACGTAAGGTTCTTACCTAAAAAATATGCACTAGTTGTATCTTTACATTTCCGTTGAGGGGCCATGACGGTTTCGAGAAGAGGAAACCATAAAGCCTGGTAAGACACAAACGTTAAAGTTGGTCATTTTCTACAACGATGAAATTTGCTCTTAGTAGTAAAGACTTTCAACTTCGTGTTTCTTCCAGTGGATGAAAAGGAAAAAGAGAACAACATATAAAAGAGGAACGAAGATTGCTAAAAAATGGAGAGTATCAAAGCGGACTACAAATGACGAACTTAAAAAAAATATTGGCTCCTTAAGCCCTGGGCTCAGAGCTTCATCACTGAGGATTATTTTAGTTTATAAATGTGGATGTTGTTGTACGAGAACAAAGTAGCAACAAAGTAGCAACGTTGATCACGATTAGGTACAAGTTAATGACAGAAGCAGACAGAAATGAAAGGTCTACGCAAAGTATGAGGGAACGGGAGGGCGACTAATTTTGCTACGGTCCTGGTAACGCTGCTTCAGCTTTACAAATTTCTTCCTCGTGGCTCGAGAAAGTGTCAGATTGTCTTCTTTGCTCAGTATTCTTTAATACTCCTGGTTGGAAAGATGTATCTTAGGAGCAACGAATCTTGTCACCAAAATTGTGCTTTACCTCTCTGTCCGTTTCTTCAAGTCTCCCAGAATTTCTTTGGCACAGAGGAATTAAAACTCCTAGTAAAACAGCCTCAATGTTTGTAGTAAGCTTCCTGATTTCTGGAAGAGAACCCTTCAAATCAGTGTTAAAATAAACTTACATATTCTGTTATGTGCGTGGCGTATGTTAATTTCGTGGATCAAATAGTTGAAATCGGCTAAACAGATGGAGCGAAAACGTCTGAAATAATGTTAACCTTTTCAGCTCACTAATCAAAAATTAGATTATGGGCTACAGATTTTTATCGCGTGATGGCATAACATCTTACAAAAAAAATCACTGTACCGTTCAAAGATGGTGATTCGTTTTCCTCAAAAACATCACAAAGAACTTTTACTTTCACCTTTAAAGTCTGCAAAAAGAGTAGAAAATGATCATGAACTGCTTCTGACAACGAAGGAGAATACAGGCATACGTACCTCTAAAAGAAGCTGGAAAGCTCCATGAATATCGCCAGCCTTCTCCAGTAGATAGGATGTAGCATATGTGTTGTTAAATTGGCGAACAATCTACAATAAAAAAGCAAAACGCACGAGGGACAATCAGAAAATGTGTTCATCATATTAACCATCATTAAAACCCATTCTATGCTGTTCAGTTGGAACATGAGAAAATAAATGTTATGCAATGCTTTGTGTAAGAGTTTTGATTGCTTTTTCGGTACTTTGCGTTTCCTTAGTAAAGCGGTTTGAAGACAGCACGTGAGTTGATTACAAAATGACGGCATAACGTGGAAATTTCAAGTCCACAAATCACAACATATTATCCAAAACTACACGTCAAAAGGCCAGGTCAAGTGGCATTAAATAACACGATTACAATCCCACTCTTGAAAGCAAAATGTTATAACTTTAAGGCTGTATTTTGATTCAATTTCTTTTCGTGATAAAGTGGAAAAACTATAGGCCTGGAATTGTGATCTCTCATTATGCAAAATTTTTAGTGCAAACGAAACTTAAAAGTCTTATATCTAGTCATTTCTAAACATTCCATTGCCATATTTTAAGATTACTCCATACATACCGCCAAAGTTTCTTCAAGTCTGTAGTTTTCAGTATTTCTTAAATAACTGTGCACCAGATCTGGCTGGTATCTACACATCAGCTCGATGTATTTTTCGTGGACTTCAGCGTCAGGTGTGTCCTCTGGGCGGCTAGGGGTCTGGGATCTGAAATGAAGATGAGACGAGACAAAAAGGACTAATTGGAAAAACAGCAATGTCTCTCGGCCATTCTAGAATAACATATCAATCACGCCACTCGTGCCATGAAAGTTCTTTCGAATATAGAAGAAACGCATTCCATTGCTCAAACTAATAAAATCACCGAGCTTTCCATATAATTGACCACTTAGAACATGATTGCCGAACGTCTGCTCTATTTTCAGAATATTGGATCGTTGTATAAAAAAAATTAAAGAGGTACCTGCTTCTTTATCATCGCGGTGGGAAAATTCCCACCGTGACGATAAGCTAAAAAAAAACTATCTCTTAGCAAGCAACGGACACCGTTTGGCTTCAAGGACTCGTTTAAAGCATTTCCTTTTGAGAACTTTAAAAGGGTGTTCCTTTTTGTATACCATGTCACAAAATAACAAAAACAGAAAAAGAAACAGAACAAAAGAAAACATGAAATAAACAAGCAAATAACGACAAAAGAAAGAAAGCAGAACAAAACAAAAATCAACATAGAAAAAAAAAATCACTCAAGGAGATTCTGTCACCTGATGCATACGGTAACTTTAAGCGCTAAGCCAGTTGAATAAACTAAGAACAATTTCATACTCTGCCCAGTCCATTCTCGTAACGTTTCATCACAGTTAAGAGAGAAACTCAGGAATTTCTTTGAATTCACTAACATATAATTTATCCTAAAGAATATTTTTTGCTCACTTATTCTCAAACACGCCTTTTAGAAATTCATACTGCACAGTCGATTGTCCCTGAGGAAAGAAAGAAATAAAGGAGAAAAGAACATTTAACGAAAAAAAGGGAAGGAAAAGGAAGGGAAGTATAATATGGAGAGCACTTGCACATTTTTACCCAGAAATACACGCAGTGACGAAAATGGCGGATTTGACGAAATTTTGTCTCACCGAGTGAATGTTCATGGATTTTACGATTCGGGCGGATTTTAGTCAAATTCGTCGATGCGAAACTAGCTTAGCGGAGAAGACGATTTTGAAAAATTTTAGTCAAATCCGGCAAAGCGAAATCAGCTCGGCGGATCATTGAAGATTTTGACGAATTTTCGCCATTTTCATTAAAGCATGCATTTCTGAACATATGGCAAGACCATGCACATTCTTAAGCAAATCGCCAACCAAAGACGTTCCTGCTTTTCGTCTCCTTTTGCAAACTACTTTACTTCAAGGAAAATAGGCATGAAAATACATGTAGATAAAAAAATGGCTTCATAAATAGATAAACAATCTCTACCAGGTAATTATACATGCACAGTTCAAATCAAACCGATAATGCAACCGTTATATTTTTTTGTATTCTCTTCCTTATCCTATCATAGGCACAGTACGTACCACATATATGAAGATTGGCCTTTAATTATCTAAAAGCGTCAAATTCGTCTGTCATCACACAGGCAGCCCAAGCTCCTGCTGTGAGATGATTATCTCACAGCTGGAGCTTAGGCCGCTTGTGGTCATAACTGCAAATTCAACAACACACTCACCTCTAACTGACGGATAACGGAAGTCAAGATATCCGGAAATTCAGTGAGAATCATTTGAGCACTTTTTCCGCAGTCGATTGAAAGAAAGCTCTGAAAGTTTAAATACAAAACGTTCCTAACCTTTAGAAACAAATCTAAGTTACCGGTTTTCAAGGGGCTGCATATCATCTAATACGTGTTCGGTTGCTCGTAAGAGGTCAGCTTCAATCAAAGGGCTGTAATGCTTGTTACGCTGTACATAGCAGGTCCCACAACCTGGGCCTTCGCAAACCAATGGAGTGTAACTACAAAGCAGTATTTTCAGGTGGTACTATTTATCATGGTGTACCAAGTAACTACAACTTTTTAGCCTCTGAAAGGGATCCTAGTGTGTGACCATTCAAGAAATTGTTACCTCGAAATATTGCGTTCACGTGTTAAACTGTTATCAGTGTAGGGTTGTGGATAAAACTATCCTGTGTAACAACACAGGATAGGGGCTTCTACGCATTTTGTGATGGTTCTGTTTTCTTAACAGTAAAACTTGTTTGCACATAAATATAAATCAAGATATAGAATTAAGTATGTGATAAAGTAGAAGTACCAATATTATGACAAACGTAAAACATTTTTTAGGAAATCATAGTTTAACTGATAAATAATATTCATTTGCCTACTCCTTGAGAGAGATGGTAAGTTTTTTTGATCCTAGCAGTATGCAGGCCGCGTGTCATATGAACTTCGTATTAGACCTCGCTCACCGTGGAGTCTCTGTGGCTCAGTGGTTAGAGCATCGGAGCGCGGAATCCGAAGGTCTGAGGTTCCATTCCTCATAGGGACTCAGAATTTTTTCCTTGTCCCACGCTCGTGACAAGACGAAAAAAACATCTTTCTCTATGTTGGTTAACTTTGGGAAAATATATAATCCAAACATACGACATTTTGTCTAGGAACTTTGGACCTTGAGAAAACTAACCTGCAAACTATTGAGTGTGGCTTCCTTCAGCTCCTCTCTCTCCAGATCAGTATACACGTCTTCTGACATCACATAATGGACGTAAGTGAAAACCTGGTGCTGTTAAAAAAAAAAAAATCAACAGCTTAAGAGTCTCCCATTCTCTTGGTAAAACTTGTTCGCATACAACAGATCGTGTGCTGTAGATAGGACACGAAGACAATCTTTGTAAAGTACCATGCTGTAAACGAGCATAGGACGTGGATAGAGAATGCAAACTCTAACAAGAGTCATTACATGTTGGAAAATCTCTAAATCAATAAAGCATTTTATGATTGCCGGACAGATGTCACTCAAACCGCTGAAAAACTCTCCTCTTTGAGCAATGTTTCACGCCTACTTTTAAGTTTTCCTTTCTCCGATCACGCGCAGATCTAACAAATCTGAACTTAGGCGTAGATGCTCTTTCGCTTGTGGAAATCTCTTTCAAATCAGTCAAGCACCATCGATTAAGGCATTTTCACCCCGTCCACCGCTCGATTAGGACTTCTATCACATATGAAACGTAGTTGATGGGAAGCATAACTATTACTCGTATCTACCTCTTATCTACTACATAATCATTCCTCTTATCTACCTCTCGATAGGAATCCCTGAAGTAACAGGATAACACTTTGGAGAATTGCCGTTTTCTCTCGTACAACATTTCACAAACGCGATAGCTGGAGGAAAAATAAGCCACAACATCAATGAGGCAATGCACGGTTTATGGCGAAAACTTCACACATAACTTACAACTTAGCATTTTCCGCAAGAACCAGTATGCGGGCGTCATCAAATTGTTTCAGGCCACCAGCATTCCAAAGCTCTAACAAGGCCTAAAAGATATCAAAATTAAAGAAAAAATCAACGACCTCTAAAAAAGAGAAGGAAAAAAGGAAAGAAATTAAGAATTCTTGTTTGTATCACGATACGGTTGTCACATCCGACGTAGCTCGTGTCGTTTGCACTCGAAAAAGAACAATTGGTTCATGATTAATCGCAGTCAAAAGCATAAACAATTGTCCTAGAACATAGCACAGAGAACTTACACAAGGAAAAAATGTTTTATTACAATCGTGTCGTATTTACCAGGTAATCGCGTACTACTATGAATAAAAGGCAAGGCTAAAACAACCACGAAATATTTTGAGACCAAAGCTTTATTCATAGAAAATCTAAGTTTGCTGTTTAGAAGCAAAAAAAGGAAGAACTTCTTGAATGTTTGAGACTCAAGTAGTAGATTCAAAATGGAATGCTTAAATCGTCGCTTCTAAAATTCGCCGTCAGAAAAATTGCGTAACTTTGTGTTGAAAATTCTAAATTTAAAAACAAAATCTTCGATTGAACAATAGTTTTAGGACATATTAACGTAAATCACTATCGTCCAATTAGAAAGTACAGATGGAATCGGTCAGTTGTGCTGTCATATACATAAGTGCTAATATATATATTTAGCCAAGCCTAAAAGCGAAGCTCGTTTTTTTTCCCGCATGTCTCAAGCGCACAACGCCTTGCCCCGGCCAGGACTAGAACCCAGGTCATCCGACTCGGAGCCCAGTGCACTGACCACTGGACTACTGGACAAAGCCGTGGCGTTGGCGTGCCCGCGGTACACTTGACCACGCATGTTAAAAGTAGCACATTGTACGGTCGTACGGTCGTACATCCAAATTTGTTCGGCTTCATGGGTTACTACTTTTTGTTTAATTATGGGGCTGCGCTCTGCGAGCTCCGCTATCACTGTGATATTTTCTGGAATATCGCTTAACATAACAAATAGTTTTCAAAACACTACCTGTTGTCTTTCCTCGTGTCTGGAGTCATCGTCGGGGTTAGCAAGATACTCCAAGACCTTAAAAAAGCAATAAGGGCAATTAAAATGAATTAATAAGGCAAAAGCGGTAACGTTTCGTTGACACGTCAGGCGACACTTGTCTCGGAGCTTATCTCGGCTTTAGTGGCATGAAGCAGCCAGGTGTACTGCTACCACCCCCCTGAACAGGAGGCCAATCTATGCGAAGGTTACCCTTCCGCATTTCTTCAGGTTTTAATTGTGTTGTGTTCTCTGGCAAGACTCTTTCCTCTCGCAGTGCTCTCTGCAGGAAGGAGAATATATGAGTGCCGGCGAATGTCGAGGAACCCTGACGAAATTCCCGGGGCTGGAGATGACCTACGATGGATTAGCATCCCATCCAGGGGGAAGTAAAAGTACTTCTAGACGCTTCATGCTACAGAAACTGAAATAAACTCTAGTCGGAGGCTTCTTTCGTCAGGTTTCTCTGACAGTATGCCTGTAACCATTTATGCTCCAAGGCCGAGAGAGGCATGGCGAGAGTAAGTGCTTTTTCTAAGAGTACAACAGGACGACACGGCCAGGGCCCAACCCGCAGCTGTCGATCAAGAGTCCCTTGCGCTAACCACTATTCTGACACGTCTCGTACAAATGCAATGACAATAAGTGAGTCCTTAGACGATGAAAACACTTTTGTAAACGAAAGACAGTCCCACCTGTTCAAATAGCACCTTGTTGACCTGTATTCTGTTCTCGTGCTTTGCCATTTGCCGCGCTAGAAACGTAAACAGCGATCCAACTTGGCTTGGCTGTGTGTGCAACAAACAATATTGTGAGACAAAGAAGATGGCAAAATTTCTGTGCAAAAAAAGCTTTCTTAGAAAAAAAAATGGCAAATTTGTTTAAACGAAACGTAAGTCAGTCATGAAGTTCTTTGTAAACTTTACCGTAAAGCCAGTGTCTTGCACCATTACGTCAAGAAGGATATTCACAAGGTATTGTCTTCGCGTGACACCAGATGGACCGCTATAAAGAGGAATCAAGAAACCGCCATCAATATTGAATGGTAAAATTCGTATCCACGCGCACTCATGTAATATCCTCATTGTCCCTTCCACAGCGTTGCGTGACATACCAAAAGGAGGCTGTGCGTGACAACTGAAAACATGACTGCGAAGCAGATTGGTTAACGAAGACTGCACCAAACACACTTCTGTTAACTTAATGTACTTATAAATATCAGAAGCAAATTTTTACATCTTTGACTTACTCAAAATTGTCGTCAAAATCTTTCCGTTCAAACGCCTGCAATCGAATTCAGTACATAATAGGTCGAAAAAAAATCATTTACTAGTGTACTGGTACCTATAACCCTTTACACCCTAACATCAGTGTCCATATTCTCCATACTGTTTTCAATACATTTTCTAAGGCGCAGACTAGGAGAATTCGTTTAAAGATCAAGAGCGTCTTTACTCGGTCGCCTTTTTATTCTTGTGACCTTAAAGTATGATTTGGGGGGGGGGGGGTGATATTGTGAGGAGGAATTAGATGCTAGTTACTCTTTGGGTTCGATGGGTTTAAGTTTGTCTTTAGGAAAAATGACTTGTCGTAAAGATTGACTACAAATATTGCAGTATATTGTTTGAATTTTTACTGAGCAATGCAGTAGAATGCTTTGTAAGAGACGAAGCCGCTTATGAACTGACTTACCATGGAAAGAACATTCAAGAACTGAGCAATTCAGTAGAATGCTTTGTAAGAGACGAAGCCGCTAATGAACTGACTTACCATGGATAGAACATTCAAGAACTGAGCAATGCCGTAGAATGCTATGTAAAAGACGAAGCCGCTAATGGACTGACTTACCATGGAAAGAACATTCAAGAACTGAGCAATGCCGTAGAATGCTATGTAAAAGACGAAGCCGCTAATGAACTGACTTACCATGGAAAGAACATTCAAGAACTCTTGGGTATCAAAATGTAACAAAACTCGCAAACGTGGATATGAAGGTTCACCTACGGGCAAAGCAATAATCAATAATTTTAACAAAGTGACGCGATGTGATGAACAGAGCAACACTGGATAGTTTCACTTACTTTCAAAACCGTCTTTAGTATTTTGGGTCGTGATGCAGTTGAACACCTGGAAGGCAAGAACAAAACTAACCCTTTAACTCCCATGAGTGACCAAGACAGAATTTCTCCTAACAATATCAACACGGAATAAAGCAGACTAGTGAAGAGAATAAAGAAGAAAACTTAATTAAGGGCTACAAGTTGATCCAATACCAAATTCTCTGAAATCATTAGCATTTTATGGCAAACAGAAGGAAGAATTACTAATGAGATCTTGGGAGTTAAAGGGCTAAAATACATAATCAGAAACTGACAGACAGACAAGACTACGAGCAGCTCGTCATCATTGGCCTTGCGAAGCGAGCGTTCCTTCGCCCGCGGGAAAGTTTGAGGCCTTGAGCTGGCAAAAGGTCTCCGTATAATCTAGGCTCCTTCCTGGGCTAGCCCAAGAAGGAAGGAACTCTTGAACCATGTACGAACAAGTCGCCATCTAACTTAAACAGAAACGAAAAATTGTAATACATTACTGACCACTTTTCTCTCTTTTATTTTTGGTTTTACGCCTGAAACGTTGAACTCCTAAGGGAGACACTTGTAACTTACTCACTGAGAAATTTTATTTTAAAGCTACTTAACGAGAGTTGTGAAAAAAAACCTAATAAAAAAGAAAAAGAAATAAAATCCAAGACTGCATTCAACAAAAGTACGTTTACCTCTTTTTTCACGTCTAGTGCATAGTCCTCAGGGATGGAACCTACTGGGAATGCCTGTCCAGCCAGACAGCAGCTGATGTATACAAGTAATTTGTTCCCCAAAGAAAGATCAGAATCTTAAAACGGAAAGAACATTAAACCTGTCAGCAGATAAGCTAAAAGCACTAACCACTCAACTATTTCTTGCAAGAAACTTCGGATCAATATCAGTACCTGGGTAACTGCCCATCTACCCCTCCCCTAACTCAACAACAGTCAATTGACAACAAGTTAAGGTTAATGTTGGGTTAGGGGAAGGGTAGGTGGGCAGTTGTCCAGACACTGATATTGATCCGAAACTTCAAAGCAACGATTTTTTTTAAGTTCTTCATACTTTTTACTCCATTATAGTTTCGCTTTATAATCGATAACTAAAGAAATGGCAAACACAAATCAAACACCACCAGCACAGCTCGGTTCAAACGTTATTCATACCATATTTATTTTGGCAAAAAGATCAGTATCAGAAGTAAGGGCTGTTAACATCTTAACCCTCTACAACCTAACATTACAGGGCGTGAAATTAATTTTTTTTTTTGCTGATAGCCGCTTGGCTCCTAAATTTTTCACAGTGGTAGCTAATTCAAAAAAAGTTGGTCGCCATTTTTAAAGACCGAAAAACTTTTTTTACGCTATCAGCGTTCTAGATAGACCCTCTAAAATTAAGTTCTTCAAAGTTCTACAAAGTCGACACTAGGATGGAAGATATACAACGTTCAAGCTCACCTAAATCCAAGATGGCGTCTAGTTATCGATCGAGATGCATGCGCTGAGTTTTGGAAACAAACTTAACGAGGACGTTTGCCGCGGATTTATCTTTGTAAATCTTTTTAATTCACCGTATCTCTAGGTATGGTTATGATGAAGCATTCTAGTCGCCAATTTGACGACTACTTTTCAGGATTTGGTCGCCAAAGTGAAAAATTTAGTCGCATTGGCGCCTGTATTAGTCGCAATTTCACGCCCTACATTAGTATGCATATACTCCGTCCTGTTCTCTATACATTTCCCAAAGTACTGACAAAGAGAATTTCTGTAACAATCGAGAGCTTCTTCAGTTGGTGATCATTTCCTTTAAAAACGTAACCTTCACGCGTGATTCAAGGGCTATATTGTAAGGAAATTAGAAGCTCCTAGGTGTCAAAGGATTAAAAGAATCACTGAACTCAATCACAGAACAGATCCATTAATCCCCTCAGTCACAGCACTTTTTTGTCACTCTTTACATTGACGATAGACACCTTACCTTCAAATGGAGTTCTGGCCTGCACTGTGCCCTTTAAGACATTAATCAGCTCCTGTGGAACATTTAAAACAATGAACAAGAGGACAGAAAAGTGGGGGAGGGCAATATTTTCAACGTTTCACTTCCAGACTATCCATCCTAGCCACCCTACCCACCCTACACACCCTAGTGTCAGTACGAATATCCTGTGTACTGTTATTTATACATTTGCTATTGCAACGACAAAAAGAAGTTGTCTATCAATCAAGAGCTTATTTGGTGAGAGATCATTTGCTTTACTCTCATAATCTTAGTGTTTGATTTAGGACTGATAATGTAGGGATGATAGTCACTCTCAAAGGTTTAGGAGTTGAAGCAGTTTTCTTGTTCTACCGCTCACATCAGAACAGGCTGGACATTTAACAGCGTAAACATGAAAAACAACTACAACAGAAGTAAAAACTATTGAAACTTTACACGGTTTACGGAAGGCCAAATACCCCTAGGGACCAGACATAATTTAATTAATCTGAAGATTTTTAATTTTTTTTTTTCGGGAAGGGGGACGGGGAGAAAGGAGATCACTTGGTTTTTAAAAGGAACGGGGTTGGGGGAAATCAGTCGTTTCAGAGTATAAACAGGGGACTATGGAAAATTGACTGCCACTGAGGAGGATCATTCAAATACCACAGAGCCTTAAGGAGGATCAAGTGACTTTTATTGTGACATAACCAAAATCCTCCGAATCCCACCCCACAGGCGATAAATAATGAACGTCCTACAATTCCAAGAATACCTCCAGTGGAGTAGTGTAGTCTCGCATGCCTCTGTTGTACACATAGAAAATGGCATCGTACAGGCCGTGAGCCCAGCAGAGTTTCACCATCTGAGGAAAGAGGAGAGGTCTTAGCAAAAGTCACTTCGCTTGAAAACAAGGGACTGGATTCGATTTGGATGCGATTCGCTGTAGACATGTCATGTGTACGTACTTGATGTATATCCAGATTTGTCACATCTAGGTGCATGAGACATGATTCTACATCTTTGAGCTTGTTTTGCTGGTTATAGTGCTCTAAAAAATTGAGGAAAAAAGTTATTCATGGGACAGAGGTCTCGGAATTCTCATGAACATGATTTCTTTGCTACTTTTATGCTAAAATAATTGGTCCCGGAGTAAACCAGCAGGTCGAGAAATATATTATATATCCATCGACCCCTTCTTCACTACCTCGAAGGCTGACAGACCAATTCGTGATTTCTAATAGGTCGTTTATAATTTACGAAGTCATGGTATGGAATCTGCCAGAGATGAATTGTAAATAGAAGTTAAGCTTGAAAATTCACCCCAAGCTCTGTTTACTCAAGATTTTACTTCAGCCTAGAAACCTCCTAAAACATACATAGATTCACATTACCTATAAACTCCTTCATCACAATCGGACTCAAAGAAGTTAGTCTGAAAAAGAAGAGGAAAAAAAAACAGGGACATTCCGAGGTTATTTTAGGTTAGTTAATGTAAAATAAAAGCGCTCTCAGATTGAATTGAATTAAAAAATAATAATAATAAGACGCCAGCCATTAACAATGAGTAATGGGAAGAAAGGGACTCATCAAATATTTAAAAAGAGAAAAAATAAGAAAAGAAAAAATAAAAAGAAAATGGACTTGAAGCAAATTGAAGTACGACTTCCAGCGCGGGAAAACGAGTGTGGCCAGATCGTCTGATTGCTTAAATGCTGTTCCAAGTTCTTTCGACCCTCAACTTAAAATTACTGTGTTTGGTGAGGTTTGAGTGAACAACGTTATAAGATTAGCCCTTAAAACAATGCAGTCCCGCAGAGGTTCGTCCAGTTACACCTCTTTCAACTCGTAAAAATTTATTTCTTCTGAGTAAACTTACTTGTCTGCTAAGATATGAGGTTCCAAGCTTTCCAGAAACACGATTTTTCCAACAGGATCTTCACAGAACTTGTCATAAATCTCTCTGAATAAGAGATCCCTTTGAGAATAAAATTGACAAAAATTGGCTCAGTTTCACATTCCATGCTGTTCAGCGATCAATGAATGTGCTCGAGCCCATTCGTCGCAATAACAAATGGAATGAGAATGGTTTATTCACGTTCAGTTCCATTTTAAATAATGAGCTGAAAAACACAAGTCTTTTGATTGGCTCTCTCTAACTGTCTTTTGGAGAACAGATGCATTTATAACGTAATCATCAACAAGTTTTTACTTCTCTATTACTTAACCCCTATTAAACTCTGAGAGTGACCAACATCTAATTTCTCCTTACAGTAATATGGCTGAATCATTCACTAAGATCATGAGAATAAAGGAAATGATCGCCACCCCAAAGAAACTTTGATTGTTCAACAAATTCTCCTTGTCAGTACTAAAGGAAACATGCAGAGAAGAGTATGGAGAAGGTGGATTCTGATGTAAAGGTGTAGAGGGTTAAATCAAGTCGATTCGTGGTTGTCTTGCGTTTGTTCGCCAATGGATTTCAGAAGACTTTGAATGTGGTAAGAGCATCAGTGACACACTCAGCTGCACGTCGTGTACCACTTTCACAGCTTGACGTGATCTGAGATTTTTTACAGACACATGGCCATAAGGCCACATGGAATTCGTTTGTTAAATACTTGATCGGTTTTATTTCTGTTTTGTTTGTTTGTTTGTTTGTTTTTGCCGAGATTGTGTTTCACTTGTGAAAATGAAGTAAGTATAATCGTTCTTATCAGGATTTAAAACTTTTTCCGTAAGTCAAACACATTCAAGGAATAAAAACGATAACGAAGAAGAAGACCATTCCTTAAAATTTTGTATAAAACTCACATGTTATTGATGGCCAGGCTATACTTGATAAAGATTGGTACCATTTCCTACAAAAGCAATAAGGGAGTATTCTAATGATAAAATACAGTACAATAATTAATCAGAAATTATTAACCTTATTAAGAATTTCCGAAAGAAGGAGTTTCGTCCTGATAGACTCGCCCGGCGTTTTAAGGCGTTCTTTCATTAAAAGTTTCTCAAACATGAAACCTTCATTCCCTTTTCGTTCTTTTTCAACTCACTTTTATTTCATATTCTGTAGTTTCATCGAATCAATTTTTTAATCAACGATCACTTTATTTAACATCCATACGTCATTTTAAACGTTATTCCACCTTATTTTTTCGATGATTTACGCAATCTGCTATCACAATATTTTATTGGGGAAGAATAACATTGTAGTTCTTAGCATTTGGACCAAAAACTCACCTTGAAGTAATCTCTCAGCTCCTTGGTGTCTCTAGTCTTTGGGCAATTTACGAATACTGTTATATCAACATAAGCCAGTAATAGTTCCTCTATCTGGGATAAAGAAAAAATAATACAATTCGTCAAATGTTAGCCAAGCCAGGCAGTAAGTTGGGAGGAATTTTCTACCACCACAATGGAGACTCAGTCTGCGACCCCTAATTTTCTATCGAGTAGATGACACTAAATTGTTCGAGTTACAAAATATGAACAACTCAGGTATTCATTAAACACTTTTGGATTATCATTTCTCTTTTTTCTTCTTTCTTTTGTCCGCGAATGTGTGCGGGGGTTCTTCAAAGTTGTTATTTATTCATTTATTGGTTTCTTTTTGAGGATCCGCATCGAGAAGAGATGTCGTCTTTCCGATAAGAAAGTTTGATCCAAATTTGTTTTCCTGTGACATCTGAGTAGTTTTCTATGCTAAGTATTAGTCTTGATTTAAGGAATCAACGCAATTTATAACCGCTAATTAAAAGTTTACCTGTGCAGCAATTTCTGTTGATCTCTGCTCTTTATTTCCAATTAAACCTGGAAAAGAATATCAATAATCAGTTTATATTGAACAAGAAAGAAGGGCGGTTTTGGGAGATCAAAAGTTAGAAATTTGAGTTTGTACCAAACTTTTTCCGCGATTACTTGGATCATGCCGTGATCAACTGTTTCAAATTACGACAAAAGCTGGAGATCAATACCCACATCAAATAATTAACGTGTCTGCCTTTGGGCAGATAGATCTTTTCTTTCAGTGTGATAAATGATAAGAACGAAGGTCCTGAGGAAATACTGTGATCGCCATCAGAGGTGTTTACCTACCGATCACAGCCATGGCAGTGCCATCATAAAAAGACAGTGCCAGTTCTAGAGCGTCCAGGAAGTTATTTTGCTTTACGAAAACTTCAATCCTCTAAAATACAAACAAAATACAAACAGCAATAAATCAAATTAAGTATTCTCCATGCGCCTCACTATTTCGCGACCCTCTAAGGTACGCACCCTTAGTGGACGCCTTGGAAATCAAAGTGCCCCCTCCCCGCCCCCTTCAGCTTTGCAATCAAAAGTTGCTCATCGCGTAAGAATCTTGAGGAATATAACAAAGAAGTCATCACAACCTGACCCTTTGCCTATTTTCAACTGATTCTGTTGATCAAATCTTTATGTAGATATCTTAAAAACTATCATTATGAAGTCTGAACTTACATCGCGCCAGTTCCTTAGTGTCAATACATGGACGGACTAAAGGTAAAAAATAAATAAATGAATATGTGAACCATAAAAGTGTCATCACGGTATCCTGAATATTTATGTGTCGATTAAACTTTATTATTAATCATTCGGAGTGTAAAGTATTGTGAGTCCAAATGTTTCTAACGCTCTCTTGCAATCCTTCATCATTACATACCCTCGTTCTGTCTCCTTATCATTTTGGTGTTTGGTGGTTTCAGGGTAAATTTTTACACAAAAAAAAATCCATTGTATCATAAAACAGTTCCTTAGAAATTTACCAAACGTTCATTTAAGTTCTTTGAATTTGATAGTCACAGCCTGTGCGCAGCTTACTTCTTTCGATGTATTTAGGAGCCAGTAAGTTTTCACCCTACTATGTAACTAGTTGTGCCGCGAAATCTTGAAAATATACCTTGGCATTTCATGATATACCCTTCTTCTTTATATTCTATAGTTCAAAAAATTGATCTACCTTGACACCCAGGAGTAATTGTTGTCCATTAAATACCACTACTGTCTGATAACATGAATGTTCACTGGCGGCTACCTGAGAATGAAAAAAAAACAGTTGATTAAATCAAGAAAAAAATTAAACTATCAGACTACACTCCCAATGTGGCGTTTATTCCAACCTTCTTCCTCACCAACAGAAAAAGCGCGATGCATGATTGGAGCGTAGTGCGTGACGAGAACGTGATGCGTGTGTGGACGTAACGCATGATGAGAACCTGATGCATAACGTGATCAAGTAACGGAGCGAGGTTGATTCGCATGAGAATATCGAAATAACCAGTTGTGTGTGGAATTCCTGGTCTTTCTTGACACAACATTCACGCAGAGAGCTTGGTTCATGTAACAACCTCGCGGATACCAAATTCAATTGAGAGGGACGGCATTTGAAATAAGACCTACACGGGAAATTTGTCTCTTCTAGGTTCTGCAGTAATGCTTTTGGGCCATAAGTAAACCTTTATCCTTCTTTGTTCACACTTTGTTTTCTTTAACCCTTTAACTCTCTGAAGTGATTAACAAGTAACTTCTCCCAATAATTTCCATACGTTATCGAGCAAACAGGTGATGAGAATACTCAAACTTAGAAGGGTACAAGTTGTTATCTTGATCTAACACCAAATTCTCATAACCAATTTACAAGGGAATGAGTAGAAGCTGGAGGGGAGAATAAGGAATCAGATCTTGGGAGATGAAGGGTTAAATAAGCATGGTAGCGAGGGAAGTTCGAGAATTCTCAGTTGGTTGATCTACGGCAGGAAGAAGAGGAGCATTAATCAACAATCCAGTGCTTTGTTTTTGCTTCACTTCATTCTTTGATTGGCGAAACAAAAACCTGCGCCGTCCTCTCAATCAACCCGAGCAGTACGAATACCACCCGTACCTTGGTAACCCACGTCTTCCCGGTTTTGGCACGTCTTCCTCATCGGCTTTTGAAAATTTGTTTTGATTTACCATTGTGTGCCTTTCAGCTCTAATAACGAAAATTATTCTCATCGGTCATTGGTTGAATAATAGAGCATAGAACTGAAAATTTGTTTTCGTATTTTCGACCTTTTCCGGGACTTCTTTTTACCCGATAATTGAAAGTGAAATTTCGGAACTGAAGTTTTCAAACAAAGGTTTGTAAACATACCAGGCGCCGTAATTTACGTTAAAAACAGATTCCTCAAAGGAAAAACAAAATAAACATTCCGAGTTTTAAAGATTTTCATGCTCAGTTAGATTGCCTCCGGTAATAAAAATCAAACACGGCTAACACTCGTATAGTATATAAAGTTCAGTGTTCAAAAACAAAACAGAACAAAACAGAAATGATGAAAAATATAAAAAACTGGCATAATTGTTAAAATTCTGCGGTGTCTGTAATATGATAATGCCGAAGTTCATCGCGGCTCGCTCATCATGGCGATCTCCGGTCATCACAGTAAAGTACATCGGAGCCTAACGTTGAGTGGCAATTCACACCAGTCACTGCAAAAGAAACCGACTGCAAGAAATTGAACCAAATATCAAGGCTTCTCTATTTGTTAAACAGAAAAAGCCTTGCTGACGTTTCCTCCAGGCTAACTGCCGTTTGATTTGGCATTTGGCATGTGCTTTTGGTCTAGAAATGAAAACCACAACCAATCAGATTTTCCTGCGACTGAAATCGTTCATCACACGTTCATCTTCACCTCAAGTTCTTCCATACTTCGCACATCAATGACATGGACTCTCTCCAGCGCGTCTACTGTAGCGATTACTTGTGGGTTCAGCCACTAGGAGTAAACGAACAGCAGAATATTACAATGTATTCATACCTAACGGGCGCCGATAAAAAAAAATAAATAACGAAAATACTGAGGAGTTCCATTTTCTGGTGCCTCCTGAAGGAGGACCTGCTAAAGTTTTGACGGGGCTAACGCTCGAAACTTCAGCTCCGTAACTCTTTACGGTGGCCAATTTACGTTATCAACTCAGCTGATAAAACTAAACTACCCCGTCAAACTACATAGATATTGCTTTGGGAACCGAGGGAAAAGAACATTCGGAAGTTCCATATTCACTTTGGTACGAACCGCGTAGATGGACCGCACTCGAGCAAGATTCGCCGAAATCCAATTAGATTTATAACTGGACAAGTTACTCACAATTGATTTTTTTTTCCTAGGGAATTTAAAGTTTGTCTTACTTTCAGGCATTAAAAAAACGGTGTAGAGTCCTTAAATGATGAATGCATTTGCCCAAACTAAGCCCACACCTCATACTTACATGAAGAGCAGTGAGCTTATACGAACTCTCAAATCTTTGTAGGAACATAAATCTGACTTGCTTTTCCCCTTGAGAATGGGCCTGTGAAGTAAACAGGAAAACTGAAGTTTAAACAGAGAAAGATACGAATTCAGTGATTGTGAGAGCAAGACAAGAGAAGAAAATCTGAGTACAAATAGATAATGATCCTCGCAAATGAGCTGAAGTTCCGAAGAAAGAAGCTTAAAAAAATTCAGGCCTCGACGGGATTTAAACCCGTGTCTTTGCTATTACCAACTGAGCTACGAAACCACAGAATCTCCAACGAGGATTAAAACTCAGATATTCAAATTTTCGCGGCTCGATGCTCTACACCAAACTACAGAAAACTCTTTAGTAAGCGAGGCCATATACTAAGATCAGATGTAACAAGCGTCCTACTTACTGATGAGATCAGCGATGTGCAACTCTGATGACAAATTAAATGCATACTTCGATACCCAACGATCGTACTCAAAATTTCCCATCTTTTCCAATCAAAAGTTAAACAGGTTCCTTAGAGCATAACTAACAATTGCTTTCATCCTGACCAAAATGTTTTCCAAAAATAATTTTGAACAGTAACCACTAGCTTGCCACGATGATGGTTGAAACATGCAAAGAAACGTTTACCTGATAAAAGAAAATTTCAGTTCCCCTCCCAAAGGCAAGAACCTACGGAAAATTGAACGCGTCAATAATGATTACTTTCTAAGAATATAAAACAATAAATACCTCATTGTCATAAAATAACCCTGAAGCTGTCTCATGTAAAATTATTGAACAACATAATTGCAATAGGGAAATGCGCAGTTGTTTGACACATCGTGTTCCGTATTCCAAATCACAGCGGAAACGCCACATTTAAAGGCCCTTCTCCACCTAAGCGACTTTGCGCGTCTGTCCTTGAACTCTTCAGTCAACTTTCAACTAAGAGATATTTCCGTGTGGTATTGAGTGGGCCAATCCATCGAATGCGTCGACCAGATCTTCGGCCCACTATCGATAGACAGTCGTCCAACATAATTAGTTGTAAAAACGGCCCTTTGGCAATTATCAGACAGAATCGGTCAAAAGTACGCCGTCGATCGTAGCTCGTCCACATACTTGGTGAACAATCGGCATTTGGAGGGTTAGAAGACGGAAAGGGTCGAAATTCGACCGACACGCACTCCAACCACAACACAATCGTTGCTGCCCGAGGTGTACCAGCACTTTGGCAACTTCAAGCGTTAATGGGGTCAGTTCTGTTCCAACGATTACTTTGTTGCGAGGAACACAGTCAAATATTGGTTACCTTGAAACACTCAAGCATACTTAAGCAAAGAAATGATCCTCGCAGGTGAACTGCGAAACCCGAATTTTTTCAGCCTTACTTCCTGCATTTGCCCTGCAAAATTGCAGTCCACCTGCCAGGATCATTTCTTTGCCTGATATTCATCCGCAGGTGAAAGGAAATTTAGTGTACAGTTAAATTCTCAAGTTCATCATTGTGGTCTTTAACAAGTTGAAAGGTACTTTTACATGTCGCACTGAACGACACAAAATATTCTGACGAAACTTTAAAAAAATGACTTCCTGAAAAATTGGAATAGATCACGAAACTTTATTTCCTTATTGCTTTATTTCACTTTGTTTGAACTCTTTCCTCAGTCAATATATTGACTTCTTGACAGAAATTTAGCTACCCACCGGATCAATGACTTTTTTGGACTCCACTTGAATTATGGCAAACTGCCAGGCCAACAGCGGCAGAGAATCAGCCGGGCCCTAAGGAAAGACATAATTATAAACAGTTGAAAAAGAAAAGCAAATGTTAAAATTCAGTGGGGCTTTCAGCTTGAGTATAATGTACGCTCATTGAGAGAGATAAGAGGGGGAATTGACACGAACTTGTCAAAATTTACCTTAAAATATTTCTACGAAAAAAAGTCAAATCAAACGGTGGGTTTGGTTGGAGTTTGACAATCAGACTACTGTGGATAAAAGAGCGTACCATTTTCGGTCGTATCTATCTTTCGAAGGGGTAATGCTCTTTGGTTGCAAAAAAAAAAGGCTTGAAACACTAAAATGCTAAGTCGAATATCTCAGCGCGAGATTTGAAATCAGGATAAGAATGACAAGCAAAATCCGCTCGGTGAAGAGATAAGAAAGATAATTATTGCCACTTCGGTCGGCGCAGAGGAGAATGGGGATAGTTTTTACCGCCATTAACATTAAGAACTCAGGAACTTTCACGCTAGTCATGGTTGTACTTCGTTTTATCATGGATGAGGGACGACGAAAAGAAAAAACAAACACCAATCGCACTTGATCAAGTGATGGCCTCGCCCTCCCCCCTCCCTACCTTCCCCACCGTCTCAGACCACGAGATCCAAAGGTCTGAGCTCCGATTACTCGTAGAAAACTTTTCTTTGTCTCAGGTGCTTGATTATGCTGATAAAAGCTTTCTGTATTGCACATGGGAGTTCAAAATTTACCACCTTTTAGATTTCAATTACAGATTTACAACTTTTAAAGTTACTTCCAACATTTGTACCTTTAGAGTGTGAGTAAAGAGGACCTCGAGCTCAGGCTTCAGTGTTAAGACCAGAACCTGTAAACAAACGCAACAAAAGTAGTAGAATATAAGCTCTTTGATACATATGGGACACCGTTAATATATATGCCTTAAGTTCGCGAAGAATGAAGGCATTGTTACATTTTGGCTTATTGACCATCGAATGCACAATCAAACTTGTATCCTTAATGCTATAAATTCCTCGTCAGCGACTGGAGCACAGTCCTAGCACCAAGTGTTAGTAATAGCTTTAAAACTCCTTAGGAAGGCCAATTTACGTTGTCAACTCAGTCGATAATACTAAATGACCCTGTTATACTTTCCCACCAACGCAGCAACACAGTTTCTTTAGAAATTTATCCCCTTCATTCATTAGTGCAAAGTACTTTATATAAGCAGAAGTCAAAATCACGATATGGAACATGGGAAACTGCTACAGTAGAACTTGTCTTACTGTACCTTAGTAAGAGTGGCCAAAGCTAACAACGACTGTTCATAAAGAGGATGCTCTTTCATTCCTTCATGCAAATGAAGAGGTGCCATCATGCACACTTCACCGCGGCTATAACACGAAAAAAAGAAAACAAACATGACAATAATATGCAATTGATAGTCATCAAAAAGATCTTAATTCTGAAGTTAATAAAAATCAATGATAATAAAAAAAAAAGGGAAAGTCTCCATGTGTACCTTTATTCGCAAAGCGGCTGGAGCTTTTCCAGGTTTCCATGCCACGAAGCATATTGCTTCTTTGCAAAATGAGATGGTAGACCACCAGAGCTTAACCCCCTCCCCCAACTCCCCTTCTGGAATTTCGTCCCGGTTACCTCGGAAGTTGGTCAACACCCACTTCGACCCTTGGGTGGCGAAAGGCACTAAGAGGAATTGACTTGATGCTAAGGTTCGAATCCGGCAGGAGCACTTACCAACGCGATTTTCCAAAGTTGCCAACCCTCATAACTAAGTTTTTGGTTTTTTTGTTGTTGATGTTTCGTTTTTGTTGTTGTTGTTTTTTGTTGTTGTGTTTTTTTTTTTATCAAATGAACGAAAACAGACGTAAAATAATTATTTACATGCAGATCACTTTACTTGTGAAGTGCATATACCTAGTGTAGATTGATCTTTTAACTCCCAAGATTTCATTAGTAATTCTCTTTACTGTCTACAGTATAGTTCTTGTGATGTTAGTTTGGAGAATTTGGTATTGGATCAACTGATAATCCTCTAATTAAGATTTTTCTTTATTCTCATCACTCATCTGTTTGATATTGTATTGATATTGTAAGGAGAAATTCTGTCTTGGTCACACATGGGAGTTAAAGTGTTACAATCTATCATACCATGTTATTTTGATTACCTTCCAGAAAACAAACAAGTTGATTCATACGTCCTCATTCCGATGAGTCTCCTGTAAGAATAAACTTCATGAGTTATATCAAAGTAGGTTTAAAATTATTTTGAGTAACGCTATGATTGGTTCAGAAAAGTGGCGCCGCCGATAGTCGCCCAATTTTCCCCCTTTTTCTGGACGTTTTAGGCCGGGTTTCTTTTGAGTTCTCATTGAATCCGTACCATGTTCTCCTGTGCTCATTCTCGTTCATTGGATCTGATTAAATACGACTCATTGAATAAGTAGCTGTCCCACACACATGCATTTTTCCTAAAGGTAATTTAATATTATCAACTGAGTTGATAACGTAAATTGGTCACCATAAATAATTTTAAAGCTGACGTCAGAGCGAATTACGAAGGGCTAACGCTCGAAACGTCAGCTTTGAAACTCTTTACGGTGGCCAGTTTACGTTATTAACTCTGTTAATAATACTAAATTCCCCTAATCAAAAGCCCTTCCTTCACAGCGCAATTAAAGCAAGTGTGGTTGAAAAGATACCTAAATAGTCACAATGATTTACCAGTGCAGCGAGCCAACAAGAACTCAAGGTAAAAACAAGAAAACTTCCAAAAGCGCGGGAAAACACAAGCCACCAACGCGTGACCAATTTTCGGTGCTCCATCTGATTGGTTAAGAGGATGACACGAGTTTTCTAGACCAAACATATTACGTGGTAGAGACCAATACGACGTACGATGAAAAATTTCACCGAAAAATTGGTTTGGTCGACTTCCAAAGCTAAACAGGAAAACAGCGCCAAAGTAATTCCTGTCACATTTCAACTCTTGCAAAGGTAAACTTGCCCTCTCTGATTCAGAAGTTCTTCTTCATGGGAAAATTAGTCTTAGGTGATCGTTGTTTTCTCCAGTAACAAGATGTGATCGCAAAAATTACTTAATAATGCAACTTTTTCACTTGAACAATTAATTGCATGTCGTTTTGAAAAAAAAGATTTCCTATAAATTATTCTTACTTGAAGCTGAGAACAAACACAGAACCGCCACTGTCACTGCAAATTGCAACTGTTGGGTCATCTGTGAACTGCGAATGGGTTACACAATAAATAACAACAGAAAATTGACAGCCACATTTAAAAATAGAATGGTAGGTGCTTTATAGCTGATGTGGCTTTGACAGATGTTCCTGTACGATTGGACGTGACCCAGGAAGACTGAGTCGAGTACGCGAAGACGAGGTTAGATCGTAAACTTCCCGCGGGAAAAAATGAAAAAGCAAGCAAATGTTTCTTTCGTTTTTTTTTTATTTGCTCCTTTTCTTTTCTCACTCTCCTGCATAGCAATTTGTTTATAACTGTACAAAACCCCTTTCTAGAAACAGTTTTTTACAGCCACAAAATTTTAAGAAAACAAAAATGCTTTTCAAATGGCTCAAAAAATATACACTTTCTTACCACAACATGCAGCACTGCACTACCCATGGGATGGGCATCGGCGATTTGTCTCAACAATTTTCCAGACTGCAAATCCCACATAGTTATCTGAAAAAAATAATCATATACGTAGCTATATAAAAATGGTGTATTAGATGTCTTGCTTCATAGTTTTTCAACGGCATTATTTTTGACAATGCAACTTCCCTGTAGATATATACCCTGTGTGATTGGTCAATATATTTTTTTGTGTTCTTCGAACACTCAAAAACTAATTAGATTATCAGTGTATACCACATAGGTGAATAGTGCTTTCCACATGCCCTGATTGGCTGAATTGGAGGTGATTAGCACATCTGAGCAGCCGAAGAGACAAAATACATGTTAACAAGTTAATTTCAAACCAATTTTTTGGTATATTAAAGAAAATAAAGCAATTTTTTGGCTTCAGTGTGGTATATTCTAAATTATACACTTGTATTAACATCAATGTTACTGAAAGGGGAAGTTTGCAACTTCATATTACCTGGCCTCTTGCATGTCCACAAAGAAGTCTTGTACATTCCATATTGATACCGAGTGCAGTAACAGCTCCATACTCTGCGCCTGTAACATTATTAGTTAAAAAAAAATACAAGATATTCAGCATATGTTAATCTTGTCACTTTAATCAGTGTTTCATTAACAGATTGTAACATCTCTGACACATATGAACATGTTACTCAATGGAATAATGTAATGGAATAATGTAATGGAATACTCTTTCGCGTTAATCAACCAAGCCATCTACTATTTTTCCAAATAATTTAACAATTTTTATTGAAATAAATAGAAACATGGAAATTGATAAAAATGCATTCATTTCTTACCAAGTGATGTGTTCCCAAGAACCAGCTTAAGTGTTTGTTGAGGATCTAAGACGAAAAAAATGAACTTAAAGCTCAATCAATAATCACATCCTGTACCTATGTAAAAAAAAACTGGGCTGCCCAAATGAACCCTTGCAGTGATTATTTCCGTACTAGATTTTAAACAACTGTAACAAGCATTCTTTGAATTGTTCCATGAAGACTAAAAGTACAAGAGAGTTCCAATAGTTATTCTCAAACACATTGTGCATATAGCCTCTCAACAGACTTATGATTGCACTGTGTATGTTCATCATCTTCTCTGACTTATACTCATATGTGTTAATCAATACAACTATGATTTTCTTTACCAAAAACCAGCACCACTCCATGAGATGTTCCAATACAAATAAGAGAAGAAACAGCCTATAAGAAATGACAATTATTAATTAAACAGATTAAACATTAATCTTCAAAGCTTCATGGCCAGTCAGTGTTACATGAACTTCTACTGCATTGGATGGTAGTCTGTAACAAGTAACTAGCAAGAATTGTCCAACAAGTTTTAGAGACTTTTTGTTGGTACTCATCATTCTCTTGTGTAAACCAAAGCATTGTGGGACAGAATTACATTACAGCTGAAATATAAGCTTTCAGGTCAATTTTTGAAGGTTTCCTTTCCAGTTTTGGTTTTGTAGAGTTGAGAATCAATATTTAGGATCAATAATCAAGTTTTGAGACACTTGAAACCACTTGGCAGAACAGCAAGTCAACTTCCTCCCCTATTTGTGCACAGTCCATTCCAAGCATATGCCAATAGATGTATTTTCCATATTTCCCATTTTCTATCAGACCCAAGTGGTCTTTTAATCCTTATCATAACAGACTAAACAATTGGACATAGATCATTATAACATTGAAAATACATTTATTTACCATGGCTGTTGGCAAACCAGCATCCACTCTGGCCTATCGAAAAAAGGGAAAAATCACTTCTTCGTCTCTAAATATTGACCTACCAGTAGGTTCAAAAACGGAGATTTCCTTGACATAAAATTTAAAATTTGAACTTGACAAAAATTACAGGTTCCACAGATAAAGTGTGTTGTGAAAAACAATAGAAAAACATAATTTTATGCTATACTTGAAAACTTAACCCTTTCACTTCCAAGATCTCATTAGAAATTCTCCCTACTGTCTGCTATTCAATTCTTTTGACATTCCTTTGGAGAATTTGATATTGGATCGACATAATCAAAATTTCGGTCTATTCTCATTACTTGTCTCCTTGATATTGTCTCAATATTATATGGAGAAATTTTGTCTTGGTCACTCGTGGGAGTTAAAGTGTTAATGTACTTTAAGTCACTCAAAAATACTACTTCGATTTCAGGAGATAAACATCAAAATCTATGCGAAAGTTTATTCCTACTTCTATTTGAGTGGTTCTGCTTTAGTGATTGTTCAGTACAGATGGAGGACAATACAAAGAGGCCATTGGGACTCACTCTAAGGTAACCACAACCAGTTAATAGAGGTAAAAACTACAGTGTTTAAGGGGAAAAAATTCAGGACTTTGACAACTGACCACTTAACCCTTTAACTCCTATGAGTGACCAAGAGAGAATTTCTCCTTACTATATCAACAAAGAATCAAGCAGACAAGTGAGAAGAATAAAGAAAAAAACTCAACTAGGGGACTACAAGTTGATCCAATACCAAATTCTCCAAATTAAAATCATAAGTATTTTATGGCAGACGATAGGGAGAATTACTATTGAGATCTTGGGGGGTAAAGGGTTAATACAAAGTGACTGCTTAATATGGTGCCACTTAATACAGGTTCTTCTGTACTTTGCTTTTCATATTGTTCACAGCCTACAAGCATCAACTAATGGTACAAAATAGACCTAATTGAAAAGTGAAATTTGGGTGAAAAATTTTTCATTATCAAAATTTTGAAATATCATTAAATTTGTAAATATAATAAGAAAGATGGTAAGTTTTGAGCCCAGTAAAGAAAATTTTAAAAAAAAGACGTTTTATTTTTTTGTCTTGTCACAAGCATGAGACAAAGAAAAAATTCTGAGTCCCCATGAAGAATCGAACTTCATACCTTCAACTTTCATGCTCTGATGCTCTACCACTGAGCCGCAGAGACTATCGTGGGCGAGGCCCATTATGAAGTTCATGTATAACATGCATCCTGCATAATGCGAGGATCAGCAATGTCAATAGCATCATGTTTGTAAATAGAATAAGAGAGATGCTAAGTTTTGAGCTCAGTAAGGAAATAGAGAAAGACATTTTTTTCATCTTGTCACAAGTGAAAGGACAAAGGAAAAATTTTATAGCCTTGCTCACCATAGTCTCTGTGCCTCAGTGGTAGAGCATCAGAGCATGGAATCTGAAGGTCTGAGGTTCAATTCCTCATGAGGACTCAGAATTTTTTCTTTGTCCCATGTTAGTGACAAGACGATAAAACCATCTTTCTCAATCATTAAATTTGTATCAGAGCAAGGAAATTATTATCATGCTAATAATTAATACTAATTAAATATTACAAAATTTATATAATAGCACTTACTGATGCAGAAACCATCTGACTGGAAACACTTTTCAACACAACATGTCGCAAAACAGAGCCATGTTTAGTTTTTTTTACTTTCTTTCCTGAACTGTAAAAGAGGCAAAGATAATATTATTAATTTATTATTATTTAATTAATTAATTATTAATTATTAATTAATTAATTGTTAATTATTAATTACTTCACATCTAAAAGAGGCAAAGGCAAAAGCAAGAACATTAAAACTGAAACTACAGTATGCAACTACAGGGTTCATATACTATGAACAACCAACTGTGTTAAGGAAAACTGGAAAGAAAATCATTTAGCTTGGAATCATAATATACAAAGCAAGCACCATAAAGTCCACATGTAATGACCAAGAACTTAATATTCTAACATTCAACTGCTGGTTTTTTTTTTTTTTTGGGGTAGTTTTTGTTTTTTGTGGTAGTTTTTCCTGCTATGGTTGTGGTTGTTGTTGTTGTTTGAATGAGGCACAAGAGCAGTATTTACTTAAAAACTTTTTACCCTGCACATTCACTGAGAACTCACCCAAGATCCAAGTCAAGAGAAGAAGACAGTGCTTGGTTCTCAAGGATGTTGGCAAGATCAGGGTCATCTTCTAATGAAATGATGTCTTCATCTTTCTGTGTGAAATAATGACAACCATAAAATAATGTTTACCAACATTTTTTTACCAAGGAACTATTCAATTTGTTCACCTACTTCATCTAAGTGTTCTCTTTTTTAACCCTTTAACTCCCATGAGTGACCAAGACAGAATTTCTCCTTACAGTATCAATACAATATCAAGCAGGCAAGTGGTGAGAATAAAGAAATATATCAATTTGGGGGTAATCAGTTAATCCAATACTAAATTCTCAGAACTAACATTGTAAGAACTGTATGGTTGACAGTAAGGAGAATTAAAAATTTGATCTGGGAGTTAAGGGGTTAAAGTTAAATCAATTTAGTTTCAGACCATATGCTGATGACTATAATAATAGCAATAGATTCAACTCCATAGTTTTCTGAGAGTAGCAGCTCTGTAAAACTGAACTCAGTTATTTTTCCTTCCTTTTTACTGTCAAAAGAAACAGCCCAACATCTCAATTTAAATAAAATACCATATTTTATTCACTGTTCTAAAAAAATTATCTATGAACTTCAATATCACTTTCAAATCCAGGATCATTAGACAGACAGGTTCGAGAAGAAGGACTGGAGGTTCTATGCTTTTTCACAATAGAAGTACTGTACCTCATTCAGGATACTTTCTAATGATGGCATGTTTACCACCTCTGGTACATCAACTTCAATGTCCACCTACAACAGTAGATTTCCATGAATGAATTGCTTAATTTTTCAATTGAAAAGGGTATGGTTAGGGGGGATCCTAGGGTTCCCATGACCCTTCCCCCCCTCCCTTTACAAGCCTTTTTTTAAGCTAACAACCTACAATATTCAGGTGGCAAAAACTGGTGGGTACCCTCTGTTTAACAGAGTGTGACAATCCCCCCCCCCCTTTGAAAAATCCTGGCTAAGCCCCTGACTAATATATGAACCTTAACACAAATATTCAGGGTTATTACAAGTCAAAATTAACAGGTCTTATGGTTAGTATTTTTTATGTTTCCTAAAGCTCTGTCACCGCCTGTTGACATGTGTCCAGAGAAGACATGCTGAAATCATTAAATAAATTCACTAAAAATTTTGGCGGTCACTCGAAATTTGAGTTTCAAAATTCTATTAGAGTTGTTAAGCTTTCATGATTGGACAAAATCTCCAGTTAAAATGACGTTGTTCAGTCCTTCATGACTCTGTTTCGAGTTCCTTACACCTCTTGAATGGCAAGGCTGAAGGCAAGGTACAAAGATATGGCCACATCACACAAACTGCAATGATTTCTGGCCTAGCTCTCAACGCATACAAGATGTCAGTGTCTTCGATTGAGAGAAATGTCGGTATGGCGCTCTCCAAATAGTGGCTAACTTTAACAGCCAAATCATTGTAACTAGCCGGGTTTTCTGTAGTTTAGTTTTTGTTACCCAAATATACAATTTGCTTTTGTATCTAAAATGGAAAAATGAAGCCAAACTTACTGAATCCGAAACATGTCTTTGCCTAAATGATCCGGTGTTTGTAGTGAAAGCTGGATCTAGTGATTCTAGTGATTCCAGGTGATCACTGGTGGATAGCAAACCTTCCAACACACTCGTGTCTTCTTTCGTATCGTCCGCCATCTTGGCTATTTTCCTAATCAGCTAGTGCCAGGCTTACTCGTGTTACGGTACCAGGCATCAACTGAACCGGACGGACTCCCGCTAAATATCGCGCGTGAGCTTGCCCTCTATGCTCGCCTCACGCGTGATTCCCCGCGACTGATGAACGTAAAATTATATGCTTCTGTTAAACGGCTGAAATATTGGCTACTTAGACTTAAACTCCTCGTCCAAAAGTTGGCGTGTTAGTGTTTGGACAAGCCGGGTTATCGAGAGAAATTAAGGGGCGCTTAGTTATTTTTGGTACCTGAAGGGAGGACGCTTATTCGAAACCGGGTGCATATTAGGGACAGGGTGCTTACTTCTGTTTTGAGAAATGGAACGTCAAACCAACGCGATAATAAATATTTTATCGATCGGGGAAAGATTACAAGACTGTCTAGCGAGTCCGTAGGATAAAGGAGTCTTGTTCAAAGAGTGACGTTCCCGAGTGGCTTTTCCCTTTTCCCTCATCCCTATTCTTTGAGTTAAATAACAGCATTAGATGGGGCAGTTTTCTTTGTGGTGCAGTTTGGGCTGGATATTCTTACAGTCGATAAAGCTGAGGAAATGTTCTAAACCGACCTAGAAAATATTTATTTTTTAGAGCCCTAATGAGCTTCTCCAATTTATGTTTTGGTGCGATCAGCCGACGTGATGGATCGACCGTATATCAATAGTAGCCACTAATGATGATAATAATAATAATAATAATAATAATAATAATAATGTTAATGATGCATTTATATAGCGCACTCTTCTCATGATGATGTTCTGGCCAAAGTCCACCACTTTGCAGTGGACTTTGGCCAGACTTAATTTAGCAGTTTACAGTTGTTCTTTTAGGAATCTTTGTAAAAAGGCAAGGATACAGCACCAGGAATTACGTCCCCTAACCCAGGCGAAAAGTGTGTGGGGTTTTTACGTCCCTTAATAATCTTTGGAGAGAATATGCAGGACACGGAGCCTTCGATTTTTTCGTCCGAGAAGACTAGAACTTTGAATCAATAGTAGATGTCAGAACCAAAACAGCACATTCTCCTTAGTTATTTTAAGACCCAGAGGGACCCACATAGCAGTCCAGCGCTCTACAACTACAGTTAACTGGGCGGTGATTAATATTATTGAGATGCTCTGGGAATAACATGATTTTTTTCCTCATCAAATTCTCTTACTCGACTCTTCAATTGTAGTTTGTCAATAGAATGAGAAAAAATCAGTTGCCTCAGATTTTTTTTCGTCTATGTCAGGTCAGCTGTCGCTGACTTATGTAATTAAATTCAGATCAAGCTCTGATTTGTTGTTACTGTTTTCATTGTAATATTTGTTTTTTTTATTATTTGTTTTGTTTTGGCTAATGGCTGTTTCGTTCTCCCATCTGTTGCAAGTTTCATAAGAACTGAGTGGTAAATCTCACCACCGATTAAACCAATTTCATCATTTTTGATGTTGTTGAAACTAATGAAAGCTTGACGAAAAAAAAAGTACGAAAAGTTACAAAAAGGTCATGAAAGGTGATTCTGTTTACCATAATTGCTAATTAGTCTCACTTTGCAGTTGTTTGCTTATCCCAAGCTGATGGTTTTTTTTTTTTTTTAAAGCCCTAAGGCAAACATAATCCAGTCATCAGCTCATTTGAAAGTTAAACACAAGAAGCTGTTAAAATTTTAACCCATTAAAAACCGTTTATTTTCCTAAACTCATCAGTTAGAACAAGCCTTTCTTCACTACGAGGAAGGAATATAAGGGAGGAGATCATCAATTCCTGTGCGCGACATTTTCTTGTCTATCTATCGATACAATTCGTAAATATCTGAGTCAGGTTTGTTCCATTACTGAAAAGCCATGAAGCTTGTCTTGTTCATCGTTGTTGTGATTATTTGCTTCTTCGCTCATTCCATCTCCGCCCATGGCAATGTGAGCATGAGATCTAATGTAAATCTCTTTAAATGACAAGTTTGTAAAACCAAAGCATACGGTCGACCATTTGCAAGTTGTATACCACATTGAATTCGTATGAACAAGAATCTTGCGAGTGTGTAAATAAGAATCTGCTCTGAACATCAAAAACATCATGATAAGATATTTAATTTTGATTTTTGTTTTCATTTAGGGAATACCTCAATGTTTGCCTGCATTAGCAGCCTATCTCCATGGCCAAGAGGCATCGCTGCAAATTGTTAAGAACGACCTACAAAAGACGAAGCAACAGCTACAGCAAGCGATTGGTAGGTTTGCACTCCTCTGCCGCGAATGTTCAGCAGATCATGCATATTTTTATATTACTCGCCGTAGAATTGATGTTCTTCCTAATTAGAATCATTCGATTAATTCAGGGCCTGCTGTTGAGGAAAGGACGACGAATTGGTAAATAGTGATGGTGCATTAAAAAGGGAAAGTTAAGTTTTAAGAATTTAAAGTTTTTAAAAACAAAGAACTAAATTGCGAAAAAAAAAGGACCAAACAATCAAACAAAACCATCCCAACACTTCTACCTCCTGCACAATTGCCTTAGCTTCTAACCCCGATGAGCTTTGCTTAAAGGTGGAATCCACTAAGTCAACAAGTATTTTCTCGACATAAACGAGCACATCATTCATGTCACTTAAAATGAGCCTCCCTAACCAATAGTCGCCTAGTTTAAAGAGTCACTAAGTTTAGCCTCAGATTACACTGAGACAGGAGCTCATTGATTAGAGTGCAAAAATTCGCGACAATTTTAGTTCTCACCCAAAAGTATACTACACATCCTTGGCAAATCCAAGGTTCACATTGCCAGCTGGGATCTATGTGTCTCGATGTTCTGAGTAACGTTTCCACCTTTTATAGTGTCTACAGGTTTTATTACTTTGAGCGACTGTAAAACAGTTGTTCGGTAGGAAATTGAAGACAAAAGAGGCAATAACACACACAAAAGGAAATAACAATGAAAACTGAAAAGAATTAAGAAGAATTTAGCTGATTGCAAATGACGAACTTAAAAGCGTGATTTTACTCTAAATTTTTGAAGATTCACAAATAGTAAAGTATCCCCTACAACTGTCTCTTAGTTTACCTTTACACCTCCTTCCAAACACTTAAAAAGCTTTCTGCTAAAACAGCGCGAGAGAACTACTTCTTCCCGCACGATTTACGTACATTATTAACCGAGCAAATTCTGTTTCCTTCTTGTAGGCAAATGGCCTCCAGGCCACTATTGCATTCTCGCCAAAGGACCATGTCCGGCGGGCTTCTTTCGCTCCTCCGGTTACATGCGAGCACTGAAGATATATGCTGCCAGTAACACCTATATCACTCCGGTCACGTTTGGGGACAGCAAGATAACGTGTCATGGTCCCTGCGGTAAGTATGGACAATGGATTGGAGAGTTGTACATCACAGCGTGCTGCAAGTAATGGAGGAAGTAGACCACCTACCACAGCAACATTACCTGCCCCAAGTAGTTTAAAAAGCGAGCGCAGCCATTGTGCTGCATCAGACCGTTGGATTAGCCTTGTTAGGTGTCTGTGATGATCAATAAAAGGCGTGACGAGAAAACATGTTTTAACAAAGTTCTCTTCGACAGTGTCAGATCAAAATGGCAGGCTGGATTTCATGAGCTTTATTGGAGTCGTTCTCAATCTAATGCTGGTCACTAGGCTTGTCGTAAGCTTCCTTTGTGTCCCTCTTCCATTGCCATCCTATAAGGATGATCGTATTTTACAATCCGTCTCTCCTTTTCAAGTGACTACAATTTTTCACCAATTTTTCAATATTCACAAAGTTCTTCAGCCACTTTTCTCCCAATATTGCGGTTCGTCTCCTATTGGCCTGTTAATTCTTTGCTCTGTTCAAAAATGTTTAAAATTGATCGTAATAATTTTATTTCGTTTTGACAAGTGTATTTCAAAAAACCGTGACGATTTTCGAAAATGAAGGGCAGAAACTAAGCAGGAAAGCAGGGGCTGAAACTCTTTTACGATCACCTTAATACAATGACAGAGAAGCCGCATAAATCCATTGCACACTGATGTTTTGGCACTCAAGTTTGTCTGAAATCCAAGACAATATGATAAAATCACCCATAATAGGGAAGTTTAGAAACCTAAACACTCATGCTATGATCATCAACAGTCAGTTCCTTTAATTTTCGATACACCCACAAAACTTGTAATGGAGGCAAAAGACTCTTTACCTATAACATCCCCCGTAACTTCAGCCCTTGGCACTAGTTTTATTTTCAGTTTGATCGTCGGTTCGACAAGGGGAAGCGCGTATTAATCATACCATCAGTCCATCGGGTTTTATGATGTCCCTACGCGGTATGCACCTTGCAGAGTTTTGGTGCAACTTTGGATTGAATGGTTCAAGAACAAGGTTACACAAATGGCCTGAGTCTCATGTGATCATTTTTTGACTACAAATTGAGCATTATCTTCTAAAATATACAGAGAAGAGGGAGTTGTTCGAAAAAATGATTGCTAAAAAAAATTAAAATCGTCAGAGTTGGAGCTCAATGTAAGTTCAGATGTCTCAAGGGCAAATCTCTGACTCGTAGCCGGCACGTTTAGAGAATCAGCGAAAAAATTAACCACAACTGCGCTAGCCTTGTTTACCAAACTGATTTCTACACAACATTTCCATGTGGTAAATGTTTATTTGGGATCACAAGGTCATACATATGATCTTTGCCAGCAGTCTATGCGATTAATGTGCGTACCAACAAGAAACCTCGCTTTGTTACACACCCTACAGCTACAAATGTTTATTTCTGTCGAATTAATCCTTTTACTCGATTGCCTCTATTTCAAAGAAAACTCCTACAGCTTATGCTTATGACGCTAAAAAGCTTCTTCGTTTAGATCAGAATTTGCAATCTTGTTGACATCAGGCTAACTAAGAGTTGTTTGAGGACGTTGTAAACGATGGTTTTTCAGCATCATGCCTTTTATTCCATTTCACAGGCATTACACGAAGTTATTTACAGCATGCTCTGATGTGAATCTCTCCAATCCAATGCCCATATTGACCGCAACCTCCATGACATTGTATCTTGCTGTCCCCAAACCGGGCCTGAGTGATGTAGAAGGAACTGCTACTGTATAAACTCAGTGTCCGCATGTGACCCGAGGACCGAGAAAAACCTGCTGGACATGATCCGTTGGCAAGAATGCAGTAATGACCTTCAGGCCATTTGTCTGAAAAAAAATATGCTCTAAAGGTTAAATTTTGTGGGGGAGTTTTCGCGTCTACTTGTATTACGCCTCTGAAGGAATATATAACAATATACACTTAATGTAAGGTCTGAGGGAAACAGTTAGCTTAGTTTTCCCGAGAGTCCTGATGTTTACCTCGACTTAGCCTCGGGAAACATCAGGACTCGAGGGAAAACAGAACTAACTAGTTTCCCGAGGGACTATACATTAAGTGCTTTGTTATATATTTAGACTTTCCCTTAAACAGTCATATGGCAAAAACATGCTATTGTATTCGGCGCGCGGGCAACAACTGCGCAATTGTATCTCGATTGGGATACATTTGAATTTGGACACGTGACCAATAATCAACCAATCACAGAGCTCATTTTGTTGAGTAAAAGTTTAGGTATATAACAATGATAATAAGAGACCAGCCCATGATTATTGACTGAGGGGAGGATTTAGAGGGGGGGAGGGGTTAACATGGTTTCCAGAGGGAACGGAGGGGTGGATCAGTCGTCGCCAACAGAGTATAGAGGGGGGCTATAGAAACTGACCGCCAATTACATGCCAACGAAAGGGGGTCATGAGAATATTACAGAGGCTTATGGGGAGAACAGGTATATTATTCCTCCCCCCCCTTCCACCCCCCGGCGATTATTAATTACTGATCTTTAGTGTACCAACAAATATTTTTTACGTTCAAATGAAAAATTCCATCTTGTCACCATGTGAAGAACAAGATGCGACCTTTAAGTTTATGTCGAAGTGTTTGTATGCTAGAGAATGTATTAACTGTAATGGTCTCAAATAGGGAGTGGTTTGCAAGGGAACCATAAGAGTATTTGGTTTCTTTGTTTTTGCTTTCGTTTTTTTCGGATCCAAATGAATGATAAAGAGAGAAAAATAGCCAAAATACATTATGAGACCTAAGGGTTTGGGCAAATTTTGCCAATCCTAGATCAACTGATGCGATACCGAATCAATTATTTCGCAATAAGCCGTTTGCCAGATCTAAAAACGGGTACAGATTTTAGAGGCCAAGTCTGAAAACAGGAAAATCAGGAGTTTCCTCTCCCTTCTCTCCCACCTCAGCTATTTGTAATTTACCTATTTTCTGGGGAAGGCACTCTGGTTTATTTTCTGTCCAAGTTCCATCTTTTAAGCATCGCCGCACTGAAGTTCCACTAAGCTGATAGCCAGAAGCGCAAGTGTATGAAACAGTCTTCCCTTCCCAAAATTGTTGTCCGTTGATGGCGCCACGGTCTGGACTTTCCAAAGGAGGACAAATTCTGTGGCCTAGAAAAAAAAGGGAAGTGAAGCTATTCTGAAATTAAATATTTCCGTTGTAAGGGTACAACAAAAACATCAGTGACAAATCAGACTCATGAAATTATTAGCAATTATTGGATGAGGTCTTTGTGATATCCAGAATAATCAAGGTCGATTTAGAGGTTATCAGCCGAAGCCGATTCTAGATATCGCAAAAAACGAATCTTATAATTGCTTTTTTATACATTGAACGTAAAAAAAACATGGTCACGCCAATACGTGGAACTGATAGTTTATCAAGGAACACAAAGCGCGCGAACCTGACATGATTACCCTTAGAAATCATGCACCGCGGTCTCACATGATAGGATTACCCATGACCTTGAGTGTCCTTGACATCATTATTGTATACGATCTGCAGCTAGATGACGTGCCATGTGCTGATTTCGAAAATTCACTGTACGCCTTCGGCCAATCAGAAAAGTGATAGTGATTATAATGTATAATAAAACTAATAAACAGCTCTTTATTTGATTTTTGTGATATCTTCAGCTTGGGTCTTTAAAACTTCTGTCACAACTACCGACAACAGTCCCTTCCACGAGCGTCCTCAACTGGACAATTACTGCACAATTTTATTTTTTCTGTAATAAGTAATGATAAAAATTGTGATTGATATATATGATTGATCTCTCTAGAAAAAAAAGAAAAGAAACCTAACGGCTAGTTATTCAAACAAAGTTTAGCCGTTGTTGAACAAAACCGCGCTGTAAGCCATCTTCTATTCAGCGGAAACTTTTATCTAAACACTTATCTCTGAGAACAGTGACAAGAGGCCAAAAGCTAATAGTGGAAGGAGATTCATTTGATTAAATAAACCCTCTTAAAGAGAGAGCCTGAGGCTCACTGCTTGCGTAAAATCATGTGTAAATAACCGGCCTAAAGCTAATATTTTAATAAAGCAAGACGGCGACGTCAACGAGGCCGTAGCAAAACAAAAGATCTAATGAGCAGAACATTAGCTCGGCAAGTGCGTTTTAAAACTTTGTACATTTTTTAGCCGGCCTCTGCAAAATTACCCCATAAAATCATCAAAATTTGCGGAAACCCTGACGGCAAATCATTAAAGTTTCAATTTGGAACTCAACGCCGCTCTCATACTTTTATGCTGAGGCTGGCTTGTGGCACCGGAAGAGATGGTAAACACATCCAGTCATTCGCTAAATTCCAACTAAAAATATATTATCATTTTTAAATCGATGTCTTCCTTGGAGTTGCCATCCTAACTGCTAAAGGTCCCTAACAAAAAATAATAATAATAATAAAATAGGAAGAAAGGGAACGGCTCAAACTTACAGGATGGCTGTAATCCACTCCAGTTACCAGAGGATAAACACGTTCTGATGACCGAACCAGTCAAATGATACTGTGGATCACAAACAAACGAGACTGATTCACCGGGCCAGTATCGTAAGCCTCGTTTCTGTCCGTTTTGTGGCGTACCAGGGTTACCACAACTGGCCAGACCTAGAGGAAAAGAAGAAAAGCTAATCAATTGAGAGAGAGAAAGCTTTTCAAAGTCGAAACTGGATGTGGAAATCTCAAAAGTTATGAATAATAGCTAGCGTAATAGGTTCAGATTTTGCCAATCAAACCCAGTTGGAAGCCAATCGTTTAATTGATTTTGCCTGACCTGGGCAATGGAACACAATTCAAATCACCATAGGGTTTCAGCCAATCTTGTGAGCCATTCCAACGATCCACATTCTGTCGAAAACAACATCAAACTCTGAGAAACCAATAGAATCCGTTTTGCTAACGAAGCATTCATACTTACTTAGACTTGTTATGGCTTCTGTTGTCATATTCTTGTCATTGTAAAACCAACAGGTATAAGCCCCAGCATCACTGTGCTGGAAGGAAGGAATAACGACTCCACTCTTTAATAAATCACTCCCATCATCCTCTTCTGTTGAAACAACGCGTTTTCCACTCTTGAACCACGTGACTCTAGGTAGCGGTGAGCCACGAGCTGAACAGTTTAGCGTCACAGCATCACCAACACTCCCCACCTCAATTTTACTTGGAGGACTGGAGACAATATAGGGATTAACTAAGACGAGATGCAAAAAGTAAAAGAAAAGAGGTTACTGCAGCATTTTAATTTCTTGATCTAAACCGTCATGATTGATTGAAAGTCTTTCATATATTTTGCTTTCATGTACCTTAATAACTGTTAGTTTTGAATTTTACCTTTTGGATATAGTACCGTTGACCGTACTTGACATGCAGATCTATTACAGGTGCATAGATTAAGAAAATATCGTCGGGTAATTGAGATTTGAAAACTAAGCTATCAAGAAATCTGTTATGTTTGTTTTCTTTAGTTTGTTAGCTAGACAATATTAGGCACATTCAAGTCTGTGAGACACTTCGGCTCTCTCTCCTGTGCCCAATTAAAAGACAAGGCTGAGGTCATATATGGTTTCAGTCTTTCCTTGGAGGACAAGGACTTTGGATGGGGATCGTGGATGCCCAAGGAATGTTTTCGTCAAACACCCTTTCTTAGGAGCGTCTTCCTTGTCTGCTTTGCTACGAACTTTTTTAAGCACAAAATCTCTCATGCAGTCAATAGGAAAACCAAGACAAAGAAGAGTTAACGAGTAGTACTCCTCAGGTTTCCGTTTATAGCGCTTTTCGATTAATCTTCTTACCGACATCTTTAACGAAGATCCATGTCATAGCCATCACATTTCCCAATGAGTTAACCCCATGGCAAACATAACCTCCGCCGTCGCTTTCGCTTGTGTTCCTAATCGTAAGTTGCTTGCCATCTATGATATGCCTGTTCGAAGAGAGTTGCTTCGGAGGTCTTGTCCATGTGATAGCCGGGGTGGGGTAGCCAATTATGTCACATGTAATAACAGTGTCCCAATTCTTGACACCCTTCACAAAACTCTTTGGTCTCGTGATGAATTTTGGTGGTACTGCAAACCAAAATGAAGATAAAAAACCTTGAATAACGGAAGCATGACAAGCCTCGCGCGGGGGGAGAGGGGAGAGGGGGGAGAGGAAGGAGAGGGGGAAGAGGGGGGAGAGGGAGTGAGATATTCACCACCTCCTACTCGGAAGTCTGATAGTTAACTATACTAACCATTCACGGTTACATTGACCGACAGCTTCGCATGTCCCAACAAATTCTCCGCCTTGCAGGTATAAATACCACGGTCTTCAAACTTGATTTCCTGAAATTCCAAATTCCACTCTGTAAAATGTTTCCTTCCCTCGTCTATTAGCTCATTATTCTTGTACCACGTGATAATTGGCTGTGGGAAGCCAACAGCTTTACAAGGAAGAGTAACTTTCTCTTTCTCTTTAATGGGATCGGAAGAGGGTGGTTTCGAAATAATACGTGGAATCTCTGCAAAAGAAATATTTTAGATGGTTTTCTTTTTAACAATCCTAGGTCATTGGCAGTCTTATACAGAAATTTTTCACTCGTCGAACAGGCAATCCGAGGACTACGCTGGTTTTGCATCGTGACGCGTACGCTTTGTGACTGGTCCAGAAAATTCGTGCCACTCTGTCAATCAGTAACATGCAAAACTATGACCAATTAACCAAGTCACTCGTTTTTTCCCGCAGTTAAGGCAGATTGCCAGTTTCATTTCTACTTTGATTCTTATTGGCTCTTTATGAAATTTTCCTTCCACCTTATTGGCCGTTTGGTCAACTTTAATTTCAGTTTCAGATGACACACAGTCGAAAAGGGCTTTGATAACTATAGTAATGATAATAGCGATAATGGTGGTGATGATGATGATGATGATGATCATTATAACTCAACCCTGTGTCGTGTTGTTTGTTTCAGCCCCGTGGCATTCTCCACCTAGAGATATAAAGGAGTAAAGAAATGGCGGTGGAAGGTGGTGTCAGGGGTGGGGGTTGGAAGGAGGGTCACCTTCGACGGACTAGCACTCCATCAAGGGGGCGGTGCCAATATTCCGATTTGCTCCATACTTACGAAATTGCAACAAGCTCCGTTGCTGGAAAAAGATACATTTTTAAATTTTCACGAGCGCGGAACATAAATTTTGATTCCCATGAGGGAATACCCACTGAGCCACAGAGACTCAACAGTGTTGGCCATTGTTGTGTTCATATGTGACACACACGCACTGTTAAAGAAGGATTTAAGGAATATATATGTTTTGTTTACATATCACTCGTTTTCCCGCCCTTTTATGGATTTGCCGCTGAAGACCGCGGGCGTCGGTGTACTTTTTTTTTACTCGAACGGCCATCTTGGTTTTGTAATGTTTTGAGCTTGACAATAAGTCAGTTTATTTGACCACTTACCCCTGCTTATTCGACTGTTCTGCTATCGAGATCACGTACCTTATACTGCCAGGATCGACAATGTCAAAGGCCCCGAATGAGTTAATAGAATTAAAAGATAGAATGAAACTCTGTACCCAGTTGGTTTCCACTGCCATGGTTTGTCCCATCTGATGCAGATTTTCCAGGGGGTCCCGGTAATCCTCTCATGCCCTGCTTTCCTCGGGGACCTGGTACGCCCTTTGAACCCTTTCTTCCTCTTTTGCCACTCGGTCCTTGAGGGCCAGGAGGGCCTGGTGCACCAGGAGGGCCAGGTAGACTGGGGTAGCCTTGTGGACCTTGAGGTCTAACTGGAGCTGATAAGATAAAGATATAAAAGAATGAGATGTGGTTATTAATATTCAGCTTAGTTTATAGATGCGGTCTCATCATGTATATTTTTCTTTACTCCAGACATTTTAGAATTGAAAATGATGGTATAAATTACAATGAATAAAAAAAGGTAGAACTTACCCTCTACACACACTACATTTGGTTGGCTTCCACTCGTGGTTGAATTCTGCAGAGTAAGGAAAAACAATTTTTGTTTTCAGCAATTAACACATTGATGAAAAAGCACTCAAGAGTTTGCAATTGATCAACTTGATCAAAACGGAAAAACTTAACATAGTTCCGTCAAAGCAAGAGATTATAAACAGTTTATAATTTCTTGTGCAGAGTATGTGGCAAAGCCAGGTTTGTGTGCATCCTCAATGATCCCAAAGATTGTTGAAAAAGATCGCTGAGATCCTTGATATCGATAAACAGGACTTTTGTGGTTTTCAAATAAGCAGCAGTCATGCAGAGAAGTTGGAGAGAAATCAGTACAGCCAAGAGGCCTAACGTAGCTGTGTTTATTTTTTGTCGCTGTATTTCTAACCGTGGCAGCTACAAATCATGGACCTACTCTTGAGATATGTTAAAACTTATATTGGACCAGAAACTTCAATTCCGCTTCTTTGTATTTTCAACAACAACTTTTTTTTCAAGGTCTGTTAATAATCAAAGCAGGAGTGTCAAAGTTTCTAGACTTTTCTATTTATAGGGAACATGATATAGCATTTACCATTCCAACACTGTTTGTGGAATTCAGTTACTTCTAAAATTATATGATTTAGGTTAAAAGCTTTGCTTAAAAGTATCAAGTTAGCATGAAAAATACATAGAAAAATCGGTCAAGATTAAATAATGAAAAAATAATGCAAAGAACTGGGGATTCAGGCGGTTTTATGATCAGTGCGATGGCGGAAGTAAAGTTCAGAGGTTAAATGGATTGGACAACGCATTCGGTTTTTGCTCAAACAGATCATATCCGGTATACTTCTCGTTCCCCCGTTCTCATAATTTGTTTGAGGAAACCAAAAATGTTTCTTGAAACTCAGACGGATTTATCTCTTTTTCCTGGCAATATTACTCTTTTCCTTTTCATCTGGATATGAATTCGCTAATTTCAGGAATTCAAAACAATGCAAGGGCCTGAGAGCTTTGTGATGCATAGAGGCAAAAAAAAACTTACATTTCGATGGCCAATTGACTTCAAACAGGCACTGCTACATTTGTGGCACATGAACTGCCTATTAGCGGCTCTCTTGACGCGGTCATCTTCTTTCATTTGTGGTCCACTCGGTGACGATTGTTTAAATGTTGGCTGAGCGATCACACGATCAGCAAGCTGATCCGGAGAACTTGTCAGCTGTAAATTTTGTTCAACTGCTGTCAGACGGGAATCGAATCGATGTAAAGAATAGTATGTGAAAGCTATTGAGCCTAAAGTCAGAACTAAATTGACGAAAAGGCCAAGAATAAGAGCCTGGGACCTCCCATTTGCTTTGGGTTCCATCTTCGCGTTTTACCCTCTGAAACAGGGGAACTGCCGGGATGGCTTACTGCCAAATGGCACAAGGATATGTTAACATCCAAAAGGCGTTAGTTTTCGCTGTCAGATTTACTTGGATGCCAATAAATTATCGTCTAACGGATCCAAGTGTCGCCGGTTATTTTTCGGTGACCAATATACTCATGCACAGTGCAGTTGTGAACCGGGTAACAATAATCTACGACAAGGAAACAGTTTTTTAATGGTCAAAAAGTTGTAAAGCATTTTGATAGAAGTAAGTCTCTTGCGTTGCGTAAGTAGAGCATTACTCTTGTTAATCATAGAATGAGGAGACAAGGCGAGCTAAGAATCATTTACAGGTCTTACGGCAGGAGGTACTTAGTTCATCTTGATAGGGGTTAAATCAATTCATCTGTGAATAGGGTAGCAATCTTTAAATTATACCGCCTACCCACTTACCATCTCATGTAACCAAAACCCGAGTCTACTGAAAAGTCACTTTCAAACCCACGTAAATAAATGAATATATAAATTTTGAATTATCCGAACTCTCAAAGATTGACCCTGGAACGCCTATTGCTTAAGCGACTTATTTTTTTTCAAATATGCAACTTCTAGTTTCGACAATAATTTTTTTAACTCTTCAAGTAGACAGCGCTTGGCAAAACAAATTGCATACTTTAAAAGGTTTTATTTAAGCCAATAACGATCTGCCACACGTCAAAGCCCTTTTATCCTTCTCATTGTCCAGCACTCTCCGTTGTCATTGTTCTTTGTGAGGAGTCCGAGAGTGATACACGTCTTGATTGCGTGAGCTACCCACATTTTTGCGACGTAAACAGGTAACAAAAGTGTGACTACTCGACACTGACGTCATGAGTGACTTAAGGTCAACTATCTCCGTAACGTTGTTACAACGTATTTTTGTGATGCAACTTAGAGCTATGATTGTGAAATACGGCGAAGTACATAAAACCACAAAATTTCTTTCCAAAATCATAGCATAGATTGGCAAGAGCCAGTATCTCTTGGAGGGAATCGCATCGGCTGTGACATTCGACAGATATGGAAGCGAGGATTTTCTCTCCCTTCTCAAGACTTTGGAGGAAGTCTGACGACGAATGCTTACTGGAAAACGACGCAATTGTGCTTCAGCACGAGGAGCATTCCCTTGAAGTCGACGAGAAATGTTTTGTAGACAGGAATGCCCACCACAAAATGGAGGAATCAAGCCGAACTAACACAGCCGACAGTACAGGTGATGAGTTCACTACAATTAACCTACAGGAAGATACGGCGCGTCCTCCATATTCAGTGACAGGTGAAGTTTCTGTAACAACAGAAGTTACATCACCAGCAGCAAAAAGGGTCGCCTTCTTAGGGATGACACTGTGTGTAATTTCGTCTTTGTTCATCTCTTCAGCGGCACTGTTGATCAAACTCGCCGAGAGCATTCCAAGCCTGGAGATCACCTTCATCCGCTTGACGTTACAACTCGTTTTCTCACTCCCACCGATGATTTTCTTCAAGGATAAGTTTATCCATCCATGGAACAAGAGCAAATTCTTATTGCTTCGCGGGGTCACTGGAGTTACAGGCATGGCTCTAAGTATTTACGCTGTCAAACATATGCCATTGGCTGACCAGAGGGTTATATTTTACACCTCTCCTGTCTATACAGCTATTCTTGGACGCATTTTTCTCAAAGAATCCGTCAGTAAGTTCGATGCGGTAGCCATTCTATCAACTATTGGTGGGGTGGTGTTAATCGCGAGGCCTACCTTTTTGTTCGGTTCTTTAGGGGAGGCCTCTAAATCCGAAAAAGTCTGGTTTCCAACCCTTCTCGCTGTCGTTTCAGCGATTTGTCATGCCTGCTCTATCGTCCTGACTCGGAAAATATCAAAAGAAGTCGGTTCAAGAGTGGTAGTATTCTACGTCGCTGTAGTTGGAACAATCATAAGCCTTATAGCTTCTTTAATTTCGAATTTTGGGTTCAAATTCCCAGACTGTCGGACTCACGACGCACTGTATGTCCTTGGCGCCGGTGCATTAGGTTATGGAGGCCAATTACTGGTAACCAAAGCCTTGACTTTGGAAAAAGCTTCAATTATTTCTTTGCTGCGCACAACTGGGATCGCGTTTTCGTTCGTTCTCCAGCTCATTGTCCTTCATGTTGTTCCAGATGGCCTTAGTATTGGTGGTGCTATTCTTGTCCTTCTCTGTAATGTTTCTATTTTCATCAAGAAATTTTTAGACAAGAAAAACAGTCACGCAAAGGCTTCGAATAATACTTAAGGGTGACTCGTTCAAGGATCGAATAACCTTTATCGTAGTGTTTGTTTACAAGTAGCGTGAAAATCATAACTCACATGAAGTATGGCCAGGTACGATTAGTCACCTCAGTGGCAAGAGAGAACAACAGCACATGGAGAAAGAACACATCCGTCGGAACACATCAGAGGATACGGCAGTAAAACATAATCCATCGCTACAGCATTGTAGCTGCTCTTTCCCTTCACGGGAGACTTTAAGGAGAAACACACAATATATTGGGTTTGCAAGTTGAAAATAAGCATAAACAGGCCGTAGAGTCGGCTCAGAGAGCCGTTTCTTCAGAAGTACTTTCACTAGCATGCACATAAGTCATTAGTTTTATGACTGTTAAGGTAAAGTTGCTTTCTATCACGTTGGTATTCAGGGGTAGAATAAGAAGTTACAGAAATGAAGGAAGAAATTTCGACTAGCTTGCAATCTCCTTTGGTTTTTTTTCTTTCGTGGCTAAAGGACAATGGTAAACCCGCTTTATCCACAGACTGCAAAAACTCTTTCCTCGTCTTCTGAGGGCTCTGAGCGTCTACGAATTAATGGTAAGGCCCGCCATCGTTCCCTTACGCACATTTTAACTCCCCTGTTGAAGGATGTTTGCCAGAAAGCTCTATTAAACGTTCACGAAACCTCAGTTTAGACTCTTTACTCCCTTTGTATGCTCAATGATCCCGTTTATTTGCTCGCGTTTCGTCTCATTTTTAAATGAGAATATTTCACATCACGCCAATACCACAGATCTATAGTATTTTTGGCATTGCGAGTAAATGTGGCGAGAAAAATGTTTATCACTCGCTTGCAAAAACTGTGGCCCTTGTTGGAAACCGTATGATGCGTTAATTATTCTTAACGTGATTGACATTTATGAGTGGTTTCGTTTGTTCATAAATAACCAAACAAGCATGTATGCGGCACGTGTTTTATCTCCCCATATATGGCACTGTTCTGCGTGCTTACAACGGGACTTGCGTTTCCTCCGAATAAGCCGAGAGTTGACCGAAGCGTTGTAGTAAAATCGTCAAATCAAATGAATAAATCGTGAGTTAATAACGAAGCGTGGTACAGCCTTTTCACGTTTACGACACCCTCTTTCCTATAGACTTTGTATGCTTGAGGAGCAAGGCCTACCTTCCTCCGCTTGCGTTCACATGAGCCCTTTTGACTGATCAGTTTCTGTCGGGAAGGATTTTAAAGAAACCAAGTCCATAGTCGCCTACACTGAGTTGGCTATATGGAAAGAGACACTCATTTATCTTTGGCAACGTGAATATTTTTCCGGGTTTTATTTTATTTAACAGCTTTCTCTCCCAGTTTAGTCCTTGAGACTCAAACCAAAATCGGTGAATTAATATTGTAGTAATATTGTTAGGCCGTTAGAGATGGTGCTAGTAAAAGTAGTATATTATGCTATTAGCACTGCACGATTATTTTTTGCTCAGAATTACGCTCGTTCTTGAAAATTTTGCTACTTTTTCTTAAAGTGTTCTTTTCAAAAGAGAAAAACAAAAAGTCCAAATTATGTATTGTGTCTTTTGGTAATATAACATGATATCTATAAATTATCTCGGGGATACACGGAGCTCTAATAAAACACAACACACTCCTTCCATTTGCGGTTATACTGGGACCGACGTAATCTTTACTTCCGGTGTGCTCAGTCTTCTATAACTGACGACAACACGTAACATTTTAGTAACCTGCTGCTCCCAAGACATCACATCATTGAAAATGGGCTGAACCATTGATCGAACTTAAAAATGATTAATCTTGCAGACCAAGCAAATCATTACTCTGGTAATATTCCCTTCAAAAAAACACATAAAATATGCTGATAATGCTAGAAGTGTCACTTTTACAAAAAAGTGCAAATATTATGTTCGTTTTTCCAAATTTTATGCCAAAAATTATGCCAGCATAATCAACAAGAGCCTAATTGCAGTGGGGAGGGGAGGGGGTCGGAAAGAACTGGAGAATGCTAACGAAATTGCGTGACGTTCTATCCAAGCCCCGGATGTTAAAAAGCACAGTCAACGGCAAGTCACCGGCAAGTCACCTGAGGCGAAAGTTACATCATCCTACAAGTGAAAATTATCGTAAGTTTCATCACCAAAATGTCCCTTGATTTTGCCTTGCCAGGGCTTTAATGCTGTGAAGTAAACCGAACTGTTTTCCGAATAATTAACTTACTCGTTAAGACATGACAGCGAGAATTTTTGCTCCAATCACTAACAGATTTCGAAGGAAGGCGGAAGGTCGCAAACGCCTGCTGGAAAACGACCTTGGCTTGCTTTTGCAGGAGGATTTCCTCCAGGAACCAATCGAAGACAATCACACTTTATTGGAAGAAACAGAACAAACACTTGAAACAGGCCATAGGAATTCCCTTAGTTCAGACACGAGGGATAATCATGCTGTAAAACATCTCGAGGATTCAGATAGTGGCGGCTTCAAAATTACTACGAGAGAGAGGGCACCTGCAAAGAAAAGGCTGCGGGCTTTTGTCGGGATTATTTTAGCCCTGACGTCGGCTTTCTTTTTCACATCAGGTGCGTTGATGGTCAAGCTCGCCGAAAGCGTCTCAAGCGTACAGGTTTCTTTCATGCGTTTGACGATACAGTTAACTTGTATACTCCCAACAATGATTTTCTACAAGGACAACTTCATTTTTCCGTGGAGTAAAACCAAATTTTTAGTCCTCCGGGGAACGGTCGGAGTCACAGCTATGACAATGAGTATTTACGCAATAAAGCACATGCCTCTTGCAGATGCTAGAGTGATATTTTACACATCACCTGTTCATACCGCTATCATTGCGCGGATCTTCCTCAAAGAGTCCGTTAGCAAGTTTGACGTGGCAGCTATGATACTGAGTATAGGAGGGGTGGTGCTGATCGCAAGGCCTACTTTTCTGTTCGGATCTCAGGGAGAACACTCTACCTCTATACAAGCGTGGATACCTACTCTTCTCGCTGTTTTGGCTGCGCTTGGTGCTGCTGTTACTGCCACTGTTACAAGGAAAATGTCGCAAGAAGTGAGCATCAGGGTAGTGATATTTTACTTTTTTCTTATTGGATCAGTCTTGACGCTTGCTTTATCAATGGCTTTAGGATTTAAATACCCAGACTGTGGCTCCTATGATACCATTTACATCATTGTGGCTGCATTTTGTGGATTTTGCGGACAGTTACTTGCAACAAAGGCTTTATCTATGGAAAAAGCATCAGTTGTTTCATTGGTGCGTACAATTGGAATTGCGTACTCCTTTATTTTTCAAATAACTATCCTGGATGATGCTCCAAGTGGATTAAGTATTGGTGGAGCAATTCTTGTCTTGCTTTGTAATGTTTGTATTTTCTTAAAAAAATTTTTGGATGTAAAGAAGACCCATGCAGAAGTTCCTAAACAGGAGGAGGATACTGAACATCAGTAATCTTGCTAATCTCTCAATCACTTCTTGCCTGTCAGGCCTAGCCTGTGCACAGCCACCCCCTACCCTCCTGATTTTCTTTTGGAGGGTAGGGGGAGGCTGTACACAGCTAGTCTGGCCAGGGTAGAATTAATCTTTGGTTCACTCTTCAGGGGGGCAGCTCAAAGAGATGTAGGTGTAGGGCTTGAATTAATAGCCAGCCAATGGACATAATCAGAATTGGGAATTGAGCAGGAAATGAAATCTTTGCATAATAATTGCTAGATGGGCTGTCTAGTCAATTGTGCTTTTTAAAAATTACCACGAGCAAAGTTTTTTACAATCTCAAAAAATATTTTCTTTGAAACAAGGCTGAAATTCTGTACTGATGATTGTCACAACTTTCCCTGATAGCATCAATTTCTGCTGCTGGAATGTGGCATGTTGGTGTCTGATAAGTCAAAGAACACCTGAGATTTTGGGTTCAAAAAAAATTCGTCGCAGAGGCAATGCAGCAATTGTCAGCAAATAATTGATTTTGCAGGATTCAACCAATGCAGTTTGTTGTTCCATCTTGCATTCCATGTTCTGAAATTGAGGCTACCTTCACTATGAATAGGAGAAAAACTATTAAACTGTAATTTTCATTGCAAACCCCACTGGAATATTGAGTTGGTCTTTTCAAAGAGGAAGCTTTTTTAGCATATGTATGTAAGAAATAATGATTTATAATGATTAAAATTTGTATAGTGCAAATTGTATGTAAGCATGATCAAATGCACTTTTTACGGGAATTACAGATAAAAGTCCAATATGTACAAACAAGTAATTGGCGTTGATAAAACTACAGAGAAAGACCTCATTAATAACAAATAAATATTTTACAAAATTTGGATTCTAAACTAATGAACTAACAGATTAAAAGCATTTTTAAGAAGGTAAAACTTAAGATATGTTTAAAAGAAGGTTAAGATTTAAGGCCAGTTCAGTATTTTAGCATCATGCAATCTGGGATCGTTGTTGCAAGTGTTTAAAATTGTCCAAATTTGACATGCCAAATGGGGTCATGTCAGAGCAAACATAAGCATGTTGGATGGAATTACATAACTAGCCCTTGCTTCTTAATTATTTCAATCACTGCAAGTTATTTGAGCCTCAATTCAACCTTAGTGGCTCATTCTGTGTGAGCTTATCTCAGTTTCCGAAGCATATGGTGAATTGGTTATCAACATCAAGTAACACCGTACAACTTTTTTTGAAACTGTATCATTCAATTATATATTTCTATAGCTTCAATTTTTTATTGCACCTCGATTCAAATCACCGAGGCCTATTTTTTGGCCAATTATTGGGATATACATGAGATGAGTTATGGAAAATTGGTTTTAGAGTTCCCTACTGGCAGAGGCCTATTTTCTACATGCTGGAAATAAAAAGATCGTGAGTGCGAAAAGTAAGCTTTCATGCCAGGCAAGCAATTTTTGTTGCTATTTTTTAAATGGCCGTCAACTGCTCACGTCACGCACCACTGTATTTTTTCTTTTAGTTTGTGTGCTGCGTGACGGCATTGCAAAACGGTTCCAAAGAAGTCTTTCGCAAGTTCCTCCGCACAGATGAGATGTATGAGTTTGAAAATTCTCAAAACCTGTTACAAATTATATTTTAGCAATCAGTTTGTTGTTATATTCTCTTGTACCTTGAAAAAAGTTTTGAAACGCGAACAGTTGCTACGTTGTGTCGATTGCGTTACATTTCTGTTCCACTTGTCAAAATTGACTGTTGCCATGACAACTACAATTAACAAGATGTAGCGAGTTGCTCTCTTGGTCAACAGGAATATGAAGCCTCTTGGTTGGGATGCCGGCTGTAAATGAGAGCTATCATATGCGCTCTTTTACGATGGAGAACCATTTTCATGACGACAGTATTAATCTGAGTGGTTTTTCTCAGTCTGTTGTGAAATTAAGTTACCTAAACAACAGCGAGATCGATTTTAATAATTCAGATAGCCATCGGTCGCTCCATTTACCACCGATTGTAAATCCTCCAGTTATTCCTCCAGTTATTCCTGTAAAATCCGAAATATCCATCGTCTGTATGAAGTGCGAAGAAGAAATTAAAGTCCGCCAACTAAAAGAACATCAAGAATTTCACAACGCTTTGGAAATGTTCCGATTCAACATGGAACGAAAACCTTCGAGTGTCAAACAATTAGTCAAACGACGGCGAGCAATTATGCGTCGACTCAACGAGACAGCTAACTCTGAAAATCCAGTTTCCATGAGGAAACTCCAGAAATTGAACCAGGCTTATGAGCTCCTCAAGGCTGATATCGAAGGAACAAAAACAGCTCTTCGAAACGAGGACGATCTTTTCCAAATCCAGCCTAGAACTGAAGGTTGGGGAACAGTCCTCAACTGTGCGCTAGCGTTCGGCATTTGTCAACATGCGAATTCGCGATGGAAAACGTCGATGGAAGATCGTTTCGCGTTTAAGGATCTTTTCTGTAACGATCCTCAGAGCGGGTTCTTTGCTGTTTATGATGGTTATTCGGGAAGTATGGCTGCTGAAAAATGCGCGCGTTATTTGGGTGAAATCCTTGAGGAGAAGGTCGAAAGAATTTACAACACAAGCATGAAACACAAAAACGTCGACGCGGAAATCTCGGCCGCTTTTAACGATGCATACGAGGAGATGGACAAAATTTTGCTATACGGTGTAGAAGAACAATCAAGAAATCGCTGGAGTGGTTGTTCTGCTCTGACTTGCTTGCTGAGGGGAAATAATTTGTATGTGGCCAATGCCGGGAACATCCGAGCGGTTTTGTGCAGGGGGGATGGCTCGATAGAACGCTTATCCAACGATCACAGTCCCTGGGATAAAAAAGAGCGTCATCGCATAAGGAAAGCTAAAGGAGACGTAACTAAAAGCGATAAAACAGCCTTGGTTAATGGTGTGGTTAGAAGCACCCGAGGTCTCGGAAATCATGGAGATCCCATTCTGAAAACTAGCGTGATTAGAACACCAGTGGTCAATTGCCTTACTTTGGAGGACACCGACCAGTTTCTTATTCTTGCGTCAGATGGGGTTTGGCAAGTTTTCAGTGAGGAAGAGGTCATTCTTCTTATGGAGGATCTTATACCAGATATTGATGTAAGGGCCATTGTAAAGAGAATGCAAGAGAGAGCTTCTGCACTTGAGGTGGGACTGCCTGTCCCAAAGTGGAATGAAATTCCCAGACGTAACAAGGGTGCAGCAGATACTGAGGGAGACAGTGACATGTCACTGATACAGACTACTGATCAAAGTTCACTAGAAAACATAGCAAGTGACGAAGAAAATGATAATTCCATAGAGAGATTCCAAAAAATGGACATAGAAATGGATGAAAATAAAAATGCGACAAATTCTACTGAGTTACTGCCTTCCCCCTCTGCCAGATCACGAACTGCAAAGGTCTTGCGAGAAGAAAAGGCTTCGGCGCTTGCCAAGGCCCTGAGTGAACGGCTGGTGGAAGGTTCTATCCTGGCTGGTAGCCATGACAATATCACTGTTGCAGTTGTTCTTTTGAGTGGATGTCCGCTTCAGATGTTTCTTTTGCCATCACTGTGATTAATACATTCGAAATTCTCATAGGGTCACCTCAAACTTCATCATACAAATTCTGATACAGGTCTCTTAAGTTGGATCTAGAATTTGGTGTTGCACTTGGAGATAATTCCAACATTTTGCTTTTGTGTCAAAATGAAACGAGTCAACTTGAATTTTCCAAATTTCGTCTGTCATGGGTACTTTCAAAGTATGATTTTTTATTTATTTCTTCTAAATGCCAATTTACAATGTATGATTTTGATTGGGAAACAACAAAGCTAGCTACCTAAAGGCGTATAACCTCTACTCAAAATATTATTGCTTTACAGAGTTTGAAATAAAGACATGATTCATGCACAGTGCTATGCCAGATTTCTTTTTAGAGACTACCTGCAGTTTAACTAACAACAAACAAACAAACAAACAAGGAAAGTCAGCAGAGAAATTAACAGAAGTTTAGAATATTCTAAGTTGGTAATTCTTGTGCTGTGGTGCAATTAACCAATTTCATTAAAAAAAACTAGGAAGAACAGAAGAGAGCCAATTATTCATCTTTTAAGCCTGAAGAGTGACAAGTATCTAATTTCTCCTCACAATATCATCCCTGAATCACATATTAAGACCCCAACAGTACAGGAAATGGTTACTTACTAACACAGCTTTTGATTGTTAAACAAATTCTTCTTGTCAGAATCTTAGGAAATGTATGAAGAAGAGTAGGGAGAATATGCATATTGACATTAGGGGTGTAAAGGGTTAACCTTTTAACTCCCAAGATCTCATCAGTAATTCTCCTTACTGTCTGCCATACAGTTGTTGTGATGTTTGTTTGGAGAATTTGGTGTTGGATCAATTTATAATCCCCTGACTGATATTTTTCTTTATTCTCATCACTTGTCTGCTTGATGTTGTAATGAGACTGTAAGGAGAAATTCTTTATTGGTCACTTATGGGAGTAAAATGGTTAAATAAATTTTTTTAAATGGAAGGTAGAGAAGACAATAGATAACTAGGAGGGGAAGGGGTATCCCTTGTTGCTCTGTTACTTAATGTGTGAATATTGGAAAGAGTCACCATCTAAAATGGGGCACCAAAAATAAATGGGTGTGACAGAGATGAAAAATTTGCAGGCATGTTCGGAACTTGAGTAGGCTCATGAGTGAAACCAAAGCCAACACTAGTAAGACTAAAATGACAAAATTTCTGAAAAATTGAAAAGCAGCACATTTTTTTGGCCAAGGTTAAGATGGAAGAAGGTTATGGCTTACTTTTCTGTTTTAGTAGGAAAGACCGTGTCACTGTCATTTCAAACGAATGTGCATTTTTTGGCTCTGATGTTCCTTCTCATTACCATAGGAATTGCTTCAACATAAGTAGGCCAACTCACACATATTTGAGATGTTTGGAAAAGTATTATGAATAGTGTTGTCTTCACTGTTGGGCAGGTCTTGCTTAAGTAGCTCTCAGTGTTCAACCAAGGATGAGCAACTTTAGATACAACCAACTCCAGATGTTGATCAATAGGCCATCTTACAGTTGTGTTCTTAGTTGCCAAGCCTTTGATCTGGAGTGAGGCTGAAGTTGACCATGTTGTGATAGAGATCAGTGTCTAGTTAGCATAATAACAAGGCAATGTACATTTGAAAAGCAGCAAGGTTTGTATCATAACAAGGTCACCCTTAGCCTCACTCCTGTTGAAAGGCTTGGCAACCAAGTACACAATTGTAAAATCAACTGTAGGGCACAATTATACTGGCATAGAGCAAAAAAGAAATTTAAACCAAAAGAAAGGGAAAAAAAAAAGAAAGGAAGTTCAAGACAAGAGCAACCTTTCCAAATCCTCTTTTTGCATACTCTGGGCTCCTGTCAGTAAAACCAATAAATCTGCTCAAAAATGATAATTTTCTTCTTCCATTTATTTTGTCAAAGTAACCACAATTGCTTTTTTTTTTCTATTTACAAGGTCTTACCTATTACCTTGCAGGTACACTAGGTTTACACAAGGTTCTAAATGTTAAAATGGGATCAATTCACTGAAAATATAAACATTTAATTGAACCAGGCTAAAAGAGAAATGAATACAACCATATACAACCTAGAATAGCTTTACCTCACAGGAAAAGACTCATCACAAAATGGACAATTCAAAACTGTATAAAATACAAGTCTATACAAGAGTAAACTTCCTGTCAGAACGCTTCTAGGGTAGGACCTCTTTAAAATACAGTGTATATACATGTTTTATAGTTAAATGTGACGTTACTGTGATCATGCAGGCAGCTGTCAGTGTGACAAAGGTGTGCGGCAGAGTGTGTGTCTTTTAAAGGTACTTTAACATATGTAATCGTGGCATCCTGAAAAGACTTGCATGAAGTCTGGTGCAGTCTCATCAGCAAGCAAGTCCTCTCCTCCTACTCAAGTTATTAGCTCTTCTGTCAACTCTGCTCTTGTTCTCTTTCTTACGCCGTTGTTCCCTAAAAAAAAAATTTCAACAAAGGAAAATACTAATTTACCAGTTATAATAACCAGTTTATTGGGATTAATTTACTAAGTGTTACAACTGTTAAAATCACTCACTTTTAAACCCTATCATTCCCAAGATCTCATTTATTAATTCTCCTAACTATCTGTTGTACAATTCTGGTGATGTCAGTTTGAAGAATTTAGTATTAAATCAACTAAAAATCCTCTAAGTGATATTTTTCTTTATTCTCATCATATTTCTGCTTGATATTGTATAGCCATAGAAAGGAGAAATACTATTGTGGTCACTTGTGGGAGTGAAAAGTTACTCTTTTGAGAACTTTTGACACAATAATGGTGGCTGAAGTTTGTTCACTAAGAGCTAAACAGATAATTTGTAAATGTGCAAGACTGCTACTCTGTGGTTGAAGTCCTTACCTTGATGTTACTTTCACACTTTTGACATCCACTTTATGATTCTTCACTTTAGCATGGCTCATGGTAGGCCTTACTTCCTCCTTGCATGAAGAAATAGGTTTCAATTTTCCAGTGTGTGGCTTGTAGGGTAGTGGTTTGGCCAAGCTTGCTTGGAGATCAAATTTTTTTCTTGGGGTTGGTGTTGTGACATTTAGTGCATTGGCTGGCAAAAATCTGAGGACAAAAAAGATAGAAAAGTTGTTATTACAAGATTCTAAGTCTTTAAGATTATAGTAGTACAGGTTCCAACAGAAGTCAAAATATATGCTTGTAACAAGAATGTCTAAAAAGACTTCAAAGTTTTGTTTGTATATGCCATGACGCAAAAGACTACAAACTTGATCCAGATGAGTCCCTTTTGTTGACTAAATAGTACTATCTGCAGTTGAAACGAAATAAATTTCCATAAGGCAAAAAAAGCTTGAAATGCTTGAGGCAAAATCTTACCTGAAAGGTGTCACAGCAATTGACTTGCGGGATGGATTTGCTGGTGTTTTTGATTTGTCTTCCTTCCTGGCTGTTGCAGGAAGGGATTTCCGTGCTAAAGGAGTCTTGGGCTTTTCAATGTTTGAAGCAGATCCAGAAGTGATAGGCTTGAAAACTTTGGGTGATTTCAATCTGAGTTTCTCACTTTTCGTGGCAATTTTGTTAGCAGGCTGGAAGAATGGTTTTGGAGCAGGAGAACCAAAAACAAATGTAGATGATTTATTGATAGTTGTAACAATTGGCTTGAATGTAACTTCAGCTGGTTTGCCATGATTTTTCCTTTTTGTTTCAGTGGACTGCAAATAAGAAAACAACACATATTATATACATTTATGACCAGACAATCTATTATTGATTAACCATAACACTATTTAGAATATTATTACATTTGAAGTAACATGGTTAAAAAGGCTATTTAACCCTTTAACTCCCATCAGTGACCAAGACAGAATTTTACCTTACAATATCAATACAATATCAAGCAGACAAGTAATGAGAATAAAGAAAAATTTTGATTAGGGGATTATTAATTGATCCAATACCAAATTCTCCAAACTAACATCAGAAGAGCTATATAGCTGACAGTAAGGAGAATTATGATTGAGATCTTGGGAGTTAAAGGGTTAACACTTTCCCCTTCACATCAGTATGCATATTCTCCATACCATTTCCTAAACATTTCCAAAGGTGCTGACAAGGAGAACTACAACGTTTAGTTGTTTATTGATTCTTTTATTCCCCTGACCATAATGTTTGAATTAGGGGATGATAGTGCAAGGAGAAATTTGATACCAGCCATTCTTAGGGGTCAAAGGGTTTAGGGCTGACAGTTGACCCTTGAACTCTGAAGATCTGTGTCAAGTTGTTTAAAGCTAGGTTAAGATAACCCAGGGTTAGCGTGAAATCTGACCTCAGATCTGAAAGCTTTAAAGGTATATTTAGTATCTTTTTGCCTACAATTTGATGCCTGGATGTTCTAAAAAGAACTGAAGAAATTATCTGAAATAGGCCTTTGAAGAAGGGAATAAAGTAACTCAGATTAAACTTAACCCTGGGTTAGCACTAATTGGCCTTTGAACAACTGGTCACTGGTTGTCTTTTCTCCCTTCTAGCTGTTACACATTTCCTTGTAAATAAGTTAGGGGAATTTGGTGTTAGATCAAGATAACAACTGATACACTTGAGTATTCTCATCACCTGTTTGTAGGATAGTGAATGGACGTGGTAGGGAGAAGTTACTTGTTAATCACTTCTGGGAATTAAGGGGTTAAGTTCCTGGACCCAGTTGTTCAAAGGCCAATTAGCACTAAACCAGGGTTAAATTTCAGTCCAGGTTTCTATATTTCTCTATTCAAGGGCCTTTTGGAACAATTTTCCCAACTCTTTGTAGAGAATCCAATCATCACAACTGTAGTCACAAATAATTTATAACTGAATTTTCTGTAGCTTTCAGATCTGAAATTTAAATTTCATGCTTACCCTGGGTTATCTTAAACAAGCTCTGAACAACCCAGCCCTCAATTTTGAAAAAGGTTACATCCATTCTAATAAGTAATTGCATCAACTCTTGATGGCTTAAAAACTATATTTGAAAAAAATTTCAAAATTTCCTCTTACTTTTCTTGCTGAGGATTTCCTATTTTCCTTCTCCTTCTTGCAACCATCTACCACAATCTAAATAAGAAACAAAGTGAACTTATTAGAACTGAAGACTAATATATAATGCAGATAACCTTTTATATGTGATGTAACTTAGTCAGTTGCTTTACCTTAGCTTTCTTGACTGACTGATTAAAACCCTCCATTCTTTTCCTTTTCTTCTCCAAATATACATCAATTGAATCCATCCTGAAAAGAAAAAAGAAATTTATCTTAAAGTAAAAAGTGTAATTTCTTACCTTCAGAGTAACTAGCAAAGTCCACCAGTGTCTGTGTGCATGTTTTCTTTCTCAACTGACCAAGAGCTTGTTACTACAACCAGCATCAAAATTAATTGGCACATTATAGCTAAAAATTAACTCCAGTCTATGGTGGCCAGTCAGGCCAGTTTCCTTGAATTCTAAGTGGCCCATCCCAAGATGAAGTAGCCCTCAATTTCCTCTAGTTTAAAATGAAAAACTTGAATAAACGACCCATGCCTTTTAATGGAGTGTTAACTAAAAGGAAAGAACAAGCTCGTGAAATCATTGTTAAAACAGCTCGGAATTTCCACTTCAGAACTAAAAATTTACTAAAATGGATGATCTTAGAGTCCAGGCAAAGTAATGAAGAGAAAGTTAGTCCAATTAAACCACATATTGAGTTTTATTTTTAACTTTGTACTTCGCATAATTTACATTGCAACTTTTCAAGATTCTGTGGTGTAGTCGCACATCAGGTGTTCAAACCTTAACTTTTGGTGGCCCTGGTCAGTTTTAACTTGCCACTGGTGACCGTGCAATCGCCCATTTTTAGCCCTGCATCATGTTTGAAGAGTTCTATTTATGTGTAGAATAACACTCCTGTTTCTACCACACTCAAAATCATTCACAAGACCCCCCCACCCTCAGTATGTAGAAAAAAGTTTATAGAATCATGATACAACATTTTTTTGTTGTTTTTGTTGTTGTTGTTGTTGCTGTTGTTTTTTAGGGGGGGAGGGAGGGGGGGCAAATAGGTTAACTCACATGAACATCTATCACTTACTTTTCAAACTGTTGCTTGTGAATCTTGTTCCATTTATTAGCTAACAACATAAAAACAAAGTATTGGAAATTTTTTCATCAAATTGAATGCTTGTTATAAACATGTATCAACTCATTCAGAATTATGAACATCCAGTGAAAAGAAGTTCAAAGCTGAAAAAAGGTTTGTTTTTATTGAAACCAGGAAGCTCACCTGGAGTTTTATTTGTTTCTGCTGCTGACTCTTTACCAAGGAACTGAACAAATCGGGGGATTTTACATTCTGCAGGCACTAAAATGTTATAGAAAAAGGTTCACTCATAACTCAATTTATGACATAACAATGCAGCACTCTTAGCTCTGATTCTATTCAAATTCATGATTTTGCAAATTAAATCATATAATGGTCACAAGGCAATCTACTATAACACTGTGAAATGTAGTCGGTAACTCAGCTTCTCCTGGTATGATTCATTTATTTATTATATCCTAATAAACTTAAATGAAATCTTTCTATAATTGCAAATCATGATAATACCAGTTTAGTATATATACAAATTAAAAATATTATGCCATTGATTTAAGGTGCAAAGTTGCGTACAGTCATGTGCTGTCAAAACTCTTGTAACAAACAGTTCTGTTAGCAAACAGCTTACAAAAGACCAGCCTGAGACCAGCTCACCAAATTTTTTTTTTCTTTTTCATCAACCAAGATTTATTATTAGACTCCTTTCTTAGCAGCCAGCTGCAAGCACCAAAATATAATTATCCTCTTCAATTTAATCTGGGTGTCTGTTGATTTGGAACACGAACTGTACAGACTGTGGATGTTTCAATGTTAGGCTTACTTTTTTCCTCAACTTTCTTATCAAGTTGATCCATTAGCTCTCTCTTGTAGCTGTCATCATCATTATCACTTTCATGATTGAAATCTGTTGTTTCTGGATCTTTAGCTGCTTCTTCTATCTTGGTGCTGTCAGCTGTTTGTGATTCTTTTCCTTGCTCAACTAAAGAACTACAAAGGGAGAAAATCATTAGTTCAGCCTCTGTATAACACTTCAAAACAGACCGTCTTCACAAATTAGAGTTTTTTCCCCCCTTACAATCTGGTTTCCTAAAAATGATTCATTCCATCACTTTGAGAGCATGCAAATAATTATATCTCAGAGAACATCTACTTACTCTTCTGCTGCGCCAGTAATCTTTAATGCATATATCTTTAGTTCTTCAATAAGATGAGAAGTCTGAAATGTTTTGCACGATGTTAATAAGTGACAAAAGTTGCGAGCAATATGACTCTGTGTGATCTTAGTATTGAGAAATTCACCGTATTATCACAAATGAATGAACATATTAATTTTGTAAGTCTGTTATATGGAGAATGGCACGCAAAACGGACAAAACAGTCATCCAGAATTATAATTTCAAATTGTGTTACTCGAAGCAGAAAGACAGAAAGCAATCTCTCTTCATAAACAGGTGTCTCGTCTTGACAGATTTGTTAAAGGAAAAGCTCACATATAATATAATTAAAACCGCTTTAATGATCGAGTTCAGGAGTCAAAACGTCAAAATATATATTTGGTTCAAAAAGGAAAACATCATTCTTCAATATTCAAGTGATCAGGAGGTAGACACCTCCACAAATTGTCATCATTTCAACTCTTCAGTGGAAAATTTGCGGCCCCGTAATTTTGCCTGCATAATTTGACCATCAATCTGTTATGTCGCATGCTGCATATTATTTGAAACTGAGAGGAACTGCGTGCGTAATTGTCTTTAGGTCAATTTCCAGAACACAATAAATGTTGCATGCTTGCACGCTTACCTTGCTGTTGGCTCTAATTCCCACGCTCTTACAGAGCTTTTGAAGCTCAGCGCGCTTCATTCCCTCAAGCTCATTTGCGTCAAAAGTTACAGCCATCGTGACACACAATACTGACAGGCTTACAACCCAACTACTGGTCCTGATTAGATCTCTTTTTTATACAGTTTCAAGCTCTTTCTGTTCAAAACAAACCGCTCACTGCGTCTAATGGCGGTAGTCGCACTTCATCGAACGTTTGATCACCCACAGCTGAAGTTTGAAATGGACCGCTTACTCTTGATTGGCCAGTTCCTCAGAACGCGAACGACTGGGAGAAAGTTCTTAGAGATATGGTACTCAGTCCCCACACGTCTTTGAGCAATGCCTCGTACATTTCAAGCCAGATGTCTCCTGCGGCGTAGGAAGGCACCCAAAATATTGTTTATGTTCGGATAATTTTAATCTAATCAATATTTACACAGAAGCCGACAATACAATACTTGAGATATTCATGTTTACAAGGGAAGTAAGGTGCTTATGCGTAGCATTGACTCGAATTCTCAAGGACAGAAACTCACAACGATTCGAACGCGAGCGATCGAACGTTCCATGCCACGGATCAACAAATGCCAAGTGCTATTGGTATGTGCAATAGCTTGCAATTGTGTCATCTTATTCTACATTTCTCATGTACAAAACACAAACGGGGAGTGGCTAGAACAAAGCAAATTAAAGGCAATTAAGGAGAAAATTTCCTTTCTGGGAAACAAAGCTACGCAATTTGAAAATGAAGTGACTATTGTCTTCTTGGAGTTTGAAAACTTTGAGAATGACATTAGTCGAACAATTCGTTCCATTTTGGAGTACTTCCCAAACGTTCATATTGTGCTGATATCACTTAAACGATCGTATCCGCCATTAGATATTCCGAATGGCAAAATTCAATTGGTTGTGCAAGACTTGTCCCCCGATCAAAAGCAATCGGCTGGAAGACCCGAGAATTATATCACAACGCCATATGTCATGTTCATGCCAGATAGTGTCCGATTCAGCTCTTCAAGTTTGCCAGTTATGATGCTTGAAGAGCTTAAAGCTTTGGCTGGCGTGAAACCTCAATATAAAATTGTTACAGTGCCAGTGAAATCAAAAGAAACTATACAGTGCAACAAACTTTCATTTGACCTTAAACGTTGGACATTAGAGTACTCAGTTTCCGAAGATGAAGCACAGAGCTATTACCGAACTTGTGATTCTGTTGGCCCCAGTCAAGTGGTTTTGGTAAAAGCTGCATTCCTTCACAGCCTTAGTGCACCATACTTACGACCTTTTCCTGAAAGTCTCTTCATTCAAGCTTCGCTGCACCATATAAAAACAAAACTTCTCCACAAGGTTTCTTTCTCACAAGGATCCATGCTCTTTTCAAATGCTCACACAAAATGGAAATATGAGAATAATGTCAAAACAAGAAGAAATGACATGTACAGAAAACTAGGGGTCAAGAAAGTTGTTCTTCCATCAGGAGAAGTGGAGTGGTATGGCTGTGGCAAGAATACAGGACGGTGCTTTGGCACTGTTTTCGATGATATGCCTGAATATCTTTATATGTCAAGGTGGACACCACCCTGTTGTTTGGAAAATCTGCGTCAAACTGCACGTTATCTTTTCAACATTCTTAAAGAAGCTGGTGTAAGTTATTGGTTGGAGGGAGGTAGTTTGTTGGGCGCCGCTCGATATGGTGACATCATTCCATGGGATTATGATATAGATATTGGTATTTATCAGCATGAAATCAACAAGTGCTCATATCTGGTTGAAGCAGAAAAGCTCTCAAATTCTGGAAAACCATATGTTGACAGTGAAGGCTACACTTGGGAAAAAGCCACTGAAGGAGAATTTTTTCGCATCCAGTTTAGTCAGTATAATCACTTACATGTGGACATTTTCCCATTCTATGAAAAAGATGGCACCATGACCAAGAAAACCTGGTTTGAAACTCACAGACAAGATAGGGAATTTCCTGCTCATTATTTGAAGCCTCTAGGAACAATTGATTTCATTGGAATGAAAGCATCTGCTCCAAACAATGTCAGAGAATTTCTGGAATTCAAGTTTGGTAAAGGTGTTATTGAAAATCCTCAATATCCAAACCCATCAAAACTAAAAAAAAAGTCAAAGGTTAAGAGTTGATCCCTTATTAAATGTTAGGAATGTATTTTGTGAATGAAATCACTATATTTTCACCAGTTAAGCTGCTTTTTGTTTTTAGTTTCTCACTCTTTGTGGGGGAAGGGACAAACTAACTCCAAGTGGCTTTGAGATGCCATGTCCTGAGGATATTTTTTCGGGGGGTGAATGTCACAAAGTATTTATACAGCAAATAAATGCTAAAATTTTGAAATGGGCAAGTGAGTTCCTAGTTAACTCACATTTCATTCGCTTGCCATCTTCTCCATCAACCTTGTCAGTGACTGACAGGTATTATTTTCCTGTGATCATCATCAGTGGCCCCTCCTTGTCATGTTTTACTACAGAGAAAAAATTGTAATGATAAAATTAGTGTTTTTTTTCTTTTTGATGATTGCATGGAGTGTTACTCTTTGGCAACAGGTGCTCTTCTCATTTGTAACCTTTCAATGTATATTAAGATTTTGATAATTTTCTAAAGAGAAGTATAAATCTCTAAATGTATTTAATATGTGACATATTTTTGAGAAATTGGAATAGATATGAACATCAACAAAGAATAAATGATCAGTCTACCATTCCAGTTTTTATATTGCAATGGCTATACATTCCATTTTAATCCAAATTCCTCTGCAAATTTTTGATTTACCAGGGCAATTTATTTTTGTCAGACCTGGAGAAAATTCTCCATATTTTGCCCTCTTCCCTTGCCACTTCATTTTTCAATGAAAACTCTGGGAACCAGAGAAAAACACTTCAAGGGAGCTGTGTCATGATTCTCTGAGTGAATATTTGCACTCGGTGGTCATTGAACTGGCTTTTATTATTGGTGCGTTAGTACAAGTATTTCTTCACCCACCAGAAAGTATGAACCCTTGTAAATGGTGAGCTGGCAAAACGTGAGGCTCCAATGAGGAGGGTCTGCTTAAATTCAATGCACTTGCTAAAAACTATCTTCAATTTAACCTTTTGACACCCAAGATCTCATTAGTGATTCTCCTTACTGTCTGCTACACAATTCATGTGATTTTATTTTGGAGAATTTGGAATTGGATCAACCAATACATTTTGAGACTACATTTTGAGGTAATTTCATGAAGTAACCAAACTTCGGATAGAGTGTCTTCGAATGACATGAGAATTAGTTTATATGTTGCCATTAAAAAACAAACGAAAGGGGGTATTTAAGCTGCACAAAACATGAAAAAGCACGAGGCTCTCTTCATTTGCAGCTATTATCAAAGCTGATTTTCGTAAAAAAAAGAAAATAAAAAACAGTAATGGTAATGGGATTAAAAACTGCTATATTAGGAGTATCTAAGAAATGGGAGGGGGGGGAAGAGGGAGCGTTTGTTACGGCAAATTGCTCGAGAAGATTAGAAACGATTGTGTCCATATTTTAATTTTATCTCACGGAAACAGTTTTTGAATGGACTGAAGTATGGTGTCTCAAAATACTGGTAGTGTCAAAATTCCAAGAAATACTTTTTTATGACTAAGATGAAAATCGCATGGTTTATATAGATTCGTTGATAATTATAGTCAGTATGCAGAGGAGGAAAAAAATATGTTGTTATTATGCTGAACAAGAAAACTCCCATTACTTCATCTATGCCGAAGGAAAAATAATTCCCTGTAACAATTTCTGTCCCGCGTTTTGAGATTCTTGCGTGTGATTGGTAGAGAACGAGTGAATGTTCTGGACGAACGATCAGTTTTTTTACGTGACCATTATCGAGCGCTGATTGGTCCTTAGAGAATTCAGTAAATGGACTCTATAATTTATGCAGGAATATTGAATATCAAGCGAGCGAGTCCGGCCCAGTTTTTAGGGCGTCTCTCACTGCTTTTGATCGTAGATTCGATTCTTACCTTGCTTGTTTCGCCCGCGTATTTGATAAATTTCAGGGAATTGTGCGGTCGATCAAAGCGTTTGAACCATGTCTGTCGATGTGAAACATCCGCTTGATGCGGCAAGCACCGATCTGCTCGAAGTGAGTCGCCATCGACTCGAACCACTCTCGACAAAGATGGAAGAGCGAGATGCAGACGTTATGAAGGTAAGCATAGAGTATATATATTTTTTCATGGATCGGACCGTCTCCAAACCACATCACAAACACCGAGGTATTCTTTTGCCCAAGGGCTGTATTAAGCTCCAATCGATATGGATTTTCTGAAGTAGGGAAGCTTCAAATGTTTGAAATGTCACTAGTATTCGTGCGTGACGAGAAGCCTTTGGGGGAGCTCTACAGAAAACGTGGAAATCGAACGATCACTTCTTCGAATACAACACGTTTGGATAAAGGAAAATCTGTTGAATGACAATCGATAAGAAACGCGAATCCTAGGTAAGGGGTAATTTATCCAAGTCGGGAAAATTGAGACCTGAATTAGAATTGTTTTAAAGTCAATGTTGCATCTAGCCGCCTGGCGGCTTGCTTCTTTGTGCCTAGCATGTGTTTTCAGTTTGAATTAATGCTTATGTCAGCGAACGTTCCAATGACAGTTTTTCGTTAAATTCCTTGTAATTTCACCCTATTTGTAACCCACATTAACAGTGGGTACTACCGAGACCTTGATATCGATCGCAGTTGGTCGTAGTAATTTGGAAAAGAAAAGTACAGATCGAACGAGGTAGACCTAGAAAGCTCTATAAATTTGAATGTTGCTGTACATGTTGGTATTTCGAGAATCTTTGTTAAACGAACTCTGTACTACTGTAATTGGAGTTTTATGAGAGTCTCTCATTTCATAGACTGCTTACATGTGCCATGTGATATTTCTGAAGATCGAGGCCATTTGCAAACTATTTTGCAGAGGAGAGACACGAAAGCCCTTCGTTTAAAAAACACACACTTTGTCAGGGTTAGCCACGTTACTATGATCGCAACCACTGAACTGTGTTGCACGCTTGTAAAACACGTTCCACTCTAATAAAAGGCTGTCGCATTTAAATTTTTATCTCACCGATCGATTTTTGCTGAAAAATAATCAATACAAACACTGGCGATGCAAATTTCCACGCTCACCCGCCCATTCATTGCTTTCTGTGGTATGTCTCATTGTTGCTGATTTCTGAAATAGACAACACCGATTCAACAGTCACTGTTTACATTGAGCTATCAGGTTTCGGCTGATCGAAAGTAAACGTTTGCTTCGAATCGAAGCTTTGATTCCAATTTTTGTGAGTGCTGTTGAAAAATACGTATTATGAATTTTCAGTGAAAATCAAGATTCAATACCGTTGGCGACGCATACGGCTGAATACATTTATATGATTTCCTTCGACAAAAGATACGATCAAGAGACATTTTGTCGGGTTCTTGGGGTTTCTTCTCTGTGCTCGCTACTATTTCAAACGGAATTTAAAACAGTTTCTTTGATGGTTGGATACTAAAGGAGTGTTTTAATTTTGTGTGAAGCATTGTTGAATCGATGAATATTACTTACAGTGCGTGATCGAGGCGGATATTTTGTCCTGTGCAGTTTAAATTCACTGGATTTCTGGAGGTTACTCCTTGTCTTGTAATTTGCTTGTAACGATCGATTAGCCATTTTGGGGTCTTGCTATGTTATTACCAACGATTGAAATCCAGCAAATGAGTTCATCAGAAAAGATGACTGAATATTCCTGATGACTTTCACAAACTTCCTATGTTTGGATAAAATTTGTAACACTTTGGAGTAGGAAGTTTTTACTGAGCAACACATAAGACACAAGCTTTCAATATTGAGCGTAAAAGACAAGATATAACCCATGTATCAGGAATTTATTTCGTTGATGTTAGCTTGAAGTTTACCTTTAATGTACTCCATTAAACTCATGACGTATACCTCTGAAGATAATCAAATGCAGCAATAGAAAAATTTATTTTCAGTATGTCTGTATGAGTTTAAAAAAGATGAACTTTCCTTACTGCCTAACATCTATTCCTATTTAAAATTATTTTTGACACTATGTTTCATCAAAAACAATTTACTTAAGGTCAAAGGGTTCCTGTATGCTGACAAGATTAACCAATTTGAAAGGAGTAATTTCAATTAATACCATTTATGTCAAATAGCTGGCGACAAGACTGGTTACTTGCACTACGTGCACTCTCTGTCTTAATTGAGAAAAAAGATGCAGGGAGGATTTAAATCAATTCCAGTTTTTCATCAGGACTTATGACAATACCTCTTTTTTCATTACATTTATATTTATATTCAGTAATAACATGTTTGTGAAGTTGCTAACGGGTACATATTTTACTCAAATATGTATCCCAGAAGCACTTGATATAATATGAAAAAAAATACTTAAGCTTAAATAGGTTAAAGTTTTTTAGTATGCAAGATTTTCTTGCACTAAAGAATTTGTTTCCTTACTCTTTCCTGAACTTAAAACTTGCACCAGCTTTCAATTTATTAAAAAGACTGCCACATGCTTTATTTTAAAACAAGGTTACACCCTAACCTCCCCATGCTTTTTTTAAATACATTTCCTATGGTGCCAGCAGGGAAAATTTGTTTAACAATCAAGAGCTTCTTAAGTTGGTGATCATTCTTATGACCATAATGTATGATTCAGAGGTGATATTGTAAGGAGAAATTAGAGACTGGTCACTCTAAATGGTTATGAAAGAATAGCTCACTGTTCTTTAGACTGCTATCTAGAATCAATGATGGAATTCAAAACTCTAAACTGGACTTGACCACTTTATCAACCAAATACTGTGTTTTATTGCAGATAACATATTAACTGATTCCTGAAGAATACTTTCATTTTTCTTTCTTACTTAACCTTTTAGAACACTTTGGTTGAAATAACTGGGTAAAATTTGTCATGGAAGTTTATCTCTCTCCAACAAGGTCAAGTTTGTGTATACCGTAGACATGTTAAATGGAACATGTGGCCCTCACCTGTGAAAAATTGAATGAAAAAAAAATTGATCCAAAAGTTGTATTGATTCAGTTACAGGAAATACCTTGATATGTTACTTACAACTTTATCCTTTGGGCTTACTTCACATTGCACCCACAGAAAGTTTCTTTAAAGAGGCATTTTGAAATTAAAGGGAAGGTCAGTAGAGCTTAAAATAAGCCCCAACTACTTCAGACAGAGAAGCATAATCAATTGCTGAATTAGTAAAAATGTAAATGAAAAAGTCCTTGAAAAAGCAAAGAAGATGAAAATTTTCCATCTGAAATTTATCAAGAGCCTTAACTAGGTAATGTAGCTTTTCTTCAGTGGTCTAGTAATATGTTGATGTTCATTCAGACTTTTGCAAAACCATTTCAAGTCTTTGCTGATTATACGTTTGGAAGACAATATTTAAAATTCTTGTGTAAAGATTGCCACTGAAATATCAAATGATAAAATGAACTCAACTGCAACTGAAGAAGGAATGATACTCAGTATATCTTTGAGGCAATGGCAAAGATGAGCTGTGGCTTAAGTGCAAAGAGAGCTATCCAGTAAATTCCAAAATGTCTATAGAAAATAGATTTAATTTCTGATTGCCCTCAATTCGCCATCGCAAAATGACCAGGGCCTGGTTGTTCAAAAGGTGAATCACACCATCCAAATGATAAATCACTACACAGCGTATAAGTGTCGATGAAATGTACTGTGCTAGATATCCAGCAGATAACTTTATCCACCCTTTAAGCAACTGCAGCCTGATGTTTAAGTATCGTGTCATTACAAGAAATCCAGAAATCACATTTTGCATTGATCTCAGCACTCTGTGACTGTTCCTAATAATTTGCGCCCTTCTCAGCGAATCTGATGCAACACAATGACTAATCCAGTTAGAGGCTGGTTACATTTAACCCTTTAAACTCCCAAGATCTCATTGGTAATTCTCCTAACTATCTGCCAAGCAATTCTCATTATGTTAGTTTGGAGAATTTGTTATTGGATCAACTAGTAACCCTATAATTAATATTTTTCTTTATTCTCATCACTTGTCTGCATGATATTGTATAGATATAGTAAGGAGAAATTCAGTCTTGGTCACTCACAAGAGTTAAAGGGTTAATAACCCTGGATTCTTAGTTGCTTCTTGTCATATTTACCTTTGTTGTATTTTGTCTGATTAGTCTGATTCTACGACAGTCAATTTGAATAGTGCCCATAATGTATTTTGTGGGCTTTAGTCTTAATTCACATCTTCTCTTTGTGTGTCAGTTAAATTGACAATGTTTAGCTGAGGGTTAGAGGGCTTACATAATTTTTTTTTTTTAAACAAAAATTCCTGTTCTATAGCCAGAGTAAGATTTGCCTCAAATCTAATACGATCAAATCTGTAGCTTCATTTAAAAAAGTGAAATAATAACAGAGAGTTGTTTCCCAGATCGGTTCTACCAAATCAAACAAGCTTGAAATTTTTGTATCTCCTTCTTGGCTTAACATATAGTTTCAGCGACACATCAATAATTGCAGTATCTTTATCTGTGACAGCACTTAGTGTATCCAAACATGAGGAAATATGCTTTACAAACAATCTTTGATGAAATGCTAACGTAGATAATTTTTGGAGGTTAAAAGGTCATTGCGGTCTGCTTTTAGACCCATTCAAGCAATTTAGGCGAGTAATTTTCGCATCTAATGCCTTTGGCGTGGATTTAATTAGTTCTCTGAAAGTTCTTGCTCTAACCGATGTTGTAAAATGCAGAAAATGTGTCTGTTATCGCAAAGAGGTTTTTGTTTTCGTGTAAATTTCTAACCTCTGCTGTCACGTCTTGCATTCCCGGGCTTAATGTATACGCGCGAGATGAGCCCGTGACTCACGAGCTATAAAAAGCAATTCTATTGGCTGGTGTATTTATTAGCCGTTTTCTGATTGGTTCCAGCTTGTTCGGACAGGGCGGGGAGCGTGTAAAAGGTGTCGCGTGGAATTCAGTAATGCATATTAGGAGTTTGTCCTTTTCAAAATTCATAACGGGTTGCTTTCCCATCGATATATTTCTGGACGATGTGAAGGCATCTTCTGGTTAAGAGGTATTCCTTTTTGCTTCCAGGCCCGATCGGAAAAGACGTGAAATATTTCCTGTACTTGCTCATATGCTTTATTTCCTCTCGTGATTTGGACTTGAACTACATCTGTAGAAAGAGTTAATTTGCAAACTAGACTGTAGGGAAAGAGTAAAATATTAGCGCTTTCGAAGACAGGAACAGGCAGTGTAGATTCTTTGTTAAAGTGTTTTATGTTTAATGAGAGGAGAGAGTGTGTTTACCCCGATCGCGAAGTTCAATGACTTTTACAGATTCCCCTGACACTCTTCAGTTTATTGCATCTTCACCGTTTACGAGAAATCGAAGCACTGTTGACTGTTATTCAAATTTCAGGCCTTTATTCAATCGATGGGAACGATGGGAGAGGTATCAACGGACTATCGTGACTCAGAGGAAGATCAGTGGATGGAACAACAAAGCTCCGCGCGGCTGTTCGAACGATCTCGAATCAAAGTGCTAGCAGGTTCGTATATTTGAATTGAGTTCTTTTGTTGTCTGCCATGAACGCCAAATGATTTGAGCACTTTAAAATTGAACACACATTTACCTATGATAAGCATATGTACCTGCATGTGAACTGAATCTTTAATAAAACCTCAACCGACCTTGCATTGTAAATAATTTATAATCCTCGCGTTATGAATAGTAATGATCATTTTGCAACTAGGAAGGTTTTTTGCTCGATTGTTAACAGTTCTGACCTTACGATGCATCTAAAACTTTTAGTAAATCAGTAATGCCACAAACTTATATTTCGATGATTAAAAGTAAGATGTTATTACGCAGAGGTGCGTGCGGGAATTTTATTTAGTCTTGGTGTCTTGCCTCGAGCAATCGAATGCTCACCGCTGTTTGCACGGACAAAAGACGGTTGATTGAGACAACACCGTTAATTTCTATTCGTCAGGGATCAATTTGCTCCTAATCGCATTTCAGACGTTTTATTTTTATCCAGACGGAACGTCAACTGATCGAAATAGACACATGATCGAAAAAGGGGGTAGCAAAATGCAGTTGTGAATATTTAAAGTAGAATTTCAGAGGCGTGGTGTGGGTGAGGTGTTGCGTGATTTTCGAGGAAGCAGCCAAATTGGTATTTCAATAACGTTTGAATTAAAAGGAAATTGTGACAATGACACGATTGTCTACCAGTAATTTGTAGACGAGCTCTTCGTTTTTATGCCACTTGAATTCGTGAAATACCTGTGATCGCGATCGTCGTAAAAGGAACGTAAGTAAAGAGGTGTAGTATTGTCTTCATATTCCCATGAAATACTAAATACTGATACAATATTTTGAAACCTCAAATCAGATTGCCACGGCCTTTCATGTGATTGTTCGTTTTGTTCATTTAATTTGTTTTGGTGTTGATGTTATTTTTGCCAATATGAGCTTGCATTTCAATTTGGAGAAATGTTCATTGGATTGCATCGCCTTTGCGTGACCGATTTCTTGTCAAAGATTTTGGTAATTACTTAACTAGTTGATTTCCAAAGCGGCTTTATTAAAAAGATATCTGCATGATTAGGAAAAAAAAAACTCGAAATAGTAACGACATCATTTTAGGTTTTGAACTGATGCCAAAGAAATCTGTTGTTATCAGAACTCAGCTTGCAGCAAATGCGATTATTTCAAAGAGAGGTCGAGGATGATTTGAATTTTAATTGTTAGTGACTCTATGTGGTCTGAATGCGCAACGTCTATGCTTTTACATATTGTAAACAGTGTTATTTGTCTGTAAATTTCAATTATTTTGAACAGTTTTTACTTTTGTTTAACTCAAAATTGGTGTTCGCTGTGATGAAATGTTTCTCTGTTTTAATATTTTGAGAACAACTTTTGCTTTTTGATGCAATTAAAACAGAGACACTTGTATTAGATTGGCACTTTGGGATAGACGTAATGCAGTTCAAATTCTTCAATTATTTTTTATTAACCTAATATTCACTCTTAGATGTAATTATTAGGTAACCTTACATAACATTCTTATTTAATTATTGAGAGGACAGAAAATGGAAAAGAAAACTTATCAGCTATAAGGTCTCTTTTGGGTATATGTAAAATGTTACATCAAATTCATTGGACTTATTTGGAAAGAAATTTATTTGCTAAGGAGGGATGATTTTCATTATGAAGTAAGAACATAGAATTACAATAAGTTCAAGAGTGTCAATACTGGTAGTCAATCATGTTACTGTGTTGTTTAATTTTTTTAAATTGTCAATTTGTATTTGCAGATGAAAGAGAAAAGGTTCAGAAAAAGACATTTACAAAATGGATCAACTCACATCTTCAGAGAGTTGGTGCCAGGGTTAATGACCTTTATCATGATCTTAAAGAAGGAAAGAAGTTAATTCTTCTTCTTGAAATCCTATCTGGAGAAAAGTTGGTAAGGCTGCATAGACTTGAGGAAATAAAGTGATTGCATGTCAATTGACACAATCAAGATTTTCTGGAAGTGAGAATGGCTAAATACTAATTGTTGGAAAGACTTCATTTTGAAATTTAATAACAAGGATTACTTCCTACCCCCTCACTCAATTTTTTTGTAAAAGGTTATTTGGAAATATATTCCTATGCCTATTGTACATGCCAGTTTCTGACATTGGCTATCCTGTGTAAGCGGACCAGTCTGTCCAAGCATTTTAGATCAGGTGATTTTACTGAGGTTCATTCCAGTTTAGGTCAAACCTTGGTGCTGAGTGTTTTCTTTTGCTTTGTTCATATTTTGCTTGTATACAGCTAAGGAACCAGTAACTGGACTGTCATTTGTCAAGGAACGTATGGAGAAACTAAAGAATTGAACATTGTGCAAACTCATGGATTGATAGTTACTGTAACACGATTTTTGTATAGCAAACCACCAGAGTTAAGCGTTTTGCTGATCTAGAGGAGTAAAGAATAGATTTTATGGCTGATACCCCTATGATGTATCTGAAGTTGTATATTAACATACATTTTAATTTGTCTTGTCCTCAGCCCAAACCATCCAAGGGAAGAATGCGTATTCACATGCTTGAAAATGTTGACAAGGCTTTAACATTCTTGAAACAACAGAAGGTAAGCTGGTATTTTTTATAAGTCCATGATTGAGGTAACTGAAGTTTGTATGAATTAATTATTTACTGTAGTAAACCTTAGTTTCCAATAACAGTGACAAATTTTCCTTTCAGGTCCATCTGGAAAACATTGGTGCACATGACATTGTTGATGGAAACAACAAGATTACACTGGGTCTGATATGGACAATAATCCTTAGATTCCAGGTGCGAAGATGCTCTTTGTTCTATTTCTGTGTACATTCTCAGGCCTGTAGGGAAAAGGGAAGTAAAAAATGGAAGTAGTTAATGAACCAGTCACCCTAGTTTTTAAACTTGGTTGCTAAACCTTGTGAGCTGCAGTTGGGCCAGAGTTAAAAAGGATCCTTGCCGCTTTATCTTGTTAAATCATCCTAGAAGAACATTTACAGAACCATACTTGAATTAGAAGGCAGCTCTGACTGAGTAGTTACAAGTTTTATGCTGTGTAACTGATGAAGGCTGAGCAATTCTGTCAAAATATTTCCAAGAAAAACCATTTACGCTCCAGTCAAATTTGTCTGCCTAGGATCCTCATGTTAACAATTTGATCATTTGCTTGTTCTATAAATCTTTATAAAGTCACCTCTTTCTTTCATTTATAAAGAAGACTTGGTTGCATTTTATGCAGTAATGTGTAGAAGATGGTTTATGCATTGGGTCAAACATATTTAATACATGTAATTTTTATCAGGGGAAAGTCTGTTCCAGCCACAGATGAATTAAGATTTGCAACAATGTGGTTGTCAGATTAGAAAGGATATACATGTTTGATGGTGATAACGATAATGTATTTTGTTTTTAGATTCAAGATATTACCATTGAAGGTGAAACAAAAGAAAAGAGATCTGCTAAAGATGCCCTGTTATTGTGGTGTCAGTCCAAGACTGTTGGGTTAGTTAGTTGCACTTTTCATTCTTTGTCAGGTTCAAGAGTTTATAGTTGCCTGCTTGGTTGCCAAGCCTTTGAACAATACTGAGGTTAAAGGTGACCTTGTTATGATATAAACGTTGCTGCTTTTCAAATGTAAATTACTTTGATATCATGCTAACTAGATACTGGTTTCTATCACAACATGGTCACCTTCAGTCTTACTCCACATCCAAGGCTTGGCAACTAAGTAAACAACCATAAAATGGCCAATTTCCTTTCAAAAGTGAATAGATTTTGTTTCTGGTTCTGATAGAAGTTTCATTTTCATGTTACAGGTATCGCAATGTCACTGTGTCCAACTTTACCACAAGCTGGCGAGATGGATTAGCTTTCAATGCGCTTATTCACAGACACAGGTAAAATGAATGAAATTTTCGTTCAGAGAAGTACACATAAGATGGAGGTGATGTGTACATTTCTAGATGTTTCCAAAACAGAAACTTTTAATAACATGAAGCTTAAAGTTTAACTTCAAGGTTTTTCTTTGTTGTAGTAGCAATTTTCTGTCTCCTTAAATGAAAATGCTTGCTGGTAAACTTTTTTTTTTTTAACGTTTTCTCAGCTGGCCTTGATAAGATATGTGGCAGTGTACCCTGCAACTCTCATTTGAAAGATGTGTTTATAATCTAGTAATATCCATGGTATTTGGTGGCAAAGAAGCGTTTAAGGGTTGGAGTAATGATGAAGCTTTCATCTCAATTTCGTTCAAGTTACAATGACTTACATATCTTCCATACTTTTGTTGTTAGGCCTGATCTTATTGAATATGAAAAACTAACAAAGAGTGAGCCAGAGAAAAATTTGAACCTGGCTTTTGAAGTGGCAGAGACACAGCTTGAAATACCACAGCTGTTAGAAGCAGAAGGTTTGTTGAAAGTTTGATTGTTTTTTTCTTTGTAATGATGCCCAAGTTTGATAAGGCTATGATTCCTCAGAAATGTGTTTTTTTCCCTCTTCCAAACAAGAGACAGTGAATCGTGGCTAATCATGTATTTATATGTTCATCTAGACATGCAATAGGCAAGTAAGCAAGAAAGAAAAAAGAAAACAAAGAAAAATAATGAAAAAAACAAACAACATGTTAATAACAAAGAAAATATGAACAAACTCGTGAAAAAGCAAACAAACATAGATAGGCAAAGATGTACATATTAAAGAAAAAAGTAACTAGACTTCAGCATGACAAAAAATTTGTGATTATGTGACAGCATGATGCTTACTGTAATTTGCAAACATTGCTCTTTCAGATGTCAATGTTGATTTCCCTGATGAGAAGTCAGTCATCACCTATGTGGCAGCTTATTATCATTACTTTGCCAAGATGAAGACAGTGGAAGTTAGTGGCAGCCGAATTGGCAAGGTAAGTCAAGTAACTCCAACTGTACTTGCAGTTTTCAAATAATACTAAATATCAAATGGATACTGAATATTGGATGTGTGCAACACTCATGAAATAGAAATTGGAATCAAAGCTTATCAGCCAGTAATCTTGGACCTTGGTTATATGAGATTAGTTTCCCAGGACATGAGGATGATCTTGGCTATGGTAAAAAAGAAGTAATAATGTAAATGTGTGTGACTTATAGTAACTCTAAATTAAACCTTTAACTCCCATGTGTGACCAAGACAGAATTTCTCCTTACAATATCAAGACAATATCAAGCAGACAAGTGATGAGATTAAAGAAAACGATTAATTAGGGGATTATTAGTTGATCCAATACCAAATTCTCAAAACTAACATCAAGAACTATATGGCAGACAGTAAGGAGAATTACTAATGAGATCTTGGGAGTTAAAGTGTTAACAATAACTGCTACTTGTGTTGTAGTGTATATGTATGTGAATCCCCCTCCTCGCATTTAATGGGATGATGTAGGCAATTTAAAGAAAAAAAAAAAAAAAAAAAAAAATTTTATTGCACCTCAGGTAATTGAGCGCATCAAGGAAAACCATGAGCTGATCATCGAATATGAGAAGCTGGCAACAGATCTTCTTGAGTGGATCCACATCACCATTGTGAAGCTCTCAGACAGGAAGTTTGCCAACACTCTTGTTGGAGTTCAGCAAGAGATGTTAGAGTTTAATCAGTACAGAACTCAGGAGAAGCCACCCAGGTAAGAGAAAATTGTATTATTGATAAATGTGTTTTATTTCATCAGTGCAAAACTGGCGAAGGAAACTGCATTAATAAGCCTCCAACCTCCAAATAAAGGACCCTCCATCATCTTCAGCTTCAATTTTCCCTCCCCCATCTCACATGCATCTGAAAAAAAAACTCTTCAGTATGAACACTAGGAAAAGTAATAATTCAGGCTATAATCATGTAATGCAAAGGGGTTTTGCAGGAGTACTTCTTTGTTTGGGTTAGGTAACCTTCCTGTCAAAAACTTGTATTTTAAGGTCAAAGTCAGTTTTTAATGACATGTTTTTATCATCCAAAGAAATGTAAAGTTGAGAGGAAAACAGAATTTGCTCTCTATTAGTTTATGTATTGAGCTGTCCCTCCCTCATAAACCCCCCTGAATGGAAACTTTTAACCCTTTAACTCACATGAGTGACCAAGACAGAATTTCTCCTTTCAATATCAATACAATATCAAGCAGACCAGTAATGAGAATAAAGACCAATTTTAATTAGGGGATTATTAGTTGATCCAATACCAAATTCTCCAAACTAACATCACAAGAACTGTATGGCAGACAGTAAGGAGAATTATCAATGAGATTTTGGGAGTTTAAGGGTTAAGGTGAGACAGCCACTGAGAGACTTGAAGAATTCTTTCTAGTCTTGAAATTGCTTTGTGAGTGACCCAGTTCAGAGTTTAGAATCTCTTCTTTAATATGCATGTACAGAAAGTTAGCAATTCCCTAGTATCTCTTTGCCATAGATTGTTTTCAATTGTCCTTTTGACTATTACAACCATCAGGTTTGTTGAGAAAGGAAACCTTGAAGTGCAGTTGTTTATTCTGACAAGCAAACTGCGTGCCAATCACCAAAAGATGTACACTCCTCCTGAGAACAAGGCACTGGGTGATATCAACAAGGTATGTGTTTCCTGCTCATGTATTGCATGACAAGACCAAACATTGGATGCAGAGGAAACTAGTTTTAATCCAGTAGCTCCCAGAAGTGATTAACATGTAAGTTCTCCCTATAATATCCATACATTATCCAGGAGACTGGTAATGAAAATACTCAAACTTATTAAGTATAAGTTGTTATCCTGATCTAACATCAAATTTATGTCACTGATTTACTAGGGAATGTATCGCAACTAGACGAGAGAATTAACAATCAGATTTTGGGAGTTAAAGGGTTAAGTGATTGTGAGGGAAATCAAGAGAGAGGAGATGGTTGTAGATGCAGCAAATTTTCACAAAATATAGATTTTAAGCATAAAAATTTATGCTAATTTTTCATGATACAGAAAACGTTAGGTCGCTTCAGCAAAGTGACTTAAAACATAAAAGTGTAAGAAAGCAGCTGTTATGAAAATCATCTCGTGATATTTTTCAATTGCCTTTACTCAGGCTTGGGAAGCACTTGAAAGAGCTGAACATGAAAGGGAGCTGGCTCTGAGAGAAGAACTCATGAGGTATGCATTGTCAGAGCTGTAAACAATCAAAGAATCTTTGAAATGGGCCTGCAAAAGATTGATGTATTCCTCTGACTATTAATTACACATTTTCATATAAATGCACATACATGTGTATATAGGATCTTTTCGGCAGTCTTATTTTCTGTTTATTATGTAATGTTTTTTACTCTCACAATTTCAAATCCCTGCAGCACTCTTTTAATTCTCATTTCCCTTCTTTTCATAGGCAAGAAAGACTAGAGATGCTTGCTGCTAAGTTTGACAGAAAGGTGAGCAATAACAAATCTTCCTCGAAATTTGTAACCTCAAATTTCCGCGTTTGAAAACCCTAGAGACGGGCAAGCTTAACACATTGACAAGATCGTTTATTATTTCTCTGATCACGTAATGAATTGCAGGCTGCCATGAGAGAGACATGGTTGAATGAGAACCAGCGTCTGGTGTCCCAAGACAATTTTGGAAATGACATAGCTGCTGTGGAAGCTGCTACAAAGAAACACGAGGCAATTGAAACTGATATCATGGTAAGTATGTTTGTTTGGTTAAAATTATATTCTTTATTTCGCTCATTCAATGACCATGCTCAAATCCTGAGTGTAGAGTTTTAGTACAAAGCTAAACATTTTGCAGAACATGATGATGAGAATGGAAACTTCTCAACGACAGAGCGCTTTTCTGTGCTCTGTCAAATTCGCCAGACTCTTTTGCAAGGACTAGACCAAAAGCTTGAATCGAGAATTGGTTGTGATAAAATTTGGAAAAGCACTCATCATGATAAGAATTATCACAAATTACATTTCATACTCGATTCAAATTAAGTTCAGTTGGACATGACAGTACTTTGTTTTATTTAGGCATACGAAGAACGCATCAAAGCCATCGTTCAAGTTGCAGATGAATTACACAGAGAAAACTACCATGAATCAGACAGAATCCAGGAGAGGTTTGTTTTCCAACAATTTTTTTCTTCTTCTCTTTTCACTATAAGATTTAATTGAATGCAAACTTCTTGCCTCTTTCTTTCCGTAGTTTATTCTTGATTCTAAGATCACATCTTTATCTTTTTCAGGAAAGACCTGATTTTAAGGCTTTGGGAGCAACTGCTGGAATTGCTGAAGCGTCGACGATCTCGGTTGGAGAAGTCCATGAAACTGCAACGCTGCTTCCAAGAAATGATAAACACAATTGATTGGATGGATGAGATCAAGGTAACTGAGTTTTTTTGCAGCGCTTTTCGATTTTCAATAAGAAGAAAAGTAAATACTCTGAAAACCATGAGAACTCGAAGGAAAAATAAGCAAATTGCCAAAAGTACGGAAAACGCAGATGACCAAGTTGCGATTGGTTTTAGTTTTGCATTTGATTGGTTGAGAGAGTGGCCCGAGGTTTTTTGGACCATTACAGAGAGAAGTTAAGCAAAATCAATTGACTCTATTCTGTTATAGGGTTTACACCGGTAATGGACTGTTTAAATATTTATGAAAGCCTAAAGATTACGTTCCAGGCCTGGAAAGACCTGGGACTTACTAAGCACAAGTACTGTAGAGGAAAGTCATGGAAAATGACTGACCATAATTTTTCTGAAACACCAAAGCAAGAAAACGTTGAATTGAGTGTAACTCTTAGCGTTATTTGAAAACAAATTATCGATTAAAAGTCCTGAAGGAAAAAATATCCTGCAAATGCTCTCGAAAATTTGTGGAATCTTTTAAGTTCAATTGATTCTGGACCCTTCATTTTGTGTCAGAACAAATTTACGTGAAACTCTTTGTTTCAGTGAAAGAATATTTTAGGCTGTAATGTCAATACCCACATATTAAGATCACTTATTCGTTGTGCTGTATAATCGCAGATGGGCCTTTTATCGGAAGATTATGGTAAACACTTGCTTGGCGTGGAAGATCTTTTACAAAAACACAGTCTGGTAGAAGCAGACATTGCAGCACAAGCTGACCGAGTGAAGTCTGTGAACGAACAAGCTGAAGTGTTCCTACACTTGGACAATGAAGAGGATGGTATGTAATATACAAGAAAATTGTTTTTATTGATCACAGACATCTTTATTTAGACGAGTAAGGAAAAAATTCGGCTTGTGTGAAGTTGTCGGGGACTACTTGTAAAGTGTCAAGGGTTTGATCTGATAATGAACTTTTAGACTGTCCCTCCCATTTGGCGGAGTCCGTTACGTCGAAAAAAGAAAAAAAGTTGTGAAAATAAAATTCATGTAAGCGCGCCACGCGAAACTATGTGAGTGAGGCGCACTCCCAGAGTTCCGCGCAGCAAGCTCACATCCACTTCTTTTTTTTCACTGATATTGTTAGACTAGCGCAACGGACTTCGCCAAAAAGGCCCTTTTTGGCGAAGTCCGTTGTGCGACATTTTGTTTTGTAGTGCACAGTGCTAGATGATGCAACATACAAGAGCTTGAAGTCATGGTAATTTGTTCTCTGCATTTTATTAATACAGGTTTCAAACCAGACGAAAACCAGATCAGAGATCATCAAGCTGAATTAGAAGGTGCCTACAATGAGCTCCTGCAGCTTGCAGCAGCAAGGCGTGCCAGACTAGACGAGTCTCACAAGCTACAGACCTTCTACCGGGATGCTGAAGAGGAAGAGATGTGGGTGTCAGAGAAGGCTCATTCCTTGCAGTCTACAGACTATGGACATGATCTGAACAGTGCCATGGTCCTGTTGAACAAACATGAGGTATGAGGATGTAAACACCCCTTACGTCTTGTATGGAAAATTTCTTGGATAATACGCGAGTTTCCTGGATGCAGATGGGTTGGATATGCTGTTGTGGACTGACAGGGCTGATTCGCTTATGTACTTTTTATGTGCATTTATCTTGCAGGAACAAGGGGGTGGGGGTCGATTGACTTATTTTCAGGCAAATTTGGTTGTGGGGGCTGATGCTAGCAAAAAAATCTTCTTTGGGATGTTTTTTATTAGCTTATCAATATGCTATAAAAAGTGACAATTTTAAGAGCCTTTAAATAGGGCTTATGTTAAGAAATTTCGATTGTTTTTCAGGCGGTTGAGCGTGAACTCGCGAAGCGTGACACTCATACACAGGCCGTGATGAAGAGTGGCCAGGATCTTCTGGATTCTGGACACTACTCCTCAGACACGATCCAGTCGCGCATGATCAGCATCCAGAACAAATGGACAAACTTGGAAGACGTGGCTGGCTATCGCAAGAAGAAGATCGAGGAAAATCAGAAGTTGCAACAGTTTATCTCTGATTATAATGATATCATGTCGTGGCTGGATATGATGGAAAGGATTGTCGCCAACGATGACCTTGGATATGATGAGGCAAGCAGCGACACATTGTTGAAGAAACACAAGGTGAGTCTTTATCTTAATTCTTAATTATTGTTCCAGGAGCACACTTTTGTCCTGGATTTGTTCCATGTGTTTTCCTGATTGTCGCCTGCGTTAATTCGAAGCCCTATGTCAAAGTGCAGTACAGTTCAGATTTGTCATTTCGCCTTTTTTAGCGAAATCCCAGGTCGTTTCAATTCCCTTTTCAGTGACATGATTGTACACGTTGTGTGGACAATATTTTTATGATTTTGGGCGATTTCAGTTTTTATTTTTTTTTCGTCCGGTATTTTAAACCTTTCATGGTTGTATTTGATTGTTAGAGTTACTAAGAGTCACCTTTTAAAAAAAGGCAAACTAAAACATTGAAAGAAGAACTTAGACAGCAAAGATTGAATTTGAAGTTGGTTGTAGAATCTCAAAGGAAACCTGAAAGATGCGACTCGCATAGATAATTTAAGGTACAGTTAGTGTGTCTGTTGCACTAGCAATTCATAACGTTTCCTACGTCTCATTCAGATCATCGAGGAAGACATCGAGAATTATGCTTCAGTGATCAAAGGCCTCCATGATGAGGTTGATGAACTTGGTGACGAGGACAAGACCTCCCATGAAGTGGTCGACAGATGCAGAAAGTGAGTACTGAATTTCATGTGCACCTAGCAAAATGGGGTATCTTTTGTCACCTCTGTGATTTGGCAAAATGCCAAAATTTCTGATACATTTACTGCTGAGCACTGAAGAACACTTTTTTTACCATTGTCGGTCGAAGCGAAACGACTTCTTCTTCGACATGTTGAGAAATGTAACTTGTTGCGTAACTATCATGAACTGGCACGTCACTAAACTGGTTCCTTAAGCGAACAGTTGCAGTAAGGCACAAGCATATGGATGAATGTTTTATGATTTCATACGCAAGGAAACTTGTTCCGCCGTGAAGAAAGGTGAAAGAATGTCAAGACTAATCTTTGAAGTTCTTGCATTTAATCTTAAACTTGTGTCGTTTGGATATTTTTGTAGGCCAGTCTTAATTATTTTTCCAGCTTTTAAATGGTACACAATTTTTTACTTCCTTGCAGTGTGGACACTCGATACGAAAACTTGCGTCTGCAAGCTGCTAACCGCAGACACAAACTCTTGGATGCTCTTTCTCTTCATCAACTCAACAGAGATGCTTACATCGTGGATAGCTGGATCAATGAGAAGGTTGGTTCTTGATAACGATACGTTAACTAGGATGAGAATCATTCACGTCATTGTCGAAGAACTAACAAATGCCTGACTTGTTTCATTTACGTCGAGGACGAGGAAAAAAATAAACAAACACATTATCTGTGGCGATAAGGAGGGAATGAAAATTACATTTTGTAAACTTATTACCTTTATACAAAGCATTTTAATTCTACTTTATTGGGCTGCTAGGAATTGCCCATGACATGTTAAATCTGTAATGTCGTACCCCCTGTGCCACCTTAGTTAGTCCTTATTGCCTGAAAACTTGGCATTGGTTTCTGGATAATGTGGATGATTCAAACCGCCGATGTACCAGCCTTTGCTGAATAATTTCCAGATTTATACTTGACTATCAGTTGTGCTTTCATCATAAACTTTAAACAACTGAACTTCACCATGTACAGCTTAAGTGTCTTTTACCGTAATGAGTTTTTTCTCTTTTGTAGGAGGATAGGCTCGAAGCAGCTCTCACAGTCGAAAAGAGTATGGATCTTGAAGAATGCCAAATCATTGAACAACGATTTGACGGATTCCAGCAGGTTTGCATCGATTTTTGTGTGATGTTGAGTTGCCTTTAGCATCTTTCGAGTTTTCTTGAATGATTGGGTATGAAACGAATATGCGTTTGTTCCTTGCAGGAGTTGAATGCGAACGAGAAGCGTGTTGGAGTTGTGAACGATCTTGGAGGCCAACTTATTGAGAAAGGACACATCAATTCTGATGAAATAAAAGACACCATTGATGGTCTCAACACAAAGTAAGTCCTCTGATCTAAACTAACACATATTTGTTTATTATAATTAAATAGCAAAACTCCTGTTGAATTTTTCGCCTAGGGGTGTGTTTAGAAGCAGACCTTTTGCTTGTCAAAGAGGCAAAATTTTACTGATGCTTCAAATTCGTGTTAAGTGAGAGACTTGCCACCATTCTCCCTCGTCTTTATGTCGTTAAGCAGCAGAATGAGACAGATAGGAAGTCAGGTATTGTTTGGGGAAGAGGGACTAGATTTTTATAGAGGGGGTGAGTGGTGAGATTTGGAAAGGCTATTGGAACGATTTGTATACATGTATCATATGAAGTTAAGGTATGGGAAGAAAGTGTTATGATCTTAAAAGACTGGGAACGTAACAAATTGGTGAGGTGATGGTAACAGACTGCTGATCAGGTATTCTACCTTTCCACTTACAGGTGGGCAAATCTTCGAAATGCGGCCGACATCAAGAAGGCAAAACTAGATAAAGCTCTCAGACTCCAACAATTCCATGCTGGTGTCCACGAAACCAAGGTAACGTATCTGAATTTTGAAGTAGTGTCTGAAACAAAGAAAGAAACGGATTAAAGAATTCTGTAAGGATCCAAACTCGAACCAATTCTTACTTCTGTTTGAATCCTCTCTTACTCAGCTACAGTACACTTGCTGGCGAGCCAGACAATTACTAGGTTCATAGGTCACAAGCTTTTTGCAAACTGCTTGGAAAAGTAATATCAGTAGTGTGATTGGAACCACAGCCCTTAAGACCTTTGTATATTGAGCACATTCTAGTAAAATGTGGTGATGTTGTATTGTGTCCCTGAACTTCAAATTTATTTATATTTCAATCTATTTTTGTGTCTCTAGTTGTGGATTACCGAGAAATCCAGTCTCTTGCTCAGTGTAGAGGAAGTCACTAACATGAAAGATCTTGCTACAGTAATGATCTTGCAGCGACGGCTCAACAGCATCCAACGAGATCTGGGACCTTTAGAAGACAAGGTGGGTAAACTACTTTCGGAGACTCGCCTTTTATTAGACATTGTCTTCACTATTTTTTTTCTCGTCGTAGGTCACAAAGTTGGAAAATGACTCTGAAGTTCTTTGCTCTGAGTACCAAGGGGTGAGTATCAAGAAAACAATATTTTCGAGTATTTCATTTCTGCCTTCCTACAATTAATGCGTTCAGCTTTGTTTTTGTTTTTATTAACGATTTTTTGTTCATTTCGCCCCTTTTTTACATTTGAGTGATTCTTATCTTTTTTGTTTCCATAGGAACCAGAAGAACCAATCATCAGGGATAAAATCAATGTCGTCAGCAGTGCCTGGGTCGACCTTAAGGACAACGTGAGTCGAAATTTTTAAGGATAAACTGGTACTTGTTAGAGGTGTGGCTCTATGTTGCAACGGAAAAGATACCACATTATACTGGTTTGTTAAGAAAGAAAAGCACGAGGCTGAAAAGAGTAAACATTAGAAGAACTGGAATGGTTCAGGTTGGGAAAGATTCAGAAGGATTGCAACTTATAATCTCAAAAAAAAAAAACGTTTTACCATGCAGAAACCATGGGGTAGCTCGTTATGCTACAAGTTGGAAGCACACTTGGAAACAAACTTAAGTAAGCCGATTGATATAACCTCTTGACTTGCTGCATACATTGGTATTTTTTCAACAGGTGAAGCAGCGAGATGATGCTTTGGCAGAATCAGGAGAGTTGCAGCACTTTGTTATTGATCTTGACAATTTTCAAATATGGTAAGCAAGGCATTTTGTCAGTTAAATAAATCGAGGAGGATTGTATGAACTAAAGACCCTTTCATTTCCTCTCTCTTAGGTTGAACAACACTCAGAATGAGGTTGCCTCTGAGGAAATGCCTGTATCGTTGATTGATGCAGAGAAGATGTTGAAAGAACTTGAGGACCTTAAGGTACTGTCGCTGTACTTGCCATGGAGAGTGCTGTTAAAATTAAGACGTTTTAACATAACTCCTCTCGTATTGTTTCATGTATTAAAAAAATTCCAGTCGACCTGTTGACCCAAGAGGAATTGTTAGCATTTAGCATTTACCCATGATTAAAGTAATCTTCCTATCAACCGTCATTTGAGCTCGTTATGTGTTACGATAATGCCAAAGGGAGTGTGTTGCGTGACTTTAAAGAGAGATTCAAAGATGCAAAGCAAAACCAAAACAATGCAGAATACTCTTTTGATACTCAATTGAAAGCTGCTCCAACTATGAAACGTGCCGTGGTGTAATGTTTTCTTCCTTGTCCTTTAGGACGAGATTGACAGCCGAGAACCTGACTTCAAGCAGTTGATGTTGAGTGGTCCAAAGTGGATCCAGGACGAGTCAGACCTCCAACAGCAATCGCTGAAAGAACAACTTGACAACTTGGAGACTGGATGGAGTGATGTACATATCCTGTGGGATAACAGGAAGAAAATGCTCATTCAGGCCTTGAACCATCAGGTACTAGAAGAACTCATAGCCGGAAGGACGCGAATGCACGTTCGCACGCGCAGAATGACAATTAAGTAAACGCATGAACACATAGACTAACAATTGAATGAACCCACGCGCGTGCGTGCGCTTACATGAAAGAACAAACGAACGAACTCGAAGACTTCTCAGGAAAGACACCATACTAATCGAATCGCACTTGTGTTGTCAAAGGTTTTTTGCTCCTCTCTTTGTTACAGGTACAAAAAAGAAATTTGACATTTTTCGTCGACGTTTTTACTCATCCATATTTCTGTCTGTCTTTCTTGTTAGCTTTTTATCAGAGACTCCAAACAGTGTGAAGCCATTCTCGGCCAGCAAGAGTTGTTCCTGTCCAAGGAGGAAAGCGGAGTAAGTGTAGAAAGGAAGATTTTAGCCGTCTAACAAATCCGCGTACGAAACAATCCTCTGTTTAGCTGGAACATTTATCTGAACATGTGTTTTTGTGAAAAGTGTCAAGAAGGTCAAAAGCTAACTGGGGAAGGACATTTATTTAATTGAATCAATCCTCCTACAAAGAAAGCCTGAGGCCCACTGATAGTGTAAAACCATGGTTTGGGTTAGACCTCGTATTAATAACCAACCCTTTGTGTTTTTATACATTACACAAATAAAAACCAATAAAACAATAAAATCCTTAGTTCTAAAGTCGAGCTATTAACCGGTGTAACCAGTGAGGAGTAGAAACGTTTCCGTGCTGTCGTGTAGGAGGTGCTTTTTTGACTGTTAAACAATTTTGGTTGAGTCGTCGGAATGATTTTTCTTTGATTGGTTTTAATGATATGTGCGCACTCGGTTTTTCAGGCTACTGTAGAGACCGTAAAAGAGCTGATAAAGAAGCACGAAGAATTTGATAAACGAATGCAAACCAATGACGATAAGATCAACCAAATGATCCAGTTTGCCGATCGTCTCAATGATGAAAATCACTATGCATCTGACAAGATCACAGAAAAAGCACGCAGCATCGATGAAAGGCGAGAACGACTCTTTTTTTTATTATTATTTTTTATTTTTATTTTTTATAATACGCTTTTCCTCCGTCCCCGCGTCCTCTCCTTACTTACTTCCTCCCCTTCACTCCTCGTCCCTCGCTGACTTGCTTCCTCTTCTCTTACTCTCCTGCTGTCTCACCTTTTTCCTCTCTCCATTCTTGCCTGCCTTCCCCTGTTCTTCCATCCTCCTTCCTCTTAACCTTCACGGTCTTCTTCCTTCCTACTCTTCGTCCGTCCTAACATCGAGGTTTCCGTTGTCGCAGGAGGAACGCAAATCACGAAAAGATGGCGGCAGCATTGAAGAGGTTGAGAGATGCTTTGGAGCTTCAACAATTCATCCAAGACTCCGAAGATGTAAGTGTTTGTTATGAACTACGCACGATACGATACAGAAATGGAGGTTGATAAATTTCAAGGATAATTGGCTTGATAGGAAGCCTTTTTATATTGACAAATTGTCGAGGCGAAGATGATGGGAATAGTAGAAGCTAATTTTTTTTAATGAGGTAACAGTTCAAAAAGCTTTCAATGCGAGAATTTTGTTTCTTTCAACTCCACAGATGTACGATTGGCTGAATGAGCGACTGTTGATCGCTTCGGAAGAGACTTACAGAGACTTGAGTAACATCCAGGGTAAAGTCATGAAACACAGGGCCTTTGAAGCTGAGATCCAGGCCAACAAGGAGCGCCTTGACAATATCTGTGAGGTGAGTCAGAGAGTATCCCCGAAAGCTAGTTTCCTGTCAGTATTCAACTTAGTGGTGATGCAGCTTCTGTGAATGGCCATGCAGTGTGTGTAACAACACCGAGAAAAAAAAAATTTTCCAAAGTAATATACAAAGAAGGGACGAGAATGGAGGAGGTCTGGGAATATGTTCACAGACTGTTTGGGCTAAATCGTGATACATTTCTTATTTTTCCCATGGCAGTCTGGAAACAACATCGCTGAAGAGAAACCACAAAACAGGCCAGAAATTGAAGAGCGATTAGAAAAACTAAACGTCAAATGGCAAGAACTGTCAGATGCGTCCAAACAGAAGGGAACCAAGTTAGGTGACGCACAGAAACAGGAAGAATTCAACACTGGAGTTCAAAACATCCAACAGTGGTTCACAGAGATCGAACAAACTGTTGTCACCCACGAAAAGGCGACTGACCTGACCACAGCAACAAGGCTCTACCAGAAGCACAAGGTTTGTGAAATGGAAACTTTCATGATCTGTTATCGGTAAATGTTAACTTCAATTCGTGGAAGGCGTCAAACTATTAATTCGCTACTGCTGAAAATCACGAAAAAGGTAGTAATACGTACTGATGGAACGATAATGGTAAGTTATGAGAAGATATTAATAGAGTGCCAAAGACAGAACGCTTCACTTCAAACTCTGAACACTTGGAGTAAGACTTAGCGCTGAGTATTTCAATTAACATGCGGGTCGAGGAGTTACTTCCTTGTTTGGGTGTAGAGGAACCTTCGGGATAAGAGATAAGAATGTCTACTCAGCTCTTAGACGTTTTTTTTTTTTAATTTCTAAATGCAACAAGAATGTTGATTTTTCTGGTTTTCTTAGATGATGGAAAAAGAAATCTTGGCCAGGCGACAGCGTATGCAAGAACTGAACTGCCAAGCTCAAGATCTTGTTGATGCTGGACACTTTGATCCTAATGCAGTGGAGGAAACTCGCATTGTTATGGAAGAAAGGTTTGTGGGAAGTTTTTTTTTTAAGATGATGTTGTCGTCCTAAATTTGTTTTTTTGAGATAAATGGTTTGTTTGTTTGTTTGTCTCTGTCCGCTTGGTACGCGAGGAATCCTTTTGGCTCTGAAAGAAGTCGCTTTATACGGAAAGACTATTTAGTTTTATCTGTAGTTGCAATAACAGTACTATTTGTCAATGTTTTAACTCCCAGTAGTAAATGACTTGTAACCTCTCCCTATGACAACCACACATTATCCAGTTAACAGGTAATGAGAATACTGGAGCTTATCAGGTAAAAGTTGTTATTTCAATCTAACACCAAATTCTTGTAACTCATTTACAAAGAAATGTGTTGCAGCTAGAGGTGAGAATTAACAATCAGATCTTGGGAGTAAAAGGGTTAGCACTAGAAATGTCATCATGGTCAAATGCATAAATATGTCGGATCAATATCAGTATCTGGGCAACTGCCCACCTACCCCTCCCCTCTCCTAACCCAACATTAACCCTAACTTGTCGTCAATTGACTGTTGTTGGGTTAGGGGAGGGGTAGGTGGGCAGTTACCCAGATACTGATATTGATCCAGTATGTCACAAGGGTGGACAAAGTGACGTATTTTGCTGAATCGTTCGCTATTGCTTTTTTTTGCGCAGGGTCGACGCTATGGCTGCTCCGTTGTCCGAAAAGGGTGTAGAACTAGAGCGTACCCTCGGCTACTTCCAGTTCAACAGAGATGTGGATGATGAAGAGGTAAAGAGATTTTACACCTCTCTTGAATGATGTTTAGCTCAAGGAAACATTGTAGAATGATTAATGGATTGTCCTAGTAAGATCTTCTTAGCCTCATAATTTATAGCTTCACAACTTTAGAATCACTGCACAAGCATTTTGCTTACGTTCATAAACACTTTTTCGTCTGGTGGTGTTTTTTCGGTAAATTTAAAAGATACAGGTTAATAAACGAAGTCATCAGTATTTTCATGTCTGATTGCTTTTCAATATCAACATTTGAATATTACTCATTTGTTTTTAGGCGTGGATCAAGGAAAAGGAGCCTCTACTTCAGTCTACCAACTACGGCAATAACCTGTTTGAAGTGCAGACATTGCAGAAAAAACTACAGGTATTACAGTCTTTAATGTATGATAGGGGGAAATGGGCAATCAGAAACCAGATAGTTTACAAGAGATATTAGTTTTAAGAGAAATTTAGTGATTTCTCTTAGATTTAAGGGCGGTTAAAATTTCATTAGAAACGGAAGATTTGGAGAAATAACCAGTTTGAATAAAATAAATCGATTCGGATATCTTTTGCGTCCATTCTTGGACGAGATTACCTCAGCTTCATTTTTGACGGTTCCTATCAGTCAATTGTGTAGTAGGATCGTCCGGGTGAATTTGTTCTTGAAAAAATTAACTGACTTTTCAACAACTTGAGAAGTCATATGAAAAATCTTTTTGGTCAGTCAGGTGTTCTTTTGGTCTGGTTCACGTAAACTGATCGACTGTTTTTCCAACACTTGTAACTTGAACTGACTTGCTTAGCTCGTCACGGAGTTCTCTGTGCCTTGTGGTAAAGCATCGGGGCGCGGAGTCCGTAGTCTTGTCTTTCGATTGCCTTTAGATGCTTCTGACAATTTCTTTTCCCTACCTTCGTGACAAAGCGGACAACGTCTTTCTAAAGGGACTGACCAGGGTTTTGTCTTGTTTAACAGACCTTGTGTGCCGAGATTGCCATTCATGAAGCTCACAAAGACGCCATTTGCAAACGAGGACAAGAACTCGTGGACTGTGAACACCCAGAAGCTGAGCAAGTGGCTGCTAGGACCCAGGACCTGCAAGAGAAATACGACAATCTTAAGAAATTGTCGGATGCGTACAAAGGTCAGCTGGACCTGTCACTACAGGCTAAACAGGTTTGTCTGGTTTCTGGCTCGGTCTATGTGAAGATCTAAAGATGTCGGTCAAACACTTAAAAAATAAGACTTTGTTTGTGTGTTAACCCATTTGTCAAAATATTGTTTCCGTTGCATCGAAAAGTTGTCTCTTAATTTCTGTTTGGATATATGTAATCTTAGATCCTCCAAGCACTTTTTTAAATGTCTCTAAGAAACTAAGCTTCCGGCGGTCATTCTGTGGTCTTCGACGGATAATGATAATACGTCCAGTGTTTTTATCCGTCCACGATAGTAGACATTGCCGAAGTCGTATAGTTTTTAAAAAACTTTTTTTTTTACGCGAGAACGCTTTTATATTCGTTGTTTCTTATGAATCGTCGCAACGGATTTTCCATGACTAAGAAATGTACCGCCGCACGAAGGAAAAATGAACGGAATCTGTTGTTTTCTCTTACAGTATTACTACGATGCAGCAGAAGCTGAATCGTGGATGAGCGAACAAGAATTGAACATGATGGGTGACGAGCGTGGAAAAGACGAAGCAAGCGCCAATGCCATGCTCAAGAAACACGAGACTTTGGAGGCAGCTATTGCTGATTATTCCGAGACAGTCAATGAATTAGGTGACACAGCTAATGCTCTTGTGGAGAGCGAGCATCCCGAGAGGTAATGAAACATGTTACCTTTTTTCGAATTTACGATATTTTTGTTTGTTATGGCTAAAAGTATTCATAGGCTGTAACGGTAAGAAAATCAACAGCCTAAGGCATAGTTGGGTACAAGAGACTCTCTCGTATCTATTGAATTACCAAGAGGGAGTGCTATTCAAGTCCAGTTCCAAAGATTTAGTAAGCGGTAGAATACATAGATGAGTGGACTAATAAGTCAACTTGTGAAGGAAGCGATGAACCAAAGAATTTTTCCAGTGTGTCATTAGAATATCAGCAAAAGAATGAACACAAAATGGTGCGAAAAAGTGGAAGGAGGAATGATTCACAAAAACTTCATTTCAAACAATCAAAAATGCTCGTCGAGTTTCATTGGAGGACTTGTAGTGCACGTTACTGTTTTGTTTATGATTGCCGCTTGTAATTTCGCTTCTTTGCTAATGTTCATCATAGTGAGGCAGTCAAGAAACGTCAAGGTCAGATCGAAAAATTGTACGAAGGATTGAAAGACCTAGCAGAGGAACGCCGAGGGAAACTGGACGAGACTCTTAAACTTTATCAGCTGCAAGGAGAAATTGATGATCTGGAACACTGGATCGCTCAGAAGGAAGTGGTGGCTGGATCGCAGGACATTGGACAAGATCTTGCACAAGTAGAGGTACAGTTCGTTCTTTCATTCCTTCACATGTTCTGTTTGTTTCCATATTTTTAAATAAAAGTTTGCGTTTTATGACACATTAATTAGGGTCTCTTCTAGTTTAAGGCCTATCGAAGAAACCCGTGCTTAGAATTTTGGATCCTTCAAACTCCAAGGAGTCCGAAGTAATTTTTCAAATTTGATAAAAGAGGCAATTTGAAATTTATGGAATTATTATCGGTTTGAGGCAGTAAACATATAATCAGCTCCATGCCATTTGGAGTCTCATCTATTTTGAACAGAGTCGTGTGGAATCTAATCTACAGTAGCTTTTTTTAGATACAACGCCTCAAATGTTATCTTCTGTTTTTGCTTGTGCCACTTAATTTTTTAGATATCTTTTTGTCCTTATTCATTGAATCAGCTACAAGCTCTGAGCTTTATTTTGTAGCTTTTGTCGTGAAAATTCTCGCAGGTAATTATCTTTGTTCATTTGTTATCTCTCAACAGTTGCTTATCGAGAAATTCCGCGAGTTCGCGCGTGATACCACGAACACTGGCACCGAGCGCGTGGCTGCCACGAATGCTGTCTGTGATCAGCTGATTGGAACAGGTCACACTGACGCTGCTACGATAGCGGAGTGGAAAGATCAGATCAACGAGTCATGGGCTGATCTTTTGGAACTCATTGAAACGAGGACAAAGGTCAGTAAATATTGTCTGTTGGAGTGCTTCTCGAGTAAATGTTAAATTCACAGGGAGCCCAAGAGAACCTGAAAAGAGACCACGTTAGACCGTGGTGCGGGAAACTGCTAGTGACTTATAAGTTGGGATTAGGCTTTTGCGTTTGCTCTTTTAAGAAGTTTTTCTTATTCTTTACCGAAGCAGAACCAATGAAATCCAGGATTACTTTTAAACCGCAGATGGAAATTTCTCAACTGTAATTTTTGAAGTAACAACTGTTGCGTTGCTTATCTAACAATATTGCTTCGGTTGCTAAATTTTCTCAGATGTTAGAAGCTGCCCGTGAACTGCACAAATTCTTCTACGAGGCCAAAGAAGTATTAGCCATGATACAGGAGAAAGAAAACCTTCTCACAGACGACCTTGGTCGGGATTTGAATAGCTTACATCAACTGCAAGTTGTGCACCAAGGATTCGAAGCAGATTTGGCGCCACTCGGCAATCAGGTATACCTCTCCTGCTATCTTGCTGGAATAGCGTTTACCATTTGCACGAAAACGCCGTTTTAGGGTTTGAAAGCCAAGAGAGAGTGCTTTTCAAGACCCAGTTTTGACTAGTATGCATCAAGCGCGGCGTTGACCATCGGCGGCCATCAATTCGATGTTGATTACTCCACAAGCTTCTAGAAAACAATACAAACCTCGCTCTCGTGAAAACCATAACAAAAACAGAGGCGCGCAATGCGTAGTGGCCAGTACTGGCTCCGTTCAGACTTCATTATTTACATACTCGTACCACAATTGCTGTGAAATTTCAGTGTTGCAGTTGTATTCATTTTTTTCCGGCGCATAGTCAGCTCATTCCCGCCATTTCGTGAACGAATTCCAATTATTGTTTTCATTACCAGGTCGTCGCGGTCCAGGAGGAAGCCAGTCGACTCCAGGGCTCTTATGCCGGCGACAAAGCTAGAGAAATCCAAGACAAAGAGGACGAAGTGTTAGACGCATGGAAGCGTCTCAACTGGCGTGTAAAACAACGTACTGAGCGCCTTCATGACGCTGATGACTTGTACCGATTCTTACTGGCTGTTCAAGACCAGATGCTGTGGATGAACGACATGCTGAAGCAAATTTTAACCTATGAGAAAGCGAAGTGAGTATTCCCACCTTTTGTTAAGAGAGCGACATCGCGTTAATAGAGTCGTTTTATGAGAGGAAACAGTAATTCACAATACTTTCATAAGAATCGCCTTTGAATACAATGCAATTAAATTTATCGTTTGGAAATGAGGCTAAATACCTACAAATTAAGATGGAGAAGTGAGGGAGAGAGATCGCAAAAGATGGAGAGGACTGCGAATGACTAACTCGAAAAATGTCGCGCAACTTTCAAGACGAATAAACTATGGCATATTCCCTCGAAACAGAAAGAGTAATTGTAAATTATGCTAGAAAAACACCACAGAGGAGTCAGATGACTAACCCTTTAACTCCCAAGATCTCATTAGTAATTCTCTTTACTGTCTGACATACAATTCTTATGATGTCAATTTGGAGAATTTGGTATTGGATCAACTAATAATCCCCTAACTGATATTTTACTTTACTCTCACCGCTTCTATGCTTGATATTATATTGATATTGTAAGGAGAAATTCTCTCTTGGTCACTCATGGGAGTTTAAGGCTTAACCGCGAAGTATAGCGATGGAGAAGAATGTCACTGTAAGTGCTCTGTTGACCTAAAACCTTCTGGGAACGAAAATAATTATGGTATGTCTTACCTTATGTTACTTTAGGGATGTTCCTGGAGTCGAGGTCTTGATGGAACAACATCAAACCAGGAAAGTTGAAATTGATGCACGCGAAGACAGTTTCCAGAATGTTGCGAAGATGGGAAAAGACTTGATCGCCCGAAACCATTACGCTACTCCTGAGGTAAAAAGATAATGTCTACTTTTCAGCTTTCACTCCCATCGTTTCACACATTAGGCGAAAGTCAGAAGAGAGTGCAAAATGGTTAATGCTAGTGATAAAACCCGAATAACAACCGAATACTGTGAAAAGTCGCAAATAGTGACGAATGGGGGCGAGTAGTGACGAATAGTAAAAATAAATGTATTAATGATTAATTAAAAATAGAACTAGTAACGTGTCTTATATGTCGTTATTCGGGTTTTATCGCGAGACAAATAGTTAAGCAGGATCATGTTTGCCACAGGTCAGGAAAAGGAAGGGAACAAGAAAATTCTTTAAGTTAGGGAGTCTAGCGAAAGTCAGGGAATTTCACCATGAGTCAGGGGAAATAAACACCTTTGATAGAGGCTTTGGAAAGTAAAATTTCATTCAAATATGAAATAATTCTTCTTGTCTTGGCCCGCTTCATGGTGAAACATAGTGACGCTTTCCTTTTTGTGATATCGATGTTAGTCGTGTACATTGTTTGGTACAGTCGACAGATTCCTTACCAGCATAATATACATAACATAATACATACACATAATACATAGCATAATTGTAATTGAGGCTTCCTTTGTGTGGCGTGTTACCAAAATAAAGTTACATATATGTTTGAAATAACAAACATGAAAAAAAATTTAAATTTCTCCGCTATTCAGATTAATGAGAAGCTGGATATGTTGAACCGACACAAAGATGAATTGTCACTAGAGTGGGACAAGAGATGGGAACATCTTCAATTAGGTAACGGCGCCTTCCACTTCCATCTTTTCTCCTTTTTCCCATTTACTCTTTTGTGTCACTTTGCATAGCTTTCATTAATGTAGCTTATGACCGCTTTCGCGTTCAAAAAATGATAGAAGACAAACATACAAACAAACAAGCAGAGAAACAATAAAGTTATTTCCGTAAAGCCATGGCCCTAACAGGTTATTCATTTATGGTTGACAGTCCACGAAGTCATGCAGTTCGCACGTGATGCTCACATGGCGGAAGGATGGATGATCGCTCAGGAACCATACCTGAAAAACGAGAACCTTGGGGTAGGTATTCTCTCTCCGGCCGTAAGTTTACGGAAATAACCGAGTAAGTTACGAGTGTTCTTTTACATTTCCGAACACTTTTTGTAACTCATGGTTTCCTCTATATTTGTTTTTAGAACGATCTCAACGAAGTCGAACAGCTGCTGGAGAAACACAGCAACTTCGAGAAACTCGTCAATACTCAAGAAGAGAGATTCCAGGCTCTTGAGCGCCTAACGACGGTAGGTTTTCAGACTATGATATGTTTACAGCATCATCTCATGTCTTAATTGCGCTTCAAGGAGACTTCCTGTGTGTTTTCTATAACCAGGGATTTCAATACCTTTTCCCACAAGCGGCTTGGATTACAAAATTCTCATTTCTTTAACAGGGAAGAAGTTTTTTTCCGGTAGTTTCTTGGAACGTAACAACTAAATGCAATATGTTCTATTATCTTTTATCAGTACGAGCTCCGTGAAGGAAAGCGTCGCAAAATGGAACAAGAACGCCGTGAACGAGAAGAACGAGAAAGAAAAGAGAGAGAAGAAAAAGAACGACTGGAACAACTGGAGAGAATCCGCAGACAGGAGGAAGAAGAGCTCCGACGACGAGAAGAGGAAGAAGCACGTAGAAGAAGCGAACAAAGGGAAGCTGAACAGAGAGCGAGGGAGGAGGCTGTCGTTGTCGCTGAAGCTGAAGGGGTAAGTTAAAAGAGGCAATCTCCCTTCCGCGCAGTGTCTTGAAAAGGGGTCGCTATATTGATTATAGATTATGACGAAAAAGGATTGTAAATCGGAACGGTAAAGGTAAACGGTCGGCGAGATGAGCGAGCCAGGCGCGAACAGCTTTTCCTTTACAACCCTTAAATTCACGCTTGGGTTAACCTCCACAGCCCGCTTACCTTAATGTGCGCCCTTCCTGTTTAATCCCGCACCCCAAAGTGTGAGTCTGTTTGCTGTCTATTATCGCCGTGACGTAACCCTTCCTTTAGTGTTTCAAACCATATGGTTTAATACGAATTCGAAAAGGGATTCTTTTCCCCCTCTTAGGGAGGGGGGGGGGGAGGAGAGGGTAGTTCGTAGTATAGTCACACTATATTCTTATGGAGAATGCAATGATAAGTAAATAACTATCATAGTGATATCTCCTTCGACAGGACACCTTACTCACTTAGTTCCTCTCTCCAACCCGGATTGTAAACGAGTTCTTGCTAACTATCAGCGAAACTTGACAAATGCTAGAGGGGAGGGGAGGGGAGGGGAGGGGAGGGAAGGGGGGGTGGATTGGCGATGGAATGCTGTTCCCTACGGTGGAATTAGCGAAGAGCGATACATAATCGCTGCATGCTGTGGAGTTCAGGAAAAGTAGCAACGGTTTGGGTTTCTCAATTCGCCTACTGACTTAGCTGCCTCAACTACCATCGTTATGAGAAACATATGTACCTTTAAAAATCATGTATAAAATTTATCCTTATCTTGATCTGTCAAGGTCGAAGGCGCACCAGATGAAAAAGAAACAGACGAGAGCGTTACAGACGGTAAAATGGAAGGCTATCTGTATCGTAAGCCAACAATGGATGCTCCCAACAGAAAGGCACCAATCAGGTAAGCATATCCGAAGAGTTTCCGATAATTCCCGATAGTTTCTGGCGGTAAACGATGTGAAATTGATTGAAGCATTCTCTAGTATGGTTTGACTGCACGAGGTGTAGGATCCAGTTTCCCACTGCTATGCTCAAAGAATGAATAAAAAGAACAACTACGTTATAAAACCTCAATTCGGCAAAATTCTTGTCAAATTTAATTATTTTCTCTTTGAAAACTAATTAAAAAAATTCATCAATCGTTAATTTTTTTTTTCTGTTCTGTTTTTTTCCGCTAGGCAATGGAAGCAATTCTATGTTGTTTTACAAGACATGTCTCTTCATTTCTACAAAGATCAGAAAACGGCACGCGTGGTAAGAACTTACATTAGATCGATTATGGGAAATATATAAGATTTTGCGCTCGGGCGTCGAATCAGTAAATAGTTATCTTCGTTTTGTCAATGAAACGTGTCTTTTATTGTATCTGTTTGTATCCTCAATAGATTACTAGTGCTTGGTCTCAATTTTTTTTTTTTGGCGTTTCTATGTTCGTTGACATCTCTCTCCCAATCGTCTCAATGGACAGAGACGTGCAGACAATTTGACCTTTCCTTTAGTAAATTATGCATACATATTGACCTGTTCATGCAATAACACTTCGAATTTGCTTTACTTGTCAGGATCACGAGGCAGCCCATTCTCTGACTACAGAGGAAGGTTTTGTGGAAAAAGCCATTGATTACACCAAGAGAAAGAACGTGTTCAGATTCAGGTACCTTTTTCTGCATCTTCTATCAGTCGCACTCAGAGGAAAAAAGTAAAACGCTTGAAGTTTTGTTTTCAACAGCGGTGCCTCTTAAAAGGAAACACATGTTGTTTCATTGTCGCTATTTTAGACATTGATTGTTACCCCATGTTTGACTTGCCTCTTCCTTTTATTTTACAGATCCAGTGCTGGTCAAGAATTCCTTTTCCAAGCTAAAGATGAGGTGAGCAATGAAAGAAATGTCTCTTAGTCTTTTCAAAATCGGTGAAAAGTAAAGTAACTTATCAAGTAATCGCAACTTTGTTAGCTCAAGTTTAAAGCGGTATCGTCTGATATTTGGCACACGCACCAATTGTGAACTGCTTGGTAGTTTTCTCTATTATATATATATATATTTTTTTCGTCTGATCGCCATCAAACTTTATCAGAAAGAGTGACATTTTCCATGGTCTTATATTTTCGTCCGAGCCTCAAAAATTTTTGCCTAACCTTTACAACCCAAACATCAGTACGCGTATTCTCCAAACTGTTCCGTCTACATTTCTTATGGTTCTGACAAGGAGAGTAACTTAGGCAATCGAGAGCTAGTTAAAGAGGTGTCCTTAAGCTTTATTCCCATGACATTTCCGTATCATTCAGGGGTGATACAATGGGTAGAAATTAGACGCTAGTCACCCTTTATGCTGATTGTTTTAGCTCTCTTTCTGCTCTTTAACCGTTGACATAAATTTTCTCTCCTTACCCTGCCCGTCTCAGGAGGACATGAAACTGTGGATTAAACACATTCAGGAGAATATCAGCGGAGAGGCTGCCGGGAAAGATGCATCACCTGGCAAGAAAACTGACAAGGGCAAAGGTGGAAGCGGCATTTTTGGCAAACGAAGAAGTAAAAACTTAGATAAGGAGAAAGAGGAGAAGAAATAAAAGAAGATGAAACGAAAAGTTATGAATATCTGTGAAACAGTTAATCGCTTTGTTTAGGAATTTCATTTTGTAATGGAGCGTTTTCAGACCAATTATTCTTTGGCTTTCTTGAAGGAATGTTGTTTAAACTGGATAGAACTGTTTGTAAGTTTATTGTGTGTCAGTGTTTTCTTGCTAAGCAAAAACGAATTCTAGTGTGAACTGAGACGGTTTTAGTTTTCAAAAGGATTTTGTGCCTCTTCGTCAGAACAAAAACCGAAAGAAGCTTTTTACGCGAACTTCGCTAGATAGCGTCAGAGGTAAAGATGGACGTTTAGACCTTTGTCTTACAAGGGAGGTGATTAAAATCAGACGAGCGACACAGAAGAATTGTGAATCACGAGAATGGAAAGGTTATGTTGTTGTAAGTTTAATAATCAGCATTCATTAGTTCAACATACATATTTTTAGGTGTGCTTTATTTTGAACAAATACCTTTGGAAGGGAGAGGAAAAACTTTTAAGTGGTATATAGATATTTTGTTTTGTTTTTTTTGTCTTTTTTTTTTTCTCTTAATTGTAATTAACTTACATTTTGTTAAGTCATCAAATACGAGTTTAAGGAATGGGTTTAGTTGAAAAACTTCAAACTTTGATGCCTAATTTCTCTGTTACATTTTCTTGTTGAGATACGTTCTGCTAAAACGGTGAATGTAGATGAAAACGTTACACTGGTTCAAGGAAGGAATTATCAGCGAAAATATAATCTTGATAACATTGCAGGTGATCAGGTAATAAGCGTGAACATCCTACTTTTTTTTCTCTTGATTCACCTTGAATTGTGTAGTACAATATTGCGAACAGCGCTAAGCTGGTCAATAAAGTTAAACAATGCTAAATGATGTCTCTTGCTGTTTAAGCACACTGATCACGGGATAGTGTCTAGTCGGCCTGAGAAAGGTGTACGTTTTGTGGGGCGAGCTATAGGAAATAAATTGGGGGAAAAACCTCCTTGTCTCCCCTATACTTTTTTATTCGTCACCTCTAACCAAGATCCTTATACAGGATAGATACAACTTTTTGTGGATGGTTTAGCATATATTTCGGGCGGGCGTTAGCTCATTGCACGTATTTTTCCGAGCCCCGTATTATGCCATTTTCGAGTACTTTGGCTTCTAGTTTTCGAAATACTCCCTACGACCTTGAATGAGAACCGCAAAAGCAGCGGGCAAAAGAGGAACACAAAACAAACGAATTCATTAGATTTGTTCAAAAGTTAGTTGCTCAAATAGGCAAGCTTTAAAACCGGGAAGAAAGTCAAAGTTTCGATGGCACACTGGGGCCACTCCGCTTTGCGATCATATTTTTGCCCAGTTCTGTATTAGGAAACGACTTCTATTTGTCTTATGATGAACTCAGCTCAACGCCGTAAAAGTTTGTAGCAGCTGCAAGTTCATGTTCTAGGCGACTACGATTTCGAAGGGAATCAGTAACTTTGTTTTACTGTTATGCATATGAAAACTTTCGTAAGTAAGCTGAGTTGAGTCCACCAACGGAGTTTACAGCTTAATTGTACTAGCTCATTCAGCCAGATTACAATGGCTCGGGAAGCAAAGAACGAAACTGTATTGCTTCTAGACACTCTTTTCAGACCCGACGGAGGCATGGATAACATTTCATAATTAGCTAATATAAACAGGTAAAGATATGTACATCAGTCTACAAGGCAGCGTGAGTGGAATTACAAAGAGAGGAGAAGATCTTTGAAGCCTCTAACCTTTAGGAGTGACTGGGATCTAAGTTCTACATACAGCAACTCTGCTGTGCAAAATATTAAGGTCACGAGAAGAAATAAAATGAATGCAAATTAAGGAAGCTCGTAATTGTCAAGCAAATTCTAGATATCATTTTAATGAAAATGTGTGAGATGCAGTCTGGAAAATATACATTATGATTCTAAGGTGTAAAGGGTTTAAGGGAGAAGAGAGATTGCTTTAGGAAGTGGGAAGCTGCCCTCATTAATCTTATTATAAGGAAATTAGATCAAATATAACCTACTGGAAAGACAATTGTCACAGCATCAGACCACCGTTTCCACACGGAACTATGATAAGAGAGATGGGGGGGGTAAGTTTCCAAAGAAACTGTAGCGCTGCATTGGTGGGATAGTATAACAGGGTGATTTCGTTTTACCAAATAAGTTGATAATACAATTTCGCCACCATAAAGAGTTTCTAAGGCTGTCGTTTTGAGGTTCACCCTTTGCCATTCAGTTTGACAAAGAGCTAACGCTCAAAACTTCAGCCTTGGAAACTCTTTACAATGGCAAAATTACATTATCAACTCAGTTGATGAAACCAAATTATCTCATGATAAGAGAGGGCGTGTGAAGATCAAATACGATTACAAAAAATACCAAGTACCACAAGCAAAAGTCAGTATTTTCTTATATGTTCTCATTTTACTGAGTATGACAAACTTGTGATAAACAATATACAATGCTAAAAAATCGTCCTCCAAGACCAAAATAAATGACTTGCCAAAATGTTCTTGAAATAAGATTCCTGGTTAATGTACTTGTAGCCATTTTGTCTGTTTTAAAGCATCCTCCCATTTTCAGTTACAGAAAATTTCCCTTATTTACTTCAGGTAATCTGATTATTACAAGACTTTACGAGCTATATGTAATGAAAACCGCCCTAAATACGACCAACTAGGACATGCATGCTACGAAGTTAACTATTAAAACCCCAAGAGTGATCAGCATCTAATTTCTCCTCGCAATAATACTGCTAAACCATTCACTAAGATCATGAGAACAAAGGAAATGATCGCTACCACAAGAAGCTTTGATTGTTGAACAAATTCTCCTTGTCAGTATCAAAAGATGTGTATAAAGAAAAGTATAGAGAATATGGATACTGATGTAAGGGTGTAAAGAACTGACGAAAGGATAAATTCGGTCTACTCGAGAACTACGTATATTAATTAGATACTTGCTATTGTTCAGGAGAAAGTGTTTCGATACGATTTTTATGACAATTGCATTTTTCTAAGGAAGCAAAGGTTTACATAGTGATAAAAAATTCTAACAGAGTAATTTTTAGTATTATATTTTTCAAATACAAAACGTAAACGGATGGAAAAAGTCAGGAAAGGTGCCGGGCCCGAGTCTCTCAATTTGGTAGGGGTATCTTTAAAAGAAAGAGATCCTACCACACTTGAATCTTTTACTTCTCAACATTCTTAATTAACAGATGCAAATTTTCACTTTTGCTGTCATGCAATTCACAGAATCAAGCGAACTAAAAAAGAGAAAAAAAAAACCTGAGCTTTCTTAAACAATTAATCAAATCAAAACTTACCAATTGAAAGTATGTTTTTGTTATGTTTTGACAGAACTTACTGACCAATGAGAGAACTTGTCTTCATAAACCCATATAGAAAAATCTACAGTTTATCTATCTATTTATTTATTTGTTTGTTTACTTTACAATGATACTGGCCCCTTTTTGAGATTCCAAAGAAAAACTGAAATTTTGGAAAACTGCGTTCAAACATGATGTGCTAAAAATTGGACCTTGGTAGTTTTCATTTTGTTTTCACATTAATTAATCAGATCTCTTCGCTTTCTCGATTTCTTGCCAATGTTTTTAAAGGCAAAGATAAAAATTTCATGATTTCTGGAGCACACTTCTCCTTCAACTTATCACATGGCTAGAAATCGAAGACATCATGGCGGCTAAGCATGCGTATAAAAGACAAATTACGGAGTTTAAATATGGCGGCTGCATAAGGCTTTCTGTGGGAAAATTTTGAAAATCAGGCACAGTAATTTTCTGGAAGCGTGTACTAAAAATGCCCTCATCTGAAATGTATTAGAAAAGTATTCAGATCCCTCACTTCCGTTCTCAAACTCTTACGATTTCGCTACGATCTGTCCCAGTCGAAGAAACTTTAAACCTTTTTGGTGCCCTAAGTGTCTTAAAATGGCTTATGTTGGTCAGCTAAAGCTTCTCCTGCAGCCACAACAAGGGTTGTTTTATCAATTGTCCACGTCTGTTCAATCTCTTCGAAAGCCGACCTTCTAATTGAAGGCTATTTAAAGTCATACAAGTGTGAATCCACGCTGCCAAACGACTTCCAAAAGTCCAAAAAAATTGCAATGCTATGCTATTGCTATGGCAATGGAGAACCATCTTGTTCAACCCCATCAAATTTGCACATGCATGAGTCAAACATGAAATTATCTTATACTTATGTTGATCTGTTTGATTACTCTGTTCCGGGAAATGCATTTGCAATTAGCAGTGATGAAAAAATTAGACTAGAAGTTAATGAATCTTTAAGAAAAATTTGTGGAAAAGTACAAAGTGATTATGCAAAGGCCAAAGGGACAAGGAGGAAAGAGGAACTCAACTCAAAAAGGATGTTTGATTTTAGTGGGATGCGCAGACGCAGTAAGGTGAAACGCAGCTCGTGTTGCGTCCGCGACATCAGCCGCTGACTGACCTCGATTTCTAGCCATGAGCTCTTTCATTCTTTCGGCACCGCAAATCAGATCGAATTATCTACACCTGAGGCAGCTGGAGTTTTGTATTCGAACGTGAGCAACTGAATGCGATGGTTTCCCAACTCACACACAATAATGCGGCCATCACTTAGCACTGAAATCGATCGAGGGAAATCAAATTCGCCAGGATCTCTACCTTTTGTTCCAAACTTAGCAACAAACTTTCCACTCAGCTCAAATATCTGTACTCTGTGATTACTTGTATCGCAGACCATCAAGTGTCCTGACTTGTTTACTGACAAACCGTTGGGATTTTCAAATTCTCCGTCCCCTCTACCTTGCTTTCCAAACTTGTACTGAAAGGTTCCATTCCTGTCAAACACTTTAATACATTGGTCACCCCTGTCTGACACTATGAGATATCTATCACATTGAACGCAGTGGACAGGAAAATTTAAAGAGCCGTGCCCACCAAACTTTCTTAAAAACTTTCCGTCAGGGGAAAATATTTTGATTTCCTTGTTACCTTTATCAACAACAAGAATATTTCCATCACTATCCACAGATAAACCGCGAAGAAAACTGAGCTGAGTATTATGGCTTCCTTTTCCTCCAAATTTTCTTAGGAAAACACCCTCCCCACTGAAAACCTGGACTCTATGGTTATCTTGGTCTGCCACAAAAATATTCCCATTTTGGTGAAATACAATTCCCTTCGGCTTACTAAATTCTCCCATCCCGTGACCTTTTCGACCGAAGGATCTTAAATTATGTCCATCAGTGTTAAAGATTTGAACTCGATGGTTATAAGATTCGGTTACAGCTATCTCATCACTGGCATTTACTGCCAAACCACAAGGCTTATTAAACTTCCCAACGCACGAGCCGAAAGTTCCAAAAGTTGAAACGATAACAGACTTAAACTGTTTTACCTGCACAATCAGAGGATTTCCTAGAGTTTGTTCTCCATTTACCTTGACTCTCACTATGAATCTGCCTAAATCTCTTGGAAAGTAGCTGATGCGATAATTTCCGTCTCCATTGTTGTTTATTCGCACCTCTGTGTCACATTTTCGATGTTTTTCGTCAGTGATCTCTACTGTTACATTGTCATGTTTAAAATAACATCGCTCTCCTTGAGCGTTTTTCGTGACCAAAACAAACTGCACCTCGCGTCCTACAAAAGCTTCGCTCAGTTCTTTGCCCTCCGTAACAGACATTCCTGCTTCCGTTTTGTTGCATGCATGTAGTACACTTCCAATTTCTTCGGAGTTGACTGTATCTAGCATCTTTTGATTTTCCATGAAAACCGGAGCAGGAAAGTTATTCGGGTCACGCTTAATCGGTTGGCTTTCATTTTGAGTCGCAATGATTGCGCACAATGATTTCTTTAGTTGAACGATTTCAGCGTCTGTACGTCGCGTCAAAAGCTCGTTGGTTTTTTCCAGCGTTGATTCAATGCTCTTTATTTGACTCTCAGTCTCCGTTTTCTCAGCTGTTAGAGCTTGAAGGGATGTTTTTGTTTGGCTTTCAACCTTTGCAATAATATTTTCCCTCTTGGCTTGAATGACCGCGATCACGTCGTCGACAAATCTATGAACATTTCTTTTCGCGTCTTCGCCTTGTTCAATCAGTTGAGCGTACTCCTCTTCAAGCTGACCAACAGTGTTCATCTTTGCTTGTAAATTGCGTTTCTGATCTTCAGTCAATGATTTGATTTCAATCTTTTGCCTCTCAGCTTCTTCTTCTAAGTGTTCCAAGGCATGACCTGCGTGGGTCCATCAAAACACAAGTTTGGCAAACCGCAGCGTCGCAATTTTTACAAAAATATTTCAGCTCTTCTTTCTCGTGTCGCTGTTTTGAGCAAAAGGACGGTCGTTTTATCACACACTCAAAGTCCTTCTCCTGAAAATCCTTGAGCGCCAGAACACGGTGATCTTTGTTACTTCGCATGATGTTGTGTCCAATGACGCATTCTTGGCAATAAAATATGCAACACTGGAAACAATAAGATGTCTCAGAGCTTTTCTTGTCGCAATTTCCACACTGTACTTGACTGCTTTTACATTCTTTTATGGCTAACACATCAATCAGGCCGTTCAGGTAAAAACTGGTTGGTAAATCTTTCAGATCGCCACTTTCCGGCACTTTGCTAAGAGCTTGGCATTTCGGACATCTGATTGTGTCTCGGCCATGGCTTGTTCTGTGCCACTGCTTCAAGCATTGCGCACAGAAACTGTGTAAACATTGGAGCTGTTTCGGATCTGTGAAAATGTTGGTACACACAGAACAAGAAACTTCTTCACGAAGGTTATAAAGCAACGTTTTGATATCCATGTCGTTTTTAAACGCGAGTGTGCAAAGTAGTGTTTTCGAGGAATCAGTAAATTTGAAACCATGAAGCCCACGAGTTTCTTTTTATAGCAATTCTTGGAATCAGCGGTAAACTAATCTATTGTTTTTAAGTCTATGCGTCAATAAAATTGTCTCGGATGCTGATCTTCATGACCCTAATATAAACATCCCTGCCGAATGAAACTGAGAATTATCTAAAAATTTAAGACTTTAATCAATGAACCAGGCAGGATAGTGTTTAGCTCTTGTGCGAGCACGGTGAAATATATTTTTTATTGCATAAATTTGGTGAACAAATCATAGATAAAAATAGATATAGCTAGAAGCGTGTACGAAGCCTATTACTAAAGGATTGCAAATTTTGACCTTAAAAGCAGCGAGCCGAGAAACTTTCTGTATTTATGGCGTCTAAAACTGCGTGATTTTTCCACAAATTATACATTGTTTCATATCATCGAGACTCTCAGTCAATCAAGTTATTTTCAAGTGTTCCTCTGAAAACCCTTGCGTGACTTAAAATTGCGTGATTTTTTATAGTATAAATTTGTGAACAAATCATAGAAAAAAATTGATATGGCTAAAAACGTGTACGAAGCCCATTACTCAAGGAACGCAAATTATGACATTGAATTGTTTCATACGATCGAGACTTCCAATCAATCAAGTTATTTTCCAGTGTTACTCTAAAAAACCCTTGCTTCCAGCTAACGCAAAATGTACCGAGATCGAGAACAGATGAAATGATGCGTGTGACTAGTACCAATACAAGCGAGAACGGTCTGTCATGTCTCTTAACCCTTTAAGTCCCAGAAGTGACCTAGAGATAATTTCTCTTTACACTATCCTTACGATATCAAGCAGACAAGTAATGAAAATAAAGAAAAATATTAACTAGGGGATTATTGGTTGATCCAATTCCAAATTCTCCAAACTAACATCACATGAATTGTATGGCAGACAGTAAGGAGAATTACTGATGAAATCTTGGGAGTTAAAGGGTTAAAGAAACAGGGTGACCTATCTTTTTTATTGTAATTTTCGAAACATACATTGGTGAGGTACATTTGAGGAGAGTTTAAAAAGATCACGTGTTCGTTAACTTTTTTTCCTGAGGAATCGCCTTAAAATGAAGGAAACAGACGACAGGGTATCAATCAAGCCGTTCAGATAATAACTGGTCAGTAGATCTTTCAAATCGCCACTATCGGGCACTGTGCTAGGAGCGTAGCAATCCGGACATTTGATTGTGTCTCGACCATGACTTGTTTCGTGCCGACGTTCCAAGCTTTGTAGACAGAAATCATAGAGACACGGGAGTTGTTTTGGGTCCGTGAATATGTTTTTACAAAGAGCACAACATACACGAGGACGGAGATTGTGGAGAAACGTTTCAACGTCCATCGAAGGCGAAGGAGCAGAAGGCTTTCTTCGTAGTCACCGAGACAAAAAAACAATGACGCCTTGTGCGTCCGTGTTTTGTTAGCTATTCTAAGAATCATCTGTTCTTTGTGGTTATTATTCGCTCTTTTGCTAATGATTATCACTGTCTGTAATTGTTTTGTTTCGGGGACTAATCCCCTGATGCGGTACGACCGAGGAGCACTAGTAACGAGTTTTCGAGTCTGGTGATTATCGAAAATTGTCGGCTATTCCAATATGGCGGATTATTCCAGAGTTACCAATGATTGAACCAGACATCAACATTATTACATGCTTTACATGTGAAAAATACATCGTTGAGTTTAGATCAAGGAAATTTCGCTAAATTTCGTATGGCTGTTTCCTTCACCCTCGTCAATCTTTAGTTTCTTGATCAGCAGAGTCAGTTTAGCTTAACACTGTAGCCGCTAAGAGCTACGCTTCTAAAGGTAAACAAAACTTGTAAATAATATCGCCACTATAATACCCTTTACAAAGTGCTCGTGGTTAGAAAGATCCCAAGATGAAATTCCTATTGCCTTGTACCTCTCGCTAGTAGGATCTCAAGGGACTTAGAAAATACCACCGTCTAGAGGTACAGCTTGCATATTTAGTCGACTTTGTCCTATTGTTACTACGGTTTGCTTCACATTTTAATTTTTTCTGCACTCCCAATTAGTCTTGCACTCCCTTGAATCACTTTTTTCATGAATTCGTATCCATTTTTTTTATTATTTTTATTTGGTCTTGTACCTCTTGCTGGTAGAATCTTAAGGGCATAGAAAATGCTACCGGCTAGATGTACAGCTTGCATATTTTAGTCGACTTTTCTCAAATTTTAATATGGTTTGCTCCACATTTGACTTTTCCGCACTCCAAATTAGTCTTACACTTCTTGGAATCACTTTTTTCATGAATACATTTACATTTTTTAATTGATATTTCAAGCTGGTAGGATCATAGAGGGCATAGAAAATACTAGAGGTACAGCTTTCATATTTAATCAAGTTCGCCCAATTTTTATTACAGTTTGCTTTGAATTTTAATTTTTGGCATTCCATTTCGTCTAACACTACATTAGAATCAAATTTTTCATGAATATCTTCTTGTTCCTTGATTGTGTACTTCTAGCTGGTAGGATCTTAGGTGGCTTAGAAAATGCTACAGGTTAGAGGTACTTTGTGCATTTGAGGTGAATTTAGCTCATTTCATTTACTTTTTTATTTATGGAAAACCTCTCTACATTCCATGTTAGGCTTATACCATTGTGGAGTCACTCCATAGGTATATCTCATGCTTTGCAGTCTTGTTCATCTGGCTTGTAGGATCTCGGATTACTCAGAAAACACTACCAGCCAGAGGGGCAGCTTAAATGTCTGAGGTAAGCTTGAAATCATTAACATTGTTATGTATTAAATGAATTTCAAGTTAATAAATTTTAAACTAGTCTGATTTGTATTTCCTTTGGTTGTAAATTTATTACAATTCAAATCAAACCAGTTTTAGATGAATTTGACTTGAAATAATCTGCATACTGAGTATGAGTGGAATTTTTTAGAAAGGAACAGTCTCTATTTTCATGATATCTGTGTTTGATTAGAAGTATTAATGACATGGTCAACCATTGTCTGAAATACTAAAATCAAGTCATCTTCAGGTAGTCATAGGATAACATGACTCACCAAATTGACATTTTCCCTTTGTATTTTCGATGATATTTAGCAGCATGTAGGACTGTAAGAGAACCTTAAGGCAAATTATTCTTGAAAATATAAAATGGTCTATTACTATATATATATATATATATATATACATATATCATTTTATAATGGTAATTGAACTGAGTGGAGTGCAATTTGGTCTGAAATCATACTTGTGATTTCAAAATTGAACGAGCGTGCAGCGCGAGTTCAATTTGAAATCACAAGTATGATTTCAGACCAAAATTGCACGAGACAAGGTTCAATTACCACTTTGTTACATCTATTTTGAAATTGCCTGAATACAGGACTTGGTCAGCTCAAATATTTTATTAATGCAGTACTGAGCCAGTTTGAATTGAAATTCATCTTCAAAAGAGTTTTGGAAACAAAAGTTGCAAAATTTGCCACATAATACTCTTTGTCTTTCATTTTCCTGCAATTTGGTCGGTTACCTTAAACAAGCCTTGAAATCTGATTGGTTGATTTGTTTTTAGTGTAGCCTCCTCATTGGCTGGGGAAAAGATGCGATTTAAAGCAAAAAATGGTGCGATTCGTGAATAAATCGCACCAATTAGAGCCATTATCAGATTACAGGGACCACCAGTGATTTCAAAATGGGTGTAATAAATAAAATAAATAAATAAGATTAACCTGTGCCTTTATTATTTACTGTATTTTTAATAAAAATTGCTATTATTAAAAAGAAATCAAACCTTTCTTATTCGAACATCAACCAGGAACCCTTTACTTATTGCCTAATAATGCCTTCTCCCGAAAGGGGAACATGTGCTATAGTTTCAGCTGATTCCCCAAAGAGTCACTTGGTGCTCGTAACTTGTGTTCTGTGCCATCAAATAAGCAGCGGTAGGTACGCAACCAAGGAACAAGGAGATGTTCTTGAAAAAAGTGATTCTAATGTAGTAGAAGACTAAATTGGAATGCCAAAAAGTAAAAATGCAAAGCAGACTATGATAAAAATTTGGCAAAGTCGATTAAATAAGCATGCTGTACTTCAAGTATTTTCTAAGCCTCCTAAGATCCTACAAGCTAAAGGTTTAAGACTGAATAAGAGAAAACAAAATGTAAATACATTCATGAAAAAAGTGATTCCAAGGAGTTTAAGAATAATTTGGAATGCAGAAAAGTACAGTGTGGAGCAAACTGCCGTAAAATTGGGCAAAGTTGACTAAATATGCAAGCTGTACCCCTAACCAGTAGTCATTTCTAAGACTCCTGATATCCTATTAAAAAGAGGTACTAGACCAATTTAAAAAAAGAATGGAGACGTATTCTTGAAAAAAGTGATTTTAAGAAGTGTAAGACTAATTGGGAGTGCAGAAAAAGTAAAACGTGAAGCAAACTGTAGTAACAAGTTTTAGATGAATTTGACCTGAACTTCATTTTAGCCGGTAGGATTCAGGTACAACTGTTCCCTTCGCATTACAACATGGCCGTCACGAAAAAGCTAGCAAGAAAAAGTATTGTCCTTATCCTCTCTATGTCACATCAGCGTGTTTTTGTTTTGTCTAGACCAATCATGTCACAGGAAATGGTACAGACGAAACTGTCTATGGCCCTATAGTAAAACGCTTGAAGTTTTGTTTTCTACTGCGGGGCCTCTTAAAAGGAAGCACACGTTGTTTCATTTGCAAATGTATAGCTATTTTAGACATTGATTGTTACCCCATGTTTGACTGGCCTCTTCCTTTTATTTCACAGATCCAGTGCTAACCAAGAATTCCTTTTCCAAGCTAAAGATGAGGTGAGAAACGAAATAAATTTCTCGCAGTCTTTTCAAAATCTGTGAAAAGTGAGGTAACTTATTAATAATCTCAACTTTGTTGGCTCAAGGTTAAAGCGGTGTCGTCTCATATTTGGTACGTACACCGTTGAGTTTAAAATGGTGAACTGCTGGGTAGTTTTCTCTATTATATTATTTTTTTTTTCGTTTGATCGCCATCAAACTTCGTCAGAAAGAGTGACATTTTCCATGGTCTTCCATTTTCGTCCGAGCCTCGAAAATGTTTGCCTAACCTTTACAACCCAAACATCAGTACGCGTATTCTCCAAACTGTTCCGTCTACATTTCTTATGGTTCTGACAAGGAGAGTAACTTAAGCAATCGAGAGCTTGTTAAAGTGGTACCCTTAAGCTTTATTCCCATGACATTTACGTATCATTCATGGGTGTTACAATGGGTAGAAATTAGACGCTAGTCACCCTTTATGCTGATTGTTTTAGCTTTCTTTCTGCTCTTTAACCGTTGACATAAATATTCTCTCCTTACCCTGCCCGTCTCAGGAGGACATGAAACTGTGGATTAAACACATTCAGGAGAATATCAGCGGAGAGGCTGCCGGGAAAGATGCATCACCTGGCAAGAAAACTGACAAGGGCAAAGGTGGAAGCGACATTTTTGGCAAACGAAGAAGCAAAAACTTAGATAAGGAGAAAGAGTAGAAGAAATAAAAGAAGATGAAACGAAAAGTTATGAATATCTGTGAAACAGTTAATCGCTTTGTTTATGAATTTCATTTTTTAATGGAGCGTTTTCAGACCAATTATTCTTTGGCTTTCTTGAAGGAATGTTGTTTAAACTGGATAGACCTGTTTATAAAGTTTATTGTGTGTAGGTCTTTTCTTGCTAAGCAAAAACGAATTCAAGTGTGAACTGAGACGGTTTTAGTTTTCAAAAGGATTTTGTGCCTCACAGAAGAATTGTGAATCTCGAGAATGGAAAGGTTATGTTGTAAGTTTGATAACCAACATTCATTAGTTCAACATACATATTTTTAGGTGTGCTTTGTTCTGAAAAAATACCTTTGGAAGGGAGAGGAAAAACTTTTAAGTGGTATATAGATGTTGTTTTTTTTCCTTTTTTTTTCTATTATAATTAACTTACATTCTGTTAAGTCATCAAATACGAGTTTAAGGAATGGGTTTAGTTGAGAAACTTCAAACTTTGATGCCTAATTTCTCTGTTACATTTTCTTGCTGAGATACGTTTTGTTAAAACGGTGAATGTAGATGAAAACGTTACACTGGTTCAAGGAAGGAATTATCAGCGAAGATATAATCTTGATAACATTGCAGGTGATCGGGTAATAAGTGTGAACATCCTAATTTTCTCTTGATTCACCTTGGATTGTGTAGTATAATATTGCGAACAGCGCTTAGCTGGTCAATAAAGTTAATGCTAAACGATGTCTATTGCTGTAAAACACACTGTACGTGGGACAGTGTCTATTGGGTATCGGATGCCCCAGCACGAGCAAAATAGCAGCACAGTCTTATTCACAAGGAATCGATCAACGGGAGGGTGTCCGGCTTTTCGAAATTCGGATTGGTTGTCTGGGTATCGGCATCTAAAGTTGGAGTGTAGAAGATGCGAGTCGTGTTACGTAAATGGACGCCACGGGACAAATATTTCAAACAAAATTTCCCGACACTCTTCGTTTTGTCATTATTCCCAAAATGTTTCGGCGAAATTTGACGAAAATCGGTTAAATCTATATTCTTTATAAATTCGCTCAAAGTGAATGTATCCCGCCCAAAGTCATATGCAAGATTTTAGCTCATAAAGGTTCGCAAATAACTCGCGCAACGCCAGGTGATTATCTCGCTCCCTGAAACCTTAAATCAATGGGACAATGAGACCTCCTGGCGTCAACGACCAATTTATGATCCCACCCACGCACCCACCCCCCCGACCATCGTTGGCAGTCAATTTTCTATGGTGCCCCCTTTCTCCCCCCCCCTTAATACTCCGTTAGCGACGACTTATCCCTCCCTCCGTTCCCCCTGTATAGTCCCCCAAAAATCCTTCGCGTCCACCCCCCCCCCACCCCTCAAGGCGAATAACATTGATCGGTCTCTTATTAAAGGCTGCTTTGATTTAGATCTCCTTGTTTTACGCGATTAAAGTTTAGTTTTCTGCTTCTTCCACCGCTGCTAAAATCATGCTATTTTACTTTTTCACCAAGTAATTGCAATTAACAAGAAGACATGATAGTTCTGATGCTGAGAAATTGCAGTGTCCTTAACACTGTACAATCGACTATGCTTGACTGTGCTCGAAACAATGATGATAAGATTCCTATAGAAAAGTGAGCTATATTCTATGAGCTCGCCGTTTTCGACAAAGTAACAATAACATTTGAATTAAAAATGGTTACAACAATAGTCAATATGGATACAAATTTACATTTATTAGCATTTTTCTAAAAAAGCAAATGATCACATAGTGAGAGCAAATCCTAACTGTACAATTCTCAGCTTCTTTCGAAAGCGTGAGAACAGTAATGCAAAAACAAAAAGTGAGGGGAAGCGTCAGAAAAGGGGCCTGGTCCGATTCTCCCCTCTCGTAGGAAAGAAAGACGATCTTTTCACTTCTCAACATTCTTAAATGCAAAGTTTCACCTTTGCTGTCATAAAAGTCATAGAATCAAGCGATCCGTATCGAAAAAGAAATGATAAAGAAAAACCAACCAAAGTTTTCCTTAACTCTTTATCAAACTGAACACGTACCAGTGAAAAATCTACTTTGTTTTCACTGAATATTCCGAGCAAGGCCAAGTTCCTTTCACTGGCGGAACTTGCTGTTTGATAATTCTTCTTCATAAAACCACAAGAACCAGGAAAGATCTAAAATGGCACAGTTCTTGCCTTAGATACGGTCATTAGCCGGAGATAAACATTAAAGTGTTACTAGAGCTAGCTTTTTCCTCAGACTGTCCTTTCACATTCCTTCGGTTAAGACGTGAACAGCTGAATGCGATGGTTTGCCGTCTCACACACAACAATGCGACCATCACTTAGCACTGAAATCGATCTAGGACGATCCAGTCCTCCAGCGCCTGAACCTTTTGTTCCAAACTTGCCAACAAACTTTCCACTTAGTTCAAGTACTTGTATTCTGTGATTACCTCCATCACAGACCATCAAGTGTCCTGACTTGTTTACTGACAAACCGGTGGGATCTTTGAACTCTCCGTCCCCCGCACCCTTTCTTCCAAACTTGTACTGAAAGTTTCCATCCTTGTCAAAAACCTTAATGCAATGTTCTGAATTGTCTGACACTACGAGATATCTATCACACTGAATACAGTGGGCAGGAAAAGTAAATGAACCAAGTCTACCTATCTTCCTTAAAAACTTGCCATTTGGGGAAAAGATCTTGACTACTTTGTTACCTTTATCAGCAACAAGAATATTACCATCACTATCCACTGATAGACCGCGAGGAAAAGTGAGCTGAGCATCGAGGCTTCCTTTTCCTCCAAATGTTCCCACGAGGTTTCCCTCCCCGCTGAAAATCTGGACCCTGTGGTTATCTCTGTCTGCCACAAAAATATTTCCATTTTGGTGGAACGTAATTCCCTTTGGTGTTTTAAATGCTCCCATCCCGTTACCTAGTCGACCGAAGGATCTTAAATAAAGTCCATTAGCATTAAAAATTTGAACTCGGTGGTTAAAAGAATCGGTTACAGCTATCTCATCACTGGCATTTACTGCCAAGCCACAAGGCTTATGTAACATTCCAACATTTGAGCCGAAAGTTCCAAAAGTTGAAATTGATATTAAATGAAACTCTTTTACCTGCACAATCAGAGGATTTCCGAGGGTTTGTTCTCCATTTACCTTGACTGTCACCTTGAATCTGCCTGAATCTCTTGGAGAGTAGCTGATATGATACTGTCCGTCTTCATTGTTGTTTATTCGCACCTCTGTGGCACATTTTAAATGTCTTTCGTCAGTGATCTCTACCGTTACATTGTCATGCATATTATAACATTGCTGTCCTTGAGCGTTTTTTGTGACCAAAACAAACTGTACCTCGCCTCCTACAAAACCTTCGCTCAGTTCTTTGCCCTCCGTAAAAGACATTCCTGCTTCCGTTTTGTTGTATGTATGAAGTACAGTTCCAATTTCTTCGGAGTTGACGGTATCCAGCATCTTTTTATTTTCCTTGAAAACCAGAACAAGAAAGCTTTCCGGGTCACGCTTAATTGGTTGGCTTTCAGTTTGAGTCGCAATGATTGCGCACAATGACTTCTTTAGTTGAACGATTTCAGCGTCTGTACTTCGCGTCAAAAGCTCGTTGGTTTTTTCCAGCGTTGATTCAATGCTCTTTATTTCACCCTCAGTCTCCGTTTTCTCAGCTGTTAGAGCTTGAAGGGATGCTTTTGTTTGGTTTTCAACCTTTGCAATGACATTATCCCTCTTCGCTTGAATGACTGCGATCACGTCTTCGACAAAGCTTTGAACATTTCTTTTCGCTTCTTCGCCTTGTTGAATTAGTCGAGCGTATTCCTTTTCAAGCTGACCAACAGTGTTTATCTTTGCTTGTAAATTGTGTTTCTGTTCTTCAGTCAGTGATTTGATTTCAATCTTTTGCTTCTCAGCTTCTTCTTCTAAGTGTTCCAAGGCATGACCTGCGTGGTCCATCAAAACACAGGTTTGGCAAACTGCCTCGTCGCAATTTTTGCAAAAATATTTCAGCTCCTCTTTCTCGTGTCGCTGTTTTGAGCAAAAGGACGGTCGTTTTATCACATCCTCAAAGTCTTTATCCTGAAAATCTTTAAGCGCCAGAACACGGTGATCTTTGCTGCTTCGCATGATGTTGTGTCCAATGACGCATTCTTGGCAATAAAATATGCAACACTGGAAACAATAAAATGTCTCGGAGCTTTTCTTGTCGCAATTTCCACACTGTACTTGACTGTTTTTACATTCTTTAATGGCTAATACATCAATCAGGCCGTTCAGGTAAAAACTGGTTGGTAGATCTTTCAGATCGCCACTTTCCGGCACTTTGCTAAGAACTTGGCATTTAGGACATCTGATTGTGTCGCGGCCATAGCTTGTTCTGTGCCACTGCTTCAAGCATTGCGCACAGAAACTATGTAAACACTGGAGCTGTTTTGGATCCGTGAATATATTGGTACACACTGAACAAGAAACTTCTTCGCGAAGGTTATGAAGCAACGTTTTGATATCCATGTCGTTGTTAAACGCTAGTGTGCAAAATAATTTTTTCGAGGAATCAGTCAATTTGAAACCATGAAGCCTTGTGAGTTTCTCTTAATAGCAATTCTTGGAATCAGCGGTAACCTAATCTATTGTTTTTTTTAACCCTGTACGTCAATCAAATTGTCTCGCCTGATCCTCATGACCTCACTATAAACATCCTTGCAGAATGAAACTAAAAATTCTCTGGAACGTTAATATGATTGCGCGTATTGCACAACGTATCCTGAACTGCGCATGAAAATCACGTAATCAGGCGCATTCCTAGAACACAGTATTATTTTTCAATCAATGGAACCAGTTCGACGGTCTTTAGCTCTTGTACGAGCAAGGTAAATTATATTTTTATCGTATAAATTTGGTGAACAAATCATAGAAAAAAAATGGATATAGCTAAAAGCGTGTACCAAGCCCATTTCTCGAGGAATGCAAATTATGACTTTCACCGAGACGAAAAAACAATGGCGCCTTGTGCGTCCGTGTTTTGTTAGCTATTCTAAGAATCGTCTGTTTTTTATGGTAATTATTCGCTCTTTTGCTAATTATTAACACTGTCTGTAATTGTTTTGTTTCGAGGACTAATCAGGTGTCCCATGATGCGGTACGACCAAGGAGCACTAGTGACGAGTTTCCGAGTCGGGTGATTATCGAAAATTGTCGGCTATTCCAATATGGCGGAATATTCCAGAGTTACCAACAAGCGACGTGATTGAACCAGACATCAACATTATTACATGCTTTACATGTGAAAAATACATCGTTGAGTTTAGATCAAGGAAATTTCGCTAAATTTCGTATGGCTGTTTCCTTCACCCTCATCGATCTTAAGTTTCTTGATCAGCAGAGTCAGTTTAGCTTAACACTGTAGCCACTAAGAGCTACGCTTATAAAGGTAAACAAAACTTATAAATAATATCGCCACTATAATACCCTTTACAAAGTGCTCGTGGTTAGAAAGATCCCAAGATGAAATTCCTATTGCCTTGTACCTCTCGCTAATAGGATCTCAGAAAACACTACCAGCCAGAGGGGCAGCTTATGTGTCTGAGGTAAGCTTGAAATCATTAACATTGTTATGTATTAAATGAATTTCAAGTTAATAAATTTTAAACTAGTCTGATTTGTATTTCCTTTGGTTGTAAATTTATTACAATTCAAATCAAACCAGTTTTAGATGAATTTGATTTGAAATAATCTGCATACTGAGTATGAGTGGAATTTCTTAGAAAGGAACAGTCTCTATTTTCATGATATTTGTGTTTGATTAGAAGTATCAATGACAAGGTCAACCATTGTCTGAAAAACTACAATCAAGTCATCTTCAGGTAGTCATAGGATAACATGATTTTAATTCACTAAATTGACATGTTCCCTTTGTATTTTCGATGATATTTAGCAGCATGTAGGACTGTATGAAAACCTTAAGGCGAATTATTTCTGAAAATATAAAATGGTCTATTACTATATATATATAATTTTATAATGGTAATTGAACTGAGTGGAGTGCAATTCGGTCTGAAATCATACTTGTGATTTCAAAATTGAACGAGCGTGCAGCGCGAGTTCAATTTGAAATCACAAGTATGATTACAGACCGAAATTGCACGACACAAGGTTCAATTACCACTTTATTACATCCATTTTGAAATTGTCCGAATGCAGGAATTGGTCAGTTCAAATATTTTATTGATGCAGTACTGAGCCGGTTTGAAATGAAATTCATCTTCAAAAGAGTTTTGGAAACAAAAGTTGCAAAATTTGCCACATGATACTCTTTGTCTACCTTTTTTCTGCAATTTGATTGGTTACCTTAAACAAGCCTTGAAATCTGATTGGTTGTTTTGTTTTTAGTGTAGCCTCTTCATTGGCTGGGGAAAAGATGCGATTTAAAGCAAAAAATGGTGCGATTCGTGAATAAATCGCACCAATTAGAGCCATTATCAGATTACAAGGACCACCAGTGATTTCAAAATGGGTGTAATCATGACGAGCTTTGGGCCCGAAAAAAATTCGCAGCATGTATTCTACAGAGGCGCTATCATTCCGTCAACAACTTAGATAATTACCTTAACACTTGCAGTTTGTAGGTGTCTCTGCGGTTAATTAAAGCAGGACATGCCATTAAGATCAATCAACAGGTCACAAAGAATTAAAAGCGCTCTTGAATTATAAGGAAAAGGAAAATACTGTTCTAGGTTAAAGCAGTAAAAAAACGGAGAAAACGATTTGCGTTGAGAAGAATGCCGCAAAATCGATACAAATGCATGTAGCCTCTTTAACTGTATTTAAGATTCGTGGCAAAATAGTGTTCTATTTTAATACTCTTGCATTTCTGGGTATCTTGTGACTCAGTCTCGTTATAAATAACAAGTATTACTGAAAATAAATTTCAAAGTTTAGAACTCAGATCACTTGCTTCGTTTGCATGTACATTGCGTAACGTCATGTATTGTTTACTTGTGCGCCACGCACAGCTCGGCAAGGAATCTTCCGACTATTGTGGTTGGGTTTTATAAAAGTTAAAGGTTCACTTAATAACTAATATTTCATTTAGGCGCGAGTTTCAATTTAGAAAACACAATGAATCTTGGATCGGAATCATTTAGCGCGATCTCATCATGGAGACCGAAGTCTTCGATCGATCGGTTAAACTTTGTAGAGTCGAGGGATCCAATCTAGACCCCAAAAAGCACTGGTACGTGCTAACGGAAAGTTTATGTGGGATCAGGCCGAATGCTTTCGCAAAGAGTGAAATATTTCGTCGATTTCCTGATGAAATACGGTCTGTTCCGCCAGCAGGCCTCAAGCCCGTCAAAAATGGCTGTTCATTCAACACCAGGCAACCAGGCAACTCGTATGTTGTTTCTTCGTTTGGTCTCTGTGCCGGACTACTTAGACAGAGAGAATTTCCAGCAAATGGATTTGTGCGATCTCAAAACATTATTCCTGTAGTTAATGCGGTAAATGGAATCGCCCTCGACTTTGAAATACCGGACAGTTTAGGCGGGAAATACCCAATGGAAGTAATGTCAAAATGTCAGTCTAGAATAGCGGAGCTTGATCACGAGATTCGGGAACTTGAAAGAAGTAATAATTTTTTTAAATTCATGTATGCCTTGCTACCCTCCATTAGCAGCCTTGTCTCCTTCTTCTTTAAATAATGAGTGCCACAGGGACAGCAGAGACATCAGCAGTTTCAGCAGCCCATGCAGCGCCAGTGGCCCTTACAGCATCAGTGGCCCCTACAGCACCAGTAGCCCTTGCAGCACCAGCAGCACCAGCAGCTCAAGCAGCATCAGTAGCCCCTGGAGTATCAGCAGCCCATTCAGCACCAGTAGCCCCTACAGCACCAGCAGCCCCTGCAGCACCAGCAGCCCCTGCAGCACCAGCAGCCCCTGCAGCACCAGCAGCCCCTGCAGCACCAGCAGCCCCTGCAGCACCAGCAGCCCCTGCAGTACCAATACCACCAACAGCAGTGTTATTGAAGAAACATTAAACGATCCAACTCTAGGTTCCACCTTAAAGAAGAGAAAAGTTTCCAGTGAATGCAGGAAAGTGAAGTCTGAGTTAGATGGTGTGTTGGAAGAGTATCGCGAGACCCTTGCCTGTATATTAGGCAATAGTTTTTTGTATGGCACTGATGCAGAGAAGGCAAAGGTCTCAGAAACCATATCAGAAGTGGTCAGTTTAGTCATGGATTCTCATGGAGTGAAGAAAGGAGTAACAGATCTCCTCTTACCAACCACCTATCAAGAGCTGTTGAAGAGTATGCATGTGCCTGACTGGGTCTTGCTCTATTTTAAATTGCAAGCAAAATTACCAGATGCTGCATGGCAAACTCTTCTTAATCTCACTCAGCTTGGAAGAAGTGGGGTAAGTTTGACCTTATAACCTCAGGGTAAATTATTTTCAGAGTATAATAACTTTTTATAACTTTATGAAAAGTTTAAGGTTCCCCCCAAAGAATTTCATGGTTCCTAAAAATTTTAATCCAGATTTTAATCTTATGGGCAAGTAGCTAAAATCACAAGACCAAAAATTTTATATGGTAAGAAGATAAGAAAGACCACCAAGATGATCCCCCAGGTGATCCCAGATAACCACACCTCTCACCCTTCCACCAAAGTCTTATTTCGTAGTTAGCAGGAAATAAGTTATCTTAATCACAACTGCAGTGTAGCTATACTTCTATGGCAAGCAAAAGAAGAGGGTATGTCAAATTGGTGTACAGATTTTCTGCTTGAAGGATTTTTTGTAGCTCCAAATGTAATTCCCATCCATAAGTCAAAATCATTGTATGATCGCCATAAAATGATCATTGTTGACAATAGTAAAAATGGAAAAGACTGTGTTTCATATCAGTTACTGGTCAAGTATTGGGTCAAAATTCCAGGGCATTGGCCAAGTTTATGTAAGTTTATGGACCTGAACTTCATCTTGGTCCACAAGCACAAATAAAGAACAAGTTAAGGCCAACATCCTGCCATCTTAAACTAACAAGCTTGGACAACAAAGGGCTTTTACATATTGATTATATAACTGTGCTGATTTTAAAATATTTGTATGTAAACACCATTTTGATTGCTTGCAGCGCACCAGTGACACTGCTATTCTCTTGTCAAAAAATGATATTCGGGCAGTTAAAAAGCTAGTTTTTAAGGTTGTACGCAAAACGCTGTCCATCCAAAAGATGCCTACAGATTTCCATTCCTATGGTGTGGACCTTGTGTCAGTACTAGTATGGGCCATACATACTTCATTGTTGATGATTTTACATTAGTTTGTAAGAGCAAATTTTTTACTGTGTTCTCTCACTTATGTTTATAATAATTATTCTAGGGAACAACTCAAACAACTGATATCCAATTTGAATGTCCAGAAGTGTGATATTAAAAAAGGTGGAATCACTGTTGATGGGAAAAAGTACCACATCAATTTCACTGGTAGGTGGATATGCATGAGCCTTATAGCCAGGGACTTGCAATATGTTGTTCAAAATGGCACATTACTCAGAATAAAACCCCTCACACTTCTTAAAGGAGGTGGATGTTAGTTTTTGTACTGACTGAAGTTGATTTAATCACAGTCAAAAGTCCTTCCAGTTGTTCCAAAGGCAAACACATCCTATACACAATTAATGTGAGAATTAAATCATTATTAAAATTATTATTCACTTCATACATGGATGTCAGCTTTTCAGTTAATTCTTATCACTTCTCTTGATTAAAAAAAATTGCAGTTACCCTTGATTACAAAGCCTTACTGCTTTTACTGCAAAGGGGCAATGATCTAGACTTTGTTCTTGGTGGGAAAGGGTATGGTGAATTCTGTGCCTTCTGTGATGCAGTGAGGGTAAGTGCAAACAGCAAATTGAATTACTTTGTTTCTCACTTTAAAATTGGATTGCAATTCCCTGTATGGCATTTACCTAGTTGTGTAGCTTGGATTTTCTTTTTAATTTGTTGTCAGATATTGAGTGTCTTCCAGAATTTTTATTTTTTGGGGGTCCATGTGGAAACCTTATGTAAGCATCTTATATTTTGCACCAAAAAAACTCTACGTCAAACAATGCAAAGTGACTTCCTTGTTAAAAATGTTGTTGTGTGAAGTTCAAGGACTGTATTTGTCACTGGTAACAGACTCTATCCTTGAGGGTTGATTTTAATGGTCAAGATACAAATTGTCATGCATCAATTGAAACATTTTGATTTATAGGGATGCACATGCCATGGTGTTGACCCTGATGAGACCTGTCTCGACTGTCTAAGATCTAAAGCTAATATTGACAGGTAAGTAAAACACTTTTAAGAGTTTGGCTTGGTGCTCAATCTTTAGGGTCGCAAACAAGTGGTTACATCTTATTTTGTTTTATATATTTTTGTTTTTGAAACATTCCTATTAGGTCTACAGGTCTACGAGATGATCTCACATTTTTGCTTGAAGAAGACCTCAGCAGTGTAAATCTTTGCTCTTTGCATTGTGAGATGCGTAATTGTGAACAACTATTGGACTCATTGGGCCTCTTTGCTCATTGTGTTGGCTCATTAGATTCACTCAATGAAGTCTTGTCCCACCATGGGCCTGAAAGCTCTAAAGGCTTTCTGAGGGTAACAGTGAAACTAAAACCTGGACAGCAAACAGCAGTGGAGAGAAAAAACATCAAAGTAGCATCTTTTTCAGGTCGGCTAACTGAAATAACATATTTGTACTCAGTTACCAATTTTGTTCTTAACCTATAATGACTTTTTATCATTTTCTGAGAAGCATTTTTCTTCATTCAATCTTAGTTTCAACACTTACATCCGCTACAAATTTGAAAAATATACTGTTGTAATGTACATGAATTACTTGGTATCAATTTAATTATGTCTGAAACATGAACAGGAAGTTAAGAAGTTAAGAGGTATCAAGCTAGATTTATGGAAGCATGTTGCTCAAGACAATTTAATTGATAATTTTATCCATTCAAGGACGATGAGTGAAAGCTCCAAAAACTCATGTTTCACAGACATCATTTCTATACACGTCTATAAGACAATATTATTGTCCTCTAAACATGTAACAATGTGAATTCACCTTAAATAAATAGAGCTCATATCATGGTCAACTTTGTTTAACATTTTTATTGGATTTGAAGGTAGGATTTGTTTTATTAAATGTTTTAACTGTATTAACTAATTAAGTTTACTGAATTTCATGGTATTTTCCAAGGGTCTTTTGGAAGAGAGGTTCTGAAGAATTTTGACACAATTGTGGAGAGATTACTGCCAATGAGTAAAGTAATTAATTATTACAAACAGTGCCCAGGTTCAGGAAGGGAACTCATATTGGGTTATATTACATTTTTTGAAGAACAAATGGTAGGTGGACATTGCACAGCTTAACCACTATAATTTCAGTGATTTTAGCTAATAAAATTAGTTTTTAGTCAAGGAAACATAGTGTCTCTTTTGTCTTTTTTGTAGTACATAACTGATATGCTGGAATTGGGAGAGATAACTCGTGATTATGGTTTTGAACAGAGAAAGACCAGCATAGAAAAAAATTGTGGTAAGTTTAAAATAATCATGCATGATAATAATAGACTCATTATGCTTGATAATAGTAGACTTAATTTCATGAGGGTAAATTATTTTAACTCTGTGGAATTTAAAACTGTCTAACCTGTGGCCCTTAATTAATAAATATGTAATAACAATCAATAAAAGCAAAAATTACATTGCTATACAAGGAGCTACAATGTCAGATGAAGTAAAATATGAGATAATTTTAAGTGGGATTGGGATTGGAAGCATAACATTACATGAGGATAAATTTCACAGAAACAAAATTTTTTAATCATACATTGACACATTTTTTTCAGAATTTAAAACGTTTCTAAGCAGTAGGAGAGAAGAATGGGAAATGAGGCAAAAGGAGACTGAGGCAAAGTTCCTAGAGTTAAGCAGTTTGTCTGAAAAACTGGCAGCTATTCCAAGTGAGCCTAAGAAGACACATCAAGGTAACTGCAGAATCTAAATGGCTTGCTGAACTAAATTGCACTCAAGATGAGCTAAAACTTATTCAGAGAGTTTTATGGAACAAACCAACAGCAAACCCCATTCTGGCATGTGACTATAAAGCTATTGATGTCCTTTCCTTCTCTGATCTTGCAGAAGAAAGGTATATTGACAGCTTTGTCATTGATGTCTCCATCAGCAAATACAATGAAAAGAGCTATTCACAAGGACATGAGAACACATTTTATTTACCCACTGAATTTTTCCAGTGGATACAGGTCCAAGATAAAGGTTTCAAAATTGGGAAGTTAAAAGAAAGAGCTTCTCAAATAACTTTGTTTGATAATGTTTGCCAAGTACTAGTGCCAGTCTTCATGGTAAACCATTGGGGCCTGATCTATGTCAACTTTGCTGGTAAGCAGGTGCATTTTGATGATGGCCTTATGTCTGTTGTGCCTCCAGTAGCCCTTCTGTTTGTCAAAGATGCTTTGAATCTCCTTCTTGAATTATACCCAGATCACCCATCCCTACAAACAAAGTTTTGGCTCTCAATCCAAGGTTTTCTGCATTTTGGAATGCCTTCTCAGTTGCCAGTTGATGATATGATGGTTGGTGTTGGAAGTTGTGGGATTGGGGTCATCATGGCTGCCAGAGACTTCATCCAAGATGGGCCAAAAACTGTCAACAATATCAAGTGGAGATATTCCAATATGCATAACCACAGAAAGGAACTCATGTTGCAGATTCTAAAGTGGGCAGGGTATGCTAGCTAGATATTCCAGAGTTGCTACATATCCATTTGTATTCAGCCCTGGGTTGTGTATAGTTTTTATCATATCAGTTTCTCCTTGATAGTGTATACCTGAAGATTTAAGTTTTTTCACCAAACCTGAGTCCTCTTGGGTAGTGTATACCTGAGGATTTCAGTCCTGATCAAACCCAAGCTCTCTTGGGTAGTGTATACCTGAGGGATTTAGTTTATTCACCAAACCTGAGCTCTCGTGGGTAGTGTATACCTGAGGGTTTCAGTTTGTTCACCAAACCAGAGCTCTCTTGGGTAGTGTATACCTGAGGGTTTCAATTTGTTCACCAAACCTGAGCTCTCTTGGGTAGTGAATACCTGAGGGTTTCAGTTGTGATCAAACCTGAGCTCTCTTGGGTAGTGTATACCTGAGAGTTTCAGTTTGTTCACCAAACCTGTTAACTCTTGGGTAGTGTATACCTGAGTATAACATATTAGATTTTCCTCTCCGTTGAGACTGTCACCTTGCCGTGGTGGAGGGGCTTGAGTGTCTCAATGATCCTTTGACCCATAACTGACAGTGGATGCCTCGACTTTCAGTCTAGGGCAAGGGAGAGAGTCCAGACAAAGAACAGTCTCCTGATATAAATTAGTGTGACTTAAGTGTGACAATCTTTCATGCCCTCCTGGGTAGTGTATACCTGAGGGTTATTTTTAATCTCTTCTATACTCTCTTGGGTAGTGTATACCTGTGGGTTATTTTTAATCTCCTCTATACCCTCTTGGGTAGTGTATACCTTAGGGTTACTTTTAATCTTTTTAAAATCCTCTTGGGTAGTGTATACCTGAGGGTTATTTTTAATCTCCTCTATGCCCTCTTGGGTAGTGTATACCTGAGGGTTACTTTTAATCTCTTCAATTCCCTCTTGGGTAGTGTATAACTGAGGGTTACTTTTAATCTCTTCAATGCCCTCTTGGGTAGTGTATACCTGAGGGTTACTTTTAATCTCTTTCATACCCTCTTGGGCAGTGTATACCTGAGGGTTACTTTTAATCTCTTCAATGCCCTCTTGGGTAGTGTATACCTGAGGGTTACTTTTAATCTCTTTCATACCCTCTTGGGTAGTGTATACCTGAGGGTTACTTTTAATCCCTTCAATGCCCTCTTGGGCAGTGTATACCTGAGGGTTACTTTTAATCTCTTTCATACCCTCTTGGGTAGTGTATACCTGAGGGTTACTTTTAATCTCTTCAATGCCCTCTTGGGTAGTGTATACCTGAGGGTTACTTTTAATCTCTTCTATACCCTCCTGGGTAGTGTATACCTGAGGGTTACTTTAAATCTCTCTCTCATACCCTCTTGGGTAGTGTATACCTGAGGGTTACTTTTAATCTCTTTCATACCCTCTTGAGTAGTGTATACCTGAGGGTTACTTTTAATCTCTTCAATGCCCTCCTGGGTAGTGTTTGACCTGAGGGTTACTTTTAATCTCTCTCATGCCCTCTTGGGTAGTGTATACCTGAGGGTTATTCTTAATCTCTTCTATATCCTCCTGGGTAGTGTATACCTGAGGGTTACTTTTAATCTCTTCAATGCCCTCTTGGGTAGTGTATACCTGAGGGTTACTTTTAATCTCTTCAATGCCCTCTTGGGTAGTGTATACCTGAGGGTTACTTTTAATCTCTTCAATGCCCTCTTGGGCAGTGTATACCTGAGGGTTACTTTTAATCTCTTTCATACCCTCTTGAGTAGTGTATACCTGAGGGTTACTTTTAATCTCTTCAATGCCCTCCTGGGTAGTGTTTGACCTGAGGGTTACTTTTAATCTCTCTCATGCCCTCTTGGGTAGTGTATACCTGAGGGTTACTTTTAATCTCTTTCATACCCTCTTGAGTAGTGTATACCTGAGGGTTACTTTTAATCTCTTCAATGCCCTCCTGGGTAGTGTTTGACCTGAGGGTTACTTTTAATCTCTCTCATGCCCTCTTGGGTAGTGTATACCTGAGGGTTATTCTTAATCTCTTCTATATCCTCCTGGGTAGTGTATACCTGAGGGTTACTTTTAATCTCTTCAATGCCCTCTTGGGTAGTGTATACCTGAGGGTTACTTTTAATCTCTTCAATGCCCTCTTGGGTAGTGTATACCTGAGGGTTACTTTTAATCTCTTTCATACCCTCTTGGGTAGTGTATACCTGAGGGTTACTTTTAATCTCTTCAATGCCCTCTTGGGTAGTGTATACCTGAGGGTTACTTTTAATCTCTTCAATGCCCTCTTGGGTAGTGTATACCTGAGGGTTACTTTTAATCTCTTCAATGCCCTCTTGGGCAGTGTATACCTGAGGGTTACTTTTAATCTCTTTCATACCCTCTTGGGTAGTGAATACCTGAGGGTTACTTTTAATCTCTTCAATGCCCTCCTGGGTAGTGTATACCTGAGGGTTACTTTTAATCTCTTCAATGCCCTCTTGGGTAGTGTATACCTGAGGGTTACTTTTAATCTCTTCAATGCCCTCTTGGGTAGTGTATACCTGAGGGTTACTTTTAATCTCTCTCATACCCTCTTGGGTAGTGTATACCTGAGGGTTATTCTTAATCTCTTCTATACCCTCCTGGGTAGTGTATACCTGAGGGTTACTTCTAATCTTTTCTATACCCTCTTGCCTGAGGGAGTTAAGGTATAGCTTGTTATATATAAGGAAGGTTGTAGTAACTTGAACTTAGGTGTTCCAGTTATTTTCCACATGTGAACTACATAATTCTCAACTGAAGGATCTTTAAGTGAGATGAACTTGTAGTTTATTTGTCTTTTTCCTCCCACAATATATATGTATATATATATATATATATATATATATTTTTTTTTTGTTTTTTCGCTTTTTTTGTTTAAGTATTGTGCTTTTTTTCGGTTTTCCCCAAGGTTGCTTTACAGATAGGGTGAATTCCAGTTTGATTTGGCATTGTAGACAAAAAGGCGTTTTTAGTCTTACCTCACAAATTTTATTTATTAGATTTAGTACGTGTACAGGACATTTATGCAGTGGATCCTCAATTCAGCGACATTCGGTACATTCCTCAACTGAACTGGCTTTGAAAATAAAAAGTAACTGGAATTAGAAAAACATTCTGTGTAACTTAAAGAATTATTCAAGATGAACACGACTTACAAATAGTCTGATGCTCATTTTTCCCACGAGACTTGTATGATACAAGTTTGGCCACCAAATTACATCTATCTCGCGGGTAGCCCGACCTTCTCCGTACCCAACTATTAGATTACTTATGCACGTTATCCTAGCTCTTGGTATTGCCCCGTGGGCTTTTCTTTTGGCAGCAAGGAGAGCTTGTACGGGATCAGCGTCCCCTTGTTTTTCGTGCTCTGCGACTAGTACGTGTCCATTCCACGATGCTCTCTCTTTCAAAGTGACAATATTTTGTTTGGCCAAAGCATGTTTAATTACGCCAAGGTAAAAAAAACGGTATACCACCTTCCTTTTGAAGGAGCATAAAATGGGCGCTCGCCAGTGGTGCTGGCTCCTGACAGAATGGGGTTGAGGATTTTTGAGATCTTTGAGGAACTGTTGAAAATATTTTGTCGGAACCATGTTGTATTCCAAAGTCTGCCAATTTCCTGTGAAAGGAAATGAACCTGATTGAGTATATATCGGTAAATCAACTGACACTTATAATCTCTAGGCTTTGAGACTTGGCGAGTGTAGTGTTCCCCTGACAATACAATGTACAATGCAGTGCAAATGACTAAATCTCTTCATCCATATTATGCAGAATTTTGCGAAATAGAGCTTTTAGATTATAGGCAGACGCAATAGACCACACTGTGCGAAAGAGGTAACATCAAATACTTGCATCTTTAAGGGATTTGGGGACTTGTTAAAGGCGATTTTTTCCTGCTTATCTCGACTGAATCGAAACTAAACAATCATTTAACGGAGTAAATAGTCTTGCCAAAAAGAAGCGGAAGCTAGGTCACGGAGTGACTGGTAAATATATTTTTCGGAGCTTTGTTAGACGCTACTGCATTCACATGCGAGTTTTACCTCACTTCTAAGTTTTACCGTTCTTTGAACCAACTTAAGTATATGATGACCTACCCATTTGTTACTTGAGTGAACTTACTTTTATGCCTGTAATGGTGAATTCCGTTCAATCGATCCACAACTCCAGTCAACCACGTTTTGTATTCGCTTCTAACAGCGGGGGATCTTAGACCTTGAGCTGCTATGAGCTGCACTACTTTGTCGTCTTGGAAAAACGCGGCTCTTCTTGGGATTGGCCTGTCTTCGTGCGATTTCTCAGAGTGCTTACAAGCGCTTGAAATATTTTTAACTTTTTGGAGCATTCGTCGCAACGTAAGTGCATATTAGCCATACTTATCGAGCAGAGTATCGGACAGCACTGCGCATAGCACGTCTAAGGTAGTGATTGTAGAAAGCTAGTTCCTGCGACGTAATTTTAAAGGTAAATATTTGAACAAACTAGTGAGAAGCACTCTTCAAGGCGTGACATATTTCATGTGTGACATAACTATTTTGGGGTTATGTCATGCCTAAAATATGTTAAACTTTTTTTTTTACGCCCCTTTCCCGGACGTATTGCCACATTGATTGTGGTTAGGTAAAGATACAGGTATTACTCGGTACTATATCGATCTAAGTCCATTTGACATTGTTCTTGTCCTGTTACAATCATGGAGTCAAATAAGCAGCGAAAAACTCAAAAGAGAGAATATTCGGAACAGCGTCAAGAATATTATAAGAATTTGAGAAAACAGCAAAAAAAGAAGAGAAAGGAGAGAGCTAATTTATCAGAAGGAGAGTTAAAGCGAGGCCAAGCAACCACAAGATCCAGACGTCGCTTAGTCATAGATCTACCAAAAGAACCATCAAAGAAGAGAAGACTGGGTGATTCTGAGCAAAACTTGCCCAGGGGGAAAAGGATGGTCTCGGCATCTCTTCAAAAGAATCAGGGAAAAAAAGAGAAAGAAGTCATTCAACGTCCAGCAGCACCAAAGGCCACTGAAGGCAGGACTTTCAAAGAGCTTGCACCGGAAAATTTGGTTCGAGACCAAGGTGCTCGGTCGATCGGTAGCGGCACTTTCGGAGATTGTTACCCAGGAAAATACCGCGGCACTTTCGGAGATTGTTACCCAGGAAAATACCGCGGCATTTCTGTGGTGATTGAAGAATACAAAGAGAAAAGAGATTTTAGCTTTTCCTTTTTACAAAGAGAAGCAAGACACGAAGCGCAAGTTTCGCAACAATTAGGGGATCATCCCGGCATCCCACTTTTGTTTGGCGTCGTCTTGAAGAAAAAGCCCGTCAGTCTCGTGCTAAAATACCATGGAGATGGTGGCGAAAGCCTCACAGTTTACAAAGCGGCGAAAAACAGTAGCGTTTCCGAGCAGAAGGATTGGAACAGGATTCTTCATGACACAGCAGTCGCGTCAGACCACATTCATAAGTGTGGATTTACGCACAATGACCTCAAATGCAATAACGTTGTTTTAGAGAAACGTGAAGACCAGCTTCTTCATTTCGTTATAGTCGATTTTGGCAAAAGTGATGCCTTCACGAAAGCTAAAATTGCAGTCCCAAAACCGTCGCATTTAAAAGGCCATTATAAGAATAGTTACATTGCGCCGGAGCTTGTAGACGGAACGGGAAAACCATCAATTGAAAGCGAGGTTTATTCTCTGACTTACCTAATTAACAAAGTTTATGGACTTTTAAAGTTCAAGACCATGCCCTGCATTAAGAAGGGTTTGTCGGAGGTAGCCACAAATAGGCCATCGATCATAGAAATAACATCAGCTCTAGGTGCCGCTTTTTAGGTTATTTTTTAGTTTCTTCTTTATTTTATGCAGTGACATTTGGCAAGGACTATATCCAGACATTGCCCGCGAATTATTGTTTCCCTGTTTCAGATATTGTTTATAGAAAGAAAATAAGCCTAAAGCATTACTATTTAGGTTATTTGAATTAGACCCGTTGAGTTTTTCTGCGGCATTTCCCTGGACTATAGTTTCGTTGTGAAAATAAATTAGTCGAAATTAGTGTTGTATCTGGAAATTCATTAAACATGTAATCATCGGAAGTTGCGGTTTTTCTCATTTAATCGAGTGGAGCCTAATTGACTTTTTCTGGCGATTATCGGATGTCCTGGAGTGTTCAGCGAATACTTCATGCCCCCTTGAGGTGTCAAACCTTGGCTGGAATTACCTATGCAAATGAGCTGGCTGCGCATTCAATGTGCAGCCAGCTCATTTGCATAAAATTTTTTTCGGGCGCAAAGCTCGTCATGATAAAATAAATAAGATTAACCTGTGCCTTTATTATTTACTGTATTTTTAATAAAAATTGCTACTATTAAAAAGAAATCAAACCTTTCTTATTCGAACATCAACCAGAAACCCTTTACTTATTGCCTACTAATGCCTACTCCTGAAAGGGAAACATGTGCTATAGTTTCAGCTGATTCCCCAAAAAGAGTCACTTGATGCTCGTAACTTGTGTGCTGTGCCATCAAATAAGCAGTGGTAGGTACACGACCAAGGAACAAGAAGATATTCTTGAAAAAAGTGATTTTAATGTAGTAGAAGACTAAATTAGAATTCCAAAAAGTAAAAATACAAAGCAGACTATGATAATAATTTGGCAAAGTTGATTAAATAAGCATGCTGTATTTCAAGTATTTTCTAAGCCTCCTAAGATCCTACTAGCTAAGACTAACTAAGAGAAGTTAACTAAGTGCCTCAAATATGGCCATAAAAGGATATCTTGAAACGATAGCTTTAGAGCCAAACAATGGCTTATTAATTCACGAGGGAAATTCAAACTCGTTGCCATTATAATAGCGAAATTCACGAGGTAAATTCAAACATTGCCGATTACTGCACGAGCGCAAAATTTGAATACTTGGCGAAAGCGCGTTTCTGTCAAATCTTACCCTCGGGAGGAGGAGGGCACTTAATGATAACTAAATATAAATGACAATAGCATTTTTCTAACAAAGCAAAAGGTTACACAGTGAAAGTAAATCCTAATTGAGTAATTTTTAGCTTTTATATGTTTCAAATGCAAAATGCAAACGGACGGGAAAAGTCATGAAAGGTGCCGGGCCCGAGTCTCTCAATTCGGTATATATTCGGGGTATACTTAAAAGAAAGAGGTCCAACTGCACTTGAATATTTTACTTCTCAACATTCCTAAACTGCCGCAATTTTTACCTTCGCTATCAAGCAAGTCACAGAATCAAGCGAACTAAAAAACGAAAACAACGAAAAAGAGAAAAACTTAAGTATCCTAAACAATTTATAAAATCGAAACATTGATTGAAAGTATGTTTGACTCTGTTATGTTTTGACAGAAAATACAGAGCAAGGCCAGGCTCCTTTCTCACTGAGAGAATTCGTCTTCATAAACACATATAGAGCAATCTATGGTTTATCTATCTATTTATTTGTTTATTTGTTTGTTTACTTCACCATGCAACTGGCCGCTTTTGGAGATTTCAAAGAAAAACTTAAATTTTGGAAAGTTGCGTTCAAATGTATAAAAATCGGACCTCGGTGGTTTTCACTTTGTTTTTACATCAGTCGATGAGATCTCTTCGCTTTCCCTACTTCTTGCCACTGTTTTTAAAGGGAAAGATAAAAATTTTATGGTTTCTGGAGCATACTCCTCCTTCAACTCATCCTCTTTTATTCTTTCGGCACCAATCAGCAGGGATCGCGTAGCAAGTTTTCGAGTGGGGGGGCTAAAGAAGAATGCGTGAAGGAAAATTTTTTTGTTAAATTATTTTTTGTTTAATTTATTTTTATTCTTGCAAAAAAGTGGGGGGGGGGGCTAAAGCCCCCTCAGCCCCTCCCTCTGCGCGGTCCCTGATCAGACCGAGTCATCTCTGCTTGAGGCAGCTGGAGTTTTGTCTCCAAACGTGAGTAGCTGAAAGCGATTATTTCTCAGCTCACACAAAATAATGCGGCCATCATTTAGCACTGAAATCGATCTTGGAGTATTTAATTCTCCAGGACCAGTGCCTTTTGTTCCAAATTTACCAACGAACTTTCCACTCAATTCAAACACCTGCACTCTGTGATTACGTGCATCGCAGACTATCAGGTGTCCTGACTTGTTCACAAACAAACCGAAGGGATCTTGAAACTCCCCGTCCCCTCCCCCCTGCTTTCCAAACTTGTACTGAAAGGTTCCATTCTGGTCAAATACTTTAATACAATGGTCGCCCTTGTCTGACACTATGAGATATCTATCATATTGAACGCAGTGGACAGGAAAATTTAAAGAGCCGTGCCCACCAAACTTTCTTAAAAACTCTCCTTCAGGAGAAAAGATTTTGATTAGCTTGTTACCTACATCAGAAACAAGAATATTACCATCACTATCTACTGATAAACCGCGGGGATAAAGGAGCTGAGCATCGAGGCTTCCTTCTCCACCAAATTTTCTCAGGAATTCACCCTCCCCACTGAAAATCTGGACTCTATGGTTATCTCTGTCTGCCACAAAAATATTCCCATTTTTGTGAAATGTAATTCCTTTTGGTGTGTTAAGCTCTCCCATTCCGTAACCTTGTCGACCAAAAGATCTTAAAAAAAGTCCATCAGCGTTAAAGATTTGAACTCTGTGGTTCAAAGAATCGGCTACAGCTATCTCATCACCAGCACTTACTGCCAAACCACTAGGCTTATGTAACATTCCAACATCCAAGCCGAAAGTTCCAAAAGTTGAAATTGGTATTAACTGAAACTGTTCTACCTGCACAATCAGAGGATTTCCGAGGGTTTGTTCTCCATTTACTTTGACTGTCACCTTGAATCTGCCTGAATCTCTTGGAAAGTAGCTGATCTCATAGTGTCCGTCTTCATTGTTGTTTATTCGCACGTCTGTGGCACATTTTAAATGTCTTTCGTCAGCGATCTCTACTGTTACATTGTCATGTTTAAAATAACATTGCTGTCCTTGAGCGTTTTTCGTGACCAAAACAAACTCTACCTCGCGTCCTACAAAAGCTTCGCTCAGTTCTTTGCCCTCCGTAACAGACATTCCTGCTTCCGTTTTGTCGTATGCACTTATTACACTTCCAATTTCTTCGCAGTTGACGGTATCCAGCACCTTTCGATTTTCCATGAAAACCGCAGCAGGAAATTTATTCGGGTCACGCTTAATTGGTTGGTTTTCATTTTTAGTCGCAATGATCGCGCACAATGACTTCTTTAGTTGAACGACATCAACGTCTGTACTTATCGTCAAAAGCTCGTTGGTTTTTGCCAGCGTTGATTCAATGCTCTTTATTTGACTCTCAGTCTCCGTTTTCTCAGCTGTTAAAGCTTGAAGGGATGCTTTTGTTTGGCTTTCAACCTTTGCAATGATATTTTCCCTCTTGGCTTGAAAGACTGCGATCACATCTTCGACAAATCTATGAACATTTCTTTTCGCGTCTTCGCCTTGTTGAATCAATCGAGCGTATTCCTCTTCGAGCTGACCAACAGTGTTCATCTTTGCTTGTAAATTGCGTTTCTGTTCTTCAGTCAGTGATTTGACTTCAATCTTTTGCCTCTCAGCTTCTTCTTCCAAGTGTTCCAAGGTGTGACCTGCGTGGTCCATCAAAACACAAGTTTGACAAACTGCCGCGTCGCAATTTTTGCAAAAATATTTCAGCTCTTCTTTCTCGTGTCGCTGCTTTGTGCAAAACGACGGTCGTTTTAACACATCCTCAAAGTCCTTTTCTTGAAAATCTTTAAGCGCGAGAACACGGTGATCATTGTTGTTTCGCATGATGTTGTGTCCAATAACGCATTGTTGGCAATAAAATATGCAACACTGGAAACAATAAGATGTTTCGGAGCTTTTCTTGTCGCAATTTCCACACTGTACTTGACTGTTTTCACATTCTTTAATGGCTAATACATCAATCAGGCCGTTCAGGTAAAAACTGGTTGGTAGATCTTTCAGATCGCCACTTTCCGGCAATTTGTTGAAAACTTGGCATTTCGGACATCTGATTGTGTCTCGGCCATGACTTGTTCTGTGCCATTGCTTCAAGCACTTCAGGCAGAAACTGTGTAAACATTGGAGCTGTTTCGGATCCGTGAATATGGTAGTACAGACTGAACACGAAACTTCTTCGCGAAGGTTATGAAGCAACGTTTTGATATCCATGTCGTTTTTAGACGCCAGTGTGCAAAGTAGTGTTTTCGAGGAATCAGTCAATTTGAAACCATGAAGCCTGGAGAGTTTTTTTTTAGCCCTTCTACTCCCAGAAGTGATTAACACGCAAATTCTCCCCATAATATCCATATATTATCAAGCGAAAAGGTAATGAGAATACTCAGACTTATCAGGTTGAAGTTGTCATCTAGATGAAACATTAAATTCTCGTAACTACTTTACAAGGAAATGTGTTGCAGCTAGAGGGGAGAATTGACAATCAAATCTTGGGAGCTAAAGGGTTAATCAGCAATTCTTGGAATCAGCGCTAACCTAATCTGTTGTTTTTAAAGCTTGTACGTCAATCAAATTGTCTCGCCTGATCCTCATGACCCTGCTATAAGCATTAATTCTTGCTGAATGAAACTGAAAATTATCTGGAACGAAAATATGATTGCTCGTATTGTATTACGCATCCTTAACTGCGCATGAAAATCACGTAATCAGGCGAAGACCCTTCCGTGCATTCCCAGAACAAGGTATTGTTTTTCAATCAATGGACCAGGTACAATGGTCTTCAGCTCTTCCGCGAGGATGATCAACCATATTTTTTATCGCATAAATTTGTTGAACAAATCATCCCCTTTGAATTGAGTGAGTAAAAATCCAACTTGAAGGGGAAATGGATATAGCCAAAAGCGTGTGCGAAGCCCATTACTCGAAGAATGCAAATTATGATTGAAAGCAACGAGCCGAACTTTTTGTATCGATGTCGTCTAAAATTGCGTGATTTCTCCACAAATTATACATTAATTGTTTCGTACACTCGAGACTTTCAACCAATCAAGTTATTTTCAAGTGTTACTTTAAAAACCCTTTCTTCCAGCCACCGCAAAAATTACCGTGAACCGATGCAATGATGCGCGTGATTAGCGCCCGATCGAGTGTTCGTTAACTATTTTTCCTGAGGAATCACCTTAAAATGAAGAAAACAGACGGCAGACCCGGCTCCGGCCCCTGAAAAGCCGTAGAAGTTTAACTGAGGTGAATCCGATGATAAAACTCAGCATTTGTTTAATTTTTGTTCCTGAAAGCACGATCAGTTAATCCAAGAGATGAACTGAGGGTTTTTTAAGCCAAAGCCGCTGTGAGGTCGATGAGCTCCCTAACCGAGGTCCAAGGCGATTAAAATTTGTCCACTGACATGTGAAATGGCGAAATTGTTCTCGGTAACCCACAAAATAATGCTAAGACATAAACTCATATTTGACCAAAATAAGGCATTATTTTTCTCACTATTTTCGTAACTCTAACATCCCCTGTAAAATATGCAAACTGGAAATTAGACGTAAATAATGTTTATTTAGAAGAAAGTCTTGCGTGCTCATCTCCTTTACGATGAATTTGACATTCAGTGTTAATTAAGTTGAAAATGAAATTTACACTGGCTAGAGAAGGTATCTCGAAAGTTAATAGCTTTCTTCAGCTTTTTCAAATGTACAGTGGTTCGGTAGGGCGATAGGAAACGAAACATCTCGTGGGAATGGCCTAAGCTAAAATATATTGGATTATGTTGCAATACGACAAAAAATATATTTGCATAGAAAATAAAACCCGACCTGGAGGAGTTTAGTTTCGCAATATTTTGCCTTTTAACACCCTTCTTAGTACAAACTCTCCTCCTTTGAACGTCACGCAAACTATTAATGGTCAATAATGATAATCATGGTAGGAATAAACAAGCTAAATGTATTTAACACCACAAGAGAACTGCGAAAATAGTTGCCTGTACATCAAAACACTGTATAGATGGCCAACTAGAACATGCACGAAACGTGTAAACGAAACGTGATCATAATAAACCAATTCAATCGAATCTCTAACAATCAGACCTATTCATATACTTGCTATCGAACGGGGGAAATGTTTCGCTGAGATTTCCGTAACTACAAATAAGAATATCCCGGACAAAAAAATCGCATGGCCAAATAACAAGCCTTGTTGTTAACGCTTTGTTTTATTCTAGCGACAGACTGTCGTAATGTTTGGTGTTGTTTTCATGATTGCAATGTTCCTATTCCTTCGGTGCTGATAGTTTCCAATAAACTTTCATTTCCCACGAAAACCATAGCAGACAGCCTGTCAAGATCACGGTCTGCTGGCTGTAACTGATCAGCCTCGTCGAAGAGCATGGACTCCATAAATTGACTCAGTTGAACGACATCGATATCAGCACCCTGCGATAACAGTTTCTCAGCTCTTTCTAATGATGATTCCAATGAGGCGAGCTGGTTCTCCATCTCCTTCTTTGGCGCCATTACAGTTTCGTTTGCTTCGTTTTCTACTGCCGCTATGATATTTTCCTTCTTCGATTCAATAGTTGCAATTAACTTATCCACAAACTTTTGAACATCTCTTTTCACGTCTTCGCCATGTTTTATTATTTTAGCGCATTCTTCATCAATTTTATCAAGAGCGTTCATCTTTTCTTGTAAACTGCGTTTCTGTGCTTTAAGCAGTGATTCGATTTCAATCTTTCTTCTTTCAGCTTCTTCATCTATGCTCACCAAAGCGTGACCTGCATGATCTATCACAACACAGGTTTGGCAAACTGCCATCTCGCATTTCTTGCAAAAATATTTCAGCTCTTCTTTCTCGTGCCACTTCTGTGGACAGAAAGAAGGTCGTTTCAACACATCCTCAAAGTCCTTGTCTTGGAAATCTTTGAGCGCCAGAACACGATGATCCTTGTTGCTTCGAAGGATGTTGTGTCCATTGACGCATTCTTGGCAATAAAAAATGCAACAGTGGAAACAATAAAAACTCTGAGAGCTTTTCTTGTCGCAATTTCCACACCGTACTTGGCTGGTTTTTCGCTCTTTAATGGCTAAAACATCAATCAAGCCGTTCAGATAATAACTGGTCGGTAGATCTTTCAAATCGCCACTATCGGGCACTGTGCTAAGAGCTTGGCAATCCGGACATTTGATTGTGTCTCGACCATGGCTTGTTTCGTGCCGACGTTCCAAGCATTGTAGACAGAAATCATGGAGACACGGGAGCTGTTTTGGGTCCGTGAATATGTTTTTACAGATAGTACAACATACCCGAGCACGGAGATTGTGAAGAAACGTTTCAACGTCCATCGAAGGCGAGGGAGCAGAAAGCTTTCTTCGTAGTCACCGACACAAAAAAACAATGGCGCCTTGTTTGTCTGTGTTTTGCTAGCTATTCTTAGAATCGACTGTTTATTATGTTAATTATTCACTCTCTTTGTATTAAAGCTTGCTAAATATTAATACTGTCTTAATTGTTTTGTTTCGGAGACTAATTCCCGGATGTGTCTAAATCCTGCCGGCTGGGAGGTACATCCGAGGAGCACTAGTAACGAGCTTCCGAGTCGGGTGATAATCGGCTATTCTAATATGGCAGACTATTCCAGTGTTGCCAATAATCAAGCGACGTGATTGAACCTTCAACTAGACATGAACATTATTACATGCTTTACATATGAAAAATACATCATGGAGTTTAAATCAATTGCAAGGAAATTTCGTTTGGCTGTTTCTTTCACCCTTGTCGATCTTAAGTTTCTTGTTCTTAACACCGTAGCCGCTAAGACCTACGTTTGCAAAGGTAAACAAAGCTTATGAATAGTATCGCTACTATATAGCCCTTTTTATAGTACTACTGATTAGAAAGATCCCAAGATGAAATTTCTATTGTCTTGTACCACTTGCTAGTAGGATCTCAGGAGGCTTAGAAAATACAACCGTCTAGAGGTACAGCTTGTATATTTAGTCGACTTTGTTCAATTGCTATTGCGTTTCGCTTCACATTTTACTTTTTCTGCACTCCAAATTAGTCTTACACCCCTTTGAATCACTTTTTCAAGAATAATTTTCCATTTCACTTCAACTATTATTTGGTCTTGTACCTCTAGCCGGTAGAATCTTAGGGGGCTTCGAAAATACTACCGGCCAGAGGTACAGCTTGCATATTTAGGCGAGTTTGCCCAAATTTTACTAAGGTTTGCTCCACATTTGACTTTTCTGCACTCCAACTTAGCCTTGCACTCCTTGGAATCACTTTTTTCATGACTGAATTTACATTTTTTTTTAAATTTGCTACCTCTAGCTTTTAGGATGTTATTAGGCTTAGAAAATACTAGAGGTACAGCTTACATATTTAATCAACTTCGCCCAATTTTTATTACAGTTTGCTTTGAATTTTACTTTTTGGCTTTCCATTTAGTCTAACACTACATTGAAATCAATTTTTTCATGAATATCTTATTGTTCCTTGGTTGTGTACCTCTAGCCGGTAGGATCTTAGGTGGCTTAGAAAATACTACAGGCCTGGGGTACTTTGTGCATTTGAGGTGAATTAGGCTCATTTCATTTACTTTTTGATTTATGGAAAAACCTTTGTAAATTCCATGTTAGTCTCATACTGTTGTGGAGTCACCCCATATAGCTATATTTTCATGCTTTGCAGTCTTGTTCATCTGGCTTGTAGGATCTAGGATTACTAAGAAAACACTATCAGCCAGAGGAGAAGCTTGCTTATGTGTCTAAAGTAAGCTTGAAATCATTAACACTGATATGTTTAAAATGACTCTCAAGTAAATAAATTTTAAACTAGTCTGATTTGTATTTTGTTTGGTTGTGGATTTATTTCAATTCAAACCAGTTTTGGATGAATTTGACAAAAAGTTCATTTTGATTTGAAGTTGTCAACCAGATTTACTGAAGTTTGTCATGTAATATTCTGCATACTGAGTATGATTGGGATTTCTTTGAAAGGAACAGTCTCTATTTTCATGATATTTGTGTTTGATTAGAATTATTGTCGACAAGGCCAACTATTGCCTGAAATACTAAAATCAAGTAATCTTTAGTTAGTCATAGAATAACATGGTTTTAATTCACCAAATTGATATTTTCCTTTTGAATTTTCAATGATATTTAAGAGCATGTGTGACTGTATGAAAACCTTAATGCAAGTTATTCTTGAAAATATAAATGGTTTTTTACTGTATATATATATATATATATAATTTATACAATAAATAAATGAGATTAACCTGTACCTGTATTATTTACTGTATTTTTGTTAATAACAATTGCTTTTGTTAAGAAGAATTCAAACCTTTCTTATTTGAACACCAACCAGAAACCCTTTACTTATTACTTAATAATGCCTACTCCCAAAAGGGGAACATGTCCTTTAGTTTCAGCTGATTCCCTATAAAGAGTCATTTGATGCTCATGGCTTGTGTGCTGCACCATCAAATGGGCAGTGGTAGGTACATGACCAGGGAACAAGAAGATATTCTTGAAAAAAGTGATTCTAATTTAGTACAAGACTAAAATGGAATGCCAAGAAGTAAAATGCAAAGCAGACTGTAATAAAAATTGGGCAAAGTCAATTAAATATGCGAGCTGTAGTTCAAGTATTTCTAAGCCTCCAAAGATGCTACCAGCTAGAGGTTTAAGACTAAATAAGAAAAAACAAGATGTAAATGTATTCATGAGAAAAGTGATTCCAAGGATTGTTAGACTAATTTGGAGTGCAGAAAAGTACAGTGTGAAGCAACCACTATAAAAATTGGGCAAATTTGACTAAATATGCCAGCTGTTCCTCTAGCCAGCAGTCATTTCTAGGCCTGGAAACGTATTCTTGAAAAAAGCGATTCAAAGGCATGTAAGACTAATTGGGAGTGCAGAAAAAGTAAAATGTGTAGCAAACCGTAGTAACAAGTTTTAGGTGAATTTGACCTAAAATTCATTATAGCCGGTGGGATTTAGGCACAACTGTTCCCCTCGCATTACCACATGGCCGCCACGAAAAGCCAAGAGGAAAAAGTATCGTCCCAATCCTCTCTCGGCCACATCAGTGTGTTTTGGTTTTGTCTCGACCAATCATATCACTGGAAATGGTACAGACGAAACTGTCTATGGCTCGGACTGGGAACTAAGCCAGGTCTGACAGCCGTAGATATCTCGCGGAGGAAATGAGGCTGTCCCGAGATGGTTTTGTCAGGTTTTTGGAGCAATTTAGTCTTGAAAGGTATTGGATAGTCTCGATACATAACGATACGTCTCGTCCAATAAAGATCAACCAGTGTACGCTTCCCCGCCAATATTACAGATCGACAGTTTTGTCACTACTGCAAGTAAATGTCGCGAGAACAAATGACATTCTGCCCGATGACAATAAATCGAATTTATTTCATTACATTTGAAACAGAATTAAAATTTGAGGTATATATCAAGAGGGTATATATACGTATTGGTACACATGGAGTTAATAATAATTTTTTTTTCAAATTTTCTGTTTGAAGTACGAAAGTATCTCTCGAAATAAGAAAAGCTAGAGGAGGGCTTATATCGAGGGGGTATATAATCGAATGCAATATCTTTGTATACAAGTAGATGAGCCTATAAGCGTCAGTTAACGATAGTCGAATGATTGTCAATAAAGGACCGCAGCTGTCAAAATTTTTGTAAATGCCTGAATAACACATTGATAGAGGAAGACTTCTACCTTTTATTTGGCAATCCCCCAAGACCGTTTTTTTCAGGATCAGGAGCATAGGTGCAATTTTACAGTAAGATAGGGTAGGGAGGAGAATTATGATCCTGTTCAAGCTAAAATGGCAGAATCCCTGCACTGCTTCCATAGTCGATATCGCCTCACACCTCTGATTAAACAGGAGAAGTACAATGTGTATTGTGAAATGGTTTAATCTATACATTTTTTGTCAAATCACCGAGCAGGCATTTATCTTTTTAACTGTCATCTACCGTCGAAGAGCCACTGATTTCTTTACTACCGGTTCGAACTAGATTTACAAAGCGCCTCGTGAGTTATGGTGTAGGTAGGGGGGGAGGAGAAGGGAGGTGTTTCAGATATTTCTTATTCATGTGGCAAAAACAAAAAAGGAAGTACATAAGGCGAGAGTCAGGGATATCCGTGACGAGCAGCTTGTAATATACTCTTGGTTGCTGTGCTTGAAAAAGAATGAAAAACGCGGGCGCACTAATTATAATAGAGGTTCAGTAGAGAAAAAGAAGATTCGCAGCCGTTTCATTGACAACCACATCGGGCAGAATTCGTAGTCATCGTTATAATTATTCACAACCGATGAAGCGGCAAATTTGAGCGCGACCTCGCTTTGATGAGCCCCAAATGAGATGAAAATGAGCTAGGATTGGCCCACTAAGCTTCAGAAAAATTCAGTAACTTTTCGAATTTTCAAAAGTGCTAACTTCTAAATCGGCGCACGCTTCTTCGAAGATTGAAGATATATCTACAATTTGCATCTAAAATGAAGGAAATTTACGAAGTAGAAGAATTATTCATGTGCACAAAATTCGGTTATTTTTAGTATGAAAGTCATTTTCGAGAGCAATTTTCTGAAAACTCTTACTACCCTCCAAATAAAATATCACCGCACGGTAAATGGCAGATTACTCTTCCCTCTCACAATGGCTGACAGGAACCTGTTTAAAAATTTTTTCAGTCGAAGTTGCGTTCAAAATGGCTCGTTTTTAGCTAGGGAGCCATTGTCTTCGGCCCAACCATGAATACAACAATACACCTGTCAATCTAAACAATGGCTATTACAGAAACTCGTTCTCTTGTAAAATTATTCACAATAATTGGCGCGAATTTTAAAACCGTGATGTGCATCTGCTGTCGAAATTAACTCATGATGAAGGTAAACTGTTCGCGGTCGGAGGCTCTTTTCAGAGCTCGCACTCTTTCACTGAAAATAATTTGACGATTGACGTTTAGCTTCTTTCGAAGATGGTAAGCGGTAAAGTTGGCCCTTTTTGGTCGGCTGAAGGCAAACTGTACTCTAAACCTTCCAACTTTCCACGGCTAACAAAAGAATTCACATTTCACACACAATTTATAAGCACATACTCATAATATGAAAAAATCCGGACGAACCATGCTCCAACTGATTACATACTGAAACTTGTATACAAGTGGATCCGAAATTACGCAAATTATCAGTCATGAGAATTAACAAAAAGCGATGCGTGACATGAGCAAGTAATCAAGTACAACCTAGCAAAACGTGATTCTCTCCTCCCAGTATATCGTCTGAAAATGTTATTATCCTATGCTGTCTTTATTAATCATCCTGCTTTTCTTTTGAATAAACCTAAGCTGCTAGCCACATTGGTTTTCCGTAGGTTTCCGCACCATTTATTGTTAATTTTATTTGCGTGTAATGGCTAATGAGGAAACACAAATTTTAGGCGATAATTTAAAAATATATGTCCAAAAAATGAGAAGTACAAGGTAACAGCCTTTCAACACTTCTCCACATTTCCATACACTCTCTAAGGCTAGCTCTTTCCTATAAATCTAAGCAGATTAAATGAGAAGAACTACCATCTACTCCGGTAAATCATCAAAAAACGAATTCAAACTGGTGAGGCCCCAATGACTTCAATACGCATTTTCAAATTCAATTTAAGGATGATGAAGGACTTTTGAGACATGTTAGTGTCTCGTTGTACCCATTAGCAATATTACCACATGCATGATTTATATAAGAGAATAAATTGGAAAATCACCCCTTGACTCAAACCACCCCAACTATACTCTGGCGCATGCAATTAAGAAAGCAGCATCAAAGTGTGTTAAGTGTTACTTATAGCCTAATAGTTGATAACAAGTGTTGTCAAGGCAAAGTTGGAACTCTCCCAAGCCGAACTTAAAGGAAATTATCAGGTCCAGATTGCTTGACAGATTTCCTCTTGCGAAAACTTATTGTATCAAAATGTTCATCGCTACTGATTAATCTCCTCTAGCTTGATAATCAGGGCCTTTCCGCGACTATATACGTAGAAATGTCAAGGTTACTATAAACAGCTCCTAGACTACAGTAAGCGTTTACTATCCTAGTATGTTCCTTGTCGTAAATCTCGTACTTAAAGGTCAGTGCTTTCTCTTTGAGTACTTTGTATTCATTACACTTCTAAGGCGATTGTCAATATTTCCAGGGTTGATGGAACTCGTCGCTTCAGCAGAATGTACCTCATCGGAAGACTTTTTCATAATGACCCGTGCTTTCTTGAAATAATTTTTTGCTTTAAAGTACTCTCCGAGTTGACTGCAAACAATTCCTAAGTTGTGGTAAATTGTCGCCACAAGCTTATGTCCCACATAGTAAATCTTTTTCAAGATGAACAGTGCTTTCTCGTATAATTCCTTTGCCTTACTGTACTTTCCGCGATGACTGAAAACAGTTCCCAAGTTGTTATAACTTGATGCTACATGAGCATCTTCCTCCTTGTTAATCTTTTTCCTGATGATCAGTGCTTTGTCGAGGTATTCTTCTGCCTCACTGTACTTTCCGAGGTTACCGTAAACAACTCCCAGGTTGTTATAACTTGCCGCTACATCAGCATGTTCCTCGCCGTAAATCTTTTTCCAGATGAATAGTGCTTTCTCGTAATGTTCTTTGGCTTCATTGTACTCTGCGAGGTGACTGTACACAACCCCCAAGTTGTTATGACTTTCTGCTACATCAGTATGTTCCTCACCTAAAGTCTTTTTCCTGATGGCCAGAGCCTTCTCAAAGTATTCTAGCACTTCAATGTGCCTTGCGCAATAACTTAGCTTTGGGTGTTCTACTCCATCACTCATTTTGTAAATCTCGATAGCTCTTTCAAAGACTTGATTGGAAATTTTATGGTTACATGACATCATTAACACTCTGCCGTGTACAGTGAGTGCGTTTGCCCTCACCAAGCCGTCACTATATACAGCTAGTTCACAAGCAGATGTAGAAAACAGATTTGCGCCTGAAGGGTTACTCAAGTAACAACAAACAGCAGCTGTTCCCGAAAGCCACAAAATGATCGTGTTCAGGGTAATAAAGGATGTTAGTCGTTTCTTCCAAGTAAATTTATCTGGAAACGTAGCGGTAAGAATGTTATGTAAGCATTTACTGTGGGCTGTAACTCTTCGAAGTTTGACACAGACTTGTGGACTTTAGAACAAATTACCTCGCTCTGATTCAATAAGAGAGTGAAAAGCACTAATAGCATGACATATGCTGGGAACTCTTTCCGAAAAAGAAGAAGTCGAAGTTTCCTTGAGGATTTTATATACCGTGGTTGGTACCTTTAAATATCCTGAAGACCTGTCTTCATTGTACAAACAAGTAATCAAGGTGGATTTTATAATCTTCGCTCTGATTAGCTCGTCTGTGTTGCCTGAGGTTCGAGCTCTGACAAAGTCAACAGCAACTTCTATGGGAAGATGTCAGAGATTGGAAGACTTAAGGACTTAAAAGCGTTTAAAACTATTCCCACGTGATTCTGAAACTGCGTGTCGGTAAGAGTTGCTTCACTGATATGGGCAATATCATTTCTGACTTGACGAAGATCCTCGATATCTTTTCTGGTGGTTTTGCTAATTGTTGAACCAATGCTATACGAGAACAAAATAGCGAAAAATAAGCAACTACAGTCCCATTCTTCTGTTTTCCCTTTCTTTATTATTCTCAGATGAACACGATTTCTCCTATAACTCGGCTTCTTGGATTGGTTGTTGTAGAAGTCCTGACGATTCTGTGCGGTGTCTTCCCATTTACCCAGGCTCACTTTGAAATGGGAATCCCATTCTCGTTTGAAGAATTGTCTTAATCCTTCCGCAATACAATTGATGATGTAACATATTCGAAAGTAGTTCAGTTGATCTTTGGTATACTCCATTGTGGTATTTTCTGTCGTTAAAACACATCGAAAATTTAAAACATATCATCATACATTTCATTTTCACTTCCATAAGGATGTAACTGACACATCGTAACGTCTAACTTTTGAAAACTGAATTTTTGGAATTTTTGAAACATGACGTCACGGTCCAATTTTTAAACATTAGGCTAGCCTCACATTTTAGTCCTGCATTTTTGTCTCTGTTATTTATGGCCCTTGGAACCCAGTTCACTTGATATAGCACAGAAAGAGCTTCGCCTAAATAGCAGTTTGAATGGCGTCGGTTGAAGTTAAGGAAACACACTTAATGACTCGAGCAAAATACGCGCCTCAAGATGAGGCATGCATAACCACAGATCACCTCAACATTGCGTCAAAGAAAATTAGAGAGCAATCGGGCTGAGTTACATCTTGTCGTCAATTTGGAACCAAACAATCATTAGAATTCGTTTTAAAGTGTGACAATCAACTTATTTGATCAAACAAAAATTATATGCATTTGTGACAGATGATGACATACAGATATTTAGCCTCGTACGTTCAGAGAACTCTAAGATATTCATCAAAACCGCTCTTTCCGAAAGATACGTGATAAACGTCTATAGTATATTTTGTGCCTCTTTTTTCTAACTGGGTGACTGTGATGGTTCTTAGACTACTTAATTTTATCCATCAACTTATTGAAACACCTCCGTTGACTTGAATCAAGCTTTGACACGTCTGAATTCTGTCTCAGCCACCAGTTAAAAGTGGAAACTAAAGAGATCGAAGGCATGGCGGAATATCAATTATTTGCTATATACCATCTACCATTAATCGTATTCACTTTCCCCGCTATTTTGTATTGAAACAAAAGAAGGTTACCTCCCATGAGTGACCAAGAGAGAATATCTCCTTACAATATCAATACAATATCAAGCAAAGAAGTGATGAAAAATAAAGTAAAACATCATTTAGAGGATTATTAGTTGATCCAATACCAAATTCTCCAAATTGACGTCATATGAATTGTATGTCAGGCAGTAAGGAGAACTACTAATACGATCTTGGGAACTAAAGAGTTAACTGCATTTCGACTTACAATTTACCCATAGATTTCTTTGAAATTGAATATAAACTTTTTATGCGTTGAAGTTTACCGTTTACTTCCTTTGCGGGATTTTTTTGATTATATCGTATCGAGGAATCCTCCTAATTGTGAATTATGATGATATGTACTCTTCTTGAATCCCCTCTAAAGCTGAATGAAATCGCCAACAAATTACGTTAAGTTTAAAGTGAATGATGAAATAAATACCGGGTGTCTGTGAAACGCAGACCGGATGACTACGGATATGGCGGATGCTTATGGCGGATGGGAAAATGAGGATAGCTTACGTTGTTTTCGTTGTTATATAAAGAGGGGATTGTCAGGTCAAATCAAATAACCCTAAAATGCTGAATATATCAGATGCGTGAAGCCATACTTGATTTTAACGCGGAAGATCCCTCGAACATTTTTATTGTTATTAAGCTATTAGTGATAAAGTAACATTATACCAGAGCTGATCTTGCATCCTCTTCTTCCCTGGTTTGGTTATAAAAGATACTGTGACCTAAAGAGAGAGACAGAGAACAGAATGAAACAGCACTGTTATTAAAATGGGAGGAACGCATTTAAAGTTTCCGGAGTATAGGTCCTGAATATTGGCGATTTTCTTCCCCATTTTCAGGAACATTAGAAAGTTTAGACGTCTTTTGCAGGACGCCGATTTGAAAGCATGCCAACGTAGACGAGCTAGCGACCGTTGTCTTTGTTAACATTGGAAGTAAATTGCATTAATCTTGAAGTTTTTTCCACAATAGTTTTATTTGAACTCATCTACTGATAAAAAAGAAACATGGAAATAGAGCTGTGCACATAGTATTGTTTTCAAAGAAAACATATCAGCTTGCTCATTAAAATCGAATGCATCTCTGGCAGCTGTTGTTTAGGCTCTGACATGCTCTGTCAGAGAGAGGGAACTAAGCAACGGCAGCAAAGGAGACTAGGCTAAAAACGAGTGATGCAGTGTCAATGCCATTTATGTTTTGAATGAGAATACCATATTGTTCTGGAATTCTTTACCATTTCTTGCTCTGTCAGAGAAGCGTGACAAACATGACACAGTCGCTGTGACCAAAGATGTTGTGAAATATTATTTCCGCCGCAGGCCAATTGATCTACAATTACTTCCGGTTTGAATTGTGCAAGGCGCGACTTGTGTAGGGCTTTCACACGATCTAGTCAAGGAGAAGAATTATTTGGCATCACTTTATTCACAAATATTCAAATGCAATATATGACCTTCGAAAGCACCACTATTTCCAGTTGCAGCTTCTTTCCGCTCGAAAGTGAGGTAAGATATCTTGCATTGTTGCTTCATCTGCGAATAATCTTAGTTCACCCGGAGTTAGAACTACATTCATATCGAAGGTATTCTGCCATTTTGGGCTTTGTTATTCTCGAATGAAACAAGTTTCACAAGGTGGCTGGAAACAGTTTTCCTTCGCTCTTTTCGGTATTCTTCGATTGCAAACACGTGACTAATCTTACTTACGTCATTGCCGTCCGCCATGCTGGTGGTGTAAACACATTAACGAAATGGCGTCTCAGCTAAATGCCTTCAGCACTAACATTCAATTTTCCGAATATTTCTTCTCGTTGGATGGTCCAACAAAACACAGATATTGCGAGAAAGTAAATGAGATTGGCTTTGATCCTTATGCGCTGAAAAAGTCTGATTTTTCTGAAGATTTTGCAATGATTCCTCGGGTTGAATATCCGGACATTGTGAATTATTTAGTCTTGCAAACATCGTGGGCTACCAATCAACAGATGAAGGCATACAAATCAATGGATGCATTTAATTTTTTTATATCTGGCTGGGTTAATGTGCTGCAGATGAAAGAAGTCAGTGAAGACAAAGTAGTTGTTTTTGCAAGGGTAAGCTAACCGAAAACGTACACTGTGGCAATAGAAACCACGCATTATTATGACTTGTTTTGTAGATAAAGCTAATAACAGTTACCTTTTCTTATTGTCAGGTAAATCATTCTCAAAGAGCTCGCGACACTCCTTTAAAGGCATGGATTTTAGCAGAAAAAAATGGAATTGTGCTAACTGGTCACTGCGATTGTATGGCTGGTCTGAGTGAAGCGTGTTCTCACATTGGTGCTATGCTGTTTGCTTGTGAAACAGGGGCAAGAATGCAGAACTCCGTGACTTGTACCGGATCAGAAAACAAATGGCTAATGCCATGTCATGTGAAGGAAATACCATATTTACCTGTGTCAGAAATGGACTTGTCATCTGCTAAACAGAAACATGCTCTCCTCACTGACAAAGGAAAGGTTCCAATGACATTAAGGGACCTTCCTGTGAACAAAAACAGGGGAATAAGACCCACAACAGAGGAACAAAACAATTTTTTTTTAACATTAGCAAGTGTGAAGGTAAGCCTGCCATTTTTTCCCTTATTGAACCATACAATGAATTGTTTGTGGCTCAAGAGGAAGCTCTCCCAAATCCGTTGACTGAACAGTTTTTTAAGGAAGAGTACATGAAATTAGGCTTTGAAAGCTTGCTGTCAAAGGGAAAGGAAATTACCATTGACATAAACAAGGAACAATGCTTACTGATTGAAAGTTCTACCAGAGAACAATCAAATTCAAGGATATGGTATCAGCAAAGAGCCGGGCGAATCACAGCCAGTAAGCTAAAGTCTGTGTGCCACACAAAGTTTAATTAAAAGTATTTGCTACCCAGAGCTTCATAAGTTCTCAAATGATGCAACTAAATGGGGGATGAAATATGAGGATGTGGCAAGAAAGGCATATGTGGGGGAAATGGAAGCAAATCACGAAGACTTTACTTTGTCAGACAGTGGTTTCCACGTAAATCTACAGTGGCCTTTTATGGGGGCATCACCAGATGGCATGGTTAGTTGCAAGTGTTGTGGATCAGGCATTTGCGAAGTAAAGTGCCCCTACAAAGCACGTGATGTCCATCCTCTTGATGCAGCTGCTACAATTAAAAATTTCTGTTTGAAACAATCTGCCAGGGATGCTTGTATTACATTGGACAAAAAGCATGCCTACTACTATCAAGTACAAGCTCAATTGCACATCTGTGATGTTGAATTTTGTGACTTTATTGTTTGGACAACTAAAGGGCTATTTGTTGAAAGGATAGCACCAGATCCTGACTTTTGGACTATTGCAACAAGAGAAGCAAGGGAATTTTTTGTTAATGGAATTCTTCCAGAAATAATGGGAAAGTGGTACACAAGAGCTCTTGTTCCATGTTCAAAGAACCTTCCATCTTCAGATGATGATGACGCCTATTGGTGTATTTGCCAGCAACTGATTGAAGACAGTACTCTGATACGATGTGACAATATGAACTGCAAAATTAAATGGTATCATCCTAGTTGTGTGCAGCTGAAAGAGATCCCACAGGATAAATGGTTGTGCCCTCAGTGTTTCAGCAAGCCATAAAGACATGTCGATATATGTAAATAATTGATTATGTAAATAATGTAGTGCTCTGATTATTTTTGTAATATAGTGCTTAATCTACAATCAGTGTTTTAATTTTCAAAGCATATTAATTTAACAAGAGAAGACTTTTCTGGATTCTAATATATTTATTGCAATTATTGATTTTTATATATTATTCTAACTTATTGTACTAAATTAAAATGCTACTACATCTATCATAAAAAATGAATATATCAGAATCCAGGAAAGTCTTCTCTTTTTAAAGATGAATATATACATGTATATACAATATAATAATACAATTAAAAATACATACAAAGTGCTTGATACTAATTCAGGTCGACCAATATAACTTTGAATTATATTTAAACAAATTAATAGTATAATAAAAATAACATCAAAAATTGATTAATATGAAAATATTTTAAAAATATAATTCAAAGTCATATCTATACATATATTTATATAGACTGTATAAATCATCATCAGCTTACAATTGAGTCTGATAAATTAGTTAAGGCACAGCAGACGGTAGCAATGTGGTCTATGGGAGCAAGTGGCTCTCCTTGCTTTGCTGTTATGCTCTCAATTGGAAGTGTGCTTTGCAAAATAGTAAATTTTCTCCTGACAAGCCCAATCACACGCTCCACATGAATTCTTACATTTGCCAATTTTTTCGTTTGCTCAACCTCAAGAGCAGACAATTGTTTCTTGCCTTTAGTGAAGGCAGGAATATATAGTCTTGCTCCATGAAATCCAACACTGTCAGCAATGTCGAACCCCCTGTCCGCAAGCACAATGTCTCCTGGTAACAAGTTTTTTAGGATGCCACTATTTTCTGTTAAGTATTTATCACTAACTCTGCCCCCCCAGGCTTTAGAGATAAATGATATTACTCCTTGGGGAGTGATTCCAATAAGAAATTTAACTGTGTTGTGGTGTTTATAGTTGGACCATGTCATTGCTCGAGCAATCAAGCTAGATGGCCGGTCTATAAATACCTCAAAGCAATCAATTATTACTGCTACCTTGTTGCCAAAGTTTTGTTTGAAAACCAAAGGCATTGTCTTTCTTAAATTCTCCCTGTCAGGCCATTTGATAAGAAAGTCAAGCCGCTCACTCATTATAGGTATCCACCGATAGAAGATTCTTGTAGCAGTTGATGCTGAAACTCCAAAACGGTATGCTAAATCTTGAAAAGGTAGATTTAGTTTAAGTCTCATCAGTACCAACAAAAACTCTTGAAACTGACACAGTGCATTCATTGGAGTTGTTGATATCTTAGGAGTCAACAGGTTGAAAACATGAATCAGCATTAAATAACTGGGTAAACCCGAGTAAAATTTTGTTTTCTGATCATTATCTTTAAATCCATTCTGAGAAATTTGCAACTGCAAGGCAGTTTTTTTCCAGTCGTGGAGCTCAGTAGTAATGGATTGGATGTACCCATGTTGAGGATCAAAATCTGCCAAGGTCATATCTGTTTGACATGACCTGTCAACCACAAGACAGTTATCAGTTTGACAACCTTTGGTCTGGGGATCCACATCCACATCCTCAATTTCTATAGCCTCAGCTGAAACAAATGAAAAACATTCAAATATGTATGTATTGAAATACAAGAGTTTTATCAAATGAACATTATTGCGCAAACCTTCAGCGCTAGTATTTCCTCTAGCATCCACAAAGCTGACACTTGCAGAAAAAACCTCAGAAGCAGCTGCAGTTGAAGAGGTTGCTGAACATGACGTTTTTCTTTTCTTCGATGCAGCTTGTTTCTTGTTAGCTTCCCTTTCTTTAGCTCGTTTGTATTTCGACATAGCATTACCCACACTCTCAGGAGCTATGTTATCATGGCCCATATTCTGAGTAGGTGCCCAGTCTGGATTAGTGCAGTCGTATAGAGCTGATGGCGATCCTATTTCGTCGAAGCACACTCGTTTTTATGATTTAACTATCAAAAGAAAATTTGAACGAGTCACAGAATACAAAAATTACCTGAGACAAAATGATGTCCACAGACACGAGTATTGTTTAGATTTATCTTCTCTAAATCCCGTCTATAAATATTCTGTATCCATTGCCGTCTCCTATCCTCCTGCAACTTTTTTGTTTCCTCGTTTTCATTTTCTTTTACACGAGGTATTCTATAGAATCCACAAATACCTTTGTGGGATTTAGAATTGTGATTGCACCCTTTGACAACACACATATAAGGCATTATCGTTAAATTTTTCGAATTACAAAGCAGAAACAATGGTTTTTACTTGCCAATTCACGCGTGTCACACCACCAACATGGCGGACTTCTATTTTAAGCCTGAATTTTAATTAGCGTGACGTGACGTAGGCTGCAATCGAAGAATACTCAGTTCTCTCATAGGACCAAGTTTCACCCTTTGCAGTCAAATGCTTTTCACACATGTGTTGAGCATGGAATTGAAATTTGATATAGTGGCCGTTACATGGTAATCTTCATTGATATGCTTATGTTATTGGGAAATCCTGCTAAACAGTATTTGGGGACGGTTTAAACTTCTCGATACTTCAGGATTTTCTTTTTAGGGGGGAAGGCCTCTCTTTTAGATGGATTTTGCAAATTGAAACTAGTCGCTTCAAAATTAGAATGCAACCAGGTTTATTGTTTATTTATCGACCGGTTAAGAAGACAGCTCTATATTAATGTATCTCAAGTTACTTGTACTTGTTTACACCAAGATAAATACTAGATTAAGCGACAATATTTCCCATCATGAAAATTCAAGCGCGCTTGGCTTGAAGAAAATAAGATGAAATTCGCTTTCATTCAGCGAACAGTGACGACCAGCTGTGTCTTGTTCTGCCTTGACATTCGGATATAACTGGAAACATCTAGGTTGGATGTCACATAATTTATTAGGTTCTCAAGGTCGCCAAGAAGAAACTTGTTTTTTAATTTTTTCCATCCATATCAGCTCATTTTTTACTTCAATTGTCACGAAGTCTTTCAAAACTCCGCGACATAACTTTGCATCGGTGTAGCCAAGACATTTTGCAATGAAAAAAAAAATTAAAATTTTGATAAGCCACTCAGTGATTCGTTTAAATTGTTTTTTATTCTGGTTCGCGATACGAAACGCATAGCGATTTTGAGACGGCATATACTGCTTGATGACGTAAGGAGGAAATTTGTTCTCGTAATGGGCTCCGCCAGAGCTTTTTCATCAAATGGTCTCAATGTCGAAAGAACTTATTATGAACTGTAGGATGTTTGTCAACCCTCCTTTAAATTTCCTTCGAAGTCGACAGGCGAATGTTCGTTAGAACTTCAAACATCGTAAAACAATCTACTCAAAGCCTCTTGGCTTTTCCCTTTCCGTGTTGGGCTCTCGAAGAGGAAAGCGAATTAAGAGCCGTCAAGAATGAATATGAATTTCAATATGTCTTCGTGGTAAATGATGCCCTCGAATTTATTTTTTTTTATTTAGATTTATTTTTTTCGATATTTTAATTCCTCTTAAGCCGATGGATGTGTATGCGCCGGAAATAACGCAGTCCCCATATTTATCAATGTACTTACCGAAACAAGCACATTTGACAGAAAGTTTTACTTTTCAGAATAGTTCCTCGGCTTAAAGTTGGAATCTATCGAGAGAGAAGTTCAAAAAACGATTGAATCCCGAAAGCAATATAAATTTTCCATCCCCTTGAAATTGAAAGTGATTTCCCCTCCTAAAATGTGCTTTATTTTAACTTCATCATACTAGGGATAAATCTTCATCGTTCTTAGCGTCGATCCCCACTACAAATAGTTGGAAATAAAACAGTTGTCTTTCAACACAAAAAATGGCTTTTTTTTGTGATTCCCTATTTGAGGAACATTTTGCTTCAAACTCATCGATCAGTTTGGAACCTCTATAATTCTAAACAAAGAAGCGATCGCATCTTTTCAGCCCTTACGTCAGCCGCATCAACATTTTTACTTAAATAAAGATGCTACTTACTTTAAATTACAATCCCCAAGTTTTCAATTCGACAAAGACAGCAGAATCTCGAAACGACTCACAGCTCGCGCATAACTCTCAAATGGAAACCGAAAGTCTGAGTGACTTGAATGTGCAATGTCAGTATTATTATTGTAAACCTGACGATGAAACGCTATCGACCGCATCCGACAAAATTTGAAGTCGCGTGCTTTGCAGCACGGGGCATGCAGGATGCACCTTGATTTTTCTTCAAAATGGCGGGCCTTTTGAACACTTTCGCGGCGTTAGAACAATGACTCTTAGATGGCAAGCTATAGCACTCTCGAAAGCACCTGTTTAACGCAAAAACTAAGGATAAAAAGTGTTGAAACTGTTGCAGGATTATAAAGGATGCAGTGCTTTTAAAATTCACCACCTTAGGAGGAGAGAAATTTAACTAGAAGCCTGTTGCTGAGAACGAGGAAAGGTTCATTATTCGTTAGCGGTTTCCTGCGGAACTTTGTGTCGGCCGCTTCCGCTCGTCAAATATTGCAGAATAATCAAAATCAAAACACAAAAAAAAAAAATAATAAAAAGTAAATCCACAGCCAAATGTCACCTTTCGTCACCACATGCCCTTGCCGTTTGGCGTTTGTTCAAAACATACCCGACCTAACTGCGGCTTTTCCCCTCCCTGTTACTTTCGACGACAAATCATTGGGATGTGAAACAATTACTAGAACGATATAACATGGGGACGGGAACGTTACTTCAGAACAGGAGAGCGCGCAGATAGTCTGGACTCTACTCTATTTCGACTTCCGCTGTTGGCGTTGCTGTTCTCCCCAACACGTTTAGGTCGTTATTTCGCTGGTTTTCCCGTCGTCATCAAAACGCCAGGGATCTGCGTAAATTGTGAACTCGTAAACGAGATAATGCTGATTTGATTGATTTCTAACATCATTAGCAGGATAACCTGGTCCCTATCTTTGTTTTATTCCGTGTATTTGTGAAAATTTACCGCTACATTTTTGCTGCATTCCCGAAAAAAAATTGAAACTATGGTCAGCAAGTGATCCAAGATTTATGGAATCAATTCCTTTTTTTCGAGCGAGGCTTTAAACAAAGTAAAGACTTTTCTTTTAATCATTTCTTTAAACCCTGTAATAAAACTCCAAGAATAGGATGCTGTTGAATTTTATCGTGAACTAATTCATCAATAAACTTGCCTCATGCTGAAGTTTATCAAAATGAAATATCCACGAAGCTTACCTACTGTATTATTTTGGTATGTATTGTAATTGTCGTTTTTTTCGTGACGAATAAACTTTCTGCAAATTGAAGTCAGAGGTAAAAAAATTGAGAATAGCTCAGGTTTGCACTTTTTTATCTCTTAAATTTTAGTCAGCGTCAATGAAAACGAAGACAAGAAAGCAAAAGTGAACATGTGCTCGTCGCAGATGGGTCCTTCTTCTAGAGGAATAAATCGAAATCAGGCTTAATGAATATTAGTTTACAGACTTTGACTTGAACTATCAGATTCTTTTGTTTTCAGCCTCTTTTCACAACGCAACGAACCTTTAAAGGCTGTTCAGCACGAACAGAGCAAAACTTTATCTTTGTCTCGTCGCAACTTTCGAGAAACTCCTTGAAAATCTAAAGAGAATACAGTGCTGTATTTTCGGTTTTCTCGTTCTCTAGTTGTTCGGAAAACACATTTACGTCTTCGTCGTTTACCGAAAAACAACGTACATAGTTAATTTCGCGGGAATTGTGACGCCGTGTTCAATATCGCCACTCACGTTCCTTACGTAAAATACGCCACTCGGATATAGCGGTCATATTAATTGACTGGATTACATATCAACTCCACTCGACCCTTTGCCTCAATAAAAATTTATATAATTTTCCCCATCAATAGTTTTTGAAAACTATGCCATTCCACTAAATAAAAAAGATAATAGATTAAAACAAAATACCACTTGGATAGAACCTGATTTAATCATGGACACTTCTCATTGAAAATGCTTTTTCCTGACAGTGATAATACCAGGATTTTGATCGGAAGGTTTTGAGAACTTTTTGATCAGAGATTGGGGGATTGAGGGGTGTTATGGTTAAAAGTAGAATTGATTTACGGGAGTAAGGTGGGTATTTTTGGGCGGGTATTTGTTTTTCGTTCTATCTTCAATAATGTTTTTGTCAGTTCAGTTTCGCTTTCTCCTTTTCCTTTTTTTTTAATCGAGCTTCGAGCGAAACCCTCAACAAGTAACCACTAATCTGCAGGAATTTATTGAAATTAAACCTTCTCATAAAGTTACAGCTACACTCGACTATGAACGATCAGGGAGTGTAACATAATGCATGCATCGATTAAGAAAAACTAGTCGACTGAAAAGTATTACAGCTTCATCTGTGATCTTAAGCGATATTTTTTGTGAAAACCACCATGATCCCTACGGTATTTCTCTTTACCCTTCACTTTTCTGTTTTCACTTTTCCCTTTCTCTCTCTCTTTCTTTTTCTCTTTCTCCTTCACTTTTCACTTTTCTCTTTCTTTTTCCCTTCTTACGATCGGTCTTTCTCTTTTCGATATGGAGCAAGGGCATTGAAAGAACCAAACTGACATCAAACGGTTTAAGAACGGATACTCTGATCTACTGTTTATCTCATCTCAATCTAACGTTTGTCTTTCAAAAATGATACTCGGGTTCTTGCACTTAATGAATGGCGATTGCTCGTAATTTAATATTCTCCTTGGAAATTCTAGATCAACGAAGAAATGGTCTCTAGTAGACAGAGTCTAGCATACCATGTATACACATCAACATAAGTTTTGTCACTGTTGTCTTCCTCTTTACAGTTCCTCCAATCCTGTCCGTACCATTCCTGCATCTCTTTGTTGCTCGAAACAGACAAAGGATTGACGAGGTTGGGGAAAACGAGCTCAGTTGAATTATGGCGATATTCAGGAAGACTGTAAGAGTACTTTACCTTTTCACGTCTATGAGCAAGCAAGTTTTCAGAATTTGGCAGAAAGGCCTTCTTATCGGCATCTGTGATGATTGTCATCAAATTTTCTCCATATGTTGGCCAGGTGCAGTCCCATTCGGATGAAATTGTAGAATTGTTACAGCGCACCGACCCTGACTTGTGAATAAGCTTCATTGTCTTCAATTTTCCACTCTTTGTGATTTTGAAGGCACCATATTGGTTATCTTTGGCTCCAAAGCAGACAGGCTCGTCTCCATCTATCTTTTACCAGTTCTCTAAAACAAAGTAATACTCTAATAGGATAGGTATCGAATCTTCAAAGTTTTAATGTACGTTGCGAATAGTGAGTAAAAGTCGTTTTCAAGATATATAACCAATAATTCAGTGCTTGTCCAAAAAAAATAACTTTTCTCTTTTAGTGTCGTGATCCTATCTAAAGGATTATTTAAAATCATTTGCCAAACAAATTATGAGCAAAGCGTCATTTGCCATAGGTCAAACAATTATTTTTCATAGTTTCCATGACGATGGTGTTACCATGATACCAAAACGTCCGTTAGTTTCTACATTTCCCCCCCATGCATGACGTACATTTGGAAGTTGTTTTAAGAGGTAGGTCAAGATGTACCTCTGTTTCCAAAACGTTTCATGTAAAATTTCCCCTGATCCGGCTTGAAATCTTCCGGTCTTGCTTCTTACTATTGTTCAGTTCACAGGTATTTCGACCAATGACGAAACTGAAGCTCTAACACGTGACTTCTTCCTCACACCGGAAATAATACTCTTCAGGCAACCCAACCCGATACGTCTTAAGAGTGTTTCCTCTAAGGAACATTCCACCAATAGAGCGTTCACCTTCATAGCACTGGCCAGTGGCGTAAAGTACACCAATCCCGGACATCAGAAACATGATTTTCGGCCACAACTTTGGAATCATTTTGAAATGACTGCAAAAGGACGCCTCGTGGCGCTTAGGTTAAGAACCTATCAGAACAATTTAAAGTACTTTTAATCTCTGATAATGATAATAAGGGGAGGTACTGCTCAACTCAATTTTAAACAACAAATTTATCTTTGAAATTTCCCTGAAAAGCAACGAAGCAGCGACATAACAAGAAACAGTTAGAATCACTTATTCGCTTTCAACTGGTTCGTCTCCGCATTTCAATTAGTGAAGAAAATATTCTAGCATGTATAGCCGTCATAGACGTGTTAGTAATTTTCCAGATGTGCCGTGGCTTTTACTTTCTCTACACCCTTTGAAAGTTTGGAATTTTCGATGTGATATTTCGTTCCATGAAAGGCGCGTTAACTTTTAAACAAAAGCGAAATCAAACAACAGGTTGACATTTATTTTCGAAGAAAGTTTGCGGAAAATCCTGTGGATTTTTGGATGAGTCAACGCCGTCATAAGACGAGCATAGATGAGCTAAATATTTTCCAGCGCTCTTATAATTTTTTCTTCTTATCGAGGAAAAGGCGAAAAATCTTCTCCTTTTCCTTTTGGCAGTCGAAGTGCAATGTCACCTTTCGTCCATATTGTCTGACCTTTCTCCTCCGAACAACTCAGGGTTATTCAGAGCCAAAGACCTCGATCATTCGGCGGTGAGTGACTTTATCTCACGATACTAAGAATTGTTTTTCGGCCGGAACATGTAAGCAACAGGTATTGCGGAAACGCTTATTTCTAGTATGGTTTTTCTAGAGAAGTTTGCGTGTTATTTTCCGTCTTTCGAATGATATTTACACAGCAATACACATTATACAATAGCTGGTGGTAAAACCATTAATGGTGACAGGAGCTTGTCAAAACGCAATAACAGTTTAATAATTTTCAAAAATAGGGTTTTTCCTGTTTCTATCTAAAGTGAGACATATTTTTGCATCCATTTTATTTGAAAAATTTTTAACTGGGTCCTTGGAGTTCGAAAAGTGAAGAAAACGTTTTTTCCCTTGCATTTTTGGAGTAAAAATCACCCATCATGATACCTTCACCAAATCCACCAGTAGGTAACAAATACTGCCTTGATTCTCGTTTATCTAAGGCACTGCGATGAGAGAATCATTTGGAGAGGACCTAGCAGTCGTAACAAACTTACTTTGGAGTACTCACAGTGTCTCTTAGCCCTCACAAATGAGTTTTGGGGAAAAGTAAAAGAAAACATGATGGTCCTTACATCAAATCATAGACTATTCAACCTTTTTTTTGTTTTGGACCCAAAAAGATTTTTTTTGCTTTGACGATGTAATGTAAGTAGCGTAAGCATCATATAACTTGTATTGTAGGCTAACTTAAAAGAAAAATCATTTTGCAAGTAGTCTTAGTGTATTGATTTGCATAAATAGTAATAGGGTAGTATTGTAAGTAATTAACGTAAACATTTAGTGGTATCGTAATTACCGTAAGTGTTTTAAGTAGTGTTACCACTGCAAAGTTGTATGTAAGTTGAAAGTTAATAAAGACAGCTGTTCACCAAAAAAGAAAAAAAGAAATTTAACCATTCTTCGCAGCCTACATGTAACGTTGATTTTGACAATTTTGTGACATTTTGTCACATTGAATAGATTATCCTAACTTGTTTTAAGCCTCAAATTCACTTTTGTTTTGTTATCAGCTGCGCGGAATATCAGGAATCTTCGCCAGAGAAACCTTCTAATGATAGGGTAAGCCAATATTTTATTTTTAAACACTTCTATGGCTATGAATTTATTCACTTGTGAATGTGGCCAGGGAAAGTCATCAAAATCTTCTTCTTCAGCACAACTTATTTGAAAAGCTGGAGCCGTAGTCAATTGTACCTGGTGTTCGGCCTTTAGATCGTATTTCAGAAAATAAACATCTTACTCGTTCGCCGAATTTATACAACACATTTGAAACTAGCCACGCAGAATAAGTTTAAGGTCGATTCATTAAGCAAGTACACCTTCATGGATTAATTCGGAATATTCCTCACTGTAGAAAAATTGCTTTAATTTTAAAATTCTTGTGATTAGGAGATAACAATAAGATAGATCACTTTTTTCTGTTATTGGCAACATAACGGGAATTAAAATTTCCCGACTCTGTGTAAAATTTACATTTTAACATTGCAATTAAGAGATTCTGTTCAAAGGAAATGCTGGTTGCCAGTGGGAGCGTACAGTTGTAGGTCTCTGAGATGCAGCCCCACAACTATGAATTATGTTCTTGAGAGTTGTCTTAAATTCTGGAATTCTTAAGGGATAAATTACTACGTTCACAAGCGAGTTGCTAAACTGTAAAATCTTGCTTAGGTACAATAATGTCGAGGAAATCCGCCAACCCTCAATGAATGACAAATTATTGATCATTTGAAATGGAGTCCAAGTTAAAAGAGAAGCTCCTGTAACCAAAAATAAAGTGTTGGCTAATTTTGATTCTCTTGCAGCTCTGTGATTTCGGATTCCCTTGGTAGATTTCCGTTTGATCCAAATACTGAAATAAGCGGCACACATGGTTAGCAATGGCGTGGTCTGGAACAGGAGGACAATAATTTTATAACTTGGATATTTCATAATCCCATTAAAGTGAAGAATAAGAATAGCAATGAAAACTGCTGCTGCGATCCACGGTATGGCAATAGCGTAGATGTAATTACGAGATATCAGAGTTCTGTGGCGTAGAGGGCATACGATGGCAAACATTCTCTCCAAGGAAATGACTGCTAGTGTATAGATGGAAGTTAAACCAGTGAAAGCGTCAAAAGACGTTGACACGAGCCATCGCAAATAAGAATATTCGGTGCTGCCTATGATAAAAATTGGGATAGCAAACAATCCGACCATTAAATCAGCAACAGCCAAACTGATTAGTAGAAAGTAAGATCGTTTGCGTGATCTCTGTCGGTGGAATACCCAGATGGTGAAGAAGTTTCCCAAAATGATTAGTACCGCTAACAGTCCAAAAGACGAACTCCAAAAAATGTTCCATGAGTTGAAATCCATGTTTGTAAGCAATTGTTTCCTTAAGACCTCTCCTGGCTCACTTTCCCTGATTGAAATAAAAATTATAAACTTATCAGACAAGAATAAAGTCTTCCGTCATCATCATCGTCACCATGTTATTGCTATTGTTGTCATTACTTCCCTGCGAAAGATAAAAGAACAACTTTGCGGTTGTTTACAGAAAAGTGCGCGAACCTAGGTTAGTGATGTAATCCACCTCATTGAGATTAGTTGGTTGGTTTGTTGATCTGTGGCCTAGTTAGTTATATTAATATGTGCAATACATTTCAATGAGCGAGCTTATTACGTATATGTTCAGACTGAAGGGAAGCGGAGGACATTTCCCTTGTTACAAAATTGCAACCAACGCTTTGAAATCTTAGGAAAAAAAATTCGTTTGAAACAATTGATAAAGAAAAGGAAGAAAGAAAGAAAAGAAAGTTAAACGAAGGAGGAAAAAAAGAAGTACTTTAACTCTTTAACTCCGCATCCCTGAATTCATAAGCGTAGACCCAAACGTTTGGGTTACAGAAAAAAAAATTTAAAACGTCTGCCTAAAAGGGAGTTCCTCTATGGGTAAATTTGCACAAATATAACTTTATTCAAGCGCTGTACACAAATAGTTCAAATGATGTTCGATTGCTTCGATTCAAAACCGGCTATTTATTATCGCTAGTGCATAAGGTGAGATATTTAGATACTAATTTTAGTCATGGTTCGGCTGGATTTGGAGAGGCGCACGCACACGACCCAGAAGACTCTCTATTATGACCTAATCAGGACTAAAGTCTCTAAAGATAAGTTTACCGGTTGAACCTCGGCGCTGAATGATCGAAAAGAAATATACGGAAATGAGGCATTTGGAGAAAATTACCCCTGAATTCTGTGATTCTGAACGGATAAACCATCACGTTCACTAAGCTGTTAATAAAGCTTGATTAACATTGATGACTGGCTATGCGAGAAATCTTCAGGCACGTTCCATTTAGACTAAATTTACGAATTCTTGAAATTAACTCAAATTATATAAAAGACACTGTTCTGAGTCAACGAAATCATATTCACCGTTCCTCGTCTCTTGGAAAAGAATGAGTCTTACCGGAAAACTAGACCGAGCACTTCCTGCCTCTAGTCAAAAAGGAAAATAGGAACATTCAAGAAGATTTTCGGCAACGCTTTCCACCTGATTCACATTACTTTCCTTCACTCGCCCACACAATTGAGGACGAGTATATAGTCAGGAAATTGAATATGTTTTTGTTTAACCTCAGTCTCAAGATGGTCATGATCACCTAAAGCCGCTACCTAAAAGAGACATTTTATTCCAGTCTATACTAAGATATTGCACCTGTCCTAGGAACTGACAGTTGCTACAAAGGTTTTTGTTCATTCTCAGGATCGAATAAATTTGGCCCAACCTCTAAATAATTTTTGTTTGAAAGCATATCTCTTGTCGTTCCCATGATTTCTTCTTGCAAATTGAAAGTCACTTTTCAAAAATCCACACAACACCTTTTTCGGTTGCCATTGAAGCAACAATTGTGGTCACTAACTAAAAGACTAGACTAAAAGACTAAAAGCAAGTCATGTCATCAGCTTACCTGTAAGCGGATGACATAATTTCCTTTTATTTCCCTTCTGTCATTAGCTTACCTGTAAGCATTTCACCTCCAGCAAATTGACTCAGTAGCTTACACCAAGGGTTCGTCTGACCTGTTTTTAATAGAAAGAACTTTCAGTACCCCTATTTCTCCTTCGTCTAGTTTGCGAGTGCGTAGGTGACATGAATAACTTCCCCCAAAATTGTCCACCCACTCAAGGAATTAAAATAAAAAAAAAAGCAAGTTATGTCATCAGCTTACCTATAAGCGGATGACATAATTTCCTTTTATTTCCCTTCTGTCATTAGCTTACCTGTAAGCATTTCACCTCCAGCAAATTGACTCAGTAGCTTACACCAAGGGTTCGTCTGACCTGTTTTTAATAGAAAGAACTTTCAGTACCCCTATTTCTCCTTCGTCTAGTTTGCGAGTGCGTAGGTGACATGAATAACTTCCCCCAAAATTGTCCACCCACTCAAAGAATTAAAATATACTAATCGCGTTTTCATTCGCTACGCTCCAACGCTTAAGTATTGCAAATACAAAATCCACAGACGTTGATGACTGGGTGCTCAGGCGATCCAAACTGACTTTTATTATATCCTTAAGTACAAGCAATGGGAAGTGATTAATACAGCTAAAAAGTTACGATAATAGGGGAGCTCCATCTATACTAATAAATGTATCTGAAGTTAATTGTATTTGCTTATACTAAAGTAAGTTCTACTTTTAGGCGACAATATTTCCCATTATGGAAAGAAAAACGTACTTGGCTTGAAGGAAACAAGATTAGATTCGCTTTCATTCATCGAACGGTGACGACCAATTGTAGGGGTATCGAATGGTCTTTGCGAGCATTTGCGAACATGTGAGCAGTATGTTTATTTTTGCGAGCACGAGCAGTTGTCAAATTAAGATACAATCAAAACTGTCGATGGTGTGGGTGGGAGGGAAACAAAAACTTTCTTAAAGCTAGAACTAGACTTATTGCTTGCTTGCTTACAAGATTACTAATAACACGCGCACAGATACCTAAGCGGTAACACTAAAGTAATTTCGCTATTAAAACGCGTTAAAGTGGTGAATAGCCATTGGCCTTACCCAATTCTTATGACTTATATGCTGAACAAATTGCTCAATCTTACAGAAAAGGGAAAACACTTATTTGCACCCTGCCTTTGCCCAGTCCAGGCCTCTTAGTTATCGATGTCTAGATTCATATTAATAGAGATTAATATTCACATATCAGTTATTATTACTAGTGGTCAAGAAGCTTTCAAGGTTGGAAAAACCGCCACAAAATGCTATCCGAATACAGTTTCAAAATATTATGACCCCGTCTATTCTATTTCCCATTGCTCACTGGAAAATCTATCATATTTACAAACCCTGTTAATTTGCTCAAATAAATGGAAATTTAGATCAACAAAGGTTCGCAATTAATGTTGTCTCCACAGGAGATTATATCATCTCCCATCATGTCGAGCTTTCTCTTCACGATATCAGAATTTCCTGGTAAATCGATCGTGTTACAGTCACGTTTACTTGTTCAAGCGAAAGGAAGTTTAAGTCATTGAGTATAATACCTGAGAAACTGTTCAGAGAAACAACAATTGTTAGGCTAGCTTCAAGCAATGAAAGCGAATCTACTGAGGGAAAAAGCAAAAATAGTATTAACAGAAATGAAATCTTTTGGGTATTTGTTGATAACCCGCGACCAAGCGTTTTTGGAGATTGACGAAATTTCGAGGAATCGAGCACATGTTAACGAGAATGCGAACATGCAAGCAGTTGCAAAAATTCTGCGAGCACCCGTGTAATTTTTGCGCGAAAAGGCCAAATTTCGCGAGTACTTTTAAACTGAATGAGACCATTCGATATCCCTAACTGTGTCCGTGTTCTGCTTTGACATTCTGGTATAACTAGAAACATCCAGGTTGGATGTCACATAATTTCATAGGTCCTTGGTTCTCAAGGTCGCCATGAAGAAATTTGTTTTTCATTTTTTGTATTCATAACAGCTCATTAATTTTCACTTCAATTGCCACGAAATCTTTCCAAAATCCGCGACATAACTTTGTATTGGTGCAGCCGTGAATATATTTTGCAGTGAAAGAAAGAATTAAAATTTTGTTAAGCCACTAGTGATTTGTTTAAAGTGTTTTTCATTCTGATAAAGAATGCTTCGCGATACGAAATTTATACCGATTTTGATACGGCATGTACTGCTCGATGACGTTAGAAGAAAAGATATTCTCGTACTAGGCTCCGTCCGAGTTTTTTCATCCAATCGTGTCAATGTCAAAAGAACTTAGTCTAAATTGTAAGATGTTTGGTTAACCCTCCTTTAAAATTCCTTTGAAGTTGAAAGGCGAACGTGTATTGAAAATTCAAACATTGTCAAAAAATCTGCTAAAAGCCTCTTGGTTTTTCCCTTTCCGTGTTGGGCTGCAAGCGAATTAAGAGCGGTCAAGGATAAAAATTTCGATAAGTCTTCGTGGTAAATGATGCCCTCTAATCAGATCTATTTTTCTCGATATTTTTATCCTTCTAAAGTTGATGGATGTGTATACCCTGGAAATAACGCATTCCCTATATTTATCAATGTACTTACGAAACAGGCAGATTTGACAGAAAGTTTTACTTCTCAGAAAAGTTCCTTGCCATCAAGCTGGAATCTACGGAGAGAGAAGTTTAAAAAAACGATTGAATCCCGACAGTATCAAAAAGTTTTCATCCCTTTGAAATGGAAAGAGATTTTCTCCCTGAATTAAAAAAACTGAATTAACACAAAAAGCACGTTTATGTGCCCCCGTTTCATCCACGCATGTACGCCCGTTTACCCTTTCCCGAAAAATCCTCGTCTTGTGATTGATATTTCCGTTTCCAACATAGGTTCAACAGGCATCCAGCTTTCGTTGTAGCTGCCGGCCTCGTCATGATGCTATTTCTTCACACAGATTTCGTTATCATAGTATTATCAAACAGACGAGTTTTGATGTAAAACGCGTAGACTGGACAAACCGGCTTAGCATATCATTTGATATAACATCACGTTTTTAGCTAACGGTGTCGCTATAAGGAAATGAATGGCAGAAAGTCTGGACAATATTGAGTTCTATGCAGTTAAAGATTTAGCACCCGTGTCACGCAATATGTTAACAGTCTAGAATCATTTTTAATATATATATTCGACTCTGCCCGATGTATTTTTTACTGTTCTATGCAAGACTTATATGATTACATGCAATCCATCGCATCAACAGAGAAGGATCAGTTATTATTCTTTCTTTTTTTATTATTATTTGCCAACACTCCTTCAGATTCATCGTGTTTTGTAAACTGAAGTGAAAAAAAATTCCCAAAACACGTGACATACATGCGTTATGGTTCATTTCAAGACAATCCAAGCTTATACCGGGGCTTACTTTAGTTTTGGCATTAGTCCATTGTGCTGACCATTCTAGAAAATGGCAGGAAACACGAGAAGCAACTTGTTAGAACAAGACATTCAATTGACAGTGATGATCAAATGGTGGAAATATGCCCATATTTGAGGAACATTTGGCTTCAAACATCTCGATAGGTTCGGAACCTCCATAATTCTAAACAAATAAGCGATCACATCTTTTTAGGCTTAACTTCAACTGCATCAACAATTTTTTCCCAAATAAAGATGCAACTTACTTAAAATTGCAATCCACAAGTTTTCAACTCAACGAAGACAGCCGAATCTCGAAACGACTCCCAGCTCACGCATAACTCTCCGATGGAAACCGAAAGTTTGAGTGACTTGAATGTGCAACGTCAGTATTATTATTGTGAACCTGACGATGAAACACTATCGACCGCATCCCAGAAAATTTGAAAACTTGAAAATTTGACAAATTGCTTTAGAATAACCCATAAGGTTCTCGGATATGTTGTGAATGTATGTGGCCTCACTAGAATACCACATTGATTTGACTGTATTCATGCCTTCCAATGGATGTGTTTGCCTCGGAAATAAGGCATTCCCTACATTTATCAATGTACTTACCGAGACAAGCAGATTTGACAGAAAGTTTTACTTCTCAGAAAAATTCCTTGCCACCAAGTTGGAATCTATCGAGAGTGAAGTTCAAAAAACGATTGAATCCCGACAGCATTAATAAATTTTCATCCCCTTGAAATTGAAATTGATTTCCCCTCTTTCCTCCTCTCTCTGTCAAATTCATCGTACTGGGGATAAATCTTCATCGTTATTAGCGTCGATCCCCACTTGAAATAGTCGAAAATAAAACAGTTATCTTTCAACGCAAAAAGGGTTCTTTTTGTGATTCCATATCTGAGGAACATTTTGCTTCAAACTCATCGATCAGTTTGGAACCTCCATAATTCTAAACAAAGAAGCAATCGCATCTTTTTGGCCCTTCAACCGCATCAACATTTTTACTTAAAGAAAGTTGCTACTCACTTTAAATTACAGTCCACAAGTTTTCAATTCGACGAAGACAGCAGAACCACGAAACGATTCACAGCTCACGGATAATTCTCAAATGGAAACCGAAAGGCTGAGCCGGACTTGGATGTGCAACGTCAGTATTATTATTGTAAACCTGACGATGAAACGCTATGGACCGCATCCCAGAAAAATTTGAGGTCCCGTGCTTTGCACAGGGAGAAGAGATGAAGACAAAAAGTGAAATATAAACTTTAGATCAACTGTAAAATATAAGTTTTCCCAATATTTCGGTCCGGGAACTGATGAACCCGTCACAAGGGGCTACAGGAAAAAAAATGAATGATTCATTGGACCATCAACTGACCATGTGATCGTGAAATGGGATAATATATGATCGGTCAGTAGATAACTTGCTCTGTAAGCATGACAAGACGGAAAACGCGTGCACTGTAAGTACCTCCCGTTGTCCCATACAAAGCCTCAGAGAACTTTTCTAAGGCTTTGTATGGGACAACGGGAGGTACTTACAGTACATGTTTTTTCCGTCCTGTCGTGTCCTTTATCATATAGCTAGCAGCGCGCGCAGTCAAGATGAAGTGAATTCTGTGTTCTTATTGGCTACCTGAGCGGGCGTGATGGGCCCACCCTCACCCGCTCGGGATTCCCCGTATTGATTCCGCGCAAGAAAACTTACAAACTTACAAAAGTCGTAACTTTTGGACAATGTCGGTAAATACATAGAAAAAAATAAACGACCCTCTTGGGTTTATTGTGCTGCAAACGCAGTTGCCTTTCACTATCGGCTCTCGAAATGAACAAGCCATTCTTGATTCTTACCAAGGCGAAATCTTTTGCTATACAATGAATCCTCTAATGATTAAGCCAGGAGAATATAAACTCTCTTGGCTAAGCTTGTTCGGTCAAGATGACTGGATATTAGCCCCGTTCTTTCTCCACTTTTTTATGGACCGAGAGGTACTTCGTCTCAGTCCTCAAAAACGCAAAAAAAAAAAAAAAAAAAAAAAAGAACTCGGCCAATATCCAGCCATTTTGACCTCACGCTTGGTCAATAACTCATATGAATATATTTTATGCAGGCCCGTACAAATCTGGCAAGGGAAGACAGTACAAAAATTGCACCTCCGAGCCCGGAATTTGTCTAACGTATAAGTCTGTGGACTTCCTTTTCCTTGTAACTCGGTTCATGAAGTGTTAACTTCAGCACTGATCACACTAGCATATCGTCAAAATCTGTAACACTTATGAGTCTGAGCCAATGATATAAAGAGAGCTATTGGTCAGCGTTCTCATTGCTTTTGCGTCCGTCAAATTGATGCCAAAAGCACATCAGTATAAGGTTTTGTAGCCAATGCTTCTCAACCTACGTCTTAGCAAATAAAAAGACGCTGATAATAGCAGCGAGCCCGCAATATTCGATGAATATTGGTCAGAGGATTCTTTGGTGCAACAGCTGTCACTTTAACATCTCAAAGTTAGCGCTGTTAAACGATTGCATAGGAGGCTTATTACATTTAGGACCGAACGTTATTTTAATTAGGGCTTTATTACATTTAGGACCAAATGTTATTACCTTTAGGACTTTATTACATTTAGGACAGTTATCACATTTAGGACTTCAACACCCTTGTCGTTAAACGTGCTTGGGTTTTATTTCCAGAAACAAAGGTAAATAGAAACGACCCCAAAGCGGCTGAAAGTTCTTTCCTTGCTGCTCCAACGCGATGGCTTGAGAAGCAGAAGTCCGGTCGCTGTACCAAACCGAAGCGCATATGGGTAGGTCAAGGTGTACCTCTGTTTCCAAAACGTTGCATGTAAAATCTCCTCTGATCCGGATTGAAATCTTCCGGTCTTGCTTCCTTTGGACTATTGTTCTGTTCACAGATGTTTTGACCAATGACGAAATTAAAGCTCTGACACGTGACTTCTTCCTTACGCCGGAAATAGCACTCTTCACAGTTCACCAGTACGGGACTTCAGAAACATGATTTTCAGCGACAACTTTGGAAACATTTTGAAATGACTGTAAAAGGAGGCTTTATGGCGCCTAGGTTAAGAACCTATCAAAATACAATTTAAAGTTCTTTAAATCTCTGATAATGATTATAAGGGGAGGTATGGTAAATGCTTTGTACAATTTTTAGTTACTCGTTAATAAGTATTAGAAAACCATTAATTCGTTCACTCTAATCACTCGTTCCATTTTAAAAGCTGCTCAACTCAATTACAGAAAACAACTTAATCTTTGAAATTTCCTGAAAGGCAACGAAGCAGCGATATAAAAAGAAATAGTCAGAATCACTTATTCGCTTTCAACTGGTTGGCCTCCGCATTTCGATTAGTGAAGAAAATATTCTACCATTTTATAACCGTCATAGACGTGTTAGTAATTTTCCAGATGTGCCGTGGCTTTTTTTTTTTCTACACCCTCTGAAAGCTTGAAATTTCCGATGTGATATTTCTTTCTACGAAAGGCGCGTTAACTTTCAAACAAAAGCGAAATCAAACAACAGATTGACATTCATTTTCGAAGGAGGTTTCGTGGAACAATCCTGCGGATTTTTGCGCCGAGTCAACGCCGTCAGCGCTCTATGAATTTTTTTCCTCCCATCGAGGAAAAGGTGAAAAATCTCCTCTTTTTCCTTTTGTGTGAACAACTCTAGGTTATTCAGAGCCAAAGACCTCGATCATTCCGGCGGCGATGAGTGACTTTATGTCACGATACTAAGAATTTTTTTTTGGCCGAGACATGTAAGCAACAGCAACTGCGGAAAACGCTTATTACTAGTGTGGTTGTTCTAGGGAAGTTTTCATGTTATTTTCCGCCTTGCGAATGATATTTACACAGCAATACACATCATGCGATAGCTGGTGGTAAAATCCATTAATGGTGACAGGAGCTTGTCAAAACGCAATAACAGTTTAATAATATTCAAAAATAGGGTTTTTCCTGTTTATATCTAAAGTGAGACATATTTTACATCCATTCTATTTGTGAATTTCTGACTCGGTCCTTGGAGTTCGAACAGGGAAGAAAACGTTTTTTCCCTTAAGTTTTTTTTAGTAAAAATCATCCATCATGATATCTTCACCCGTTCACCAGTCGTTCGTCTAAGGCGCTAAGATGAGAGAATCATTTGGAGAGGACCTAGCAGTCGTATCGGTGTCTCTTGGCACTCACAAATGAGCAGTGAGAAAATGTAAAGGGAAACATGATAGTCCTTACATCAAATCATAGACTATACAACCATTTTTTTGATTTGGACCCAAAAAGATTTTGTTTTGTTTTGATGATATAATGCAAGTAGTGTAAGCATCATATAACTTGTAGTGTAGGCTAACTTAAGAGAAAAATCATTTTGTAAGTAGTCTTTAACGAGTGAATCGATTTGTATAAATAGTAATAGGGGTAGTATTGTAAGTAACGTAAGCATTCAGTGGTATCGTAATTACTGGAAGTGTTTTACGTAGTGTTACTACTGCAATGTTGTATCTAAGTTGAAAGTTAATTAAGACAGCTGAGCTGTTAACCAAAAAATAACAAAAAAATTAAACCGCTCTTCGCAGCTTACATGCACCGTTGATTGTGACAGTTTCCTGACATTTTGTCACATTGAATAGATTATCCTGACTTGTTTTAAGCCTCAAATTTACTTTTGTTTTGTTAACAGCTGCGCGGAATATCCGGAATCTTCGCCAGAGAAACCTTCTAATTCTAGAGTAAGCCAATATTTTTTTTTAAACACTTCTATGGCTATAAATTTATTAACTTGTGAATGTGGCCAGGGAAGGTTATCAAAATCTTCTTCTTCAGCACAAGTTATTTAAATAGCTGGAGTCGAATTAAATTAACCCTGGTATTCGGCCTTTATATCGTATTTTAGAAAATAAACATCTTACTTGACGGTTCAGCATATAATACGCGCGGATATTTAGCAAGTTGCGTGGTATTTCTGAGTCCTGTTTGGGCAAGGAAAGATTCTGGGAAATAAGCAAAATGTACGCTCGTATCATACCTTAAACCATCGAATGAGCGGTTTCCCGCGCCACTATTATTTCATTTTCTAGCGTTTTGGCCTCTAGTTTTCGAAATAATTCCTGCAGCTTTATCTGAGCATCGTATCGATCGCATAAGGCATGTACGAGAGAAGGAAACTGCTCAAACGATTGTTGTTAAAACACCAAGCCAAAAATCGAAAAGGTTGAGATAGTGTATGGTTATGTGCAACTAATCGCCAGCTGCAGGCTGTACCCTTTTAAATTACTTATTCCTTCAGGGTCACAATGTGTATTTGAAGCTACAAACTCAAAGCGCCAAATACTTCAGTCAACTATCATAGTTAAAATAAATACATGGCACTTTGCCCTGCGGATGGTATCGGAAAAAGAAACGATTCTCGCAGGTGAGCTGCGATCAAAAAAAATAGGTAGAAGTAGCCAGAATATATGGCCACTAATTCGGGTTTCGACATGATTTAAACCCGTGCCTCTCAAATAATAGTGGGACGTTATGACCAAGTAAGCGACAAAGCTACTCTTTGGCTTCGAGACAAACTTTGAACTACTATAAAAATCCAAAACATAATCTCCAGAACATGTTTCAGGAGTTAATATCCACGGCAGTGGGATGGTTGTATCCTCATATGGTGATGCTGGAGAGTCCCTTTCCGGGTGTTTTATATGGAAATGAAACAATCCTCACTACTGCCCAATTGAGGCACGATATTTGCCTGATATCCCCCGAATTTGTAAAACGCATTTGAAACTAGCCACGCAGAATAAGTTTAAGGTCGATTTATTACGCAAGTACACCTTCATGGATTAATTCGGGATATTCTTCACTATAGAAAAATTGCTTTGATTTTGAAATTCTTGTAATTAGGAGATAACTATAATATGGATCACTTTTTTCTGTTATTGGCAACCTATTGAGAATTCAAATTCCCCGACTCTGTGTAAAATTTACTGTTCAACATCACAATTAAGTGATTTTGTTCAAACGAACAACTGGTTGGCAGCGTGCAGTTGTAGGTCTCTGAGATGCATCCCTACAACAATGAATTATGTTCTTGAGAGTTTTCTTAAATTCTGAAATTCTTAAGGGATAAATTACTACGTTCACAAGCGAGTTGCTAAACTGTAAAATCTTGCTCAGGTAGAAAACTGTTAAAGAAATCTGAAAAACTTGAAACAAAACCAAATTATTCAAAATTTGAAATGGAGTCCAAGTTAAAAGAGAAGCTCCTGTTACCAAAAATAAAGTTTTGGCTAATTTTGATTCTCTTGCAGCTCTGTGATTTCGGATTCCCTTCGTAGATTTCTGTTTGATCCAAATACTGAAATACGCGACACACATGGTTAACAATGGCGTGATCAGAAAGAGGAAAGGAAAAAACTTATAGCTTAAATGTTTTACACTCCCCTTAGGTTTAAGAATAATAACAGCAATGAAAACTGCTGCTGCGATCCACGGTATGGCAATAGCGTAGATGTAATTACGAGATGTCAGAGTTCTGTGGCGTAGAGGGCATGCGATGGCAAACAATCTCTCCAAGGAAATGACTGCTAGTGTATAGATGGACGTTAAACCAATGAAAGCGTCAAAAGACTTTGACACGAGCCGCCACAAATAAGAATGTTCCGTGCTGCTCCCTTTTATAAAAAGTGGAATTGCAAACAATCCGACCATTAAATCAGCAACAGCCAAACTGATTAGTAGAAAGTAAGATCGTTTGCGTGATTTCTTTCGGTGGAATACGCAGATGGAGAAGAAGTTTCCCAAAATGATCAGTACCGCTAACAGTCCAAAAGCCGAACTCCAAAAAATGTTCCATGAGTTGAAATCCATGTTTGTAAGCATCTGTTTCCTCAAGACCTCTCCTGGCTCACTTTCCCTGATTGAAATAAAAATTATAAACTTATCAGATAAGAATAAAGTCTTCCGTCATCATCATCGTCACCATGTTATTGCTATAATTGTTATTACTTCACCGCGAAAGATAAAACAACAACTTTGCGGTTGGAAGTTGGTGAACCTACGTTGGGGAGGTAACCCATCTCATTGGGATTATTTGGCTAGTTATGTTGATCTGTGGCTTAGTTGGTTATATAAACATGCGCAATTTATTTCAATGAGCCAGCTTATTACGTATATATTCAGACTGAAGGGTAGCAGAGGACACTTCCCTTGTTACAGAATTGAAACTAACGCTTTGAGATCTTGAAAAGAAAAAACCAATTTGTTTGAAACGATTGTTTAAAAAAAAGGAAAAAAGAAGAAGAAGAGAAGTTAAAAGTAGGAGGAAAAAGAGAAAAACTTTAACACTTTAACCCGCATCCCTGAATTCATAAGCGTAGACCCAAACGTTTGGGTTACAGAAAGAAAAAAATTAAAACGTCTTCCTAAAAGGGAGTTCCTCTATGGGGCAATTTGCACAGTTATAACTTTACTCAAGTGCTGGTACACAGATAGTTCAAATGATGTTCCATTGCTTCAAAACCGGCTATTTCTTATCGCTAGTGCATGAGGTGAGATATTTAGTTACAAATTTTAGTCATGGTTCGGGTGGATTTGCACACGACCTGGAAGTTCGAGAGCGAGAGTTCTTTGCGACTCTCTATTATGATCTGAGCAGGACTGCAGTCTCTAAAGATAAGTTTACTGGTTGAACCTCGGCGCTGAATGATCGAAAGGAAATATACGGAAATGAGGCATTTGGAGAAAATTACCCCTGAATTCTGTCAGTGATTCTGAGAGGATAAACCATCACGTTCACCAAGCTGTTGACTGGCTGTGCGAAAAATCTTCAGTCACGTTCCATTTGGACTAAATTTACGAATTCTTGAAATTAACTCAAACGGAGATAACTTATATAAAAGACACTGTTCTGAGTTAACAAAATCATACTCACCGTTCCTGGTCTCTTGAAAAAGGAATGAATGTTACCGGCAAACTAGACCGAGCACTTCCTACCTCTAGTCAAAAAGGAAAACAGAAACATTCTAGGAGATTTTCGTTGGCAACGCATTCCGCCTGATTCACATTACTTTCCTTCACTCGCCCGCACAGTTGAGGACGAGTATATAGTCAGCAAATTGAATGTGTTGTTAGTTTAACCTCAGTCTCAAGATGGTCATGATCACTGAAAGCCGCTACCTTTTTTTATTTCAGTCTATACTATGATAATGCACCTGTCCTAAGAACTGACAGTTGCTATAAAGTTTTTGTTCATTCTCGGGAATGAATGAATTTGGCCCAACGTCTAAATGATTTTTGTTTGAAAGCATATCTCTTGTCGTTCCCACGATTGCTTCTTGCAAATTGAAAGCAACTTCTAAAAAATCCACACAACACCTTTTTCGGTTTCCATTGAAGTAACAACATGTAGTCACTTAGTCTGAAGACTAAAAGCAAATTTTGTCATATATGACATATTATGTTATATATGAAAGCATTTCATCGCCAGCAAATTGACTCCGCAGCTTACACCATGGGTTCGTCTGACCTGCTTTTATGAATAACTTAATAAAATATATTAATCGCGTTTTCATTCGCTATGCTCCACCGCTTAAGTACTGCAAATACAAAACTCACACATGCTGATGACTGGGTGCTCAGGCGATCCAACCTGACTTTTATTATATCCTTAAGCCATGGGAAGTGATAAATACAGCTAAAAAGTTATGATAATATTGTCAAACTCCGCTTATTAATTACTGATAAACGTTTAAATATGTCCTTTAGAATGCAAATATCCTTCGCACCATCTGAGTTGACTTCTACCGCCTCTTCAATTTTAATAGAATTTATTAAAGGATACGCGGAAATTATATCACAAGTCGCACATCGGACCCACCAGTCAGTAGACTTAATATCGCTTTTTTTCACTCACTTCGCTGAGGAGTTGACCTCGGATCTTTAAAGTTCAAAGATTCGTTTTATAAGGTTTCTCGCAAACCAATGACTATAGACACTTCCTCCTATCTTCTGCGTAAAACATCTGGAACGCAAGGAGAACAATAAAAATGCATAGAAAACGCACTTGTTAAAATTGTAGAACTAAGGAACAATGAGTTAAAGAGACAATACGACTCCAAATAACGGCAAGAGTCCAGGGGCCAACCTTCAACGACAAGCGGCAGCATTCTAATGGCAAGCGCCACAAATGCCAAAATTTAACGGCAAGCGCTAACAAACGTATTGGTAACATGATTTCGGTTCAGTCAGTGCCTCGTCTTCTTACCGGCAAACATGATTCGGTGAAAAGCGTCCCGTCCATCACTTTGACAGCGCCACCACAATCCGGAAATGGCTTTGCCAGGTGTAAAACACAACGATTGCATCTCACATCCATAAACCTCCCAGGGGGTTTTTTTGGGGACGGAATAAGCATGTCTGTTGGGTTAAACTTACACAGGCATTTCGATCGTTTATCCAGTCGCTCAAAATTAATTAATAAAACGAATTGGACTCGACACGGCAGGAGTGCTTTGAATCAACACCATATATAATTTAGATTTTATTACAAGTGACGAATCTCAGCATACCCCAGTGGTACAGAAATAGAGGGCCCCCCTTCTAGCAATAACTAAATGGTCTGGATACTTTTTTGATTACATGACTTAATTGAAAGCCCGATTCGGGGAGGGGGGGGGGGATGGGGCATAACTCGACCTTCATTCTGGCATTTACAGAGATAAGAAAGGAGAGTTAGTAATTAGATCATGGAACACAACCCCCCTCCTTAACCCAAGGTCTGAATCCGCCACTGAACACTAACAAGGTGAAAATAAACGAAAAAGGATTATGTGTGGCTATAACTTGAAGAGACCAACAGGTGCACGAATTGAAAGTATTGAACTAAAGTAAATTGTGGGCTGAATTTTTTAGACTCCATAAACGTAAAACGAAGTTGTTTAAGCCTTGGGCTTATACAATTTCGTAACTGGTTTTAGGAGGGCTTATAAACTGAGGGGGGCTTAATCCGAGGGAGCCTACAACCGGAATAGGTAAAGCGTTTCAAAACGAGCTATGGTAGACAGTTTACACTCTTGTCAAAGCTCATTTGCATATTGTTCATATTTGACAAAAACATCGTTTGGATCGTTCGGACTCTTTTGTTCATCTCCTAAACAACTTTACTTAACTTAGCTTCCTGAGAAAACCAAGTGCAATATAGACCCTTTGTTGTAATGAAGCGAGGTTTAGATTATTAAATAAAGTTTGATTTTGGAAATTTTGTTTTGTTTTGTTATTTTAATGCTATATCAATTTCTTGCTGGCTTTAAAGTATTGAATGTATTGAATAGAAAAAGGTTTAAATGTTTAATTTATAACTGAGACGATTCCTTTCCTGCATAGTTGGTACCTGGACTGAGAGGAGTAACAAAGATTCGAGAGATTACGGAAAAGACAAGTGAATGTAACATGAATTGCATGGAAAGGTTAATGAAAGAGCCGCGTGAAGATACTCCTTAGCAACAAAACCCTCAAACGAATCGGAGACTATGGCCGTCACCACAGGGACCCAAGGTGGTGTATAGTAGGGTCTAGGTAGCCATTGTGAAGGGGTTCAACTGTACAAGAGTCCATGATATGCTTACTTTCATTATTTTGGAAAGGTATGGTATTCTTTAAAACGGTAACTTTAGCTTGTTCACTACGAGCAAACACAAGTTGACATAAAAAAGGAAAATTTTGAATAAAAAAAAAACTTCTATAAGGTTTGTCAATAACTGAAATAATTTGTTAAGAATTCCGTTTGGGAAAATGCTTCAGAGACGACATTAAATTATATAATGCAATATTTGCACGGCATTTGTAAACTGACACAGGCTCAAGCTTTTGATGGCAGCCTTCTTTCATATACAGATATCCATTCGAAATGAAATTTTGACTTATTATATGGCTAAAAAGGTGTGAGAATTTGACAGGATAGGAATCTGTACATGCAAGGATCGTCCTAACCAGGCCTGAAAAAGTTAAATGCCCTCATCTTCCGGATCACGTTTCTATCTTGACCCTTCCTAATCGATCCCGTTTAATCTTTGGAGGTACTTCGTGAACCTTTTCTTAATTTGTTTTTGTTTTTGTTATTTTTTCCCGATGCATGAATTTTGAATGAAGCGGTATTGGCACGGAGAGAATATATGTACCTTAGCTTAGTGGGTTATAAAACAAAAATCGATTTGTCCGATAACATAAGTACCTAAACTTTAGTAATCAAAGCTCTCAGCTGCCAGTAAGGGATTCTATTAGATTTAAGGGAATTAAAATCAACCAACTGGATTTAAAGCTTCAAGCTTGACCAATTTTTTTTCTTTTTTGGTATTTTGTTTCATGGACAAGTATGGAGGAATGCGCTTGAAACGTTTCGTCCGAATGAAGTCACGTACGTTTCAAAATGTGTACGATTCCCATGATTTGTACAAAGGAATAGGTAATTACCGAACTTGCGTATCTCATCACAGTACAGGAATCGTGCTCAGTCTTTTGAAACATCTGGAGGTTTTTCACTCTGATAATTGCCAAAAATGCTGGGACCATTGCTTTCCACTTTCGAATAATTGCGGTAGAATTGAGAAAAATCTGCATATAAGCACGACACAGAAAATAGTACCGCGAGAAACGTTAGCCTCAGACTAAAAGTACTTATGCGTATTTAAGTTCTGTATAATAGCGGGCGGTTGTGTTTCCTATATTGAAAGAGGCGACTTTGAAAAAATCTCTAATGACGGTCTTTAAAAGTTTGTTTTCAGCTAATCATTATCCGAGCGGAGGGTTATAAGTATACTTTAATGAGAAAAGATTGGACTTTTAAAAGTTAACTGCCACTTCAGTCCGTACTTTCTAGATACCATAGCCGGACGTCATTAAAATCTGAGCCAAAAAAGCACGTGTTGAGAGCAAGCCAAACCAAGGTGGGTCCTTTGTTCCATGCATAGGAATCTCGTCACAATTAGTTGTATGAAATAGATAACATATTAACCTAGAATGAGAAAACAAGTGACGAATTGATTTATATTACACTGGCTCTTAGATTCAATTAGTTTTAAGGGTTGGATCTCTTAAAAAATATTTGCACGTTTAACTGATTATAAAATTCTATGATTTATAATGATAATTGAACTGAGTGGGGTGCAATTTGGGCTGAAATCATACGCGTGATTTCAAAATTGAACGAGCGTGCAGCGCGAGTTCAATTTGAAATCACAAGTATGATTTCAGAACAAAATTGCACGACACAAGGTTCAATTACAAGTTTATTATAACCATTTTGAAATCGCCCAAATACAGGACTTGGTCTGTTCAAATATTTTATTGATGCAGTAATGAGCCGGTGTGAAATTAAATTCATCTTCAATTCAAAAACAAGAGTTTTGGAATCAAAAATTTGCAAAATTTGCCACATGATACTCTTTGTCTTTCATTTCCTGCAATTTTATTGGTTACCTTAAACAAGCCTTGAAATCTGATAGGTTGTTTTGTTTTTAGTGTAGCCTCCTCATTGGCTGGGGAAAAGATGTGATTTAAAGCAAAAAATTGTGCGATTCGTGAATAAATCGCACCAATTAGAGCCAATCAGATTACAGGGACCACCAGTGATCTCAAAATGGATGTAATAAAAATGGATATATCATGAAGAAAACAACGAAAAATGAAATCGATAAAAGCAAGACAAAGTGAGCTGGTCAACTCGTGGCTCTTCATTAAAGTGAATATCAGATATCTATCTGTTACGCAATATGCATCTCTTAGCCTTACATGTTGGAATTTAGAACACCGTCTCCAACAAAACGAAATACCTAGAAGCTTACTTCACTCGGATAAAAAAAGAGCATTATTCAGTGGTATTTTAACCTGAACCAACTTTGTTAAGAATGAAAACAGTTTGAGGATTCGGGTACAAACGATTAGCATTTTTAACCAGAGTTACAGTGCCACGGCGGTCACATCCCAGGTAGAGTTTGCTTTCAAAGTGTTTCAGCATCGTGAAGCCCCCGAGGCCCATGAACTGAAAAACATAGCTCTTGTTATCAGCCCTTTTCATTTCCTTGAAATAGAAGATAGCGTTGAATTAGAGATAATCTTAACTACAGGCATTATATAAATTGTAGTCTCCCATTGCAAGAGTGGGGTATAGACAATTCACCTTAATGTTAGATTGTTCAACCTACCTAATCGATTGTTCATAAGACTTTTGACATCAATAAAAAGGAAATTTTTGCTTTAGTTGCCTCAAACACAAAAATTTAATGGATAATTAAGTGGCAACTGCGTGTAAGATAAACAAAGAGAACAAGTGGAAAGTTAAAATAAGGAGCTGATTAACGAGTGTATAGGCAAATGAAACAATGGATTAGGAGGTAAACGGGCTTGGGAATAAATGGATGAATGACAGAACTGATTCACAAATGAATGTATAAGCCCTAGATTAGCAAAATGATGCAGTTTCTTACCTCGATTGTGACTATTCCATCTTTATTAACTTTCAATGCGTATTTTTTATCTGCTTCTGGACCTTTGAACAAGAGGGCAAAACAATGGGGATTGCTGGGCCCCTGCGGTTTTTCCTCGGTTGTCATTTTAGCTACGATCAGAATGTCGGAAAGCGAAACTTTTAAAGTTCGGCGGGCAATAACTACGAAGGCGACCATAGGTCTAAATAACATTCTCCTTGATAGATAAATGTTGCCTCAAAGAGTCCCAAAATCTAATCTAATCTCCATTAAAGGAAATGTTTTATCGCTGGTTAACCTGCAACCTGTTTATGCCATGAAATAACATGACAGTGAACTTACTGTTTGCATCAGACTCCTGAAAAGTTCCATCGCACTTCACTTCAAATATGTTATCAGTGAGATGCCCCTTCATAATACCGTCACCCTCTTGGCTTACTGGGCTCCATAGTCGATAGGTAGTGTCCTTGGACGGAGAGGATAAAAATAGACTGGATCCACAGCCCATCTATCAAAAAGATCACCTCATTAAAACGGTTCCTAGCAGCCTAATGACAGCAAATTTAACATTTGCTGAGTTAATTAGGACGCACAGCACATAACACTGCCGAAGATGAGAAATATCTTGTTCAAGGGTCGCTCACAATGATGCATTTACTGTGTACATGTGAAGTAAATTATATCGGAGGGTCGTCTTTGCCAGTCGAACGGAAAAAATGCAGGAGAACAATCTGATTAGGATCGACTAGTTAGTTGTGTGAACCGCCATCATTGTTCTAGGTTTTTTAAGGCCAAAACACTTTCTAACCCAATTTAGCCCAGGAACAGAAATGAATGCATCCTCGGCATTATTTCTACTGACTGCTCTGTCCTGTGACTCCTATGATTACAGACGATTACATATCAGCAGCTGCGGTTAGACTTTCGAACATTCGTATATATGATTGCACTTCGAAGATGGGTAAGCTGTAAATGTCAGTGTAAGTGTCAGGTAGGTAAATTTTCCGTCAAGCTGCATCGAGCAATAGTGTACAAAACACTGAAAGAAACATCTAATATATTCGAGGTTCCTTAGATAGATCTGCGGGTAGCGCTTGGTGTTTTGCTAAAGGATTAATCAATACTACGACAAAAAAAGAAAAAAAAAACTCGCAGCAAACAAGTATGTGAAAAGGCCACGACTCTCTAAAGCCCAGAACTTACGATATTTTCAAAGAGATCTAAGAGATTGACGAATAGAAACTCAGTTTTATCCGTTTGATTTCTCTGCTGCCATAATTCGTCAATGGCGGAACTGAGAAGGTAAATCGTCAATATCATCTCTTCATTGACCTGACTTCACTATTTCATAGCCGTTCAGGTGAAAGGGTTTCCGTACATAAACCATTTCAGTCCCTCCGAAAAGTAAAGCTAAGCAGTTTAATGATTGACGTCAGGCCTTAGATACTCAAAAACATCCAGACATGCTTGCGGTATTCAACTATACTAAGATGCAATGTCAGTGTAACTGTGTCAGCCAGGTAAATCTTCCGTCAAGCTGCATCGGGCAATAGTGGACGAGCACACTGAATTCGAGTCAAACGTGTATTTGATATAATATATTCGAGCTTCCCTAGATAGATCTGTGGGTAACCTTGGTGTTTTGCTAAAGGATTAAGCAAGACTAAAACAAAAAAACAAAAAAAAAAACAAAAAAACCAAAACAGAAAACAGAAACTTGCAGCAAACTCAGTTTTATCCGTATGAGTCCTCTGCTGCCATAATTCGTCGATGGTGGAACTGAGAAAGTACATGCACAGGAAGGTAACTCGTCAATACCGTCACCTCATTGACCTGACTTCATTATTTCATGGCCGTTCAGGTGAAAGTGTTTCCGTACATATACCATTATTTTAAAAGGATCCGTATCTTTTCGTCTCTTTAAGTAGTATTGGAGTCTTAAAATTTTACATTTTAATATTTTTGATTGCGAAATTAAAATTTCAAACGCCAAAAAGGCAATAACGATGAAATGCTTTCTGAAATGATTAAATTATTCGCTTCATTTCCCTTTAACTACTGGTGAAGGGAAACAAATGCTTCGCTCAGGTCATTAATTTTTGAACTTCTGAAAATAAAGGTCTATTTACTTACACAACGAGGAAACACATGCTTTTGAAGAACCAAAATCCTGTTACTGTTACTTACTTAATACTGTTTTTAATCGTTTTCGACCTCCAAAAGTTGATGTAGATTAAGACAACGAAACCTGCCTCGACATGTTCGCTTAACGATGCGTTCTGAGAGTTTATGCACGTACTCTGGCGCTTTTTGATGCTATTTCAATCGCTCAATGAAACATTCGGTCTCTAATAATTATAATGTGTGCAATTATTTTTCTTTATTAGATTTCGTCTTTCTTTTGCGTTTATCATAAACGGTGCACACAACATTGAAAAGTCGGAAAGTAATATTAAAAACGTCGCTAGGACGCGCCATTTGTTAGGTTATCTTAGCGTGTCGTTTTAAAAGCCGTCACATGAGGGTGGGAATGGCTTCGAACTGAACGATGTTGAAAATAATTAAAGTATCAGAATGAGGAAGAAAATTAAACCCACTTTAAGGTATGAGCGGTATCCCATCTGAGGCTTATAAAAGTTTGTAAAATACCCTATTATTTCAGCCCACTTATAATCATATGTATTCACAAACCATGTAATCAGTGTATGTGGACAAATGCGAAAATTGTCGAACAAGAAATGTAGATAAGCCCTAAAAGGAAAATATCTTGCCATCAGATATGCGAGTTTTCGTTGTTATCGTTATGGTGCATCTTCAAGAATACTATAAAACTTTCTGACTTGAGACAAGTAGCTCTAATCCATCAAGAACCGTTATAATTGCAAACGGCGGAAGAATAAAGATTTAAATTTCATATTCAAATTGATTATTGGATCAGACCGTTTGAAACTAAGTGGGAACTAACTAGTAAGTCAGTCCCCTGAAACATTATAAAAGAATAGCAAAGGAAGTTGTTACAAAGTTAATTTCACAAATTTGGTCATCCTAAAACTCTGATATTCGTCATTTGATATTAGTCATCGACGGCCACTGAAGCGACCCGGTATAGCTTCACTTCTCCCGGCTCAAAGTGAAAATAACACGATGATTTAACGCTGTACCTACCTTGAAGTTTACTTACTTGTTGCTCTCGTAGATACGACACAGACTGAGGTGAAGTAAAGTTTATCAGTCAGATGGCTTGCCTCTACCTTTTCTTTTGTCCTAAGATGGCACTCATTGGATCTACTGTTGCATAAACAATTGGTGTGAGAACCAGGTCGCCTAGGGGAAGGGAAAGGACCTTTTTTTAGTAACTTGAAATAAAATCGCTATAATCAAGAATGTGGTCGTGGGTTTGTGAATGCCCCCAAGCGTCTGTATTCTTAGTCTTATTCCTGTTAATGATCAGAACCTCTGTCAGTAGTTACCAAAGTCACTACTTTAAAGGTTTTGCTCTTCAGTCTTTTTTTTTTTCTTGTTTTTTTGATTGTATGTGTAAGCAAGTTTATACTGCTTTGGAAATTGGGAAATTGTATCAATAATCACATTACGACAATTCAACTTCTTCTTTCTTTTGCAACGTTTCTTCTGAGCCGTCCAACAGAAGCGGTGTTGGAATTCGAATGATGCCGAATTCAGTTTGAGACTTGAAAATATTCTACTAGATCATTGCAATAGCTTATCATTGGTTTTATGTTTAAGTTTGGACAACTGAGTTTAATTAAACAAGGAGGAAACACATCAGATATGGTAGCTTGGTGAAATGCTTCCTTAAAATGCTCTTTATGCGTTAAAGCTTAATAACTTGTGGTTGTTTACGTTTTTGCTGCCGAAAATGGTAAATGTTTCTATCATTTAAATGTGCTCTTGACTTTGTTTCTGCCCCCTGGCGCTTTTGATCCTATTTCCATCACCAAAATATTCATTTTGTCCATATTTGTGTTTTTATGACTCGAAAGTTTGTTCCTCGGTTTGCAATACATTTTGTTATGTATTGCCGTCCACACAGCACTGAAGAGTCTTAATAAATTTGTGATAAGAACCACGATACGACAAACGATGCTCCTGGTGTTAAATATTAGCTAGACTTCCAAAGAGGGGTCAAGGGGTTCCAATAAGGAAGTATGTTTTGTAGAATTAACTTCTCTTGAGCTGGATCATCGGAGCGATGACTCTTTTTTACAGTTTTGAAACATTTTGAGACCTCAACTGAAACAACCGCCAAAGAAGAGTTGGGAGGAGGATCATCATGATTTATACTATTCCTTATTAGTCGTTGCGATAGTTGATGCAGGTTATATCTTCCAAAACTTCAGGCCTTGGATAATGAAACATGCCCCGACATGTCTGCTTAACGATGCGTTAAGAGGTTTTGTACATGCTCTCTAAAAATTGTAATACTCTTTCTATCGCTGAATGATTCATTCTGTCTGGAGTTTTGGTAGTCATCATGCTGCAAATATTGTGTGCATCACTCGTTGAGGATTGACACTTTCCTTCCTTCAACCCAGATGTAATCCTATGTATTCAAAAACCATGAATCACTATGTGCGGACAAATGCAGTGTTTTTCCTTCGCAGTTGAATAGCAACGGAAATGAGCCATGATAAACGTAAATGGCTTCCATCGGCTATGTGAATTCATTTGTTATGATCATACTCACAGCATCATCAAGAATGCTACAAAGCTTTCTGACTTAAGTAAAGTAGCTTTTATCTATCAGGAATCGTTATTGCAAACAGCGGCATAATGTTGGCTCGAGCGCTAAAACAATCAAATAACTTCGCATCCTTTTTGTTTCCTCAGCGGATTTACGAGGTCGCCGTCATTGCATTATGCGCCTGAATTTGAAGGTTATGACATTTTTACATCCAATTTAGGTTGCGATACAAATCATTGCATCCTCAACTGCAAAATACTCTATGCTGTGTGTCCCTTGTGAACACAAACTTTAACTAATCACCATCTGCCTTTGGACTAACGAACATTTGTTTTCCGTGGCACCTCAAAGCCGAGTGCATAAATAGAATTATTCTTTAGTTCCCCTTCTTACTCTCGAGCTTAACACACTAAACGAAGACTTGGGAGAAGGGAAAGGATGTACAAGATAGGCTCGTTTGTGCTTGTGTGATGATGAGGGTTAGTAATGACGATAATTAAATTTGTGTTAGAGCTTATATTTGGAGTATTCTGAACATAATGATATAGAAAAAAAAAATGTTTTTCTTTTCGTGTATATCTTCAGGCGATTTAAAGCTTATTTCTAAAACTGATTAGTATTTCTTTTAGTATTATTTTTAGGCAATTGTATTTGAACTCGTTTGTTGAAATGCGAATGTCTCCTGGTGAGAGAGTTTTTAATCCTATTTCTGTCCCTGATTAGTATATCTTTCAATAGTTATATATAAATGTTCGACTGTAAATTTTACAGGCTTTTCTTATTCACTTGTATCTCTTTCTAAAAATATCACAGCCACCATGTTTGTCTAAAGATGAGGAGTAGATAAGGCAATTGTATTCTTATTGTTTCGTCGGAATGTGAATGCCTCCCGGTAATACTACGTTTGTCACTGATTAGCATATCTAATTAACAGATTTGTGATAATAACCACAACAGGACAATCAACTTGCTTAACTGTCAAATAATACGTTTGAAATATTACCTTTTTTTTCGATTGAAGCGTCGGAGTAATAAATTTCGTTCCAAGTTTTTAACAGTTTTTTGGTTTCAACTAAAATAAAAAGGCAAAGAAGAGGCGAGAGGAGCATCATGACAATTTATACTGTTTTTAATCGTTTTCGACCTCCAAAAGTTGATGCAGGTGAAGATAACGAAACCTGCTCCG